TATGGTTATATATATATTTCTGCCAATTCCTGAAACCTGCCGTCTGGACCCCTTCGCTTACACCAAAACAACCATAGACCAAAAAAAAAGGAATCATGGTCTAAATTAATAAACAATATACTATATGCTATGGGGATTCTCGAATTTAGCTTTGTTTTTTCTTCGTCACTGTTGCTTTGCTTGCACCAGTAAAGATGGAAATATTTCGAGTCTTTCCAAACCTTTTCAATAGAGAAAAAAATTTTAGCGCTTTCCTCTTTAGTCTGATGCGACGATGATAGCAGGATTAAGTTTAGCCCATGGAAGCTAGAAACACATGTGGTTATAGACAAAAAAAAAAAAAAAGGAAAATTTTCTCTTTTAATATTATAGAAGAATGAGTGCAGAAAAATCATGGTTTGATCTGGGCGGTGGTGACTCTTTCTTTAATAATTTAATTTATGAAATGTAAAAATTATCTTAATTCATTGTTTTAGGGTTTTGATTTTCTTTGGAATCTTTGATGAATAAAAGCAGCAAAGAAAGATAAAAAAAAAATTAGGGAAGGAAATTGGTGGAGGCCCATGTCTTGTCTTCTCTTGCTTCTGTGTTTGGTATGGTAAAAAAGAGTAAGGACTCGTTATTTTTCAGTGCTAAAGCTACTTTATATATATATTATAGGCTGTAAAAGGCTCAAAGCAGGTTCCTTTTCTCTCTCGTAACTAATGATAGGAGACCGATCAAGGAAGACAACACTTCCCTCCAAAAACCTACCAGCCTTTCATTATTTATTTCTTGTAATGACCTGTCTATCATGTGCTTTTCCACATATTACATTTATATTCTTTTTTTTTTTTTATTTTTTATACTTTTTCTCTTGCTCCATTTTTACTGAAACTCTCTTTTTGCTTGGCTCTCACAAATTTACTTCTGCTTCTTGATCATATGTATCATTTTTATGGTGTATTTGGCTGTGTTTGCGTGATTACTCTATAGAAAGATTTTTTTGGGGAGTACTTTTGCAGCCTTATATATTATATTTATATATTTATGTGGTTTGATTGTTGAATCATAGGCATATAAGAGGGTTGCTTTCTTGGCTAGGTTAAGCTATTACTAGAGAAAAACGGAAGAAAAGATGGTGTTTGTGAATGAGTTTGATCCAAGATCCTTTCGCGGGCTCTCTACTTTCTGTTAGTGGTTGGTTTTGATCTTTTGTTTTTCCAATCTTTTCCATTTTGGCTTAATCTGTTAGGGTGCAGGTGGCGTCCCCTGGGAAGAAAAGAAGATTTTGTGGAAGAAGAGAAAGTTTTCTTGATTTTTCTTTTTTGTTTCAAGATTCTCTTTCTTTCTTTCTTCCCTCATACTCTAGGTACAATCTGGTGTGGAGGAGAGAAAGAGAGTGAAAATTTGCATTTATTTTTTTTTGATCTGAAAGATCTTTTTTATGCTTTTTTGTCAAAATTAAATTTTCAGATTTTTTTTTTTCTCTGTTGTCTTTGATGTTAGTAATTAATTACTTTGATTAATATCCAAAGACTGATCTCCGGACCAGGCTTCATTCCTCACGACCAAGCTTCTCAGGGTCCCTCGAATACAAGGACCCTAAAGGATATCATATATATGTATATATTATATTATAAGTATGGATTGTCAAGGCTTTTCTATTACTATGCCATATATGGGTTTTCTGAATATAACTCCTTCTGTGCTAATCAATATGGTGTTCTCTTATGGATTTCAATTTACATGGGAAATAGGTTTTTATCCAGTTCTTGCACAGAAGATGAGAAGGGGGAGTGTATATTTGATATATTCATGTTCCTTTATTCCTGATGAATGTTGCTGATTTAACTTTGTTAAAACCAACCTTTCATTTTCTTTTAAGCTGCATCTATGTTCTGTAAAAAATTTATTTGTTTTGCCCAAGATTCCTCAGACAAAGTTTACAAGACACATAACTATGATGCTTTATTCAGAATATTGATGTCATCAGAAAAATTATTTATTCTTCTGTTTTATTTTTTCTATTGAGAAGAATTTATTTCTTTACTTATTTCCCTACTGCTTCCAAACCGCTTCTTGGCTCTAATTTTTCTATTAAACATTAAATGCTTTTTCCTTTAATAAAGATAATTAATAACTTGACCATTTTCCTAGACATATAAATCATTCTCAATATAGTTTATTTTTTACTGAGTTATGGATCTCCACACTGATTAACCAAGTAGCAGCAGATATATATATATGTTGTTCTTCTGCAATTTATATATGGATTTTTAGTTTTCCATTTTCTTAATTGTGTTGGCCAATAAACTATTGAATGCCATTTTCAAAATTGTACTTATATAAATATATAAAAACCCTATTGAGAATACATATCGTGTCATGCGCCACATAAACTGCCTAGGGACAGTTTTGGCATCCCTGCTCATTTTTCATTTATATACAATTGTGTTTAGTTTTTTCTTTATAAATATAATTTGGATTCTTAAACATTTTTGGCATTATAATTGGGTCATTGTACTTTACATGTCTTAAATTTGAATAATATATAATATATTCCTCATTTATCAATGGCTTATGTTAATTATGTCTTAGGGTTTGGCATTTTATGAGTTGAAAAATGATCCATCTTAATTACATGTTTCAGTTACATCATATCATTGTAGTCATTAATTAAGCAGATGATTAGTGCTATATATTGCTGTTGATTGAGATGATTAGATGTGATTAACTAAATTTGTTGGAGGGAGCATATACTATGTGTACTTGCGGGAGTGAAATAGTTATATTATATTAATTTTTTGAGAATTAATTATCTTTTAATTTCATGTATTATAATTATTAATTAATATATGTTATTAATATTTTATGGACTTATGTTGAACTATTTGACCTGATAACTTAATTACTTACCCATCCGACCATTCTTTTTATGCCAGGTTCAATCTCCAGGCTGGATTTTATATGCATCTCAATAATTCAAAGTTAGAGGTTCAATAGCTAATTAATTCGAAAAAATAAAAAAAAGGTTTGAATCTGATTAACCTATTTAAAAAAATTGAGGGATTTTTAATTGATATTTAACCGATATATATAATTTTTCTATTTAACTTTGTAAAGTCACCACGATGGATAAAATTAACATAAAAATTTACTTTGTTAAATTACTAAATTATCTAATATAACCTAAGTATTATGGCTCAGTTGACGATGTAGGCTGAACATGGTGGAAAAAACTCTCGTATTTCAATGCGGGCCCCCCCCCCTACATACCTTGCAGGAGGTGAATGACTTAATGTGATTAAGTTCTCGAACCGATTAGGACGGCGGTTTCCCAATATAGGATTTGATACGTTGATTCACGTTAAAAAAATATTCTCAAGAAAAAAAAACCACACACACACACAATCACCATATTAAAACCCTTGTTTGTAACATAGCCAACGCCCTAAAAATTGTAAATTACATCCTTTGATTAATTTTTCTTATACCAAAAAATCTTCTTGTGACTTAATTTTTATTAATAAGGATTACAATTGATAAATTTGTTCATAGTGATAAATGAATAGAGAAAATATAAAAAAAGTTTTTTTTTTTTTTTTTTTAAAAAAAAAAAAAGGGGAAAGAAGAAAACTTCATTCCAAACTATAAAGAGAAGAAATACAAAAAAAAACATTAGTTTAAAGCTCTAGCTAAACCATAAGTCCTTTGTATTATTTAGGCCTCCTAATCCATCATACGAAAAATATAACCAGTTTTTTCATAAGGTTTTAAAATGAAGGAGGGAAAGAAATGCATTAAGAAGAGGAGTGGTAATAACAGTATAAGGCATTCGAGAATGGAATCACATACCATTAAGTTAGCATAAAAGATAAGATACTCGCTGTGATGGCACCTGTTTATATTATAATGGGTTTGCTTTGCCTTTTTTTGAATCATTCAAGAAATATTAACCCGTGAGCTAACATTGTTCTACATCCATAATTACACAACCATGCTCTCTCTGAATTGTTCAATAACATTTGAATTTCAATACACATATTTATATTATATTATATATATTATATATATATATATAAACTCTATATATAAACTCAATACACATATATTTCATGATCGAATAAGATGTCTTTCTCCTTTTTTATTTATCATCATAGACTATCTCTTCCAGCACTGTCAAATGAAATTAACAACTTCTTTTTCTTTAACATCAAATTTTGCTCATGTCAAAACGACATTAAAAGAAGAAAGAGAGAGAGAGGTACCCATGGAACTGAACAATCTTTGAAATTATACAAATTATTTGTCTTTGTTACTTTTGATTGTGGAAGTCAATTTTATAATCAACTTTGGATCTCAGCCATCAACAAATTTAGTTTTATTTACTTTCAAGAAACAGTAATCCTATTATATGACTCTTTTTTCTCCCTCTCCTGCCCCCACCAAAACCCTTATTTTCCTCTACCTTTGACAAAGAAGAAAAAGGCATAATTAAGGAAAGAGGAAAAATAAAATAAAATAAAATAAAGAAAAGAAAAGATACCTCATTTGTGTGGATTGATCAATCTGTTTTCTCTTAGACACGTTGTGTCTAAAAGGCTGCCACAGAGAGACTGAAGGGTGATAACCGCAACCGCTCTTGCCATCGCCAAAGCACAACCTATGCCATTTAGCAAAACTCCACATAATATTATGCTAACTTTCCTTTCTAATTATACGTTGGAAATGTTATTCACCAACTTACCAATATTTTCAATATTAAAACTAGAATTTTATTTAAATACCATCTTCCGCTCTTAACTAGAAGTGTTGATCTGTGTTAATTTATACACCCACTTGCATGGCAATAAACAATAGTGCTACTGCTACTGCTACTGCTACTGCTACACACGTTAGACGTTAAACTTTCATTGAACTGTGAGAAATTAAAGCTAAGGTGTCATCTTTTGTCCAAATTATATAAAATATGGTGGTGACAGAACCTCCTATAGGTCGGTTGATGACACAAAAGAGACTCATCTTTGAAAAAAGCATGCCCATCTCTTGTTGGCATTAACTCATCAAATACATCCTGCTAAGATTAAGGACGGCCATAAAGCAAAAGGTGCAGGAATCTTTCAGTCTCTCAAAAAAAATTTTTTTAAAAAAAAAAACAAGAAACAATATTTATTGGTCTTAAAGATGTTCTTGAACATCAAGTTAAGCACCTTTGTTTTATTTTTATTTTCTTTTCTCTCCTCCTCTTTTTTCACTCTTTCCCATTCATTATATATTCCCTCTCTATATTTTCTTTTTCCATTTTCCTCTTCAAATAATGTAAAATTGCACTCACCATGGCCAAAAATCAGAAACTATTTGTTGAAGTTGTAGATGCTCGCAATCTTCTACCTAAAGACGGTCATGGGACGTCTAGTCCTTTTGTTACTGTTGATTTTTACGGGCAGCGAAAGCGGACGCAGACTGCAATACGCGATTTGAATCCGACGTGGAATGAAGTTCTTGAATTTAATGTTGGTAAGCCATCTAATGTGTTTGGTGACATGCTTGAGCTTGATATTTGCCATGATAAAACGTATGGCCCCACTAGAAGGAATGTTCATCTTGGAAGAATCAGACTCAATTCTACTCAGTTTGTTAGAAAAGGTGAAGAGGCTTTGATATATTATCCTTTGGAGAAGAAGTACTTGTTCAGTTGGATTCAAGGCGAAATTGGCTTGAAGATTTATTATCAAGATGAAGTTATACCGCCACCTCCTCCTCCTCCACCACCACCGCCACCGGAAGCACCAGCGGAGGAAGCTAAACCTGATTCAAAAGTTGAAGCAACAGCTGAGAAGCCACAAGATCAACCACCGGCAGCCGGTGAAAAGCCTGATGCAACAGCTGCAACCACCGCAGAGCCGGATAAAGAACCACCTGCAGAGGGCGCTAAGCCTAGTGAAGAGCCACCAGCTGAAGCGGCACCACCACCTGCAGATAATGCACCAGCTCCAATTCAAGTTGAAAAACCACCAGAATCTGAGACACAGCCACCACCACCAGCAGCAGAAACGACTGAAAGTCAAGGCGATCCACCTGCAGCAGCTAACGAGGCTGCGCAATGTGATGGTGATATTGTTTTGGAACCCGCAGCCAATGAATTGGGTCCAACGTCACCGGAAATAATGGCCGCGTCAGTATCTGGATCTGTACCTGAAGTTCGAGTAGCTAGTATCAATGATCCACATCATATTCCAAGGCCAGTAGCCTCCACCACGAACTACGCATTGGAACCACAAGAAAGTATCTCAATCGAACGATCATCATTTGATCTCGTTGAAAAGATGCACTACTTATTTGTACGTGTAGTGAAAGCACAAGGTCTTCCATCGAAAGGCAATCCCATTGTAAGAATTGTAACCTCAGGCAGTCGAATACAGTCCAGACCTGCACGAAAGACTGCTTTTTTCGAGTGGGATCAGACATTCGCATTCGGCCGCGACGCACCAGAGTCCTCCTCCATCCTTGAAGTCTCAGTGTGGGACCCGCCTGGTGGGGACCCCAAATCCGATTTGGCTGGTGCGAAATTCCTTGGTGGAATTTGCTTTGACGTAACAGAAATTCCTTTGCGGGATCCACCGGACAGTCCCTTGGCCCCACAATGGTACAGGTTGGAAGGTGGGATCCACATAGGTGACGTGTTGCTTGGTAACATAATGCTTGCCACGTGGGTAGGGACACAAGCTGACGAGGCATTTCCTGATGCTTGGAAGACAGACGCAGCCGGTAACGTTAACTCGAGAGCCAAAGTTTATCTCTCTCCAAAATTATGGTATTTGAGAGCCACTGTAGTTGAAGCCCAAGACATTTTTCCAGTAACCCATTTAAAAGAGGCCTCGTTTCAGCTCAAAGCCCAATTAGGGTTTCAAGTCCAAAAAACTAAAACCGTCGTCACTCGCAACGGCAACCCATCTTGGAATGAAGACTTGCTCTTCGTGGCTGCCGAACCTTTTAGCGACGACTTGCATTTCACCATAGAAAACCGGCAATCTAAAGGACCTGTCACCGTCGGGATTGCTAGAATTCCTCTAACGGCCATCGAGAGGCGTGTTGATGACAGGAAGGTAGCGTCCCGGTGGTTCAGTTTTGAAGATCCAAACAGTGAAAAGGTAGCTTATAAAGGTAGAGTCCAGTTGAAGTTATGTTTCGATGGTGGATATCACGTGATGGACGAGGCGGCTCACGTGTGCAGCGATTACCTGCCCACGGCAAGGCAGCTCTGGAAACCTCCGGTTGGCACTGTTGAATTAGGTATCATTGGGTGCAAGAACTTGTTGCCTATGAAAACCAAAGACGGTAAAGGTTGTACAGATGCTTATAGTGTAGCCAAGTACGGTCCAAAATGGGTACGTACAAGGACCGTATGCGATAGTTTGGATCCTAAATGGAATGAGCAATACACTTGGAAAGTATTTGACCCTTCAACGGTGTTGTCCATTGGAGTCTTTGATAGCAGGGAAGTATTCGAACGCGACGGCGATAAAACAGCCTCGCCTCCTGATTACCGTATTGGTAAAATACGGATACGTATATCTACGTTGGAGACGGGTAAGGTGTACAGAAACTCATATCCGTTGATTTTGTTGACAAACAACGGAGTGAAGAAAATGGGAGAAATCGAAGTGGCAGTAAGGTTTATACGTACAACACCGACGTTGGATTTCTTACACGTGTACTCCCAGCCTTTGTTGCCGTTGATGCATCATATAAAGCCACTAGGAGTGGTTCAGCAAGATATGCTGAGGAGTGCAGCTGTCAGGATTATAGCAACCCACTTGTCAAGATCAGAGCCGCCCCTTCGACGTGAGATCGTGCTTTACATGCTTGATGCAGACTCGCACGCTTTTAGCATGCGAAAAGTGCGTGCCAACTGGTTTAGGATCATCAACGTGATCGCAGGGGTTTTAGATATTGTACGGTGGATAGACGATACACGTGTATGGAGGAATCCAACAGCTACTCTACTCGTGCATGCATTGCTAGTGATGCTTGTGTGGTTCCCTGATTTGATTGTCCCCACATTGGCATTTTACGTGTTTGTGATTGGTGCTTGGAATTACAGGTTTAGAACACGGGACCCTCTGCCGGACTTTGATCCTAAGATCTCATTGGCTGATACCGTTGATAGAGAGGAACTTGATGAGGAGTTTGATACATTGCCAAGTACGAGATCACCGGATACAATACGAGCGAGGTACGATAAGTTACGTACACTCGGGATACGTGTACAAAAAGTATTAGGGGATTTCGCGACACAAGGAGAAAGAGTGCAAGCATTAGTGACGTGGAGAGATCCAAGAGCGACAGGTATTTTTGTAGGGCTGTGTTTTGTGGTAGCAGTGATATTATACTTGGTACCATCCAAAATGGTGGCCATGGCATTTGGATTCTACTATTTCCGGCATCCGATATTCCGTGATCGAATGCCGTCGCCGGCGTTAAACTTCTTCAGGAGGCTTCCGTCGTTGTCTGATCGAATAATGTAGGGTTGGTATTAGGATAAAAGCACTGGATTAGATCCTTGTTAGCTGGCCAGCCCTCTGCCTTCAATGAATGTAGACTGGATGATTTAGCTTTATTGCACTATATAGCTGTGTTTCAGAAACCCATCTTAAAAATATAGATATTAAAAGAATAATATGGAGTTGCTAAAAGGCTATATATACATATTTGCATTCACATTAGTGCAACAAAAGATTTTTTTTTTTTTTTAATTAAGATAATTAAAAATCACAACTAAACTCTTAATCAAAATTGCAAGAGTATGAGTTGTATAGTCATATGGTATTTACCTTTGTGCGTAATACAACATCTCTCCTTGTAGAAAATGGCTTGAGGAAAGCATGTATGGATTAAGATTTTTTTTATCAGCAAAAATATTAAATTTTATTAACTTATAAAAATTTATTTTATTCAAGTATTAATTCGAGTCAATAGGCTCCACAGACATCTAACCTAATTCGGATATTGAAGATTAAGATTATTTAATTAAATTGAAGAATACATTGTCTTATTGTTTAATGAATGAAATAGAGGTAATGAAGAATACTTTTAGACTCATCTAGAATATTTAATTAATCCTACGCAATGGACGTTAACTTTGTTCTTGATCATAAGGAACATCTCCCCTATTTAGAAGTAGTAGCTGTCGGTTTAATGAAAACACACGAGTACAATAATTCCAAGGGGAAAAACCGCCAGAATTATATTTTTAATCAAACAAACAACACAATAATTAAATTTTTATAAAAAAATTATACAGCATAATATAAATATAATTTATATTCATACTTATTTTTATAAAATTACTATTTCAGAGATATTTTGAAAAATAAAAGTAAATAAATTTTTAATTATAAATTTATTTCACACATGATAATATGAAATTTAATTGAATTATATATTTTAAATTAATTATACCAAATATGAAAAGACATTCACAAATTTTAAATTCATTTATATCGATCGGATCACTAGTGGAGAATAGAAAATTTTGAAAATTTTTTCAAAAGGGACAAAAATGAAAATAATTGATTGGAGCTAAATATGGCATAGTTAACGGGTCAACCCATTAAGACACAGCAATACAACTTATTCTATACTCCAACTTGTTTCTTCCTCTTTCCACTTTCTATTATTTATAGGAAAAATTTATTCATGTTCGGATTATAAGCTCACGTATACACTAAACTAATCAAGAATATTATTTAGTAATTTATTGTATCCGTTTTGTTTTAAATAGTTTTTTTTATTAAATTTATAAAAGCAAATAAATTAAATAATGTGAGAATAGCCGCCTCCATGCCATTGTGTCCATCTTAATAATTAATGTGAAAAATTAATTAATTACAAATATGTCCATCTTAAAATAGAAAAATTCGCTAATTTCTATAAAATTAATATTTCAATTTACGGAAAAAAATTTATTTATAAAAAGAGATAATCACAAATAAAAAATAAAAGAAATATTAAAAATAAAAGGAAGATAATATTTCAATTGACAATGCAGGCGGGACATATAAAAAAATTTTTAAATTCAATGATCGTTCAGAGCTGAATTAGGCGACCGCCTATAAAGAAATTGAAAAAATAACTTAGTCAATGAAAAAGAAAAACAAAAAAAAAAAAAAAAAAATTCAATTGACCGAATGCAGGCGGGACATATAAAAAATTTTTAAAAAATTCAAATGATCGTTCACGAGGCTGAATTAGGGCGACCGCCTACTAAAGAAATTGAAAAATAACTTAGTCCAATGAAAAAGAAAAAAACCAAATAAAAAAAAAAAAAGAATCGCACAATTAAAGTCGTATTTTATAATATTTTTTTTCTCTATCTTTATAATATTATATTAATTTGCATGATTTCGGTTTGAGATTTTCAAAAAAAAAAAAAAAAAAAAAAAAAAAAAAGAAATCGCAAAATAAAGTCGTATTTATATTTTTTTTTTCTCTATCTTATAATATTATATTAATTTGCAATATTCGTTGAGATTTTCTTGCTTCTTTATATGTTAAACCATATTTTGTTGGGTAGTGGTTTGGAAGGAAGAATGTCACAGCTCTCACACGTCCATTATTTTGCTTTCTTTTTCCTCCTTAGAATTATTAAAGCATCCGGGAAAATTTATCTAGACTAGAACCGTGTCCATTTATAAATTAATCTGTTGAAATTGAAGATTTTTATTGAAATAAAGATATTTTTGGCTATACTAAATTTTATAATTTTTTTGAAAATTATGGTTTGGAAAAAAAAATTAAATTATAATTTATTAAAATGAAACCACATTTCCTATTTAATAAGATAATTACATGATATCTAAACTATTTTTTTCTTTTAGTTTAGATTAGTTCAAATGAACAAGTTTTTGAATTATTGATTAGAAAAAAAAGCCAAAAAGTTCCATAATTTTGCTTCATTTACATTATTATTTGTATGATGAATAGTTGATCGCCACTTCATTTGACCACAGCTGTTGTGTTGTGTCCTGTATCTCTTGTTGCATCCATTACCATGGGTTCAACATTTGAAAAATAATATTCCAATCTTTCAAACTTTTCTTTAAAACATAAAAAAAAAAAAAAAAAAATCATTTGATTAACCTTTCATAACCAATAAACAATTGAACAAGTGAAAATAAATTCTGTTTTCAAATCAATTTTACTAATAAAATCAAAAAATTGAAAAAATAATTATTGAAATTAAAAGTTTTGTAGAATTTTTTGATTTATTTGGAGGTTTAATGAACTTAAAAAATAAAAAATAAACTAAAGAATGAATAACTTTAATCTACAAAGTAAAGTCACCTCAAAATTAAAGGGCAAACTTCCTATAAATACCACCTCTATCCTACAGACTCTCACGCCTTTCTCCTAAACCTCTCTCCCTCAAGTGGTGGGTAAGTTTGTCAAGCAGTGGCTATTGCGTATTGGGTTTCTTTTAATTTCTTACTGCAAATTCTCAGTTCTTCTTCCCCATTCCGTTTTTTCTGTTTTTTCTGTAAGTTTTTCAATGCTCTGTTTCTTTAGAAAATAGAAGTGGAAAAGAAATGATGCCATAGTTCTAATTTTTCTTGAGAATATGAAATAATTTGATATTACGATTATATTTTTTGCATTTCTACCTGTACATGTGTCTCTCTTCAGGCTAAACTGAGCTGCAGTTGTTCTTTCTCTAATGCAGCTCTGTTTTAAAACTGTTCTCTGTGTATTTGAAAACATGAATGTTGTACATTATTCTTTAATTTTCTTTTTCCTATTTACCTTGAAACGAATTTTCTAATTCAGCATTATACTTCTTGTTCTAGAATTACAAAAAACAAAAAGAAAAAGGAAAAGGAAAATGAAAATGGGTAGAATTCCCATCTTCTTGATGGGGCTTGCTCTGTTCTTGGGAGCCATGGCAGAAGCAGAGTACGTGAAATATAAAGATCCAAAACAGCCCTTAAATGTTCGTATAAAGGACTTAATGAAGAGGATGACACTGGAGGAAAAGATTGGCCAAATGACTCAGATTGAACGTAGCGTTGCATCAACTGAGGTCATGGAGAAGTACCACATTGGTAAGAATCATTTATCATTTCCTTTTCATTTTTTTCAAAATAAAAAACAGAGAAACAGAGATAAAGGCTCTTCCCTTTTTTTTTTTTACCATGAAAATTTGCAGGGAGTGTATTGAGCGGAGGAGGTAGTGTTCCAGTTAAACAAGCTTCTGCTGAAACTTGGATTAAAATGGTAAATGAGTTTCAAAAGGGTTCTTTATCGACTAGACTTGGAATTCCTATGATTTATGGGATTGATGCTGTTCATGGCCACAACAATGTCTATAAAGCAACAATTTTTCCTCACAATATTGGTCTTGGAGCTACCAGGCAAGTAAATCATCTTCTAAATAAATCATATTTGAAATTGGGATATAAACTTAGACCAAATTTTCATGCAAAACAAATAGGAAAGTAGGGTTGTCATATTTCTAAGATAAAAACTATACTACATATTGGTGTCTCCCTTCTGTTTCTTATTGTCGGCTTCTGTCTCCTTTTTGTTTTTGATTGTTGGCTTCTATTTTGTCTTTGTTTTATGGTTGGTTCAAAGGTTTTAACAAGCTCATAATATAATGTACATCAATGTGAAACCCCCAGATTATGTACAAAGACCTGCCATGGACAATTTTAAATATTGATGCTGTTCATGGCCACAACAATGTCTATAAAGCAACAATTTTTCCTCACAATATTGGTCTTGGAGCTACCAGGCAAGTAAATCATCTTCTAAATAAATCATATTTGAAATTGGGATATAAACTTAGACCAAATTTTCATGCAAAACAAATAGGAAAGTAGGGTTGTCATATTTCTAAGATAAAAACTATACTACATATTGGTGTCTCCCTTCTGTTTCTTATTGTCGGCTTCTGTCTCCTTTTTGTTTTTGATTGTTGGCTTCTATTTTGTCTTTGTTTTATGGTTGGTTCAAAGGTTTTAACAAGCTCATAATATAATGTACATCAATGTGAAACCCCCAGATTATGTACAAAGACCTGCCATGGACAATTTTAAATCTAATGAAAATATCAAAGATTAGATTTATTGCAAAAAAAAAAAGATTTGATTTTTTTTCTCTTTTTCATTACTTTTCATTTTTTAAACTATTATAATTTTCAGATATTCTTGATGAAAATTTCTTTCCTATTAACTAGGGACCCTGAACTTGTCAAGAGAATTGGGGCAGCAACTGCACTTGAAGTCAGGGCAACAGGCATTCCTTATGTCTTTGCACCTTGTATCGCGGTAACTCTCCAATCCAACAACAATAATTATTTATTTCATTATAAAATTCTGATCCCAAAAAGTTTACAGGTATGCAGAGATCCAAGATGGGGTAGATGCTACGAAAGCTATAGTGAAGATCCAAAGGTTGTTCAATCAATGACTGAAATAATACCAGGATTACAAGGAGACATTCCTTCTGGCTCTCCTAAGGGTGTTCCTTTTGTTGCTGACAAGTAAGATTTTTCTCTCTTGAGGATTCTATAGAGTTCATCAATATCATTAACTTCTTGTCTTCAGTAGATATGAGTTCTACAATGTGATTTTTGAAAGTTGTGGTACCTATTTTCGTTTTATATTTTTTTGGACCTTTCGTTTTTTATTATGTGTTACAATCAATCATTTGCTATACAAAAAAATACCCATTTCCTTAAGTTAGCTTAGCTGTTAATCAATCGTGTTCTCAAATTTGCTTTTGACAGAACAAAAGTTGCTGCTTGTGCCAAGCACTATGTTGGTGATGGAGGAACAACAAATGGGATTAATGAGGATAATACGGTCACAAGCAGACATGGTTTGCTCAGCATTCACATGCCAGGCTACTACAACTCGATCATTAAGGGAGTGTCAACTGTCATGGTTTCCTACTCTAGCTGGAATGGAATTAAGATGCATACTAATGGCGAATTAATCACTGGCTTTCTCAAGAAAACTCTTCGATTCAGGGTAGGACAATTTCTTTAAAATTTTTGAGTTAGGATTGTATTCATCTTTTGAGTTCAATTGCAAAATTTTACTGGTTGTTGCAGGGTTTTGTAATCTCAGATTGGCAAGGTATTGACAGGATTACCTCTCCACCTCACGCTAACTATACGTATTCCATCCAAGCAGGAATTAGTGCTGGAATTGACATGGCAAGTCGTTAGTGTGAAAGCTAGCATTTTTCTTTATCAGGTTATCGCCATTTTATTCTATCTATTAATACTTGTCGTAGCAATTCTACAGATCATGGTTCCGTTCAACTACACAGAATTTATCGACGGTCTGACGGACCAAGTGAAGAAAAACATCATTCCTATGAGCCGAATTGATGATGCAGTAAAGAGAATTTTGCGAGTGAAGTTCACGATGGGATTATTTGAGAACCCATATGCTGATGAGAGCTTGGTGAACCAGCTTGGAAGTCAAGTTAGTTACAGGTTATTGATTTTCAAAATCCAATAATAATACTAATTACAGGTTATTAATTTAGCAATCCTGACAACAAAAACAGGAACATAGAGAACTGGCAAGGGAAGCTGTTAGGAAATCACTTGTTCTGCTAAAGAATGGTAAAAATGCTAATGAACCATTGTTACCCCTTCCTAAGAAGAGCTCGAAAATACTTGTCGCTGGCAGCCATGCAGACAATCTTGGTTATCAGTGTGGTGGTTGGACAATTGAGTGGCAAGGCCTTAGTGGCAACAACCACACAAGTGGTAATTTTCTCAACTCATCCCCATGTAGTTTTTATTTTTTTTTTATTTATTTTTTATTTTTTTTGGGTTAATTTGGCTTCAGTTGTGTAGAACTCAGAAACCTCCCAATCCTGGAGACAACCAGAAAATTTATTTAATGGTTTGAACAAACAAAGCTAAAACATGAAACTTTACCTGACAATATTATTTCATACAGGTACTACAATCCTTACAGCTATCAAAAATACTGTTGATCCAAGCACAAAAATTGTCTACAATGAAAATCCTGACGCAGACTTTGTCAAATCCAACAAATTCTCCTACGCTATTGTTGTAGTAGGAGAACACCCATATGCAGAAACACAAGGTGATAGCATGAATCTGACATTATCTAATCCTGGTCCGAGTACTATCCAGAATGTTTGTGGAGCTGTCAAATGTGTTGTAATCGTGGTCTCTGGTCGCCCTGTCGTAATGCAGCCATATGTGAACTCGATAGAAGCTCTGGTCGCTGCTTGGCTTCCTGGAACTGAAGGCCAGGGTGTTGCTGATGTTTTATTTGGTGACTATGGTTTCACAGGCAAGCTTTCGCGTACATGGTTCAAGAGCGTTGATCAGTTGCCTATGAATGTTGGAGATAGAAATTATGATCCGCTCTTCCCATTTGGATTCGGCCTCACTACTGAACCCGTCAACGCTTAGATGTCTATTTTGTAGCAAAAATAAATAATTATTTTTATCTTAAAGAATTATTAAAGAAATAACCTTTTTTTTTTAATTTTGAGAACAATCTAATCTCTCTCTTTTTTTCCACCAAAAGAGATAATTAAGAAATAATCTAATTAGAAAATTAGGATGATGCCATTAAAGAAATAGTCCAGCTAGCAGTCAATTAAGAAATCATAATATATAGAAATATACAACTTAATGTCTCTAATCTAGAGCCAAAAAACATTTATTCAATACGTCAAGTTGTTCTTTTTCTCCTTTTCTATTCCTCTCCATTTTGTCCTAATCCAGCAATTTGCCAAACAATATTACATGGAGAATTGAAATCTAAATAAAAAAATAAAAAAAAATGGTTGGTAATTTATTTTTACCAAACGCGTTAGAAATATCACGTGCATTAAATGCAACTATAATGTATACATATGGACTTAAAATATTCAGGATATATTTGGTAATCAATAATGAAATACCTTTGCAGATTGGGAAAAAACTATCTATACAGAGCCCACTTATACTAATTACAACTAATATTTTGATTCGAATAAAGATATTTCTCATTAGAAATGAAAAAAAAAAAAAGGAGAAGATTAATATTTTTTTTTTAAATTTTGATTGGCTTGGGACTATTTATATATCTAATTGTAGGTAAGAAATTTCCTTCGACGCAACGTGTCAACGCTTTTAAGAGAATTTTATTTAAATATCACCTCAATCCTAATGATGTGGAGACATGTGTATAAATAAAAATAAAATAAAATCAATCACCAAATATTTTGTAGGTTGTGCTCTTTCCAAAAAAACTACAAATAAAGGAAATTATTTGTTTAGATACGGTCCATAATTATAAATAAAAACTATAAACTATAAATCTTATTTTCATTGGTTAGGTCAATTAGTGGAGTCATGGAGCTGTTCTAAGTAAAATTTTTCCACAAATAAATAAGTGAATAAATAGAATAATGTCAAGTGGATAAATAGATAAATAAATAAAACAATCACAAAACTCGCTTGAAGCTGAAGGTATCCTTTAAACTTTCAAGCCTCTCTATCCGGCTATATATCTATCTCTTGGTTGGTGAGTGAGCCCAACAGTGGCTAGTGTCTATTATTTCTTATTTCAAATTCTCAGTTCTTCTTCTTCATTCCCTTGTTCCTGTTATTTTCTCTAAGTTATTTCAATGCTCTGTTTCGTGATACAACAAAATATGATTTTCCAGTTATGGTGATATGTATGTTACATTTTGTATATGTATTTGTCTCTCTTTATGGGCTAATGAACTTAGCTGCATTTTCTTTTAGGGTGAATTATTATTCGTACGTAGTATCTATTGTTTTTCTAATGTTGCTCTCTTTCGATTTTTTTTTTAGGAGATATAAATGCTTTTTGTACTTTTCTTAAATTTTCCTTTCCCTATTTTACCTTGGAACACGTTTCCTCTTTCTAATTCAACACTATTTCTTGCTCTAGAATTAAACAAAAGAAAAGAGAAAAAAGAAAATGGGTAGAATTCTCATCTTCTTGATGGGGCTTGCTCTGTTATGGGGAGCCATTGCAGAAGCAGAGTACATGAAATATAAAGATCCAAAACAGCCCTTAAACGTTCGAATAAAGGACTTAATGAAAAGGATGACATTGGAGGAAAAAATTGGCCAAATGACTCAGATTGAACGCAGCAATGCATCAGCTGAAGTCATGAAGAAGTACTACATTGGTAAGAATCATTAGTCATCTTTTCTTTTTTTTTTTTTTTTTTTTTTTTTAGGCAATGCATCAGCTGAAGTCATGAACGAAAGTACTACATTGGTAACGAATCATTAGTCACTCTTTTTCTTTTTTTTTTTTTTTTTTTTTTTTTTTTTTTTTTTTAAAGTAAAGAACATAGGAACAGAGATAAAGACTTTCTTATTTTTTTTATTGTTTTTTTGCCCCTTGAAATTTGCAGGGAGTGTATTGAGTGGAGGAGGGAGTGTTCCAGTTAAACAAGCTTCTGCAGAAACTTGGATTAAAATGGTGAATGAATTTCAAAAGGGTTCTTTATCTACTAGACTTGGAATTCCTATGATTTATGGGATTGATGCTGTTCATGGCCACAACAATGTCCATAATGCGACAATTTTTCCCCACAATATTGGCCTTGGAGCCACCAGGCAAGTAAATATCCTTCCAGCAATTAGCCCAATAGTAGGTATATTATCTGATATAGGCCAAAGTTCCTCAATAGTCAAAATGTATATATATTGAAAATAAAGATGTACTAGTTATTATTAGCATCAGACAGAATCTGTAGCTCTAGCTAACACATGCGCCACATAATTCGCTAATCTTTTCACAAAGAAGAGAGTGTTAAATCTATACTTCATATATTTTGATAAGTTTCATAAATTTCAAAATCCTTAATCCAGGAGGGGAGATAGTGTATTCATACTCATACACTCAGCTAATATAGCCATTTTAGAGGATATTAGTATTCCTGATGAAATTTCATTGTCATTAACTAGGGATCCTCAACTTGTTAAGAGAATTGGGGCAGCAACTGCACTGGAAGTTAGGGCAACAGGCATCCCTTATGTTTTTGCACCTTGTATTGCGGTGACTGTCTAATCCAACAATTAATTTCCAGAAGCCAAATATATTGTCTACAATCCAACAATAATTTCCAGACAGCCAAACTATATAATATATATATATTATATATCATAGTAGTATACTATAAGTACCTCATTAAGTGTTGCTCGATTCCTTGTGTGGATGTACAGTATATATATCATTAAATTCTCATTCCTTTTGAATTTACAGGTTTGTAGAGATCCAAGATGGGGTAGATGCTTTGAAAGCTACAGTGAAGATCCAAAGATTGTTCAAGCAATGACTGAAATAGTACCTGGATTGCAAGGAGACATTCCTTCTGGCTCTCGAAAGGGTGTTCCTTTTGTGGCTGGCAAGTAAGATTTTCTCGTGCAGTGTCAATATTACTAATACGCATAAAGATTGCTAATTTCATTCATTATATATCAGTAACACCCATTTCCTTTGCTGTGAATTGATCATGTCCTTAAATTTGCATTTGACAGAACAAAAGTTGCAGCTTGCGCCAAGCACTATGTTGGCGATGGAGGAACAAAAGATGGGCTTAATGCGAACAATACAGTGGTAAGCAGGCATGGGTTGCTCAGCATCCACATGCCAGGTTACTACAGCTCAATCATCAAGGGGGTGTCAACTATCATGGTTTCCCAGTCCACCTTGAACGGAATTAAGATGCATGCTAATCGCAACTGGATCATCGGTTATCTCAAGAACACGATAAGATTTAGGGTAGAACAATTTTTTAAAAATTTTGAGTTAGCATTTGTTATCCCTATCAGAAAGAAGAATCTAATATTTTGCACGCAAAATTGTGTTGGTTGTTGCAGGGTTTTGTAATCTCAGATTGGCAAGGTATTGACTGGATCACCACTCCACTTCATGCTAACTACACATATTCCATCCAAACAGGAATTAGTGCTGGAATTGACATGGCAAGTCAATAGTGTGTGAAACATTTTGCTTTATCAGGTTGTCATCATTTTATTCTATCTTCTAATACTTGCTATAGCAATTTTACAGATCATGGTTCCATACAACTATACAGAATTTATCGACGGTCTGACAGACCAAGTGAAGAAAAACATCATTCCTATAAGCCGAATTGATGATGCAGTAAAGAGAATTTTGCGAGTGAAATTCGTGATGGGTTTATTTGAGAACCCATATGCTGATGAGAGATGCAGTAACAAGAACTTTTGGCGAGTGAGAAATTCGTGGATGGGTTTTATTTCTGAGAACCCATATGCTGAATGAAGAGCTTGGTGCACAGAATTAGTGCTGGAATTGACATGGCAAGTCAATAGTGTGTGAAACATTTTGCTTTATCAGGTTGTCATCATTTTATTCTATCTTCTAATACTTGCTATAGCAATTTTACAGATCATGGTTCCATACAACTATACAGAATTTATCGACGGTCTGACAGACCAAGTGAAGAAAAACATCATTCCTATAAGCCGAATTGATGATGCAGTAAAGAGAATTTTGCGAGTGAAATTCGTGATGGGTTTATTTGAGAACCCATATGCTGATGAGAGCTTGGTGCACCAGCTTGGAAGTGAGGTTAGCCACAGGTTATTCCTTTTAAAAATCCAATATAGAAGTAATCGGAGGATAAAAATATACTTGATTTAGGAAACCTGATAATGAAAACAGGAACATAGAGAACTGGCAAGGGAAGCTGTGAGGAAATCTCTTGTTCTGCTAAAGAATGGTAAATATGCTGGTAAGCCATTGCTGCCCCTTCCCAATAAAACATCGAAAATACTTGTTGCTGGCAGCCACGCAGACAATCTCGGTTATCAGTGTGGTGGATGGACAATTGAGTGGCAAGGACTCAGTGGCAACAATCTCACAACTGGTATATTTCCAACTCATTTATATTTTAAATCAAATAAAATATGATAACCTGAAAGAAAAACAACAGAGTTCCTTCAGGTCCTGAATGAATGAAAAAGCTAAAACATCAGGCCTTACCAGACTATTATTTTGAATAGGTACCACAATCCTTACAGCCATTAAAAAAGCTGTTGATCCAAGCACAAAAGTTGTCTACAGTGAAAATCCTGATGCGGACTTTGTCAAGTCCAACAAGTTCTCCTATGCTATTGTTGTAGTAGGAGAACACCCATATGCAGAAACACAAGGTGACAGCAGGAACCTGACAATTCCTTATCCTGGCCCAAATACCATCAAGAATGTCTGTGAAGCTGTCAAATGTGTTGTTATCCTTGTATCGGGCCGTCCTGTTGTAATGCAGCCATATATGAACTTGATAGATGCTCTTGTTGCTGCATGGCTTCCTGGAACTGAAGGCCAAGGTGTTGCTGATGTTTTATTTGGTGACTATGGTTTCACCGGAAAGCTTTCATTTACATGGTTCAAGACTGTTGATCAGCTGCCTATGATTGTTGGAGATCAACATTACGACCCCCTCTTCCCATTTGGATTTGGCCTCACTACTGAACCTGCCAAGGGTTAGATGTCCATTTTGTGAATCTGTAATTTATAACAGATTATTAGCTCAAATAAATTTGCTTCGGCTTAGAAATTAAACCTAACTATTATAGTTTCACTGGCTTTATAATTTGCTCTAGTTCAAATAAAAGAAAAACTACCATTGACAAACTAACCTGAGCATATTAACATGGTAGATCACAACAAACATTATTGTTGGAAATGATGAAAGATAGCAATTTTTACATGTCAAAAATAAAACTTCATCTGTTAAATATTAAAACCTAGTTAGGTTCCTTAAAAACATATATCTTTAGATCCTTCTTTGGCAGTGGAAACTTTTCAGATCTTTTCTGATACAGCGCACTAACTTTTAGATCTAGCAGTTAAGAATTTAAACCCTCAATAATGTTTTTGATAAAAAAAAAAAAAAAAAAAATCAATCAGTCAGTTTATAGTAAAGATTTGTTTTTCCCCTTGAAAGCTCCTACAAATTGCGTATCAAACCAACAAATGTGCACTCACAATAACTAGAGAGAAATTTTGTTGTGTATTATATTTGATATCAATAAAGAAGAGCAGCAGAAGACAATTTACCAGTGATTTTGCCCAACACTAGTCTCTCACACCTGCTCTGCCTGACAGTAAATGTTTTCATGAGTACTGAAATGATTGTCCAAATAGTTTGCTGGTATAAGGAAATACACTTACTTTCTTCATTAGGTAATGATTGCCAGAACCACCAACTTCATACACTTCAACCCTCATGACAAGACAGCATTGCTAATGTGATGGCTTGACTTGACAGAACCTGAAACGCCACACAAGTTTTAAAGCAGAAGTATTCCAAATTGGAGAGGGAAAATAATCGAGGATTATGAGTTTGGAATAAACTAATTTGATTGTTCAGATGCACGATCAATAATTCCATACAATACAAAACAAAAATAGTGTAGACATGTGAGTTATAATGACAGAAAATAGATAAATACACTCCTTGAAATGGCTTGGAGTATAAAACGTGAAATGAAGGGCCAAGAAAGCATTTGTTTTTTATTAATCACAAGAGTATTTCACATTTTATTCACATTAAACTACAGATATGAAAACACCTTCTATAACACTAGCAAGGTGGTCACGCTCTCTTAAAACTTTAATCCATGGAAACACTATATGCAACAGGTGAAGGCCGCACCATTTTGCATATGGAGCTACTTCACAGCGGCCTCCTGTGCATCTTGATCCTTCTAGGGAACAACAGAGCTTGCATTCTCAATTTCTTTTATCTGCCTCAAAATGTCAGCTTTTTTCTCGAGAACTTCATCAATTTTTCCATTAATCTTCTCTAACTTCACTTTCAGCTTGTCGAGGTCCTTGCTTTTATCATTCTCACCCTTTTTCCTTTTCTTATCTTTGTCTTTCTTCTCTTTACCTTCCTTTGCCTTACCTTTCCCCTCTTTTTCCCCTCCTGAATCTACTACAATATCCTTGGATGCAACTTCAATCTTGGACTCATCAACTTCATCCTTTTTCTCTTCTTTCACCTTCTTTTCTTTCTTCTTCTTCTTCTCCTTCTTTTCTCCACCTTCATCTATTACTTCTCCTTCTACTCCATCCTCATGCTTCTTACCTTTCTTTTCTTTATCCTTCTTCTTTTTCTTCTTCTCTTCTTTCTCTTTAGCTTCCTCTTCTTCTTCCTCATCTACTACATCCTTGTTTTTCTCCTCAGTTTGCTGCTTCTCTTTTTTCTTTTTCTCTTCCCCTTTGTCTTCTTTCTTTTTCTCCTTTTCCCCTCCCAAGTCCATTACAATACCCCTAGATGCAACTTCAGTCTTTGGCTCATCAACTTCATCCTTAGGTTCCTTCTCCTTTTTCTCTTCTTTGTCCTTCTTTTCTTTCTTTTTCTTCTTCGTTTCTCCTCCTTCATCTGTAACTTCCCCATCTACTCCATCCTCATGCTTCTTATCTTTCTTTTCTTTATCCTTCTTCTTTTTCTTCTTCTCTTCTTTACCTTTACCTTCATCATCTTCTTCCTCATCTACTTCATCCTTGTTTTTCTTCTCTTCCTCAGATTCTTCACCTACCTTCTCTTCATCTTTGACCTTCTTATCTTTCACTTTCTTTTCCTTTTTGTCTTTTTTCTTCTCTTCATCTTTTTCCTTAACATCCTTTCCATGCTTCTTATCTTCTCCTTCCTTAGTACTCAAACTTTTATCCTTGACTTCACCAGTCCCTTTCTCTTCCTTCACTGAATCTTTCTCCCTCACCTCCTCATCATGTTCCTTTTTATTCTTTCTTTTTTTCTCATCTTTTTCACTGTCTTTCTTATCTTCCTTTTTCTTAGTCCCTTCGTTTTCATGGTGTAACTCTGACCCTTCAGCTAAACTATCCTCACCCTCCTTTTCTTTCTTCTTCTTCTTCTTCTTTTCCTTGTCTTTCTCTTTCTTCTTGTCATCCTCATCTTCATCCTTCTTATTCTTCTTCTTCTTTTTATCTCCGTCGTCCTTGTCATCACTCTGCTTTGGCTTTTCCTTCTCTATCGACTTGGTCTTCAACTCAAGTTCCACCTCAGCTTTCTCATTATTCAGCTCTTTATCTTTACTCTTGACTTTGATATGTATTTCCTCCTTTTTAACCTTCTCTTCTACTTCGACAGCAGACGCAGCAGATTCAGATTTGTCTTCCATCTTGAGATTTTTGTCAAATGATTTAACTTCAAATGTAAAGCACTTATTGTTTAAGCACAGATTTCCTGGAGGGAAAAACAAAAAAACAAAAAAAAAAACACCAACCATTTTGAGGATGTAAGACATCAATTCCAACAAATAACCAACATGAGAACTGAAATTAATATTCAGACCAAAATAAGACTGATAATTGATTAAGCGAGCCGTCAAACATAACCAGTATTATCAGGAATAACTTATGCCACACACAAACAATAAGATTGCCTATTGAGAAAGGAGGATGAAAATTTCCCAGAAAAGCAATGAAAAAATCCCACCTTCATCAAGATGGATTTGCACATTATTACTGTTCTTTCCACAGTCACAGCTAAAAGGAAATGCCATAAACCAACAACCAAACAAAGAAAAACCATCCAAAAATGCCCTCTTTTTCTGGATTTCACACCTATTATAATTTTCCCTGCCAATCAATTACCTGAGAAAGAAAATAACTCCATATAGACAGTTCCCCTCTAAAACACTCTTTGTAAATCAGAAATAATTTATCAAACCTTCAAAAACAGATATAATTCCACTTCTATGATAGGAAATCCCTAAGGGCTGAGACAAAGATAGATTATTTAAATAAAACAATAATAATAATAATTTAGAAGAAGTTTCTAGCTAACCTGAAATGCATAACAAAAGATCAAAATCTAGGAAAACTCAGAAAGAACCATAACAATAAAAAAACGTGAAAAGAATTTGTACCTTAACTTTCCTCTTTTCTAGAAAAGAGAAGAATTCTTCTGTTACCAACTAACAAAGGAAATGATCTCGAGAGTCTTCAAGCAACCGCCTCTGTCACTGTGTACTTATACAGACCAAAAAGCTTGTCTTTTTCTCATCTCCAATTTTTTTCCTCTGCACCCTTTATTGCGGGTAATAACAGTTGAATCGTAGATGAAGAACATTAACGCGGTCCTGTACAGTTCTACACCGTAAGCAGAGCATACGTGTACAACTGGGTTAGTTAAACACGTGGATTTCTGCTATCCATCCCAAAGTATGAAAAGTAAAATTAAAGAATCAAATACATTGAATTAATTTAATTTTTATTGACATATATTTATATTAAACTTTAAATTCATAAAATTATTTTATTAAATTTATTAAATAGCTAAAAAATAAAAAATTATTAATATAAATTTATGCTTATTACACGTCAAATTATATTATATATATATAAATTAAAATCAACAACAAAAAAATATTAAAATTAATAATATTATCAAAATTCATATTTCATAGGCATACTAAATATTTTTTAAAAAATATTTTTTAAAGAATTTTAAAAAATTAAAAAAATGAAATTCAAGATAAATTTATATACTTCCATGTAAGAAATGTTGGAAATTAAATATGTACAAAGTCTCGCATTATTATATAATAATATTCCTCCTTAGTCCTTAAGAAATAAAACCGGTCTACGCGTCAAAGAAGTCATATGTTCATTCTCTAGTCTATAGTCCATGCTAAATGCTGTACACGTAACTGTCATTGTTTTCAATCCTTAGTTGTAAATTGTAATAACCTCGTTGTCTGTTTTTAGATAGCTCCTGTACTTCAAATATTATGTTCTCACTTTGACGCATTTCATCCAACACTTGGCATGCACTTTGTCAACTTAAGTACTTATGATTCTATAAATTTTCATCAATTTTGTATAAATATGATATTATTTTAATATATTTTGTATAAATATGAATCTATCGTCTATGAATCATTCAAAGTTTGGTACTATAGTTATAGATTGTCGATTTATATTAAATCAATTAGTTAATATCCATCTGAATTCGATCTGAAGCTAACATATCTGCTCATTTTCTTATTTGAGAGACTGTTTTTTCAGCTCGTTTTTAAATTTAAAACATGTCTCTGGTCTCATTGTATTGAGGCTATTTTGCTTTCTGACTTGTTAAGCAAAGTTCCGATATTTAAAAAAAAAAAAATTATTTTGCATCCAATAAATTAGAAAATGAAGAATTTTGTTAAAGTATTGGCATAACTATTCAAAAAATCTGAAATTTCTTTCCAAAATTTTACAAATAATATATACACATGTGAAGGAATAGGTAGGGCCACCAGGTGGCTTGAGTGGGATGGAAAAGTTAGTTTAAATTGACAAATATCAATCAATTAACAAACATGCTATGGAAATAATCAAATAATTTCATTTTAATTTATTTGGTTTCCACAGAAAGTTCCAATCATAAATTCGGATGGATTTGGTGGAGGTGGGATCCACTCATCCAGCCATTATTCCATGTTGGGTTGGCAACGGTTTAATTCTTTAATTGAAATAATTGGACTGAAATTGAACTTCAATCGGAACGAAAAAAAAAAAAATCTAAACAAAAAAAATTGGCTTGAAAATTTTCATTTTTAAAATCGGGTTTGATTTAGGTTATAGTCCTTTCTTGTTTTAATCTGGAACCGAAATCGATTCAAAGCTATCCATGGAATTGAATGTTCCGAGCATTAAAATCAAATTGGTTCGAAATTGATTGAATCGGAATGGAAATCAAAATAATAAACCGGCCACCATTTTATAAATTAAAAAAGTAATGTGATCTATGTATATCCCTTTAGACAACTCATCATCAAACATGTCTATCCAGCTGACTTTAGCAACTCAAAATTCCTCATATGGTCCCACCCATTAATAATAATAATAATAATTGTTATATTATGTTACATTGTGTTAATGCAAACTAAAAAAAAAAAAACTCTTAATTACATTATATTAATTATGACTCAGTAATTAATATTTATATCAATAAATTCTAAGCAAGTGATACTTTAAAAATCTTAATTTTGGAAGTAATTTGAGAAAATAAAGAATTGTTCTAGTTACAAATAAGGATGTTCTAATAAATTATTATGAAATTCATGCAATTTGAAATAAATCATTACTTCATCTTAACTACTTTTTGGAAATTTATCGTAAAATATTTGAGATATAATTTGTTTAACTATTTAATCCTTAAATTAAATAGTGCTAATTTTATCATTAAACACCATAAATTATTTGATTATTTAGTTCTTTATATTTAATTTACTTCACATTTACTATAGAATTACTATTTAGCTCATCATCTATGAGTAAAAAAAGAGGGGATGAGTAAATAATTTAATAGGGCAAAACTTTTAAGGACTTTATGATAATGTTTGAAACAGTAAGGATTAAATAATAATTTGATCAAATCCCAAGGATTTTGTTGGAATTTGCCAGCAGTGTAACAATAATAATAACAATAAATAATTTAGAATTTCCACTGTCATTGTAAGTAACTAACCGTTGAATGGGACCCGCCAATAGCTTAACGGTTAAGATCTATTTAAATCATACACTGATTCGTAGATGATTTTATCTACCAAAAGGAAGCTGCTTGCCTGTCTTCGCGGTCTGTTTGTCACCACTTTCTCTTTCTTCCTCTGATTTCAACACGAAATACTGTCATCGATTTTCTCTTTCTACCAGCCCTAATTCAAAGTTCTCCTTTGTATATTTTTTACAAATTGGACCTGGTTTTTATCATAAACCTTCTAAAACAAAAAATTAATTATCTTCTAGACCTCTATATATCCTTTATTCTTTGGCATTTTATTTTTATTTATTTCTTCCACATTTGGGAAGCAAGGGAGGGTTCTCTGAGCTGCTTCTTCGACAATGAACGACCTTCTATCTGTAAATTTTTCTCCACTCTATTTAGTTTTGGTTTTTTTTTTTGTAAATTTTGTTTCTTTTTGATTTTTTTGTTTTATTGGGTTTGTCTTGATCCAAGTGTTATTTTCTCCCTTTGTTGTTGTTAAGGCTTATTTAAGTGGATCCATTACCTATGGAGTTCACTGAGGATTTGATTTTAGGATTTGTTAGTTAAAAAGTTTAGATTTCTCTGTTTGGTTGCTGATAAAGAGAGAAAAAGTTGAAGGAAATTCGGAATTCATTAGTCATGGAATTTACTGTTGCGTACGTTATGGGAAATAAAATATGAAGTTAAGCGTTCTAAAATAATTCGATTTTGGTGATGAAGACTGAATCTTTTGCTTGCATTAATTAATCTGATCTTTTGTAGGTTATGAAAATCTCGAGTCCATAAATTTACTGTTAATTTATTTAAATTCAAATCCTTTTTACACTAATCTGTAAATATTAGTTCCTGTATGCATTATAGTTCTTTCAGTTTCCCTATATATAGAGTAGTCAGTTCACTGTTTTTATTTCCATTTGTTGTCATTGCAGTGCTGCTTATTTTGCATCATCAGTGTATTTGCTGTGTTATATGACACAAAAAATGTCTAGTTTTGTTAATGGAGGTTGTGGATTTAAATTGCTAACGCACGTGTTTTAAACCAATGAGAAGCTCACATTTGAGGCTGTTACAATTTTCTTTTATTTATTATTAGCTACAAGGTTAATCTTTGCAGGAACTTGAGCATTGAGGATCCTTAGTTTTTAATTATTAAAGGGTTATAATGTGTTGCATATGATATTGATCATCGAGTAATCAGCTGGATTTACCTGCAATGACTTGCTTAATTTTGCAGGAGTCCTTTGAGATCCCTCGTGGTCAGGGATCTAGAGGTGGTGATGTTGAGATGGGAATGACTTCTAATGAATTGGGCTTGGAAAATTTCTTTAAAAAGGTGCTCACTGATCTTTATGGCTTTTGCTGTACTAAATATGTCCTGTCTCTGTTTTTCTGATATTATGATTAATCTACCCAAGGACATTGAATTTTATGTGTTATCATTCTCATCTTTTGTTGATTAGCATCTGCTATACATTGTCATTTCATTCTTCCACAGGTTCAAGAAATAGAAAAACAAAATGAGAAGCTGGACAAGCTACTTAAACGGCTCCAGGTATAAGCTCAGAAGGCTTTTTCAATATATAGTCTTCTTGACATAATCCTAGTTTAAAATTCGTTCTTTAGTAAAGATAAAAATAGTTGAAATTTGCAAACAATGCCTTTCATAACCAAAATATCAGCTCCAAGTGTGCATTTTATGATCAATCTCTTTCAAATTTTGATTGCAGGATGCACACGAAGAGTCGAAGGCTGTGACTAAAGCTCCCGCCATGAAAGGTTGTTTTTAGTAGCTTGCATTTCTTTGATATTTTTGCAACTGGATTTTTCTTTTGGAATCAACATGTGTCCCTCTCTATCTTTTATAATGTTCATTGTTACTTAATATTAATCTACATTCTTATCAGCCTCAAGACATTGATGATTGGTCTGGCTTTCTTCTGCAGGAATCAAGCAGCGAATGGAGAAAGATGTCGATGAAGTTGGAAAAATTGCTCGTTCTGTGAAGTCAAAAATTGAGGAACTTGACAGAGAGGTAAAATACTTGTTGCTTTTGACTCATTGTTTTGCATCCTTCCGATGGATAACAACACTTTTTTGTTGTACAGAATTTAGCAAATAGACAGAAACCAGGATGTGGAAAAGGAACAGGTGTAGACCGATCAAGAACCTCGACAACTATGTAACTTACATTCCAACTTTGCTTTTGAATAATTTCTGTTTTCCTTTCTTTATGAACTGTATTAATATTAAGGTATCCCTCCATGACCTTTTTTCCAAATACTTTTATTAATATAATTAATTATCACCAGTATGTTTCAAAAATTATGTAAGAAAAGCAAACATTTCTTAGTCCAAATTATTATTCTACTCTTTTTTTATGCTGACTTTTGATATTTATATTTCGATAAAAATCTGAAATATAATCATAAGTATTGCCACGCTGAATTTTTCCTAACTGTTTTTACTGACCACAGGAATTGAGGCATTGCCCTTTTTTGTGGTGCTTTGAAAAGTGTTTACATTCTGCTTGTTCTTTTACATGAGAAGTTTTTTATAAATGCATAACTGGTAGAAACCTAAAAGGAAAAACAAATTGTTGGTTCCATTTTGCTTTCTGAAGTTTGAATGCAGAAAGGGAGGGAAAGTAAAGATTACTCTATTGCAGTTCTACATGCAAAGACCTATTGAAGAATTTTCCAAGTAACCTTATCTGACTTCAATAATTTTCATCTAATGTGCAGGGCCTTGAAAAAGAAGTTGAAAGACAAGATGGCAGAATTTCAGGTAGGAATGTGGACACACACTCACCTACTGAACCACATATCTCACTGAGAGGGTCTTTTACTTCACCTAATTGTGGTCTCAATTTTTTGATTTTGTAAATTGTGTAGAATCTAAGGGAAAATATCCATCAAGAGTATCGGGAGGTTGTTGAAAGGCGTGTTTTTACAGGTTTGAATCTCACCTGTACCTTATCCATGAGTATTTCTACAAAATGATTCCCTGTGTAATCTATGATATGTTGTAACTTTATCTATTTATCTCCTTGATTTCAGTAACGGGAGCAAGAGCAGATGAAGAGGTGAATTCTTTTGTACAATATATTGCACAGTGAATTCATATTCATTTTTTTTTTTTTTAATGTACAAAGAGAATATCAGAATTGCTGAAATACTCACCTCCATTGACTGCCTGTGTCTGCACCTAGTTGGTGGCTGTGGCAAAATATTTCCGTGGACTTATACTGTTATTATTCAATAATGACAGACAATTGACAGATTGATTGAAACTGGAGACAGCGAACAAATTTTTCAGAAAGCAATTCAGGAGCAAGGGCGAGGCCAGGTTTGTTGCTCTTTTCTTCCTCCACTGAATTATTTCTTCTCCTGTCACTTTACCTTTTTGCAAAGGTTAGAAGGTGAAAAAAAAAAAAAATCTTGGCTTTCATAAAATTAGAAGTCTTAGCATTAGGAACTACCGGTATTGGCACCTGAAAAGACTCGTGATTCAGGCAATCCAATCTTCCGATTGTAAGTCGGAAGCCCCCAGAAATGGTGAACAATTTAGAGAGGATTTCATCTAACCCTATAGCCACTAGTGAGTTGGATGCTAAACTCACTAATTAAGATGATTAGTATTGGTCATTTTCCTTTCTCTCATTCTTTATTATACTTCTGTATTTTTTTTTCTTTTTTTTATTTCCTGGGAAAAATACATTTTTAGGATTGTTTGGTGTACTTTGCATGACTTGTCATTTATGTAAAGGTTTGATGGCTATAAAAACTCATGTCTAATTTCATCAATGTTCTCTGAGTTTGCAGATAATGGATACTCTTGCAGAAATTCAAGAGCGCCATGATGCTGTGCGAGATTTGGAGAGGAAACTTCTAGACTTACAACAGGTATTTCACAATTATAATTTTATTTGCCTTCTATGCAGTGAATTTTTTTTTTTTTTTAAGTCCAGCACTGCATGGAGTTTGATTTCAATATCAAACTATAAGATGCAACAGGCATGTTTTGAGGCATATAATGATTAATTTTGAGCTTGCAAGTTAGTATGCAGTGGTTGTATGTCAAGAGACATAAGAGTGGCTAGTGACTACTTGATGCATTTTCACTCTAGCAGGAAAGTTATCAACCGGTATATGTTGAAACTAAAGCTCATCTTCACATTTTGCATTATTGCTTACTATTCAAATGGGGGTTAATATTTAAATGCAAGCTATTAGTGTCGCATGGAGGCTGCCAATATGCCCATATAGAAGGCTTGTGAAGTTAATGAAAATATGGTCATAAAACCATCAAAATAATTTCCAATCCAACAGTAAGATTTGACAAATGCATAGTACATAAGCATGTAATTGGAGTTTATCCTGTAATTGTAGGAAGATATTTGTTGAAAGGGAGCTTTCGTGTGAAAAAAATATGTTCTGCGGGAAGTGTCGTTATGATGATGTACAGATACATGTGTACATGTTGAGAGAGAATATTTTGGATTCTATAATTTTATATTCATGTGCAGATTTTTCTGGATATGGCTGTTTTGGTGGATGCACAAGGAGAAATGCTTGATAACATTGAATCACAGGTCCCATTACTAATGCCGCACTGATTTGTTAAGTGATGATAGTACAAATTAATGCATTGGCTGAATCTAGAACTCTCTGATTGGATTATTTCTACCTTACTTCCTTTATCTCAGGTCTCAAGTGCTGTAGATCATGTGCAATCAGGGAATACTGCACTTCAAAGGGCGAAAAAGTTGCAAAGGAATTCAAGGAAATGGATGTGTATTGCCATCATTATCCTTCTCCTTATTGTTGTAATTATCGTTGTTGCGGTGATCAAGCCTTGGAATAGCAACAAGGGTGCTTAGCATTTATTTTCTGTTTGTATACTGTATAAATGAGTGATGCACCAGCTTTTGGATCCCTTTCGGCAATCTGTCTATCGTTTTGCAGTTCATTTACGATGTCTCAGCTTCTGTTCGTTGGATTCAATTAACAAATTTGGTTGGGTTTGTTCTACTTCTTACTATAGTGTCTATTTTCTTTTATTTTCATCGAATTAAAAACTGAAATTGTGAAGGGTTCATGTTATTTCTTTGCCAAGATCGTGGAGGGAAATTTGAAATTCTTGGGGATAAATATTGTAGAAGCCAGTTCTCATGGCATTTGGAACTAACGGAAATTGAACAACCAAAAATATTTTCATGGTCACAAAAAAGACTGAATAATATGAAAGGAGGATGTTATTTCTGGAATTTGACACTAGTTATATCAATGATAGCCTTCATTAATTTGCTTAGTTAATGCTTCTGAAAAAAGTTATTCGATACCGACCTAAGACCTTCAATCAAGGCGCATCTTGTTTCCGAGAATTCTCAGCAGCAGCACTTGGATTTGCAATATCAATATTATAACTGCTTGCATATGACATTATAATCATCCAATCAACAGTGAAAGGGTATTATAATAATTATATTAATGAAAAACTCTTCCATTAATTGATTTCCTCTCCAAATAACTTTACACTCTCAGTAGCAAATGCAGGTTTATGAAGAACAGAAACAAATCATCTCAAATGATCAAGCTCAACTGACTGCTAGCTGCATGATACAACATTTCCTGCATTCCCCCTTTTCCATGATAAAACATCTTCAATAATGTTACACCCGTTTCAGTTACAGGCTGCAATCAGCTGGTCCAAACCGCATCAATCATTTTCGCTGCTGTGCTGTTGAAAAAATCTGTTGTATGAAGGTATACTGATGTTTTTGTTTTTCTGTAACTTAAATGAGTCCTTGAATCTATTAGAAAGAAAAAATCTGGATTTATTTTCCTCAAAAAAATAAGTTGGAGCTGTTATGCAAAAAATTCTCTCCAAATGTCACCTCTTCTCAGACATCTCCCCGGAATTTTCCATTCTCAAAAATATTGCCAGTAAAGTGACTACCAATTTTCCATTATCATTCTCACATCCAACTCTAGTCATTAGGGTCCCATTCATCATCCTGATCCATAGGTAGAGTAAAACTACTCTTACCACCTCTGTCATCAGATTCTTGTTGAACCACATCATTCCCATAGTCAGAGTCATTATCACCATTTTTAACCTCTTCTGCGTCTGTTGAATCCAATGGAAAAGCTTCCTGTCCACGTTGTATCCATTCTGGGCATTCATCTTCACCTCCATATAGATATTGACCATCCTTACCTTTTAGCGGAGTCTGAAACTCAGTAGATGAAATTCTACAAGAGCATTCAGGGAGCGGATGTGATAGAAATGAATTTGGTTTTGACAAAAGAGATTGCCTAATCAGGCCATCTACACCCAAACTTTTGTTTAGATGTTCCCTCACTGAAAGTGTCCAATTATGTCTGGGATGATACATACTGTCACGGATAGTGTTGAAAAATTTTTCAACAACTTCCCTGTTAGAAGAACCAACAAGGCATCAGAAAGAATTACAAAGATATCATAATTACTAGGTTTAATAGCTAAAATAAATTGCTAAGCTTAACAATCACGTATTTAACTAAGAACTAAAAAAATGAAAAAATAAAAACTTGATATTAAGAGTACAAAGAGACTCCATTTGCAACATATGCAAACAGATAGCAGACATTAAGAAAATTGGAGTGCCATTGGTCAACCCATGGGAAATCAATTGGGCTGCTGAGAATTTATGTCCTTACATCCATCTTCCTTTCTCCCATCGAGTAGTTATGTGCTCTAAGTGACATTTTATAATTATATTATTAGAGACAGATTCCTAAACATACTACAGTTACTATGGTGATTCATCTATGTTACTATACTACAATGCAATTCCATATCCAACATCCTTCTAATAAAATTCAGAATTCGTGATAGCATTTTCATGCCCATTTTACCTGTCTGGTCGATATGTTCTAGAAGCAGCACTTTCATATAATCGCTGTCCCATGACCAGGCCTGAGAAATCTGGCCACCCACTTCCAGCGTCATTAAAACCAGGAAAGAATGCATCTGCTTCCACAGAGACGATGTAATCAAGAGCATCCCATAGTAACCTGTGTGCTTGCCTCCTAAAATCCATTGGTGAAGGGTCTGGTTCAGCATCAGTCTGAGTTATCCAACCGTACCAGCCTTCCTTTTCATGTCGATAGATGGGTCTATCTGGAGGTGGAGGAAGAGGCCGAGGCCGAGGACCTGCCCTCTTCCACTCTTCTTTAAGTTGTTTATCACTTTTGGGAGGAGGAATTTGAAAAGAATCTTCAGGAAGAAGTGCCTCAGGACCAAACAATTCAGCCAACTCATCCTTGCTGCATATTGATGTGCGATCTACAGCATTGGCAAACAAGGCACGGAGAGGGATCAGAACACGCTGACCACCAAAAGTTTCGGAACCTGCCACATATATTGTTGTTTTGGAAGAATAGCCCAGTGCTCGGAGAAGAAGTCCAACCTGCAAACTTGCTCCCAAATTTTGCTGTTAGACTTTGCACATAAATAAACAGCTCTTTGCTATCCATTCATAAATAACATTTATAGTTATTATTGTCTATTTTCTAAATCTTTGCCTTCCAACTAACTCTTGCAAAATACGATATGCATTTTGGTGAGGACCACAACAGAAATTCTTGTAAGTACCAGCCCTATCAAGATTATCAACTACCATTACACAAAATGTCAGCTTGCATGAACAAGAGGATCTCATTAAATTCAACCGTACCTCTTCTGGCATGAGAGGGCACGACCCATTTTCCCTACGTAATTGAGAATCTACACTAAGCTCTTCATTAAGAATCCCTCGCTTGATCATCTGAGCCCTTCGATATTGAATGAGTTCAGTGTGAACATCCTAGAGGAATTACCAATTCAAAAAAAAAAAAAAAAAAAAAAAAAAAAAAAAAACGAATCCCATCGGCTTGATATGCTGAGTCCTTCGATTATTGAATGAGTTCATGTGGAACACCTAGAGGAATTAACCATTCATAAAAAAAAAAAAAAAATAAAAAAAAAAAAAAAAAAGTCAGGGGAATTGGAGAAAAGAGATCTGAAAGTAGTTTACTCATCTTTCAGTAATGCTTCAAATTTGTGCAACACACACAAGCAAGACAAAACACCCAGTCACATCTAGTGCCTCATTGACAATGAACTGCAGAATAAGGCTTAAACAAACTAGCCTGGAAAAGTCCGCACAGCCCTATGATAGGGGGGCCTCCCAATGTGTCCCTCAACCAAACCAGGGTGAAAATGCAAGAATAGGTTTGCCACCTGCAGTCTTATAACCTGGAAATAGCCAAAAAAGCAGCAATAAAATCAAAAATAACAGCAAGCCAAACATTGTGAAGTGACCAAACTTTTTAAGATACAAAAGGAACGTCCCCCCTTTCTATTTCTGACAGATTAAATAAGTTATATTTGCAATTCAAGTCCCATAATCTCTGACAATGCTAAACAATAGTTATTTGGCATTGGGTCTTTCCCACTCCAAATAACAACACATACTTAAATTGCTTTCCTTCTTAGTTACCTCTTTCACATGTTTTAAGAAGCCTAGCAGAAAGAACAGCAGAGAGGAAACTAACACACTCTCACACAATTCTGATTGTCCAATGCAACCTGAATTCCTGGCGAATTGAGAGCATTAAAAAAAAAAAAAAAAAAAAAAAAAAAAAAAAAAGTCAGGGAATTTGAGAAAAGCGATTGAATTAGTTTACTCATCCTTTCAGTAATCTTCAATTGTGCAAAACAAGCAAGCAAAACACCAGTCACATTAGTTCATGACAATGATAACTGCAGAAAAGGCTTAAACAACTAGCCTGGAAAAGTTCCGCACAGCCATGATAGGCCAATGTGTCCCTCACCAAACCAGGGTGAAATGCAAGGAAAGGTTGGCCCCGCAGTCTTAACCTGGAATACAAAAGCACAATTAAATCAATAACAGCAAGCAAACATTTGAAGTGACCAACTTTTTAGATACAAAAGGAACTTCCCCCCCTTTCTATTTCTGACATGTTAAAAAGTTATATTTGCAAGTCAAGTTCCCATAATCTCGACATGCTCAACATGTTATTTGGTTTTCCCCTCCAATAAACACATACTAAATGCTTCTCTTCTTAGTTTACTCTTTCACTATGTTGTTAAGAAGCTAGCAGAAAGACAGCAAAGAAACTACACCTCTCAACAATCTGATGTCCAAGCACCTGAATTTCTGGGCGAAATTGGAGAGCATGAAATGCAACTCGGCATCTAAGCCTCTGAAGCTCATACATGCTAGGTGGAAGGATTGACTGAAGAAAATAAAAAGCCATTAAGAATGCACTTGAATGCAAAGTTTTTCTCCATTTAGAAACTCACTTGTACAAGAGGAAAAGTTTTGGTGCTCAACTAGAAAACCTCAAAAAATTTAGCTACTTAAAAATACAAGTGAGCTTTTTAGAAAAAATAAAAAGTCTGGTGTATGATATACAAAGAGATAACCACCTGCAAGCATCCTCCATCAGCAAGCACTAGGCCAATAACCTTGGCTTTCTTTAACTTAGGCAATATTTCTTTAATATAAAAATTTGGAGAAGAAGAACTTTTGGGCTTAAATGTTGGGAACTCATTCCTTTTCCTAGCTGCCTTCAAATTTTCAGGTAGGCTCTTCACAATGATTACATCCTTTTTAAGTGAAGCAATGAACTGCTCCTCATCATAGAGATAGGAAAAACTCTTGAATTTGTTACTGTATGAAATTTTCAGAGTGAAAAGATAAAGAAGAGACAAAATGTATGAGCTCACTAATGCGACCATAGGAATTGGCAAAAACTATTAATTGTGCCAGCAAGATACCTAATGCCTTTTGACCGAAGACTTTCTTGAATTTCTGGAATGACAAGAGTAGCATTTAGAAGCCTGGATATGGTGACAAGATCACAGATCTAGAAAATTAACAAAAACGTTATGCACTTCCATTAGCAATTGTAGTTGAAATCACATTTATGCATCAAATCAGTCATACCGAAGATCTTATCTTCTCAAATCCACCAAAAATTTTCGCATAAATATAACCATTGTTCTTTTCATTTGCAACTGTGACAGGTAAACAAGAGCAAAAAAACTTAGAAATATACAGATGAATCTGATAAGATGATGAAATAACAAAGGAAAAAAGACCAGCAGGAAAAAAAGCATTTAATTGTTCAAATAAAAGTAATATAGGAGAAAGATTGAAGCCTCGAGGGAGTATTTTACTGTCATTCCAATATCTCAGGCATTTCAAACAACAAAACATCACCTCCAAGACATCATGTTGATCCCTTATCATCCAATGCTTAAACAATTACATCATGTATTCACGAACAAAATTTCAAACACAATTCTATAACCCGATGTTATGCATATTACATCTATAATATATCAAGGGTCCAGTTGGTATCTAGCGATTTGAAATGATCGAGTATCCAGAATTGGCAACATATTGGTTTCTTTATCCTCTTACTCCTGAACCTCAAAATCTAAATACAAGTTCATTTCAAATGACTATCCATTCAAATGCATCTTATATTACATATGCATGAATGAATATCAAGTATTTTATCATCAAAGTGACAGAATAGCTTCAATTTCTAGCCATATAATCAGAATAACCAAGCAAGCATTTCAAATGTAAAGATAACGTAACTAACTACAACTATCATCGGCAACAATTAAATTGTCATTGAAAAATAATTGCAGACATGTAAGCAAGTGAAATTATTTCCCAACTCCTTTAAGGGGTACTTAGCAAAGAATCAAAATCTACAAAAAAGTTCAAGAATTAGAACCCATCAGATAACATCATGAACGGAGACAAATATTGATTAGACCAGCAAAAAGAAAGTCACCATGACTGAATTAAATCCTACATCTAAAATTTCCCTCCAAAATTGCCAAGCGGTTGCCAACTATGAAGAAACCCTCCCCAGATTATAAATTCACAAAATCTATCTATATGAAATAAAACAGTTGAACTCAATTATTCTTGGGTGACCAAAAGTGGAACCCACTAAATAAATCCACTCAAGAAAACAAATAGCAATAGAAAACTAAAGACATAGATAAATAGCAAGCTCAAGCAAATTAATTACCTGGATAGTTGCTTCTTGGATTGGCATAAGGCTGTAATGACTGTAAAGGCTTCACAACCCCCCATAACCTCTTATTTCTAATATATCGAACACTCTGCAAAACCAGCAAAAACTGGTAATCAGAAAACAACAATTACAAAACAATAGATAAACTTAAAAAAAAAAAAAACAACCAACGAAATAGATTTGCAAAACTGACTTGCGTGTCTGCTAAAGGAGGGAAATTGATACCGGAGTCCTTTGGAGCATAAGTAATCAGACTGGAACCAGAAAACTTGGTTATAGAGAGGTGAATAACAAGAGATCCTGTGGATAGTATCAGTAATAACAAAGCTATCCATTTTATCTTGGATTTGAATACCATCTCCACTCATACCAAACAACTGAATTTCGTAACTGCCAAAAATCCCAATATTAAACCCTACATTACCAATCCAAAAGCAAAGAAAAAAAAAATACAGGTCAAAAAGGAAACTTGATATTATTGTATGCACATTACCTGTAAAGTTAACGACTTTACAAGCTTCACAGTCAACGGATGCTTAATGTTAGTAATTAGCCAAACAAGAGATTTAGCAGATTGAGATTTGAATTTCCCTTTTTTTTTAAAAAAAAAAAAATCCTCTCTTTGCTTTGGTTAACTCGCAGCGAAGATTCCGGGGGATTTTAAATCTCGAGGAATTGATTTCTTATAGAAGGCAGAGAGTGATGGTGAGCGTGCATGAAGTAGAAATAAAATATAGATTTAGAAGGGAATTTAGATGACAAGATTAGGAAGCTCAAAATCAAATCTTTGAAAAGAAAAGAGAAGATTCTGTAAATTGCTATTTGTTTTTATTTTGTTTATTTATTTATTTGAATAAAGAAAATGCGAACAGACCCTCGCTGATGCCTGGAAGGAAGGAAGATAGAAATAAGAAAAGTATTGTTTTGTACACAGCCCCTCTTCTTTTGAAAAAGACGCGTTTGTCTTCGTCTTTGTCTTCATTAATTAATTAAATAACAGAGCAGTTTTCTGTGAAACGAACCGAACCGATCGGATTTAATGTAACAAAAAAATTTTCAGTTTGGTTTCTATTTTAATTAAATAACCATAATTCTCGATTTAATTTTATTCTTATAAAAAATAATAGATTAAATTAAACCAAATAAATTATTTTTTATTTCATTAGATTTTCTTTATAAAAAAACTCAATTTATTAGTTTATAACTTTATACTGACTCAGTTCAATTTGAACCAAACTAACATAATGCTCATCCCTTACTTAACCACGCAGCTATATTAATTCAATAGAATGTATTACAATAGTTGAAGTCATTGTATCCCAATGAGTAAAAAAATCAATACATCACCATATACAAAATAACCACTCCCATTTGAACCTGTAAAATCCTGAAGAGAAAACCAGTGGTTATTGATTGGGAACCACAGAAGCACACTGGGGAACCCTCACAGAACTTCGCCGGAGCCATAATTCATACATTACCATATAGAAAGCATCATAATCAACAGGAGGGAAATGCCACTGGAAATGCTTTCGCACCTTCAGCACATTATTTTGTAACATCAGATAAGCGTCAGAACTTATTGCTTGAAGAGTTTTCTTAAGTAATGGAATGTCTAAAGTGGCAACAATGACTGAAAAGCTCTTCCAATTTAGAATGTCTGCAAATGGAAGATCATAATGGTTGGCAATAATAACTGGGACACATCCATAATATAGTGAATCTGCAATCCGAGCTGTGTTTATTTCAAAGCCTTTGACATGGAGGCAGAACTGGCTTCCAAGTAGCTCATCTGCATAAGGGGTTTGGAGCCGACCAAAATGGACATAGATCTCTGAGTCATTTCTCCAAACCTGAAGAAGCCATTCACGGACAGGAGAGTTTATTGATCCCGCAAAAAATGCAAGCTTCTTCCTGTCATCAAATTGCAATTGGTGTTAGTTAAGTCGAGTAATTCCTTGCAAAACTAACAGAAAAAGCAGCAACACTGTACTTTTGTAACTGCAATGACAGTTCATGGTTTATGTTATCAAATGGATATGAGTTTGCTATTCAATTAATTTTATTTATGGAGCAAAATTTGTGACTTGCAGAGATCTACTACCTTCATAGTTTTTAATAAATGAAAATTGAAATCGGAGCATGTATTTTCACCTTTTCGATGAAGCAAGGCTAGGAGGATCCCCTTGTCTAGGCCAAACTTGTGGCAGAGACGTATCCTTGTGAGCAATGTATCCAGAAAGGAAATAGCTTGAAGAGCATACAACTTGAATAGCATTAAATTTCACTTCCTCTGCTTTTTCCATTGCTGACCGTCCAATGGAATGACAAGCAACGTAAAAATGGTCAGCTCCACCACTGCTATTCCAATATGGGTACTTTTGGCTTATATTAAAGATGTAAGCTCTTATGAAATCTTGGATCCCTCCAACTCCAATTCTGCGGTCATGCCGCAACCTGGCAATGGAGAAAGGCAGAAAGAAAAGATCTGCCTTTGTCGGATCCTTAGTGATAAAGTGACTTTTCATAAGAACCTTCTTAAAGTAACTTTCACTGGCATAATTACCCCCAGGTTCAAAATCCACCGGCAAGAGCACATTAGCAAATGGATCATTTCGCCTGTGAGGATAAACATATATCTTAAAGCTCCTATTCATTTCTTTATAATCTTCCAGAAAGATATCTCTATCATGGAACACCTCGTTATTCACATAGATTCCTGAATCATAAACTGAATTATAAAAACCAACAGTTTCCAGATCCTAGGGTTAAGAAATAAAAGTTTGAGCATACTGACTGCACTTCCTTTGGCCTCTCTCTAAGCCCACCACATGGGAAGTCAATTAAGCTCCAAATCAAACTTGAGGTTCAACCAATAATGGAGGTCCCGCCATTTATTAAGAACATGAATAACAAAGCAAATTTTATACTCATTCTCCCAATAGGTGAAGGATTTCACACCTTCATTTAGGTTTATGATATATTCCAAACAGAAGGTTCAACTGCTACAAATGCATTGCCCATAGTTAAAACAAAGTTGAACTAGAGCATAATTATATTGGTTATATAGTAAAGCACTGGAGTGGGAGACGAATAAGAACATTACAAAAGCATTGCAGCACAACCCCAAAGTTATGATGCTCAAAGATAAGACATAGTATACCAGTATTTGCAAAATTGGAAAGCCTAGGATATGTACTTGCTTTGTCGAGATTGCTTTGGTGTTCAGGAAATAGAAAAGCTGGGCTAGTTCCATTCTACGCGCCCTCTGAAACTACATTTGATACAAGAAGGCTTCAAATGATTGCACTGATTATACATTTTAAAGATTTAATCTTTTTCTAGTATATCATTTTTAAAGTCACCTTTTCCAGCTATATGTACATTGTAGAAACATAACGTGACATTGGTGCTTGACATGGTTTTCTCTCAAACACAACCAATGAAACCCAACTAGTAAGGATACACCTAAAGGACATAAGAGAGGGGGATAGAAGCTCCTCTGGCAAAATCTAACTAATCTTTACAATATGAATATCGGAGGAAGTTGTGGGCTTCTACAATTCAGGACATGTGAGAAAAGGTTTTGGTAAACCAAATAGACATAAGACAAATAAGGAATTTAATCAAACGAAGCAGCAAAAATGATCTTATTTTGCTTGTGAATTCCACAAGATTATTTTGCCACATTTCTCTTCAGACTAGTCTCTCAAAGATCCAACTTGGAATTTTATCAAGTCCTTTATCATTATGAATATAAATTTCTCTCGAAGATTTAACTCCTCAATTTTCTTAATTATCAATTGATTAAAACTTAGCCCATCAATCACAATTAGAAAGAAATTGGTACTCCACGAACTCTCTTCTGCACCAATTTTTGCCACTCAATCAATAAACTGTTTGAAGCTAATTAAAAGATTTTAACTTGCTTTAAACTGTGCAGATGGCAAAATGACAATAGCTAGTTTAGAAATTGGATTGGAGGCCACATATATAAAAAGTTAAACAATACATTTGAAGCCAAAGGAATCTCTCAGCCATCTATGAAAGAAAAAGAGAATCTACCCAAACTAAAACAATGCAAAAATAAAACTTTGCTTAAAAATAATCATACCATTAGAGCTAAATTCAAGTCTGGAAACCCGTTGACTTTCATGTCCAGCTTCACCATTCTTCTTCGGGTGACTAATTCTAGGCAAATGACCAAGTGGGTTATTAGAATCATTGAAAACAAAAACTGGGTTTTTGCTCCCTCGAGTGTTTGTCGAATACCCAGATGGGAAATGGGGTTTTAGGCGAAGAGTGGAAGGATTATGGTTGCTGGAGAAGAGATTTGAGGTGGTGGATATATAGAAAAGAATGAAAAGAGAAGTGAAGAGAGCCAAATAAGTGGGCATGAAAAAAAGTGACCTGAACGAGGGAGAGAACCGCCGGTGACTGAAGTAATAGTTAATCAAAGAAGTGTTTGCCATGGAAAGAAAAAGTTTTGGTCTTTTAGGTTCCTCTCCGGTTGGCAGTGGCTCTTTGCATAGAAAATGTTAAAAACATAAACAGGGAAAAAGCTTGTTGGGTCTTTGATTTGTTTGCTTGTGCTGAAATAAATACGTGTCCAAAATTCCTGGGTTGAAGTCTAAGTAACAGCTACCAGCTAGGAAGGATAGGGACTGCTCCCAAATCCTACCATTTATATATATAAGATTATTTTCCTCTTTTCAATATTTTATTAAATAAAATACACTTTTTTTTCAGCAAAAATAATTTTTATTAAATTATATTAGCAATTTTATCAAATTAATGTCTCAACCCTTATATCTTCCATTTACACCCAACTTTATATGGATAACTTAAATAAAAAAACATGATCAAAAAATCATATATACCAAACCGAAAAATATCAGAAACTAATCAAAACTCTTTTCACAATTAATAATTAAATTGATTGTTATAATAATAATAATAATAAAAAGATACATTTACAGTCCACTTGTGGCAAAGTGTCTTCACAACCAAGCATATTATATTCTAAAATACACTTACCTTCTAAATTATATTCTAATTAACAATTTCCTTCCTTTATTTTTTTTTAATTACCGTAACATTCTTAATTTTTACTATAATTTCACCATGAGATCATTCGGTCTAAAAAGTGAGTATTTTCTACTTGTTTATTTCATCCAAAAAACGAGTCTAAATAGTTAATTTTTTTGAATTAAAAAACTCTAATAATTAGTTTTAAGCAAAAATTATGAGTGTAATAATTTAACGAAAATAGAGAGATAAAAGTATGAATTATAATATAGTATATATATATATATATATATATATTTTTCTTATTTGATTTTTTACTAATAATTTTCACATGAGATCATTCGGTCTAAAAAGGTGAGTATTTCTACTGTTTATTTCATCGCAAATAACGAGTCTAAAATAGGTTAATTTTTTTGAAATTTAAAGAAAACTCTAAATAATTAGTTTTTATAGGCAAAAAATTATGGAGTGTAATATATTTAAAAATCAGATAGAATAGAGAGATATTAAAAGTATGAATTTATATTATATATGTATATATATAATAATATATATATTATGGTAATGTTTTTCGTTAATGTGATTAAGAGGGAGCAAAGGCTGCAAAATAAATATATATATATATATATTTTTCTTATGTGATTAAGAGGGAGCAAAGGCTCAAATAAGCTTGTTTCGCTCTAATGTGATGAATCAAATAAGCATGGGAGGAATAGAATCATATTCTTCGCGAGGCACTCTTTGTTTCGAGGCAATATGAGCCCAAAAAAGCAGCACAATTATAGTTCAAAATAATAATATTAATGTTAACCGAATTAGTAGTTGGGTCTTTTAATGTGAGATCCTAACTCTTTCTTTTAATGTGATTTTTTAAAAATGTATTTCTGAAGATATGCTTTGTGCGTTTATAAATATTTTTAAGTTGCAATGAGGAGAAGAGAAGCAGCTGCTCTCGTTGGCATGTTCTCTTCTACCATTTTAGTGGACAATATTCAAAAATTAATGGCAGTTGATAATTTAAAAAAAAATGAAATTAAAAATCCAAAAAGGAAGGGTAGGTCCATATATCCATGTAGAAGGGAACCAAGCTTCTACAGAAGAACGTTCGGTCAGCCGATGGTCTGATAAACATGTGATATACATATATATATATATATTAATGAATGTATCTCCCACACTCCACTACATACCAAAAGTATCTTCCAAACCCTTTTACTTTATTTATTTATTTGATCACATAAACCCTTTTCATTTTTCTTTATGCAAATTAAAATTTTGGAATCTTCCCAATATATATACAGATGTAATAAATTTTCCTGTTTTTATATATAAGTTTTCAAGATTCTCTGATCTGCTTGCTTCTTCTACAAGGAACTGGTTTTCGAGGTCTAAATGGTGAAGAGTATTATACAAAAAATATCCATATACAAAGAATAAGCAATCTTATTTCCATTTTCAAGGTCAGTCTGCATCTTTACTTGCTTCTCTTGATTGATTTGTGTTTTGGTTTCTTGGCAATATATATGCCTCTGTGTGCGTGGAGAAGACTTCTCAAGTTTTAATTTCTTTTTCTGTCCTTCTGTTGACCTGTAAAATGTAGTGTTTTTCATTAATCTCCTTCATGATCACTTCGTATTTTTGAATGATGTTTGAGACTAAAAAAAGAACTTGCGTACTAATTACATACGTTTTCTCTGCAATTAATTACTTTTCTTTCTTCTTGTGTATATTTAGTATTATTTTGCAAGCATTTAACTCTACATAGTTTGATTACTTATTATGATGATTGAGTTTAGAAATTACAATACAGAAAGAAAGCATGAGATAGGGAGAAAGGGAGATGAAAGAACATGCACTAGTGTTAAGAGGGTTTCTTTTATTTTTCCCATCAAAAACTCTTGAATGAACTCCAAGTTTTCTACAAAGCAGTGACACTTAACATCAAAATAGTGAAAATAATACCAAATCTTGCAAAGATTTTGAGCTATTAGGGTTTGAGTTATTACACATCTTATTGAAACCATTTCTGGGTTTGGAACAAAATTTAGGGGGCCAAGTGTTTGTATGGAAAAAAAAAAAAAAAAGCACACCCACAGGTCAAATCTATGCCATGCCTACCTACTCAGTGTTCATCAACCTCGCATACCACTCATTTATCTGCCCTTCATTTGTTATAATTACAAACAATATCAACAACCTCCTACTAGACTTGCTTTGTAACTTAATTTCTTCTTTTCCTCTTTTTACTGAAAAGCTAAATAATATTTTTCATTCATATAAGAAGGTTAGGTCGAGCTTCTACATACGTGACATGTCTTTTTTTCATCTACCACTAGTATTTATAAATTTAAAAAGCTATTCATATTTCGAGTGTTAAATAGTTTTTTTTTTTTAGTTTTTTTTTGAAATTTTTATTAGTTTGATATATGTATAAGAAATTTAAATATTCTTTTATCGTGTTTTGTAATGAAAAAACTTTATACTTTAGGTTAAAGTAAAATTTTAAATTTTAAATTGTGTAAAATATTTCAATTATCATTGAAATTATCTTTAATTTAATTATTTTTCTTGTGGTTAGTATATGTAAGCAAACAGTTGATAATTAAAATATTGAATTTCATTAAGATCAGTAAGCTGGACTTTACGAAAGGGGAGTAGGATTGCAACTAAATTTCAATGTGACTGACCTCCATGTGGGAGTCAAAAAGGGTTGACATTTGAAGTTTTGGAGGAGCTGACAAAAACTTAATAATAGTACCAAATTTTTTTTTTTTGCTGGAAAAAAAAAAGAAAAAAAAAATCATATATAGTTATATAATTTACTTGCATGATCACACGCCCACACAATATCGTGTTGATCTCAAATACCTTCATCAAGTCATTCTATCGTGTCACGCCTTTATATTTAAGCCAAACATCTATACGTGCATGATTTGAGAGAAGCAAAGAAGGAATTTGCGAGGATTTGAAAACAGCAAATGTTTTTAAAGTCTTATTAATCTATTTGCATATGTAGTGAAGGGCAAAAGTTATATATCCTAAGCATTGCATGCTAATTAATAAGCACATGTATATATCAATCCTCAACCATATCAACAAAGCCAACTACTCATTTGCTTATAATGTTTAAAGGCATCCATTGAAAAGCATTTGCCAGGTTCAAACCATTGGACTTCTTCTTGCAAGTTCTAAATTTCACCAGCTCAGCCAATCAAGTACGGTCCGGTTAATCTTTTTATTGTTAGAGTTTGAATACTCAACACAATTTAAAAATTAATGTTTATATACTTATTATTGTGTATATATCCTATGAATTAAAAGTACATTATCTGCAACTTAACATTCTCAAATATGTGCAAAGCTCGTGTGCATGTGCATGCTTGCATAAATTATTTATTATTGTCAATAATCCCTCATATTTATAAGGATTTCAAAAGGTAAATTCTATGTAATTTGCCATGCATGAATGTATGAGAGGAAATATAATACAGGTTGAATAAAATCACATGTGTACTAATGATTCAATTAGTGAACTAATTTTGTATTCCTTTAGATATATACACACAGAGGAAAATTCTAAGCAATACCATTGCATCAGTTGCAGTAAATAGTTTCATGTATGCATGCAGATAAGATAGAAATAGAACAGATCTCTAGCATAAAAAATTAATTTACATTGAATGTTTGAGAAAGAGAAGAACATTTTTTGTTAAAGCAAACCGGTTTTTTTGGTTCTTAATTTGTACGAGATCTAAAAGGACTGGATTAATTGATACATGCAGAAAACAAAGTTCATCTCCTACATACAATCTAGAACTTACAGAAACTATGTATGCAAGCACAAAAACTACAGAAGCAACAACATTTTACGTAAATTAGATGACAATGAAGCTTAATTAATTAGCCCATCTGATTTTCTTTATCCACTTGTGTATATGATGCAGAATGATTATTTTATTTTAAAGCAACATCTTCATCGACAAAGGCAGCCATTGAAGATACAACTTCAGCTTCCCAGATGCTAGAATTCTGTGCTGAAGAGACAATCATACTAGGATGTTGCAGCTGTTGTTGTTGAGTCATAAACAGATTCTCATTTTCATTGATAAGAGAATCGAGAAACGAAGAGAAACCCTCATCATTTCCATTTCCAATATAGAACTGATTCGCATTGCTTTGTCCTTGATCGCCATTTTGTAAATCCATAGCAATATCATCACAATTAGGCCAATTATGATCAGCACTACCAGCATTATCAATAAGTAATGGGTTTGGTTGATGATAATGATCCAGGGTACTCATTTTGAAATTTTGGCTCACTCTAGTTGCTATAGTTCGATAAGTCCTACCTTCGGTTTCTTCCAAATTGACAGACTTAGGGCCAGTATTTTGGTTTTGGGCAATTTGTGAGGAATTAGGGTTAGGGTTCAATGGTTTGTGGGTTCTTGGATCAATCCCTTGACTAATTAGCTTCTTGCTTAGATGGGTATTCCAGTAATTCTTGATTTCATTATCAGTTCGTCCTGGTATCCTCCCGGCTATCAATGACCATCTGAAATGAAGGAAGCATAAACATTAACGATTAATACTTAAAAGAAAAAAGAGATATTTGCGAATCAAAATATTTCTAGGTGATTTTGTGTTAATTAACCATTGATAATTGAAGTGATTAGAAATCTGATAAGGAAAGGAAGATTAACATCCATTAGGTTACTTTGACATTAGGAAACAAAATCAACCGTTTAATCTTACATAAGGAAATCTGGCAATCATTTACCTAACCCACATATAAATCTTACCTGCCCATATCAGATGGAGGTGGTGCACCACAATGAACAAGGAAAAAAGACACCCTATAATATCAGCTAATAAAGTTTGTAACTTTTGATATTATCTGGAAAAGATAAAGAACCCTAATAAGTATTATTAAGATTTTGAAAAAATGAAAATTAGAGGAGAGAAATCTTGATAATTGAACATATAGAAATAAAGATTGAAAACTGATCGAAGCCCATTTCAAAGAGGGAGAGATATAGGGGGAAAAAGAGAGAACAAAACCAGTTCAAAGAAATCAAATTCTAAGAAACTAATTAATTGAATATGCAATATAATTGATACAGCTCGTATGCAAGTAACAGTGTAACCCTAAAAAAAAAATAAAGAAAAGGATATGTTGAAACAGAATCTGATTCAAAAACAAAGAAACAAAATTAGCTCATCAGTCTCAATTATAATATACCTGTTACCAAGCAACCTGTGAAGTCTAAGAATTAGATCTTCTTCATCTGGAGCAATACGGCCTCGTTTAACAGAAGGCCGGAGATAATTCATCCACCGGAGACGACAGCTTTTTCCACATCTAAGCAGCCCAGCTCTTTTAGGCAGAGTACGCCACCGTCCTTCGCCTTCTTTCTTGATATAGTTTGACAAGAGCTCGTCCTCCTCCGGCGTCCATGGCCCTCTCTTGATTCCCACTTTGCTACAGCATGGTGTAGTGGTTTTCCTGCCATTAGTTGAATAAGAAGAAGATGAAGGTGGGTTTCTCACCATTGGATTAAATATTTCTCTGGTTCTTGATTCAGTGACTTACGGTGTAGGTCTCTTTTTATTTTGTCTGAACAAGTGAATCTTTTGGTAGGGATGGTGCGCTGTGGTGGACTGCTTGTATGATTTATAGACGAAGACGTAAAGGTTAAGAGAGGAAGAAAAGTGGAAATCAAGAGAATTTTAGGGACCTGTGCCTAGGATTTTTTGTATTTTTGCCCCATAAATTGGAATAAATCTTGGGTTATTATTATTATTATTATTATTATTTTCAGACAGACTAAATATCAGAATCAATTTTTAATTAGCTTACTAAAGTAACTAAATCTAAGAAATCTTAAGTTTTTTCTTTTTTTTTTTTTAGAATAAGAAATCTTGAGTTTTCAATTCCACAGTAAATTTTCCCTAAAAAAAAAAGTGCACGATAAATTAGTTTGTACTCTATAAAGAAAAGTCCCCATATACGTGGAAATAATTGAATTAATGAATTCATTATATTGTTTAACAATAAAATTAAAAATAAATTAAAATTAGTATTTGATATCCTCTAGAAAAAATAGTACTATTATAACATCATCCAACCCTTAAAATTAATTAATCCCTCCATTCATTTTATCTCTTTTTAAACTTTTTTTCATGTTCCCATAATAAACGATGTAATTAAATCATCTAAATTATAATAGTAAAATATTTTTTATTTATAATTTCATTTTTAATTATGATTGATGATGCTATTGCTATAAAAAAATAAACAAAATTAACAAAAAAAATTAAAACAGACCAAAATTACAAAAGCTTATAAAGTTCGATTAGTCCAATCCTAATAATTTTCTCGATATTAATCTCCATTAAGAGAGAGTGGAGGTGATAATATGTATTTTATGATTCTGTAGAAAATAATTATTATGTTTATATAAGAGATAATATAAAATTAAAAAAATAATTAATACCTTTTAATTTTCTCAAAACAACATATAATTTTAGATAAATAGAGTTTTAAATTCTCAATCGGTTATTTATTCCAACAACTATATTTAGATTTTGTTTTTTCTTGTTAGCTACTGTTTATTTGTAGTCACAATATATTTGGTCTATATTAACATTATAAAAATAATTATAAATAAAATTATTTTTCAAATAATAAATTTACTAATCATTTTATTTAAAAATAATAAATTAATATTAAATATTATTATTAAAAATTTTAATTGACATGTTTTATTTGTATAACATATTAAATTAAAAACATTAATTTACTCTAAAAAATTTAAAAATATATGATAAAAATAATTTACGAAAATAATTATTTTTAACTAATCATCATTTTAAATTCAACAATAATTACTATTAAATTTTTTATGAAATAATCAAATATTTATTTGTTAATAGCCATCGCAAGGTTGAGTTTGATTTATTAAAAATATCCTTGAATCAAGCTTGACTTGTTTAGTTACAGTTAAAAGACGAATATATCCTTCTTTATTTTTTTTCAACTGCTTGGTAGTTGGTATATAGCCAGCTGATCAGATCCAACGTGTAATATTTTATAATAAATGAGTAATTTTGTTTTCAATATCAATGTGGAAAAATCCTTTGTTTCTTTCTTTATTTTATTTTCTGATTGCACGGGCGGCTCTTAAGTTGTGGCCATTAATTAATTGACTCTTCCTATTCCTAATTTTGTTTTTTTAAAAAAAAAATACTACACCCTTAACTTTAGGAGATTTTTTTAATCTCTTTTTATTCAAAAATAAATAAATTATTTCAATTTTATTATATTGTACAGAAAATAAATTTTAATATACAAATATATTGTGTTTTTGTAATTTTAAGAGTAAGAGTAAATTCAATTTTATATTTTGTTGAAAAATATTATAACGCTCTTAACTTTTACTTCACATTAAATTATTTAATTTATAAATTTTCACCTATTAAATATTTTAACTTACAAAATCATTTTATTGAATGCTAACTTGTAATTAAAATTATTTTATTAAATATTTCAACTTATATAATTAGATTGATTAAAATTAATATTTATTGGATAGTTGAAAACTATGAAATTTGTAATTACAAAAATAATAATAACCATATATATTAAATCAATATTTCATATATAAAAACTTAAAACATTAAATACTGTTATTATTAACGTAAAAAGTTATAAAATATTATCAAAATTTATAACTTTAACGACATAATGAATCTTTTTAAGATTTAAAATATTATAAAATTTTTCGTAAAAAATATATGAATAATCATATCTATATATTGGATAATAAAGTCAAAATAATATCGAATACAACTCCAACTCAAACTGGGCAATCACCCAATTTAAAACCTTCGAGTCCTAGAGCTTCAACTTTAGCTACTAATTAAGCTAAATTTAATTTAGCAACATTAAATTTGTATTCATTGTCATAAAATTACAAACTTAAGATTAATTAAAACCGAATTAATTAAAAAAAATACTTTACATTTAGTTCTGTGGATGGTGTTTTCTAAAAATTAATTTTACTATTAAAATATGTTTTCAACGATGCAAATTAATCCCGTATCAAAATATAATTTAATTATAATATATATATGATCTGAAAATATATAAAGATTTAAATTTTTATTTTCTAATTAAAAAAGTACACGGTCCAAGTGATGTTACGTGATTGTCTCATTTGTTAAATGCTTAAGCGTTAAGAGATATATATTATATATTATATAGCTACATATTATTTATTTCTTTTATAACATTTGTGGATAACTTAAATTTCTATCTTATCCATTTTAGGGGTCCCTTGTGATTACTTAATCTACGGCCCAGATCATAACGTAGTTTTTCTACAAATACAATGCAGCGGCAGACTGGTTTGATTGATTTCCTGATTTGACGTCTAAAGTGAGCGAGTGAGCGCGTGCAGTACTCGGCAAAAGCACACAGTTACGAGGATGTTTGTTAGTTGTACTTGCACCTTCTGCTTCCTCTTTTTAGAACTTTTGTTGTGTGGTGGGCGCACCCTGCCTCCGTTACTCTTAGAATTATTATATAATAATCTAACAAAATAAAAGGTTAGCGTGCAATTAATTTTTCTTAATTACTTTGAATATTAGTATTGATATTTTTTAGAATTTTGTTGTGTGGGTGGGCGCCCTGCCCTCGTTACTCTTAGAATTATTATATATATCTAACAAATAAAAAGGTTTTAGCGTGTAAGTTAATTTATCTGTAATTTACTTTTGATATTAGTATTGATATATAATATAGATATTATATATATATATATATATCTATATATTATGTGCTTGCAAAATATATTATTGCCTGCAAAAATAAAATTGTAACTTGTAAATGGATTTACACTTTTTACACTTAAAATATGAAAGTTTTCAAAAAATTAAGGATCAAATATTTTATTTTTTTTGACAAAATATACGATTATAATTTTTTCCTTTATTTAATACAAATATGTGCTTTATGCTTCCATGGGCCAATTAAGTAAATAAAATACTAAAATCCAACTTCAACGTTCATTATACTACCATAGGCCCAATTTCTCTGACTGAAGCCCAAATCTAAATTTTCAACAGTTAGATTTATTATTATTATTATTATTATTTGGAAAAACACGTCAACACAAATTTATCAATCAAGTTCTAGCTGTCTGTATATAAAAAAATGTAAAATAAAATTACCTCTTTATGAATTTATTTCGTTTAAAATACTTTAATAAATTTCGAGATATAATCTATCCTTGTTATTTTTAATTCTGATCAATTTTATCATAATCGATCTTTTTCATTTATAACAAGATGTTCAATTTATTTATTTAAGATTTTTTTTTTGGTTTAAGCATAAGTATATTTATTTATAATTTGATTATTTAATCTCAATAAAACAATTTGATCGTAATTGAAATAACGAAATCTTCGAATTTAAAATCCCGTCTAAAGAAAAAGAAAAAGTTGGGATTCTATTTGTCAAAAAGCTCTTAATTATCTTTTTCCGTTCAATTGCATTAACCAAAGGGTCGTTCACACCAAAGGCATCTTTTATCCACAACATACATTGCACTGTACTCTAGTGGCTTCCAGCAGTTGGATTCCAAAGCCGACTCAAAATCATCATTATCTCGAATATCATACGGTCCTGAGTGACCCAAATCTGACCAGATCACATTCCCCTTTCTGATCATCATGATAGAGGAGCAGGCTAGGTGGGCCATGACAATCTGTAAAAATGCCACGTTTAATAATGTATATCGCGATGTCCCACAGTTTCAGCTCTGGCCTTGACAGCAGATTGTCCCCCGCTATCTTCGATTTCAAAAAACAAGCCACAATAAACAAAAACTAAAGAAAAAAAAAAAGATAAATTAACTTTATTTTAAAAATAACTGTATGATAAAATTATTTTTTCACCATGAAATTTATTTAAAAGTATTAGCCATTTTGTAAGTAAAATATCAAATAACAGCTGCTAAGAACCAAATAGTACCATTGCATTAAATGTTTTAATAAAAATAAACATTGCATGAAATGTAAACACACCTATGCATAACCAAAAAAATAAAAATAAACAACCAAAACTATTGGATTTTGCTGAATAGTTAAAACAAAAAATAGAACTTTTAAATGGAATACCTAAATAATTTAGTTTTTACAAACTTTAGGGACAAAATAATGATTTTGTCAAATAATAATAATATGATAGTAGTTTCAATTAAAATTCATGGAATAAACAGTAATTATTCAAACAATTATTAAATTTCTAAATTTATTTATACTCTTAATATAACATAAATTTATAAACCATACAATAATTGACGACATCTAGATTGAAAATTCAATTAATGTAATAATATCTAATTAAAATTATCAAGTTATTTTTTGTAATATATGGAAGATCTAACGGACCGAAATAACATTGTGGGCTGCACGGTAAAAGACAACCCTTCCCTTTAAATAATATTTACTAAATTTGCGATAACTTTGTAGTGGAAAGACTCGAATTCAAGACCTTTTACTTCCTAAACATCTACTATGAGAGATAGAAAAATCAATCAGATCACATTTGATTTGCACCAATTTACTTATTTACCATTACCTTACAATTTTTCCTAATAAATTTATCTTTTTACCCGTTTATAATTTATGAGTTTCTCGTATTCAATTCGTAAATTACTTGAGTTCAATAACTTGAACTTAAGTAGTTTAAATAACAAATTGAGTAGAATTTTAATTTTACTATATTCGATAATGATTTACAACTCTAGCTAATAATATGTTAGTCAAGTGAGATGAGTCTCAATTTTCGTAAAAGGAGAGAATACAAGTTTGATATTTAGAAAGTATGCTTAACAAAATTTTACAATATACATTTCATGTTTGGTTTGATTGATCTTCATAATTATTGTATATGATGTAAGGAGTAAGAGGTATCGAGTTTGAGTCATCTCTATTATAAGAGTTTTTATCAATTAGGTGAATATTATTCAAATGAGATAGTGGCCGATAATGTTATTCCGGAGGGGATAGTTGCCCCTTGGATCTCCGTGTATAAAAAAAAAAAAAACTTTTACAACGTATCTTAAATTTAAGTATATTTCTACGACTAATTACATTATCAAAAAAGTAAATTTAAAGGAAAATAATGATAAAAATGTTGAATGATTAATGGATGAAAACTGTTGATATTTACTAGTATATTTTATTTACTTAATATTCTAGAAGTGTAGCATATAAATATAAGCATTAATGCAATTAAATTTTATTTCAAAGTTAAAAAAAAAAAAGATTCTAATTTTTAATTCCAATTCTAGCTCCCCATCAGTAATTCAGTATACTTCTGCTAGTCCCGCAACAAATAGAGATTTGAAAATAAACGTTGGATTTCTCGAAAAAAAAAAAAGAAAAAGAAAATAAATGTTAGAATTTTGCTTTATACCTATTCTGCACGGAAAAATTGCGACTGAGACAAACAGAACCGGATTTATTTCGAGAATCGCTTACGTGGAAGGTATTGGTTGGACTAACTTCACCAAACAATGTAACAACAAACTTGAGAGAAAAATCCCAAACCCACGAGTTAACCAAAACCCCTCCTTTTCCCCCCCTCAATCTTCTTCCCTCCTCCTCTTTCCAGCCACCACCAGACGAAAAAACCTCACCAGCACTCACAAACTCTATCCATGGCTGCCGATCCAACCCAGTTGCAGCAACTCACGCACCTCCTCGGGCCTGACCCGAGTCACTTCGAAATTTTAGTAAGCCACCTCATGTCTTCCTCCAATGAGCAACGGTCCGCCGCCGAGTCACTCTTCAACCTCTGTAAGCAAGCTCAACCGGACTCGTTCACGCTCAGACTTGCTCACCTTCTCTCTTCCTCCGCGCTTTCCGAGATTCGCGCCATGTCTGCTGTCCTCCTCCGTAAGCACCTAACCCGTGGAGCAGCTAACGATGACTCGTTCCTTTACCCTAAGCTCAATGAGTCAACTCGCTCCACCATTAAGAACATACTTCTCTCTTCTCTCCAGAGAGAAACCACGAAATCAATAACTAAAAAGATTAACGACACGGTTTCAGAGCTCGCTGCCTCAGTTTTGCCAGATGGCGGGTGGCCTGAGCTGTTGCCGTTCATGTTCCAATGCGTCACTGCACAGAATCATAATCTCCAAGAATCGGCGCTTTTGATTTTCGCTCGATTGGCTCAGTTTATTGGTGAAACCCTAATTCCACATTTGAGCACCCTTCGCGAACTGTTTTTAAATTGTTTAAGCAATTCCACGAGTCCGGATGTGAGACTTGCAGCTTTAAACGCCACAATTAATTTTATTCAATGTTTATCAAACAATCATGATCGTGATAAATTTCAGGATTTGTTACCGTTAATGATGCAAACTCTAACAGAATCATTGAATAACAATCAAGAGGCAACAGCCCAAGAAGCGCTCGAGTTGCTTATTGAATTAGCGGGCAGTGAACCGAGATTTTTGAGGAAGCAGATAATGGAGGTGGTTGGGTCTATGTTGCAAATAGCGGAGGCAGAGAGTTTAGAAGAAGGGACGAGACATTTGGCCATAGAGTTTGTCATCACATTAGCTGAGGCTAGAGAGAGGGCACCCGGGATGATGAGGAAGTTTCCACAATTTGTGCATAAGCTGTTTATGGTGTTGATGAGAATGCTTTTGGACATAGAAGATGATCCCGTGTGGCATAGTGCAGAGAGTGAAGACGAGGATGCTGGGGAGACCAGCAATTATGGGTTTGGACAGGAGTGTCTAGACAGGTTGTCTATTGCTCTTGGCGGGAATACTGTAATTCCAGTTGCTTCTGAGGTTTTGCAAAGCTTTCTGGCAGCTCCAGAGTGGGAGAAGCATCATGCTGCTCTCATTGCTTTGGCACAAATAGCAGAGGGTTGCTCAAAGGTACATGTCCATGTCCTGCATTATGCCTATTTATTTGTACTTATATGCTCCATTGATACTTTGACAAGTCTCAGTTATTATTCATTTTTTTTTTTTTTTTTTATAAGGACATAGGCTTTCTGTTAGTGCTTGGTTCACCCTGTCGTACCTTGCATGCTATTGTTGAGCTTCTATTTTTAATAGTATTTTTAGATGTATATTTACTGTCTTTGAACCTTTACTGGCGAGAATGTTTAATCATCACTCCTTTCAACTTTTGTATTTTATATTTTCTGTTAATTGGTGCAGGTGATGATAAAGAATCTTGAGCAGATAGTTTCTATGGTCTTAAACTCATTCCAAGATCCCCATCCCCGTGTGAGGTGGGCAGCTATAAATGCAATTGGACAATTGTCAACTGATCTGGGCCCAGACTTGCAAAAGAAGTATCACCAAAGAGTGCTACCTGCTTTGGCTGGAGCAATGGATGATTTTCAGAATCCTCGAGTTCAGGTTTTTATAGCTGTTATTATCATGAATTTGTTACAGTGGTTTCATATTTTGAATTGTGTATTGGTAGTCATTAATTTATTGTTGTAGGATGTGACCCTAAAAACTGTATGACATATTTGCTTTTCACTCATCCACAAGGAACTTGTGAGAGAAGAGAGATATTTGGTTTATACTTTATGCTTACTGTTTGAGTTGATAATTTCTAATAATATCTAGAGTAGGTCAATGGTGTACTTACGTAATAAGACAAAATCAAGTCAACTGGCATGAAACTAGTAACAAAATTATATAATATTTTTACTTATGTTAATTGTGTTTTTTTTTTTTTTTTTTTTTACCTAGTCAACTACCACAAAATGTTTAATTTTTAAAATTCTGAATCAATTTCTACAATTTTGGGGAAAATTATCCTTTTTTCTATCCTAATTGGTTTTCTTAATTTTCATGTATGTTGTTTCAGTTGGCTGATAGTGTGTTTTTTTTTTTTTTTTTTTTTTACCTAGTCAACTACCACAAAATGTATAATTTTTAAAAATTCTGAATCAATTTCTACAATTTTGGGAAATTATCCTTTTTTCTCATCCTAATTGGTTTTCTTAATTTCTGTATGTGTTTCAGTTGGCTGATAGTGTGATTAATTTTTGTCCTTTTAATTTTTTTGTTAGCCTTTTACTTGGTTAATCTTCTCATGTTCTTGTTTAGCTATAAATGGAATGCTCCATTGTTGTATGTTGCAGGCTCATGCTGCTTCAGCAGTGCTCAATTTTAGCGAGAGCTGCACTCCTGACATATTGGCACCATACTTGGATGGAATTATTAGCAAGCTTCTTGTACTCCTTCAGGTATGTCATATATGATTGTTTTCCTCATCAACCTCAGTCCCAAGCATGCTTTGTTTTAGATCCATCTATATCCTTAATTAGTAATGGTAAAGGACAAATTTGTAACAAAATTTGTCCCAAAAACTTTGAAGCTTTTCCAGGAATTGCTGAAAGGTAAGGGGTATTAGCTTTGAATGCCTTAAGTTTCTGGTTATTCTCTCCTTTTGGCCTATGAACAGAACATGATTTTGCACAAGTGCACCTATCCTTTCTTCTTTTTGTTTTGTTGGTGTCTTTCTGTGGAAATATCTCGATCCCTTTTAGGAGCCTTTTTTTGCCCATTATATATGTGATGACTTATTCATATGAAATCCAGAATGGGAAGCAAATGGTGCAAGAGGGTGCCCTGACTGCTTTAGCATCAGTTGCTGATTCATCACAGGTAATTTTTTTAATCTATTTGAACCATAACTCTATCTTTACTTACTTGCTTGTGAACCAAATATGGTGGAATGGTTGACTAAGGCAGAGGAGCTGGAAGTGTCAATTCTAATTTTGCTGAACAATTAGTGCACATGGTTTATTGTTGATTGCTTATATATCTCAGTTGCAATGTGCATCCTCCCTCCCTTACCCACACTCGCTAAATATGAAAGAAGAAAAGAAGAAAAGAGAACCTGCATTGTTCTCATGTGTTATTTTGTTTTGCAGGAACACTTTCAGAAATATTATAATGCTGTGATGCCCTACTTGAAAGCTATACTGGTGAGTGCAAATGACAAGTCTAACCGCATGCTGCGTGCTAAAGCTATGGAGTGCATTAGTTTGGTTGGGATGGCTGTTGGAAAGGATAAATTTAGAGATGATGCCAGGCAGGTAATAATGGAAACACACCCTACACAATTGTTTTTCTTATTTACTGGTTTTTCCATCTTGTATCCTCCCTTTTCTGCATGTATTGGCTACCTGTGTTAAGCAGCTCTGTTGATCTTCCCTTGTATCAAATTGCTGCCCTGCTATTTCTGCTTTACTTCTTGAATAGTATGATGGGTCCCCTGCAATAAGGGGGTTTATGCCTCAAATTTTTCAGCTTATAGTTCAGATTGTCATATTGATGGAATTTCTCAAGTTTTTCATGGAAAAATAACGGTCTTGTTGTTTGTTTTTTTTTTTTTCAAGGTTATGGATGTCTTATTGTCACTGCAAGGATCTCAAATGGAGGCAGATGACCCAACTACTAGCTATATGCTACAAGTAAGTTTTAACCAGTTGAATATGTAATTTTTTATTGACATTCTTATGATGTTCCTAGTGATTGTTGATTATCTGAAATGTTACTGCTGTGTGGACATTGGAAAACTAGGGGCTAAAAAAGTCTAATTGCATATTTGTTGCAGGCATGGGCCAGACTTTGCAAATGCCTTGGGAAAGATTTTCTTCCATACATGAATGTTGTCATGCCCCCTCTGCTTCAATCTGCACAGCTTAAGCCCGATGTGACCATTACATCTGCAGATTCAGATGTTGACATTGATGACGACGAAGACGACAGGTTTCTCTCTGTTTAGATTGTTCTAAATTACGGGATATGGGTTTAAATCTTAGTTTGCATAATTTTATCTCTTGCAGAGTGGTCTTCTAAGTGATAGGCCACTTTAGTCTCATAATTATGCCAGTTTCCTTTTTTGTGCATTTGCTTTATCTAGAATTCTAGATTTAGATGATTTGAACTATTGACTAGTCTATGTGGTTCTTTATTGTGAATATAAAGCACTGATGAAACATAAGACATCAATTGACCATTGGATAAAGAAGAATAATTTCAGGAGGATAATTTTAGAAGACAAATTGAAATTGTGAATTGGTGACATGTCACTTCATATCTTTCTAAGATTATATTCTAACTGAAAATGTTGTCTTTCAAGAATTCTTAAATTAATACGGTGTGCAACTATTAAATAGCTTATGGACATTCTTGTTTGCCATACTTGTCCGTGGCAAATGGAAAAAGAGGTTACCTTGGAAAAATAACATTATTATTTCTTTTTCATGGTTCTGTGGCATGCCTATAGGTTTGCTTCACAGGTATTTATATTCTTGCAAACTCCATTATTCTCTGCATCCCACTTGTAAGTCCAGCACCTATGTTTTAGAAAAACCATTTACAAAAATTCAGTTCTCCCATGTGATGTTGCCAGGTTTCATTTGCTATTGTCCGTTTCAAGAAATATGCTTTTGTTCATAAGCAATTGAAGTTACTTATTAAGGCTGTTTTTCTATTGCAGCATTGAAACAATCACTCTTGGGGACAAAAGGATAGGGATTAAGACTAGTGTTTTGGAGGAAAAAGCAACAGCATGTAACATGATTTGCTGTTATGCCGATGAGTTGAAGGAAGGCTTTTTCCCGTGGATAGATCAGGTTCATTTTTCTTTTTGCTGTTTGGAGGTTTCTTTTCTTAGGTTTGAGTGAGTATAGATATTAACCTCTGCATGGAAATTGCAGGTTGCTACAACATTGGTTCCTCTTCTTAAATTTTATTTCCATGAAGAAGTCAGGAAGGCAGCTGTTTCAGGTACTCTGTAAGCTGTTTGTTATTTAATAATAGTAAACAAGTTACATGTATGCATACACATGTACCCATTTTATGGATTCGAACAACTTTTTACTTTGTTTTGTTTGTTTGGTTACAGCTATGCCGGAGCTTTTACGTTCTGCTAAACTAGCTATAGAGAAGGGTCAATCTCAAGGACGTAATGAGTCATACTTAAAACAATTGTCTGATTACATTGTACCAGCTTTGGTGGAGGCCTTACACAAGGTTTTGCTTCTATTTGTTTGTCTATTGGTTCCTTCTGGCACGCATATTCGAATGGTCTTTGCATACGTACATCTGCTGTATTGAGGCTTATGGATTTGTCTGATTGAATAGTTGTCTTTTTGTTGCAAAACATCTTGCAGGAGCCAGAGGTTGAAATATGTGCAAACATGCTGGATTCATTGACGGAGTGCATACAGGTTTGTGACATTGATTTTGATGTATTATGATGATTGCTTTCTTAATGACACTCACAATATTTGTAGTATGCATGTTGCTCATTTCGCCATAGTAGGTACCAATTTTTCAGTTGATTTGTGCTTTAACTTGCCTTTTTTTGTATTCTTTTAAGAGCTGGCTAAGTAATTTTTTATTAGTTGATTTAGACCAGCTCCTGCTCTCACCTTTTAGCTATGCTCAGTCTACCAGTCAGCTGCTTAAGATTGTTATCTTGGTTCCTTAATTTTTTAAAAATCTTTTCCATTCGTGTTTTCCAATTAGTTCCCGGTTTTCTGCCTTCAGCTTGCATCGTTGTTGTTAGTCAATTTTATATTTGTAACTTCTAGCTTTTTGTAGAAGAAGTTGTTGTTGTTGTTCTTGAAATTAGGTCTTATGAAATTAGTGTTTTCAGGAATGAGGTTTCTTTTTGAGCTGGAGGTCTTATGAAATAGTTTCTTTAATATACAGTCGTAATTCAGTCTGCATATAAATTTGTTGGATGTGCAAACTCTTTGATCACAAATAAATCATTCTTATTCTCCATCATGCTGAGTTGCTTTGTTATGGGTATGAGCTGAACTTACTGTGGTTTCTCTCCCTCAGGTTTCTGGCTCTCTTTTGGATGAAAGCCAAGTAAGATCCATTGTGGATGAGATAAAACAGGTCATGACAGCCAGTGCAGCCAGGAAACAGGAAAGAGCAGAGAGGGCCAAAGCTGAGGACTTCGATGCAGAAGAAGGGGAGTTATTAAAGGAAGAAAATGAGCAGGAAGAAGAACTATTTGATCAAGTGAAACCTCTAACTATTTATGCTTGGATTGGCTTATTGTTTTTCTAATATTTTTTATGATAAATTAATCATTGTCCTTATTTTCTTCTTATTCAAGGTTGGTGATCTGTTGGGCATGTTAATTAAGACATTCAGAATCTCTTTCTTGCCTTTCTTCGATGAACTTTCATCTTACATAACACCTATGTGGGTAAGTAATTCCTTAATGCTGCATCTTCTTTATATATATATATATACAGGCCCACATCCATATGTGAAAGCTAGCTGTTGCTTCTTCTTAGATATGTTTCAGACATGGCTTCTGTCTTATTTCATCTTTAGTACATGAATGCATTTTCTGTGTCCCAGATTTGAGTAGATTTGCCTTGATCTCTTTTTTTAGCGGATTTTTGTGGGTAAGGATGCTGTATACAGTTTTTTGACTTGATCTCAGTAGTAAACCCACTTGCATTACTTTTCTTCAATACATGCTGAGCCACTTGACCAACTGGATATATGGTGGCCATCTGAGCGTGGCCGGGTTTGGCTAGTTGAATACGGCCTTTTAAAATTTCAATCTGATCACAGTTGTTTTAGAATTCTCTATTTATCCTTTGATTTTGAAAATTTTTACCTACTTTTTGTTCTTTTAACAAATGGTTTTAGTTACTGGGCTCATACACTCACAAATGTACTCGACTTAGTCTTGCTCATCAAATTTTTGATTGTGCAGGGCAAGGATAAAACAGCAGAAGAGAGGAGAATTGCCATTTGTATATTTGATGATATTGTTGAGCATTGCCATGAAGCAGCTCTCAAGTAAGCACGTCAAGCTTTTTTGGATATCTATTGTTAACAAGATCTTTCTATGTGCTTATTCTATGTGTTGCTGCTGACAGATATTATGCTACTTATGTTCCTTTCCTTTTGGAAGCCTGCAATGATGAAAATCCAGATGTTAGGCAGGTTTGTGCTTAGCAACTCTTTGCTGTGCATCTCTTGTAAATATGTGTTTTCTCACTAAATGATTGTCAGTTGCTTTTCAGGCAGCTGTTTATGGGGTTGGTGTTTGTGCTGAGTTTGGTGGATCTGTGTTTAAACCACTTGTTAGAGGTAACTTGTTCATCAGTTTCATATTAGACTTTCTCCTTGGTGCTAATGCCTTTATATGTTCTAAAGGGACATCTTTTGTTGTATCTTCTTGCAGAGGCCCTTTCTAAGTTGAATGTTGTCATAAGTGATCCTAACGCGCATCATTCAGAAAATGTAATGGCATATGATAATGCTGTTTCAGCTCTTGGAAAAATATGCCAATTCCATCGGGATAGTATAGATGCAGCGCAGGTATATCTATGTCATTAATTTATATGTTGATCATGCCAATCAGTTGTCCACAGATTCAACTGAGGTTGGACTAAATTATTCATATAATAAGGTTTAGCTTTATCAAGCATAACAGGGATTGGCTATGCTATGTTTTCATATTAAATGTTAGCTGGTTCTGAAAATTAGAAGCTTTGATTTATTAAAGGATTCTGGTCTAGGAAACATGTCCAGCGTTACTTTAGATTGTCTGGTTTGTTTCTTATCTTTATGGCATTAGCATTTTTATACAGGATGTTTAGCTTTTTTCTTCAGCAGTTTCTGAACTGACTTGTTACATGTGTATCAAGTGGTTTGATCTTTTTGTGTTACTCCTGCAAAAAGCTAGCCTCCTTGTAAAGTATTTATGGGGATCTGATAGCTGGTTTAATTCTGAACAAGATTTATGTGTGCAATCGAAAATAAAACAAGTTGCTCGAGGACATTTAAGGCTTTTATAGCATGTCAAGTGTCTACTTGTTTAAGTAGTTTAAGTTTTAGATATACATTACCCCTGGAATCCCACTGGTCATTTCTATTGCATATTATCATGTATTATGAGTCTTGTATGCTGTAAAGGCTTTAATCGAAATGTATGTGTGTATACACACACACACACACACACACACTAGTTGCTTGTTGTATGTATAATGATGACTCCTCACAAGCCATATTTTTGGTATTGTGCTAATATTCACGGATGTATTATTTTATTGTTTGCCACCTTTCTCATTCTCTATAAGGAGAGAAATTTGTTATGGGGGATGTATATAACGTTTCTCCTATGGTTATGTATTATTTGGCAGGTATTCCCTGCCTGGTTAAGCTGCCTACCAATAAGGAGTGATTTAATTGAGGCCAAGCTTGTGCATGACCAGCTTTGTTCAATGGTTGAAAGGTAAAAGTCATGAACTTTTGGAGTATTTTTCTTCTTCTTCTTCTTCTTCTTCTTCTTCTTCTTATTATTATTATTATTATCCTTTCCACTTCTGGACTAGTTGCATTTCATTGATGCTCATTGAAAGAGAAAAATGCAACTGTTTTCAGGTCGGATAGAGAACTTCTAGGATTGAACAATCAATATCTTCCCAAAGTTGTCCTTGTTTTTGCTGAGGTATTGTCATCTTTATTAGGAAGCCTAAAATATATCCCTTAATTTCTATTTTTAATCTTTGGAGTTGTTGCAATGCTTTGTGTTCTAGGTCATATGTGCTGGTAAAGACTTGGCAACAGAGCAAACTGCTGGTCGAATGATTAATCTATTAAGGCAACTTCAGCAAATGTTACCACCTGCTACCCTAGCATCAACTTGGTCTTCCTTGGAGCCACAGCAGCAACTCGCCTTGCAATCTATTCTCTCTGCGTAGTTCATCAGGAAATTAGGTCCTCCTTCCCGTTGGGTTGCATGTGCGGGTATGCTAGTTTTCTTAATTTTGGAAGAAGCTGTATCCAGTCAATTGAGTTCCTTTTGCATTGGTGGGCATGTCATGGAGTTTGGAAATGTGTTTGCCTGTACTCGTTGCATATTATTATGTGTTGATATCTTCCATTTCTTTTTCCATAAACTGCTTATAAAAAAATTTCTGTAGAGTTTTTCTTCTGCATCAGATATGAAAGTGAAAAATAGGAAAAATTTTGTTTAGGAATGTGTATATTATTACTACTCCCGAGTGCTATTCATTGTTTTGAGTGTGAGGGTATTTTTAGAAATTTGGAGGCCTAAGTTGGTGTGGCTGAGGTTGAGGATTGTGAGTGGCTCTATTCTTTCTTTTTTTTTTTTTTTTTTATAACTTTCCAATTCTTGGGATGTTAAATAGGTAAATATTTTATGGTGTATAAATATAAAAATGTTTTTTGATTTGGTAGAGAAGTGTTTGTAATGTTGATAACTTGGTAGTATGATGATTTTATTACAAGTTAGTTATACAATCAGCATTTCACGTGTGCAGGATTGGATTTGGAAGCTGAATCTTTATTTATTGGTACGAAAATAATAATAACAAGTGGAGTGGGGATAACTTTTGGTTGTTTTACATTACATGTTGGTCCAACAAAATTGAAGTATTGATTTTATAAGTCCGAAATTAGAACTGAAAATGAAAATTGATGATGAAATTGCAAAATGCGGCATAACTGAAACGTTTATTTTGTCATTAGCCTGATCAAAACGATGATTCTCATGCTGGGATTCGTCTATTGTGTGGGAAAGGTGGAACAAAGATCGATTTGTTCATCCTTATGGGTTTGTAAATAGGTTTGCGATTGGGCTGTGAATTTCTAAACCTAGCGTTTAGATAAACCTAGTATTGAGAAAAAGTGATTGAAAAAACGAATAATAAAAAAGAAAGAAAGATTCTCGTCAAGGAGCATGCTGTTATGACATATTACATTTACTTTTAAATTAGGGAAATAACTATATAATATTATAACATTTTAGGTCAAATTTCAAGAATTTTATAGAAATGGTCCCCTAGTGGTCTTTTACCAAATTAAGCATCTTTTCTGTATTCGTAAGAAAATATATATTAGGTCAAATTTCAAGAATTTATAGAATATGGTCCCCTAGTGGTCTTTTACCAAATTAAGCACTTTTCTGTATTCGTAAGAAATATATATATATATATATATATATATATATATACTAATATATATACATATAGAAAGGGACAAAATCTTTGCTGTTAACAGTATCAACAGCCTACCTTATGCTACTGTTAGATTCATGACTCTTAATTTTCCTATTTCTTTTTCTCCACTTGCATCATATTTGATCAACTCATTTAAATTCGAATACAGACAACTATTAGAATAAAAGGATAAAACAAAAATATTAAAACAATTTTTTGAATATTTCTACTTTGTGTTGATGGAGTGGTTTTGGATGATGAAGCGAACTCTTGGATCCATTCACAGTAACCAAGTGTCTTTTTCTATTTCTAGTTAAATAACCAGTACTGTAAAAATTATGTAAAAAGATGCTAACTTTCCAAAAATCAGATATAAAATTATCCAAACCCACTAGTTTTTGTACACTTTACCGTGAGGTTTCATCATAGTGCTATATTTATCCATGGCGGATATCAAGCAAAAAAACCACTATATGTAAATATATTTGTTGTGTTCATGGTTCATTTTCACTTTAAGAAAATAAATCATTCTTTCGTCTTTTTTCTGTATCAATTAGGGTTTTTTTTTTTTTTTTTTTTTTTTTTTTAAAAAAAAATAGTTAAAATTAAGGTTTTTTTTTTTTTTTTTTTTTTTTTTTTGAAAAAAATAGTTAAATTAAGGTTTACTTGTTATTGTTGTTGTATTAATTAAGTGAAATTAAAGTATGCATATACATAGTATTATATTTTTAGAAATGAATATACTATCATTAAGATTAACAAATATAATACTCTTCTCTCAGAAGTATTATACAAATTAAAAAAAAAAACGCCATTGTTATATACAATGGTTTTTTGTTGGTGATGTAAGAAGTTAAAACCAACGCAGCGTGCGCGATATGATATTCCTTTTGTCTGCTTAGTGCTTGACTAGGTCTCTGAGACTAATATTTTTTCTCCTGAAAAATGGTTTGGACCCTAGTTTTTGGGCTATCTAGAGGTTCATTTTGGTGCCTCCAAGTGGCAACATTTTGAGCTTCAACACTCTCTTCTCTTCTCAATTGTCATATATTTTGACCAAGTTAAGAGAGAGAAAATACAAAACGAAGCCCTTTAAGTCATGGCACTACTAAACTAGACTTTAGATCATTATACTATTATGCCAATTCTGTATCGTATCCTATGTCTGATCTCTTTTCCCACCTGGGATTAGCCATGTTTGCTTGTGGCACGACCTTACTGTCCCCTAAGTTATCTTTTTATTAATCTGAATCTATTGTCATGTCAAATATATTTTTTTTCTTCTACTCACATTAAATGCTTCTTGAGTGTATTACTTGAGATTAATTATGTTATATAATGTTGGGATGATAATTTAGCAATCGGGTGTTTGTTTTAATTTTAAGTTTTATTTCTTTTTGTATAAAAATGAATAAAAAAACTTAAATTTGAAATTTCAAAGCCACATATTTCTCATGCCTTTAAAAGAAAATATGAAAAGATCGATTAGATTAGACTCAGATATTTTAATTACCTCTAGAGATTGTAGAATCAACTATTATAGTTATTGGAGGCTAAACATGCCAATAAATAAACTTCAATTTGCTAATCATGTTGACCATGACAAACTAATGTGAGGACAAACCGGTCATTTCGGATGGAGTCAAAACAAGGGTAAGCAAGAGAAAGAATTCTCCTCTGAGAGGTAATTTGCCCACATACGAAAATGCGAGTGCCACATACTTACAAATACTAAAAAACAACTCTATATATCCTTCTCATATTAGCATCAACTTGCTCTTAAAAAAATCAAAGGAACCTTTCAACTATATATACATTTCTCCATCAAAAACCAAACAAGAACATGTAGACAGACATACTCACCCTTCTTTTGAGTGGTAGAAGAATTGTCCTTCCTTCTTATTTGCTCTTCTTTAAAATCAAACCAATGTTCTCTCTTTACAATCCAATTTCCTAGTCTTACATTTTCTTGCACAAATTTTCAATGGAAATTCAGTTCCAACAACAAAAGCAGCATAAAAGCTCGAGCGTTCCAGTGAATAAAACAAGCAAATTCAAGGGAAGACATAGACCTAACAACAATAATAATAAGTTTGTTGGTGTTAGACAAAGGCCTTCTGGTAGATGGGTGGCAGAGATAAAAGACACAACACAAAAGATAAGGATGTGGCTTGGCACCTTTGAGACAGCAGAAGAAGCTGCGAGAGCGTATGATGAAGCTGCCTGTCTTCTTCGCGGATCAAATACACGCACCAACTTCATCACTCAAGTCTCCTTGGATTCTCCTCTGGCTTCCAGGATCCGAAATCTACTCAAAAACAAGAAAGCAGGAAAAAAACAACAAAGGGAAGAAGAAAATCTTGAAGTATCTACCCCATCAAATAGCACTGTCACTACTAGCACTTGTACAAGTAGTAGCAGTAGCAGCAGCATTGATAACAGTACTCCTTCTGGCGAGATAGTTAACGATACCCAGTTTTTTGATGATGTGTACAAACCTGACATGAGCAACTGCAGAGAAGAATTTGAATTGGGTCCTTTTCAGTCTGATCTTTCATGGGGTTTTGGTTCTGGTTTGGATCGGTTTTCATTTACTCAGGAAGTGCTGGACTTCCCAAGAAATATGCTGTTGCCTGAAACAAGTGACCTGGAGTTCACAGAATTTGATAGAATGAAAGTGGAAAGACAGATATCGGCATCTCTATATGCAATGAATGGAGTGCAGGAGTACATGGAAACAGTTCATGATCCTACTGAAGCTCTATGGGATCTCCCACCAATATGTTAATTACTCTAGGAATGTTTACAAATTGACAAGGATAAACAACAATTAGAAATAGAGGTTGACATCTTGTTTGCCTAAACTTGTTCTCCTGCTGTTTTTTTCACTCTTTAAAAAAAAAAAAAAATTGTAAACAGCAGAATACACATGTTGCCTAGAGATTCTGGAAGGTCTTCGCAATCATCGATGAATGCAAAGTCTATGCAATCATGTCTATTAAAAAAAACATACTTGTTTTCTCCATTTCTTAAATCTTTTTCTCATCAAGTGTTCTTCTTATAATCTAGATGTCAGACTTCAAACCTAACGCCTTTTCCTTTTAAAACTTTTTATACACCAAAAAAAAAAAAAAAAAATCTGCCTTTTTAAACTTTTATACACCAATAAAAAAAAAAAAAAAAAAAAAAAAAACTCTCTGTTTTGATATAGATATAGATGTTATCTGTGTTTCTAGCATTGAAAGGCACGTTTGCAACCTCTAAGTGCTCTAATAGGACAATCTGAATCTTAATCATTGTATTAAAATCTTTGATTATGTCATGAATAGCTTTTCGGAAAATTAAGGGTCAGTTTCCTTTGGGCACGTCCAAATTTTCACATAGAACTCATTGCCTTGTTCCATGTTGTTAATTTTTTAATGATGTTTTAGAAAACCCTAGTTTTTGTTGTTGGCAGCAGTATTTATACTAGTTGGCATTTCACAGAAGAAGGGGACTTTCTTTGGCTATTGTTTTTGAGAACTAAGAGCAATTATTCCATGCAAAAAATATCAGAGGATACAACTATATGCAGTCTATTCAGGCAGACAGTTAATATCTTTTTGGCTATCACCATTGCTGGGTGTCTTTGGTTGCTATTCCAAATGATTTTCTAGTCAATAATTGGTATTCTCACCAGTATGAAGTAGGTTTCCCAAGAAACATTTCCCTGAATTTCTTCTTTGGGCAAGTAAAGTCTGTATTTTTTTGAAATAAGTTTTAATTGCTGCTTTCAGAATTTTTTTTTTTTTTTTTTTTTTTTTTTTTTTTTTTTTGAACTTGCTAGATAGTAGACAGGTCCTATCAAGGGTTACTAGGATTATTAAAGCATATATGCAAACATACATATATATCTTCATCTTAATGTTTACCAAGACAGGTCAATGCCCTCCTTTTTCAAGTAAGAAAATATCTGGCGTAGCCCATGCTTCCAATCACTTTCAAATGATATAATTGCAACAGATATTTATGCATCTTGGTTGCTTCCAAAAGAGAGCATTTGTTTTTCACAAACAAGTATTTATAAAAGAAAAGTAGGTATATAGACAAATAAACAAGTGGCCTAATTTAGACCTTTCCAACAAATCCAAAGACTTTTAATAAATAAATAAATGAATAAATATATATCTTGCCCTATCCTTCATTGAATTGGGCAATCGATTGTGGATAAAGAAGCTAGGATACTTTTCAAATTTATAATGAGGTAGCAAATTACGTTTTTGTATATATCGTTTTTGTATATATATAGTATACTATATATTATATATTATATATATATATAAAAGTAAAACAAAGGAAAACGAGAGGAAATAATCGGTGCATGAATGTCAATACTGAGAAGCCCTTTCATCTTTGTGATCAGTAGCTTTCTTGTGACGAACAAATGATTTTTTTTTTAGAAAAAAAACCCAAAAGAGTTACCATCCAAGGATTGATGACAGTATCTCGTAGTAAGGAAGCATGGTGGGTAGTAGGTTTAACTTTCCCATCATTATCCGATAACTTTTCTAACTCGCCATTAAATATAAAAGAAAAACAAAGGAAAGAGAGGATAATCGGTGCATGACATGTCAATACTGAGCTTCCCTTTCATCTTTGTGATCAGTAGCTTTTCTTGTGACGAAAAAGATTTTTTTTAGCCCCAAAAGAAGTTACCATCCAAGGATGATGACAGTATCTCGTAGTAAGGGCATGGTGTAGTAGGTTTAACTTCCCATCTTATCCATAACTTTTCTAACTCGCAATTAAATATCTTCATTCAACTAAATTATAAATAGAGACCCAGCTAAAAATTAAGAGGGTAGAAGGTGATTTTATTGGCATTCGCTTTCAAAAGATGAAAATGATACATTTCCAAAACCATGATTCCAAAATATCGATAAGTACAGAGCCAAAAGACAGACAATTCAGATACCACTGACATCGACAACATAGTTTATAATACACCGCAGGAAACAAACAAGTGATATGAAAGGATAGACATACAGCTGTTGATGCCTCAGAATAGAATAGACTATTTCAATAATCGTCTTCTCCTTCTTCATCGTCAGCTCCTTCAGCGCCAACTTCCTCGTAGTCTTTCTCAAGAGCGGCCAAATCTTCACGAGCTTCTGAAAATTCACCTTCCTCCATGCCTTCCCCAACATACCAGTGCACAAATGCTCGCTTGGCATACATAAGATCAAATTTGTGGTCAATACGGGAAAATACCTCAGCCACAGCTGTATTGTTGCTTATCATACAAACTGCACGCTGCACCTTAGCAAGATCACCTCCAGGTACTACAGTTGGTGGCTGATAGTTGATACCACACTTGAAACCGGTTGGACACCTGAAATTATGCATGCACAACAACATCATTCCATTAGACACTGATATCAATTCTCATTCCATCAATGCTAGACAAGTACTGTTAAATATTACATGGGATGCCAACTCACCAGTCAACAAACTGAACTGTCCTCTTTGTCTTAATGGTGGCAACAGCTGCATTAACGTCCTTTGGCACAACATCTCCACGATACATTAGACAACAAGCCATATACTTGCCATGCCTTGGGTCACATTTGGCCATCATACTTGAGGGCTCAAACACAGCACTTGTGATCTCGGGAACTGACAGCTGCTCATGGTAAGCCTTTGCAGCAGAAATCACAGGAGCATAAGACGACAGCATGAAATGGATGCGAGGATATGGCACAAGATTAGTTTGAAACTCTGTAATATCTACATTAATGGCACCATCAAATCTCAAGGAAGTGGTTAAAGAAGAGATAATCTGGGATATTAGGCGATTCAAGTTGGTGTAAGTTGGCCTTTCAATGTCTAATGATCTCCTGCAGATGTCATAGATTGCCTCATTGTCCAGAAGCACAGCCACATCCGTGTGTTCAAGGAGAGAATGAGTGGAGAGCACACTATTGTAAGGTTCTACAACAGCAGTAGAAACCTGCATTATCAGTAAAAAAGTTGTCAGTTTCCAGATAGTAATTCAAGCATAAGGGAAAGTATCTTGCACAATGCCAAGTACTGTAGTAGCCACATTTTTAAATTCTCTGTTACAGCTGCAAGTGAATAAAATTTAATACAATAAACAGTGCCTAGAAATATGCGCCCGTGAAATTTCTAAAAACAGTGATTTTCCAAAATTTAAATTTATGGATATTAGCTTAAATTCCAGGACATTTGAATAAATTCTTTATGCTTCCAAGAAAAGTGCTTTTGTGTGATTAAAGCAAGAAGCTGGTGCATAGGGATATCAGACAGAATAATGATCTTATGAACTGTTTATATCATATGCCTTCTAGATAAAGCTTGTTATAGTTTACCTCTCTAAGTAGTTCTGCTAAAGGTCTGTCTTTAAGAACATACCTGAGGAGAAGGAAAGATGGTGAAGCCAAGTTTTGACTTCTTTCCATAATCTACTGACAAGCGCTCCAAAAGTAGAGAACCCAAACCAGACCCGGTGCCACCGCCAACAGCATTGAATACCAAAAATCCTTGCAAACCAGTGCAATTATCTGCCAACTTCCTCACTCGGTCAAGGCATAGATCAACAATTTCTCTCCCCACTGCAGTATTTAACATTAACAAACCAAAATATCAAATTGTAGACGGTATATACAATAACAATAAGATTGTCATTTTAGCAGTGCAGTACAAAACCAATTTACCTGTATAATGTCCTCTGGCAAAGTTATTAGCAGCATCTTCCTTACCAGAAATAAGTTGCTCAGGGTGAAAAAGCTGTCTATAAGTCCCAGTTCTAACTTCATCAATGACAGTGGGTTCTAGATCTACAAAAATAGCTCTTGGCACATGCTTGCCAGAACCAGTCTCACTGAAGAATGTATTGAAGGAATCATGCTCAGTACCTATAGAGGTGTCACTGCAACAAAACAAGCAACATCCACATCAGGTCAGTACAAAGGGAATGAGTAGTAAACTCAGACAGATCAAGCAAAAGTGAGATCCAGTTTGTTTTCTGTCACATTAAACTCATACAGATCAATGGAAGAAATGTTTCTCCATTTTCTACTTCCGAATAGTTAATCGACGGGGAAAAGAAAATCCTATGTGGATAGGAAAAGTTTTCTTATGGAACAGAAAAGTTTCCCTTTAGGACAAAAACTCTCCAAGTCGGGTGCGTTTACCGCTCGACTTAAAAAAGGAAGCAATTTACGACACAAATCAACTGTTTGATTATTTGTCCAAAAGAGCATTATATCAATAAATGAGGAGAAGACAGCAGGGAGAATTAGCAATTCTGGGTTTGCTTATGGATTACGCATATTACGAATATTAGAAAAAAGCTAGAAGTGATAAACAACCCATAAATATTGAATTTAATTTCTATGACAACATAATTAAACGAAAATCCAAATTCACAACTACCACTACCATAAATCATACATCTTAATTTCATGTCATATGAAAATTATAAAACTCGTAAAGAAAAGAAACGATTAAGCAATTCGATCCCCATGAAATCATAATCATCCATGCCGTACAATCATAAAATTGGAAGTTTATACTATTATCCCTTAACCTATCTTTGACCATGCAAAATAATGGAAAGAAAGAAGAGAACCTGGGCATCATTCCGTCAGGTTGAATGCCATGTTCAAGGCAATAAAGCTCCCAACATGAATTCCCAACCTGAATACCTGCTTGCCCGATGTGTATGCTTATCACCTCTCTCATTTTCCTCTTGTTCTTTCTATGTTTCTGTTTTCCTTTCCTTTGGTCAAAGAAACGAAAGTGTTCTATCAATTACTAATATAGAACAGAAACCGATATTCCTTTCTCCCTAGAAAAGTTTCTCTGCGGAGAGAAAGAGCAGTTGGACGAAGGAGAGGGAAGATTAAAGAAGGAGAGAGAGACGGGGGAGAAACGGCAGTCAAAATTAAATAAAAATAAATAAGCAAAAACCGCCAATTATAACAATCGTAGTGGGGCCCACCACTTGGCGCCAACTGTGTGGTGGCCACTTTTTTCCTGGCTAGGGCTTTGTCGGTTTGCCCTGGCTGGCCCACGTCATGTCGTAAATGCCCTTTCTGTTCTTTCGTTCATTTCACCCATCGAATTTTGTTGGGTGCTTGGACGCTTGATTTCCAATACGACAATAAAACTAATATCGTACTGTTTCCGGCTTTCTGTTTTGGTGGTTAGGACTTTTACTGGCTCGGATTGGCATTTGATTCCTGATTATACTAAAAGATCGCGAATTCACCGTTCATTTTGATGATTAAGTAGTTAATAAAAACAAAATTAAATAATTTATGAAAATAGAAGTTTTGAGTTTAAGCTATGTATTACTTCATTTGTTCAGTGTTGTCTACCATTTTTTACGAGTTTTTTTTTTTTTTATCTAAAATTATCTATGCCTTTTAGGAAAAAATAATTATTATTTTCCTTCAATTTCTTAAAAGTTTCCTTTTTCTCTCTTTTAATTTTATTGGCAAATTTATGGCGAGAGAAATGTTGAAATTAAATTAATTAGGTGAAATAAATGGTAATTTAATCAAATTACGAAATATTTTAAATGATTTAACTATTTTCTGAACTATCGGGTGCAGAAAATCTTAAATGGCATATAAAAATTAATAGAGAGAGTAAAGTGTTTTGACTTTTGTATTTTTTCATTATTTATATATTTTCTAACAACAAAATGGAAAGAATTTTTAGAGGGAAACTCAGTAGTGTAATGGAATTATAATGCATGAGTTTATGTCATAATTATGAAACTCAAAGTCCTTAATTAATAATGTATTTGAATAAACCATACAACTCTATAATAATTATTCTTAATAATATTTTTGATATTTCATAATCACTTAATGAAAAAAGAAAATGTAATATAATTATATGCAAATCGCATAGTATATTTTTAAAAATCAAGGTCCTCATGATTGTATTTCACCAAATCCTAAATATTACAAAGTAATTACCCAATTCTTAATAATAGTATATTTTTCTATAAATGTTAATAAAATTAAATAATTGAATTTATAAATTTAATAACACTTCAAAATAAGCCTTACACGACATCAGTGGTACATAAGAAAATTGATTTATATAATTTTTTTCTCATTTTTATAATTTTAATTACTTAAAATACAAAACCTTCATATCAGAAGTGGTATAATTTTGCTGATTATACCAAATCCGTCCTTGTAGTAATACTCAAAAATAACTAGAAAATTTAATTGGGAATGATAGTACTATTATTTTGCCATCAACATAGTATTTTTTATTAAAAAAAATCAGTTATTAATGTTGGATTTTAAGATATGTATTTATTATATATATAAGAAAGTTTTTTTGGGACCAAATAAGAGATATTTTCTAGTCATTGTTGCAATAATGGAAGAGACATGATAATAACTTTAGAAAAACAAAGGGATAAGCATGGACCAATATGAAGCTGAGTTCTTGCCAATCATTGCCTTGAGAGAGGGGAACCTTTCCCTTGCAAGTTCCACATATAATTTATTTATTTTTATTAATTAAAAAATTGAGATCAAAATAATATTATATAACACGTATTTCTTTCATTTACTTACTAAATTAAAGAGAGACTATTGTGATTGTCGGATTTCAAATCTAAAACTCTCTGACGAGTAAAAACAACAATCAAACCCTCGTTTATACATCCAATACAGGGAATCCTGTATTGCTTTTTGAGCTGTTAAGATTTAATTCCAAAAAAATCTATTTCAATCCATATATATTTAATTGAATTTATTTATGAAACAAAGTAATTTCTTATGTAATTTAAGTTAAAAAAACAAATTTAAACTTTAATATATTTTTAAAGAATTAAATTCAAACTCAATAAAATAAAATTCAGATAGAGTGAATAATACTTATTAGTTAAATTATCAGGTGATGTAAAAAGCTACCCATAAATAAATTGAATTAATTAATTTGATAAAATAGAATAATGGAAAGAAAGAAAGAGGTAATCTCTTGAATAATTGATGGGTGGTGGTGCCATCAGAAAGGGCTGTGGGTTAGGCTGTCTTTATAATTTATGCTTCACCAAACCAAATAAATAAATATTCATGAAGATCTCCAGATGGACCAAATCCAACTATTCCATCTTCTTATGGGGCCAAAGGTCATTTTACCCCTAATCTCTCATTTATTTTAAACAAAATAAAAACATTATCCTAAATTTATTTCATACCTAACCAAATGCAATACTTGCAAAATAATAATAATTAATTTAGAAAAAAGCTCTATTTATATTTCTTAAATTTGATATTCTAACATTATATTTTGATGCTAAATCTAAAATAAAAGTTTCTTAATGTTTAAAATTTTCATTTGATAGTAATATATTTTTCAAATACTTTTTATTTCATTCAAAAATATAAGCATATATTTGTAATAATTTTAGTGTGTATATATAATAATAATTACATTTAATATTTAATTTAATGCAGTTAGAAGAAAATAGTAGAATTTGATATTATCCCTCCGGCCATGACGTTTAATAAGGAAACTACAGCTATATTGTTGTAAATATATGACATGTCTTCGAGTAATTTCTTATTTGTTTCACGAAACGACTTAACTTGTCCAAACGACTTCCTAAACAAGACAGGTGGGAAAACGAGCGGCGCTTCCTGAATGTCTTGTAGATAGGCCATAGGCCGAACTGAAGCAATCAAGGAAACCAGAAAGGATTAGAAATGGCAGGAACGGCAACCGCCACAGCGAAAGCGGTGGCACTCATAACAGGAGAACCCAATGTTAGAGGCTCTATTCACTTCGTCCAACGCCCCAATGGTCTTTTTCTCTTCCTCTCTGTGTTTATTTTTCTTGTACAAATGTTTACTTGCTAAATTGTTCGTGTCTTTTTGTTGATTACATATTCCCCCATAAAATACAGGCCCTACCCATGTGACAGGGAGGATAACAGGCCTATCTCCAGGTCTTCATGGCTTCCATATTCATGCTTTTGGTGACACCACCAATGGCTGCAATTCTACTGGTATCATATTCATACTTTCCCTCTCCGCATATGTGATCTATCTTGTTGAATTTGAACTGGCTTTTTAAATTTGACCAAGATGGTACTGATTTGTGGCTCAAAATCCTTATTTTATAATGCTATCCCTTGTAGGGTGTGTTTTGATGTTCGTGTTCTCTCTTTTCACAAGCTTATTTATCGGTTTAACTCTAGGCTTTTAGCTTAAGTTTTGATATAAATGCTATTCTATTTTCATTTTAGGGTGAAGCCCCAATTCTGTTTAGTAGTATTTGTTTTAATGGCCGAATTGCTATCTGTGGTTATCCTGATCTACTTGAATATTAGGACCTCATTTCAATCCATTCAAGAAGGACCATGGAGCTCCAACTGATAAAGAACGTCATGCGGGCGATTTGGGCAATATTGTTGTTGGGCCAGATGGTATATGTTTTTTCTTTATCCATATGCTATTTACTAAGTTGGAGAACAAAGGCATAGTTCTTATGGTTTTAACTTAATTTTACACGTTGCAGGAATTGCTGAGGTTTCAGTTAAAGACATGCAGGTAATTCGCAAATAATTGTAAGCAGGAGGCACGTTGTTTTCTCTTGTGGAGTTCTTCATTGTCTTTGATATAACATTTGACAGCATTACTGTGATTCTTTTGCTTGATCAGCCTATATCAAATGATCAAATGCTATATAGGATTTGTAGGCCCCTTTCTTTCATGGAAGTTTTAAGTTTGAAACTTTTATCTTAAATTAGTAAACTGCCTTTCTTAGTCTTTCTCCATTGCAACTTGTAGATACCGCTGAGTGGGCCACATTCAATATTGGGGAGGGCTGTTGTTGTACATGCTGATCCTGACGATCTTGGAAAAGGTTAAGGTTTTTTTTTTTTTTTTCCCTTCTTTTCCTTTTCTTCAAAGCAAAATAAAAAATGTACATTTGCTTTCACGCATCTTCGAGTTCTCCTAGACTAGTTTTATTGCATAATGTTATCCTTGGCAACACCTAAGAAAACACAGTTTCTCTGCTCTGCTCATATCTATAAGATATTATGGTGAGTCATAGCTGTTAATTAGCATCATCTCATATTTATGGTCAGCTTCTGTAACGTTTGATGAATTGTTACATGTTTGCTGCTGAAATTTCTATATTAGGTAAGCTTCTTATGAGTTTTGATACTGAGTCTGCGGCTGCATTTGATGGAATTCTCTATTCAGTTAATGCTTAGAGTCAAATTTGTTGTTTGGTAACCCTTCAAGGACTTAGATAAACTAGCTTAGGTCAGTCTTCATGGTTGAAGTTGCTTTTACTCATCTTCTTTTTGTGCATTCAATCTTGTATTGGTTCCACCTGGGTGTTTTAGCAGTAGTAATCTGCATGTAACAAAATCCAAAACTAGAATACAAAATCGAATTCTTTGATTTTAGATCCCTTGTATTTGAACACAAGCTGTGTGTGGTCAAGTAAGATTTAATGCATTCTTGAAGACAGGCATTTTAGCTACTGAGATGAAGCAGAAATTTTTTATTTTTTTTATTCATTATGTGCAAAGAGGATGGGAAAACTAAGTAATTGCATACATGGCATTGCCCGTGTGGCTAGATATTTAAAGACAATCTATCTTTATGGCTGGATAAATAATTTGAAGTCATGCCAGTTCTTCACTTGAGTGTGTGCCTCTTTCATTTTTTTTTTTTTTATATTATTATTCAGTTTTCTCACTTGCAGCTTGTTAATAATAGTAAAATGGATGTCTGCTGCAATTATGCATGTCAGATCATCTTGTCTGTTGCAATTATGCATGTCAGATCATCTTTAATTTTTTTTAGACTACATAGCATACTAAAACTAATCCACAGCAGGTGGACATGAACTTAGCAAGACTACTGGAAACGCAGGAGCAAGAGTTGGATGTGGTAATTTTCCCTATCTGTAGCAAATTTCTTTTAATAACTTCTAGTAGGTAAATCCTCTTTGCTTACATGTACCTGACGTTCTTAAAATGATTTTGGCAGGCATTATTGGACTTCACTCATCTGTTTAGGATTGATCGATTTAGCTAACGAGACACCTACCTTTTTGTGAAAAGAAACAAAAAGAATTTCCTAAGTTTTACTGGCCTAATCCAAAATACATGCCTGAAATTGTAGTGTCCAAATAATGTAATCTTTAAATGTACTAAAGGAAATCAAATGTTGCCAGAGCCTCAGCAAAGTGTTCACTTCTTTTTCGCCCTCTCATCTTTGCTATGAGAGTAGAAGTTGGAATTCTCTCATCTTCTTTTCCAATTGTACGTTGGATCTTTATTTCTACATCTTTTTTGGCTTCATCTGTTAGTACAGTTAATTTTCCATCATTTGTTAACATTTAAAACACGAACGAAGTCAATGGCACGATCAATCTCACGCCATCAGACTAGCCGCAGAACATTTATAACTAAGCTAGCTTATTCCTGCATATAATGATGATACATGTAAAACACTGTAACATTCAAATGCAGTATATCATTAAGCCAACATTTTGCGTCAGATACATCCACTTAAGGTTCAATCTACAGGATATCATGACAACCAAATAGGCTGTTAAGTTGAAATAAAAGGATTACTTGATCATGGTATAAACTTTAAATATGAAGCAGGACCTAAAGAGGAGCCCCTGCATTTCGATTGCTCATCCAGCTTTGTAGTCCAGATTCTTTCACCCTCTCAACCATGTGTTCCTGTATGATGAGTTGTCACGCAAAGAAGCATCATGAGGCTTGTATTCCATAACATAGCTGTGGGGAAGCTTCAAATGCCTTTTGATTGAATCTCTCAGTGCCATCACAGCCTAATAAAAGATGGAGATAGGAATATCAATGCATTGCATTTTCAGATTGAATGTACATATGTATAAGAGCAACCAACAGTTACTGACCTGATGATCAGATGCATTACGATTCCAAACACTCAATATATCCTCATTAAAGCGAATGCTTAGTACTGCACCACATATGTTATCACCATAATCAAGTTGGTCACCCACTAAGGCAAGCACCTGCATATGCATGTGAAAGTAAATATAAAATACCCACTCAAAGGATTCTAAACTATTGGAAAAGCAACAATTACACTGGATATACACTGGATAATGATGCCTCAGGGTTCCACATCAAAATGGCAGTCAAACGATGCAAACTAAAAAGTAACAAGGAATACATCTACCTTCAATTAGAAATTTATTCAGTTTCAGATGGTCACTAACCATCCTCGTCTCATTTTGTATGTTTTGTACCAAGCAAGCAATCACCCAAAATTGAAAGTTAAATATGAAATCTAAGTAACATTAAATTATCAATTGCAATAACAAACAGCAAAGCTATCCCTTGCAACTAAGAAGATAGTTCATTTCAGCTTTTCCTCTTACCAGGTCCTCCCAATATCGACCTGAGACAACTTTTTTAAAGCGAATTATCCACTTGCCGCCATTGGAATTAGCAGAATCCTGGCAGATAACAATGTTAAGACTATTTATGATGTTAGGCATATATTGAAAAATCCCAGCAAGTATGAAATTACAACAACTAAAATAAAAGGTGATCAAAAGCTATGACAAGGTTAGGTTTATGATGTGACCTCCCATAGAGGACGGATTCCCTCCTTGAAAAGATGCAGATCAGTGGGACTGGGTAAAGAAGAAGGTCGAGCCAAGTGGCAATAGCAGACCCAAAAGCCTTCAACCTACATAAAACAATTTTGTAAAGGTCCAATTAGCAAAATGAACCAAGAAAAAGAACTTATATTTTGTTGAGGATTCAACACAAAATCATATATCCTTAAGTTCAAAACAATAAACTTACTGTACTGAACTCCACGATTTTCTTTATGTTGTCCTCATATGATGTCTGTGTTCGAACTCCTGGTGTTCGGCGAGTGTACCAAAATACAAACTTGTGCTGATCACAGATATGTCAAAGATATGTCAAAGCCAAATAAGCACAACTAAAAAAAGTCAGTATACACAATACAAGTAAAACAGAAATGAATCAAGCAAACCCAGAACACCAATGCCACTTATTATTAAGCATGAAACATTCAAGTGTGGTGTGATATAGTGCACATCTGTATTGCACTTTGCAGCACGGTTTCCACAAGTTAATCAAAGCAGTGACAACCCCATCTCTACTTAATGTGAAAGATGAGAAGCTAAGCTTGCTTCTAATGGCATGTTTACAAGTTTGTCTTAAGGGCAAGATAAGAGACATAAAAAGGAAGAAAAGTAAAATGGTTTTCACCGTTGTTGATTGCCTTGATGGTTCAACAACAAATGGTCTTAAAAATTCTGAAGATAAAGAATGCTTCATTAGCAAACAATTGGAAATTTAATTTAATAAGCATTATCAATTAGAAACATAAGACAACTCTCCATAATGCTGCTTCTAAAATATGATCATTACTGACTTGAACAAATGAACTAAACTATATTTATTTCATTTTCTTTTTCCTGCAAGTTTCCAAAAGCAGCTTCAAACACCTAAAGACTGGACCACAAGGTCATTCCACGTTCTCATTTGGGCTTTTTCTCCCTAAACCAGTAGAGTTTCAAACATGAAAATCTGTGCTTCTAATGCCTTAAAAGCATTTACCCGAAGGTGGTTGTTAAACTACACATCTTCATTTCTGTATGTGTTAAGAACTCATTTTACTAACAAGTGATACAAGGAATGTAAGAGAGACATAAGACCTGAAACTCCTGAATCAGTGTACCAAATGGTTAGTCAGGACAAATGAGCATGGTCATTCAAATAGATTTTACAACTGCTCCATTGTTTTCTTCCTTCATTCTCAGGCTCATAATCTAGGCAGTTGCGAGATTGACAGTTTCTACAAACAAAATAAACTTATCACAACTCATCTTCTAAGCCTGCTTGCAAACCTAAATAAGCCATTCTGAGACTCAAATCAAATTCCAGTTGGCGTACCAACCTACACAAGCCACTCCAATCCAATCCATGCTCTTTTTTTTTTTTTTTTTTTTTTTGATAAACTTATCACAACTCATCTCCCTAAGCCTGCTTTGCAAACCTGAAATAAGCCATTCTGAGACTCAATCAATTTCCAGTTGGCGTACCAACCTACACAAAGACTCCAATCCAATCCATGCTCTTTTTTTTTTTTTTTTTTTTTTCAGAATTTTTTTTTTTTTTTTTTTTTTTTTTCAGAATTTGCTTCTAACCGAGCTCACGCATCTTCTAAAGTCTAGTCAATCTAAGCCTAATCCTATGGCTTTTATGCCAACCAAATGACCTATCAAGAACCTTGTCATTTCAAAATAAATAACGGACCCTAAATTCTGACAACCGAATGTCAAACTTGAAAACTTCAAAGCACATATGAATTCCTTTTCTTTTGTCTTTAAAGCCATAAACTTTTTTATTTCTCTAAAAGGCTCCATTTTATTTCCCTTTTCCCTTTTTCATTTAAGAGCTATGATAATGGACTCTCAAAAACCATAACTACAATACTAACCGATTATATATATATATATATATTTCAAATGGTTCACCGCGTTCGTGAATCCAGCTAATCAACCGGCAAATAATCAAAGTACAGCAATTAGTAGAGCTAAAGATCTCTATAGAGTCGATGCAATACATACTTAAGGTTATGATAGTTAAATAGATAGATACAGAGAGAGACAGAAACCTTGAGAGGATGCAAACCAGCTTTAAGGTCGCGTGCTTGGCGTTCTTCGGCTTCTTTATCTATGATGTCAGTTGGTGTTGAATCCACTGCTGTTTGAGCATTGATATTGTTGTTTTCTGTTTCCTTCTTCTCTGTGATCTCCATTTTAAGCTTTGGCGCTCGAAGACACAAACCCTAAGCGCTAATCGTCTGTCTGGGTTCGGTTTTCTCTGGGTTCGGTGAGGACGATTGAAGAGGAAACCAGAAAGAAAAAATGGGAAATATCTTGCGCTGTTTTCACTTTTCACTTTGAGAGGAGATTTTTGTAGTCTGTTTGGAAACAAGGACAAACAGGCTCCCTCTTGGGTAAGGACACCTTTTTACTCTTTAGCAGCCAACAATTGTATGAACGATTTCATCCCTATGAAGTATAAAATTCTAACTTTAAAAAAAAATTCCTTTTCTTAATCAAAATTACTGGCGTATTTTTATTTTATTTTTTTAATTTATCGTTCACTATATATTGAAAATAATAATAATTTGAGCAACCAAGAAAATAGTAATAATTTAATGGATGTAAAATATAAGAATATATTAATATATTTTTCAAAATATAAGAATACTTCCATCAATTTTGATATTTCATAAGGATAAAATTATAATTTTTTTCATAACATTAAAGCAAAGCAAAATTCTATTGAATCACACAAATCAATTAAATCGAATAAATTAGATTCGATTTTTACATAATTGGTTTTTTCTAGAAGATAATTACTTTTGGTTTGATCGAAGTTTTTTATTTCAATTTATTTTTTATCACTTCAAAATCTGCCTAAAAATAGCTAATATTGAATCATATTCAAATGAATCCAATTGATTTTATACATTATTCATTTTATTTACATTTTAAAATTTTTATTTCATTCCATCAACATTTCAATTTGGCTAAATGCTCCGAGCAAAAAATATTATTATTATTATTATTATTATATTATTATTATTATTATTATTATTATTATTATTATTATTATTATATAGTGAATAGCAATATTATTATTATTATTATTATTATATAGTGAATAGCAATTTAAAAAAATATAAAAATAAGGCGGTAATTGTGATTAAGAAAAGGGATTTTTTACACCAACTTTTCATAATTTTTATTTAATTAATTAAAGCGTAAATGAGGAATAATGATATTTTGAATTATGTAATAAGAAAAAAAGCATTTCTTACAATAAAATAAATAAAAAGCATATTGTTTATGAGGAAAAAACATATAGTAATAAAACTAGGGAAAATAAAAGGGAAGAGAGAATTTCTTTTTGTCCCCCACACCACACAGAAAATATATATTCTCATGCAAAAAGGCCAAACCAGAGCATCTAAGAACAAGCACCCCATCCTCCTCTTTCCACCCCACCCTAAACTAAAACTGGGCCAAAAATTAAATTAAAAAAATTAATACTTTTGGTTAAAATGGGGATTAAAGATTAAAGAAAGAAAGGTTTCATCAAGTGGATGTCGGGCGGCCATAGATAAGCAACGCAATCACCACCATCCACACGTCCACTTCCAAAAATTCAATACACCCACCTTTGACAATACCTCTATAGGTTGCTTTACATTGACAAAAATTTTTCTCACAGATTCATAGAAACATCATCAATATATATAAACAAATCAAATTTCAATTTTTATTTTCCTTTTTAATATATATATATTTTTTATAATAAAGAGAAAGAGAGAAACGCCATTTTCTTTCTTTCTTTCTTTCTTCTTGTTGCTGTATCTGTGTGCGGTCTTTATTGGATTGTTATCTTCTGTATTTTCTTATTCTTCTTCTTTTTCTTTGTGTTTTGGGTTTTCCAAAATCTTTCCTTCCAGCTGTTGGTTATTCTTGGTTCAATCCTCTTTTATGGCTTTGGTTTTTATTTTCTTGCTGTGTATTGGGGCTTTGCCTTCGATTCCTTTCGTGTCTGCATCGGCATCGGATTCTGTTTGCCCTAATGAATCTGTTCTGTTCTCATGTAATCTCCAATCTCAATGTCCTCTATCGATCTCCCCAAATCCTCCTCTTGAGGTACGTTTTCACTTTTCTCTTATTATTATTTATGTCATCTTAATTTTTGTTTATAGTGTTAATTTTCGTTTCTTGGCGGTTAATCTGATATTTTATTTTTGTTTCTTGGATTTGTTCATCTGTGGATTTATGGATTGTTGGTGTTTTATTTGATTTGTTAATTTGATGACGTTTATTTGTTTATTAGTATTTAGGTTTTTAGTTTAATTTGTAGGTTACTGTACAAGTGTGAGGTATTTGATTGTGTGGTTTAATTTTGAGGGTTGTAATAAAGACTGATGAAATGGCTGACCTTTTGATTTCCTAGTATTGGGTTGTTTGAGTGTAAAGAAAGTTTGGCTGCAAAATTGATAGGATTGTCTTCTAGAACTTTCAATTTAGCATTTCTAGGTGGAAAATTAAGAATTAGAATTTTGTTTTTGAATTTCAATCTTACATATGGAGAACCAAACCAAAAATAAAGATTGTGAGACTAGTGTTTTGTTAGTTAGAGCTATGACTTAATTTTTAAAGTGTCAGCTGATGTTATACATAATTTTGTACAGTAGCAAATTGTCTGGAAAGGGTGCAATTTAGTAATTCATTGTGCTGCTGCAGAGAAATGTATTACTGGTTTCAGGTGTAATCCTTTGATGTTTAAAGCAAGAAGTGGCCTTCATGAAAGATATTTGAGACGTTGTTAGGATCTATCTTAGGCTTTTGTGCATTGCAAGCTAGAGTCCACAATAGTAACTGGAAGAAACAAAAAAGAAATGAACATTTAAATGTAACTAGCAAACTTCAGACTCTGGAATTATTTGTTAACTTTTTTTTATCCTCACCAGTATTGTTAGGGACATCAAGCTTTTTGATGAATGTGAGGTTGTAAAGTGTTCTTGTGAAGGAAGAACTATATTAGAGCTCTTATGGAGAAAGTTGATGTAGGCTCTGCCAGTAGCTAATGCAAAAGCCTAAGGTGCATAACAATTATGAACCCACTAGTTATGAACGAATAAAGTATTTTACGAGGAAGACACACTAGAATAGCCATATGTGATCACCGCAGAAAAAACAAAAAGAAGAAAAATCCTGGATTTCTTCTGCTTTATAGTGTCTTGGAGATGTGCTCTTTAGCCTCTTATTTAATAGACATGCATGGATGAATATAGAAACTAGGAACTCGAGGATTGAAACCTAAGAGGAGAGAAACATGGGAACTTGATGGACAAGCTGTTACAAGTTGGGCCATGGTCATAGATGTAAATAGCATATATCTGAAGATGGCTTCAAAGATTAAAAACATTACTGTGGAAATCTTGGGAAAGTCATTAAGGTAGGAGGACTATAGTTGAGATTTTGTACATCTTATCTGATTATACAGTCTTTGCCAAATTTGGATGGGAAGTTACCAAAATTGCAATGCTATTATCAAATGATTTATGATTTGGATGACATGCCCATAGAATGGGTACAAATAATGCTGAGATGGATGTGTGAATGTACATGAAGGAATCTACCTCAGAATGCAAATTTATTGAAAGAAGCATGTGGCATTGAATGTAGATGCACATTGTTTTGCCTCCACGAAAATTCTAATAAAGTATGGGGCTTTTGCGAATAGATAAATATATTTCCCAGATTTTAATACCCACTAGAATTATGTCTTGCCTCAAAGTTTGCTAAAAAATCTTGTTTATAAGCCCCAGTAATTTGTGTCCATGAGGCTGGACAAAAATTGTTGAGTTATTTCTTATTTGGTTAATTATTACTAAAACAAATGACTGAAAAATTTTACGATTCGTTTTGCAAGATAGTGTTGAAAACCCCAGAAAACAAAAGATTTCACTCTTTCACTCTTCCTCTCAAAACTTATGAATGTTTTTCCCATTGGCTAAACTACTTTTTTTTTCCACTGTATTGCCCCTGGGTACCACCCATCAATGTCAATTTTTGGAAGTAAAAACTAAGATGATTTGGTCATATCCAGCATATATGTAGATCAACAACTGCACTTGTACAGAGATTGAGTGTTCCCAGTTTGTGGAACGAACATATAATTCAAGAATGACGTTCATATTATTAATGGAATAGTTAAACAGCAGTTAGCATCTTCAGAATATTCCTTTCTAAAAATTCAATTGTATATCATGTAGAGTTAAGGGGAAAGGTCCATGTGACAAACCATCACTAAATAGGGATTGAGGTGCAGTTGAGTGCAGATACAAAATTTTTTTAGTACAAGAACTTTGTTGAAGTTATACTAGTATAAAGAAATTACTGACTTAGACATGTGCATTTTTGCACTTAGCATGGAGAAAAGCATAAACTGATATTTGGACAAGTCTAAGCTATTGTAATTGTGTTCTTTCCCTTCTAGATCGGCTAAGATAGAAGAAAGGAGAAACATGTCAAGCTTAATTGTCTCTGTTCTCGGTTGTTTTTTAAGACATATTGTCTTCTCTCTCAACAATAGATAAAAAAGTGAACAATTAACTTCCCTTTGCATCTTGTTTTCATTGAGTGGACAATTTTTAATACAGTAGGTTGTAATTAGTGCTAATGTACTAGCAGTCCATTTATGATAATGCCTGCTTTCTTCTTCTTCTTCTTCTTCTTTTTTGTACTTTTGGATGAGGTGGTAGCAAATTATGAATTCTTACATATGACATAACAAAAATTTACGTAAGAAGGAAGTTTGACTAAGCTGTGAGAAATTAGAATTTTTATTGCTTTTTGATGCCTTGGACTAAGCTGTGAGAATTAGAATTTTGATTGCTTTTTGATGCCTATCCCCACTAAAATGAGTTGAGGTCATGATGGCTCCTTGCATCCCGCTGGATATTTCTTACATTAGGGATAATTAATTCCAAAAAGTACGAACATTTTTCTTTTGGAAAATGTCTACACATTATGGCTTCATTTTGAGAAGATCACAGAATAGTTCTAGCTATCCCATCCCAAGAGTTGCTATTGCCCACTCTGCAATTCAAGATGGATGGTTTGTTTTGACTTGTGGAGCAATGTCTCTGACTTAACACTGATTTCAGTCTGTTTGATTGAGCTGAATTTGCAATTCAATGCAGTGGTTGGAAAAACAAAGTTTAAAGAGTTCATTGAATTGAATTTTTCACAGCACCACACGAAAATGCAAATAAAAGAATATAAGTTGTGTGCATATGTGAGACATTATAAACAGGCAATTTAAGTGAAACATGTTCATAGATGAATTGAAAATCACAATGAAATAGATATTGAATTCTGATCTAATTGTGAAATTATGATTGATTCCTCTACACTGGCATATATTGTATTGCTGCTCCTTTTATGGGTTTTCTCTTGTATTTTGTTAACTCAGAACCCTGTCCTTGTACCTGAATTTATAATTGATATTTGATTCAAAGTCCACTCTGTCTCTTAATTGAGTTTGGATATGCCTTTATGTTTCCTTTTGACTTTTATTTTTCCTTCTTATCTTCATGTCTTTCCAACTTACAATAAACATAATTGGCTTTGATCTACATTTACATATACCATAATGTAGCATTTTTCTATACTAGACTCTCTGACTGACGTAAGAAGCTATTTTGTGCCTTCATTTTTCTTGCATTATTAGTATCATTAACAAATTGTCCACGTCTAATTGTTCTCATATAATCTTTTTGTTTACTTCTTTTCCTAGTGCTGAATCATATATTTATTTGTTGGCCAATAGGTTGATGGGAAATTCCTGGACAGAGCATTAACTTCAAAACAGAGAAATTCATGCACATCTATTCTCTTCTATGCTTCCTGGTGCCCATTTTCACAAAATATGCGACCTAAATTTAATATGCTTGGTTCCATGTTCCCTCAAATTGAACATTTTTCTGTTGAGCAATCTTCAGCTTCCCCAAGGTATAATGCCATAAAACCTCCAGTAATATTATTTCATTATATAGATAAACTGGGATATAATCTGGTTAAATAATCTTTGCATGTTCAGGTTTGACCAAGGAACTTATTATTGTATATAAATTCTCATTGTAGTTCTTGTATTTGCTTCAAAGAAGGAAAGATAATGACTATGCTATGTGCAGTTACTATGTGATGATAAGCACGCATGCTTTGCACCGTGTTTGCACAAAAGCTGTTTGTTTATCTCCGAATTTTGTAGTTCTAAGTTGAAATACGGTACTCATTTGTGTTCAGTAAATGTAGGAGAAAGTAGATGCAGGATTTTGATATCATTCTCTATGTCATTTAACAATTGTGTACTACATCTGGGGTGGGTTTTTCCAAAAATTTTTATGCATACTTGCCATGCACAAGTTGTGCATTATATCACTTTGCATTTCTGTGCCTTTTCTATATGATTCAATCTATAGACTACAAAAATAATAATTTTTTTGAGGTGCTGAAATGACGAGGTCGTTTAACTTGGCTTTGGTTTCTACTGATATCCATATGATATTCTGCAGTATATTTTCAAGATATGGAATCCATAGCTTGCCTTCATTATTAATAGTCAATCAGACATCAAAGTTGCAATATCATGGACCAAAGGATCTTCAATCCCTTGTTCAATTTTATGAGAAGACAACAGGTAATTTATTTTACCTTTTTAAGAATTGTATAGTGGTGATGCATCATTCTGCATTTTCAGAATCTACTGGAACATTTGAGTGATTTTTCTGCCAAATTACTCCTGCACGTTAGAACCTCAGCTCCATGCAACTGAATCCTATTTAGTAATCACCAGTAAAATCAACTGAACCTATTTGTCAATTTCAGGTCTCAAACCAGTTCAATGTTTTGGTGAAGATGAGCCAACTGGTTTGGACAGTGGTGAAGAATCAATCATGCAGCACTGGGATGTGTCTTCCTTAGAGGAGATGATGAAAAAGGAACCCTATTTAGTATTTGCCGTATTGTTCCTTTTTCTGCGAGTACTGTTATTCATATCTCCGAAACTGGTGTCTCATCTAAAGGCTTTCTATGGATCATATGTTCCCCATTTCAACTTGGAAATATTTGGTGAGACAAGTCAATTATTTGGCCGTATCCTGCATATGATTGATGTGAGGAGGATTTGGGTGAAGCTGAGATTATGCAAGGCCAGGAACTTCCATGAAGGTGCAAAAAATTGCCGGGTTTGGGCTTCCTCCCTGGCTTCTGTTTCATTAGGTGAATCTTCATCAGCTAGATCACAATCCTAATGCAGACACTGCCTTTCCTGTGGGATTAAAGGAGCTTAATGATGAGGTAATGTATTGTGAATGTGTTGAGGCTCAGGGAAGGTAGTCTAGCTCTTTCTGTGTCTCTGTCTCTCTCCTGTTAAAATTTTACTATTAACTAGTGATGATGATGACAACTACGATGATAATAGCTCAAGCTGTTGTCCTTTGTTTGAGTTTCGGGAGGAATTAAAACAAGCATGTAAATTTGAGAACAGCTTTGCCCTTTTTTGTATATTATTTGTCATTTGGAGTAAACCTCTTGAACACATCAGTGGAATTTGTTAGCATATGTTATGTGCTCTCTTTATATCTCATATGAAAGATAGCAATTTGATCAACTTATTGTGAATCAAAATGGTTGTAAGGAGCAGGACAAGTTTATTATAGGTTCTGACCATAATGACCCTAATCGCGTTGTCAAGGACGGAGAATTAATTATAGATTAAAATTCAAAAAGAGCCAAACTAAACATTTATTCTTCATTAAACTAACTTTATTGAAGTTGAAAAGCAATTGTTTGGAATAACTTTAACTTTTGTAGGTGGGTTCAATATAAATTATATGGTGAATAATAATAATAATAATAGAACCTTTTTTGGGCTTAAACTCCACATTCAAAATTTTCAACCCATCTACATCTACTATCTAGACTATACAAATACAAAGAATGTTCTAGAGGCAGCTTGCAACGTGTTATTGGCAGCCAAAATTTAGAAAATGACCGAAACTGAAGTTTCTGCATTTAGGGGTTAACTTGCAAGCCACTTGTCTTGTTCGTGCACAAGCAAATGTTGCCTCTTCAACCACAAAACTCTAAGTCGCGAAAATGCATTTTAAATGCACATTTAATCTGCTCTTGTTTTTTTCAGAACTATATACACTCAGCAGAATGATGGAAATGGAACTCCAACTTTTAAATCCCAAGATTAAGCTAAAAAATCATTGTTTAATAATCAAAATCAAATTTATGAACGCTAAGATGTTTTATAAGATATGAATTTTTGCTCTGTTTATATTTTATTCCTAACTAATTAATAATAAAGAAAAAGAAAGCAAAAAGAAGAGCTTCCCTATGTCTATATCCTATCTGCCAAATCATCATTGGCATGACATTTTGAGTGGTATAAAAGCATTGTTTTAAACCTTTATTTAATCAACCGAACTAACTCTAATTTGATTAACATCTGTTACGACAGCTGATTAAAGTATTTCAAATGTGTTTGGTTAAAAAGAAACTCTAAGAAAAGTCTGAAAAGGTACCCACCTATGGACAGTTGTACAAGGGCTTTCCCTTTCATCATTTTCCATTTTTGAATTCAATAATAAACCTAACCAGTCACTTTCTTCCCAAGCAAAACTTTGCAAGCAACCGACACTGCTTTCTCTCTTTCTTTTCCATTTCCCTCAATTAGAGTGAGAGAGTCTTCAAGGAATCTTCAGAGAAAATGTTGACAAATAGACCTTAAAAAAAAAAATGAAAAAAAAAAAAAAGGTAAAACATTGCATAATATTTGATCACTGGTCTGCTGTTAGCTAACTTGGCTTGTGTTTATCCAAACTTAACATTATAGTAATCAAAACAGAATATAAAAAAAAAAAAAAAAATGGAAAGAAATATCAGGAAGCCCACCCAAGAAGCAATTCTCTTAAGTGGGTCCCAATGGACCACCTCCTAAATTGTCCATTATTTCTGAGGATAAGATACGAAACCATGTCGTATCTGTCTTCCTTGCTTCTGGGTTTCAGCTTTTAACACACCAAAGAGCAACAGGACACACCATGGTGTGATGGATGGCCTTAGGGCTCTCTCTCTTTTTCTTTGCTTCCTAATATGAAAATTCCACACAAATCTCCATCAAAAGCCACCTTCTTTGATCAATAATTCAAACCCCCAAGATAATCAAGATTACCCTTCAATATATAGATATAAACCCATTTTCTTGAATCCTAGAAAATTCCCATCAAGAAAATGGATCTTGAAGAGTGGGAAATTCTTCCTCATAGTGGATTTCTTGATTATCGTGACGATGGTGAAAAACAGAATATTGGAGCAACCAAAAATTGCTCAAATTTCAATATGAACTATTTTGTTTGCCCATCTTCACCTCCAAGAAATTCAAGAATTGTGCCTAACCAACTTGTTCCGGTTCCATTTCAGTTGGAACCAAAAACAGTTAAAGATCAAGAAGACATGGAATCAAAAGAACCCACTAGGTTGCCTTTTGTGATCATGCCTGAAAAGATCAAAGATCCTGATTTAGCTTCAAAAGAAGCTGATCAAGACCCAATTTCTCAAGTTTTCTTCAAGAAAATGAGGGAAAATGAATTTGTCGACATGAAAATATTGGAGCGTCCAACGTCTCCAACAAGTAAAGGATCATTTGTGCCTCCTCAAATTGAAACTGCGGGCAAATTTAATTTTGAGGACAAAAGTGATGCCTATAAAAGTGAGACCTTTGAGAGTGCCAAAATTACTTCTCCAAGAATCAAGAATAGTGAAAATGATAATATTACAGAGGAAGAAGTGAATTGGGAGGAGAATAGTGGTGGATTGAATATTTGGAAGTGGAGCTTGAATGGGATCGGAGCTATTTGCTCCTTTGGTGTTGCTGCTGCTACTGTCTGCATTATCATCTTCGGAAGCCAACAAAGAAACAAACAGCATCAACAGAATCAAAAGCGGAGGTTTCAAATTTACACTGATGACAAGGTTTGTTTCTGTTCCTCGTCTTTCTAGTATTTTTGCTTGTTTTAACAAGATATTATTTATGCATATTTGGTACTCATTCCATACATCACTTAACTTTCACATGGTGTTTTACTCTTTTGTGATGCTTAATTTGTATTCTGTTTAATCATTGATCAAGTTGAACTACAATTAAGTTGAGTATTTCCAAGCAAGTAATTGTTATAAAGATGCCTTTCTTGTCAATTAGTATAAACATACTTGGTAAAAAAATGTAATTCAAAGCTTTGTTAGTGAAAATTTAATGATCAGTTTATCAGCATGTTCATATGCATATGCAGATGAGAACTTGAAATTGGTATTGCATTCACTAGATTGTTAGATTGTGAACTCAGAACCAATTTAGCGGGGTAAAAAAAGAAAAAAAGAGATCAATATTTCATCCAAATGAATGTCAGCATTAGGGTATCTACTATGATCATAATCGGAGATCGATATATCTAATTAATCCCAAATATTTGTTGTAGAGGATTAAGCAAGTGGTTCACCATGCAACAAGATTGAATGAAGCAATTACAACAGTAAGAGGAGTTCCCATTGCTAGAGCTCATATAACATATGGAGGTTACTTTGATGCCCTTTAAATCAAGTGCTTGTCACAAAACTTCTCAATTGTTCCTTGCTGTCAAATTGGTGGTGATGGATATATTTGCTATGCCTATATGTAAGCTTCTACAAAAGGTCTTCTTCATATCCTGTACAGAAGAATATTAATATCAGATGTTTGTTTGTGGATAGATTCTGATGAATCTTGTCTGTAGTTGAGATTCCTTATGCTTGTATACAAAAACCACTTGTAAGAGGTTTTTGGGGTCTTACTTGTGATCCCATTTATAGCACTAGCTAAAAGTTTGTATTATGGGCATTTGTCCCTACGAATTTCTATAATCAAGAAGTCCCTGAAATGATTAGAATATATTTGAATATTATACCAGAATAAATTAAAAATTTTGTATAAAAGAAGACTCAGTATAAGGAAGACTTAATATTAGATGAATGATCCTTCATGCCATTACCAATGTTTGACCAAGTATAATTATTGGTGGTTTTTAGAATAAGGATAGCTATGCCCATAGTTTTTAATCTTATTTATAATTATAGATGGTTTTAGTAGTTTAAAACAACCTTATCCTTAATGATCCATTGACTTTTTTTTTCATTGTTAACAGAACTTCTTGTCTTAATAATAAGCTTTCTGTGTTTTTTTTTTTTTTTTTTTTTTTATTTATAATTATAAGATGGTTTTAGTAGTTTACAAACAACCTTATCCTAATGATCCATTGACTTTTTTTTGCATTGTTAACAGAACTATCTTGTCTTAATACATAAGCTTCTGGTGTTTTTTGTTTTTTTTTTTTTTTTTTTTATTTAATTTAAATATTAAAATTTTTGGTTTGTTGGACTGCACATAAATCAGAACTTCATGGTTTTGATCCTTAATATCTTGGCGCGAAATTGGCTAATTGATATTTGTGGATTAAATTAGAAGCCTCCTGATTGATCTAACTAAATGCATTAAGATCTTAATTTTTTTTTTTTTTTTTTTTTTTATTTAATTTAAAATTTAAAATTTTGTTGTTGGACTGCACATAAACAAACTTCATGGTTTTGATCCTTATTCTTGCCATTGGCTAATTGATAGTTGTGGATTAAATTAGAAGCCTCCTTGATTGTCTAACTAATGACAATTAAGATCTTAAAGATATTTTTTTACACAAGGGCAATGAAGGGGAAAGACAAAGACTGATTGAACAATCCAACTATCCAAACAAAGGAGATTTATTGAGTTATGACCCACTTGAGAGAGAGAGTGACTTGATCACTCCAATTGATTTATTAGACAATAATAAATATGCACAGTGTTTAATTGTCAAAAATGGTGACACAGTGGGATTCACTAGGACTAGTGATGTGAAAGAACCTATTGGAAGTATATGTTGGATGCCATGCATTTACATGGAGATTGGACAACCTTCAAATAATTGCCATATGGGTAGGGTCTCTCTCTCATTGCTACATTCAACCACTTCTAAAATATCAAGAGTTTGAAATGGCTAAAACAAATTTTGTTCCATATGTAAAAAAACAGGTAGCTATTTTTAATTTTGAATTTGCTGTGCACTTGACAAGCAGACCTTCTATTATTATAAAATTTTTTCACTTTTTCATGAATATTGTTATGCAGTTAAATATTTGTTTTTAAAATTTTTTATTACAAATTTGTACTAGTCTTCTATAGTTCTATCCAATATATTTTCTTGCAGCTCTGTAAACCTAAACAAATGGAAACAACGAGGAAAAACGACATTTAAAATAGAATTTTACAAAAAAAATAGTATTTTTAGAAAAACGTTTCCGTGCATCACAGGAGAGGAGACCTCTCCAATGTAAAAATCAATTATTTGTGATTTGTATCTCGTACATTTTTTATCAAACAACACCCAAAATAGAGACAATTATCTAATAAATTTAAAAATTAGCTTTTTTTTTTTATGAACTTTTTTAAAAGTCACTGCAAGGTTGTAAATTTTTAAATTTTAAAAAATTAAACTTTTAAACATAATAAGAAATTTCTGGAAATTTTCAGTCACTAGGGTTGCAAACGATTTGAGTTAAATTTGTATTCCATTTTCAAGTTGTTAAAATAATAAATTCTTTTTTCCGTTAAATTCTGTTTTGCAAAATAGAGTTTTGATTATCCGAATCACATATAGATATGGAAAAAAGCAAAAATATTCCAATTCAGAGAGAAAAACAAATCAAATGTTTTAGAGAAAAATTAAAATATTTGAATCGATCTAGGTTGGGGAAAACAGATGGAAATTTCCTTACCCTCAAACAGATTCAGGTTGTTCTTCGCCTCTGTCTGAACCAAACGGCATTGATTAAATCAACCTTCTGGTTATTCGGAGGCGATTGATTGAAAATAATTTATCAGAAAGGGCTTGGATATGGAAATTTTAGATTAAATGTCTAAGGCTGCTTGGAGAACAATCGTTGTGAGATTGCGGAGATTGTTCCCTCAAAATGGCCTTGGATTATGAATAATCAAATACAACATTTGATCAAACGATTTGATCTCTGCCTCTTAACTAAGCCAGTTATGAAATTGCATTTCGATTCATATGGCTACTCTTAAAGGCAGTTATTGTTATAAGCATATTGTTCATGAAGAATCGTCTTCTAGAGAAACTGACAAGGCTAAGAGGAAGTTGTATCTGAGATGAAGGAGGACTCAGCGTTGTAGCCGAACTAAGGTTTTTAAGATTGGGGTTAGGGTTTTAATTCTGGAAGAGTATTTTACCTGTGACGTCTAATTACTAAAATGCCCTCGTTTTTAGGTCTAGAGCTAATGTGGATTCATTTTTGGTTGACCGCATTGTTTTTGTTACAGAGTCACTGGACTTTATCACGGGCCGATCCTGATCGGGTTAAGTTTTCATACAGCCCCAATATGGCCCGGCCTGAAAAAATTTAAATATTTATATCTCGATTCAAGTCGAATTTACAGGTATTTATAGACTTTCCCTCTTTACTCAGGCCCTCTCTGTGAGCTATTAGCGGTTAAATATTAATAAGTATTTAATTAATTATTTAATATAAAATTATTGAAAAAATGTAAGAACATTAAGAATAAGACAAAGGTAAGTGATTCATACAAAATTTATAAACGATTAAACATTAATGGGATTAAAGTTTCACGAAATACTATCTGAGACTTTAAACAATAGAATAGATGTGTAATATTAATATTACCCAACACTATAATGAATTATAGCGTTTTAACCGCAAAGCACTAAACACTACTTGCAAACAAAAAGAGCTTTAATGTAGAAGTTTTTAGTCTTACATGAATGGAGCTCAAAACCAAATTTTCAAGCTTAAAATTTAAATATCTATAACTTTACATCTCAAATTTGCCTATAAACGATCCATTTTATTAATCCAACTTACTATAGTTTTTTTATTTTCATCATTTGGTATCGGAATTACTTGTATAAATTTTTGGAGGTTTTGGCGAGACCCTTCAAGAGCCATCTCTACTACAGCGTACCTAGATGGCAGTTGCAGCAGACATTTAACAACCCAATAATTATGTGCCAATTGTTATGTGCTGTTTTACAGTTTTAGTCACTTAGTTATGTGAATTGTATTAAGCTTAATTCTTACTCAACTCAGGATTAGTATATTAAAATGAAGCTTAAAGCTCTCTCTCTCCTAATCTTATTTGTTGTTCTATTTGGTAATTTTAACGATTATTAGCAGATTAATATAAACCGATAAAAAAAATATAAAAGTAACGTGATAAAAATAAGTAATAAATAAAAATTTTATAAAATGTAATAAAAATAACATTTTATGAAATCCTACTTTAACTAAAATTGTATTATCATAGGCAACTAAAATAAAATAAATATTGCATCACAGAACGTCAGAATTAGTTAATTACTTAAAATAATATTTTAACCCAATCAAACACCAAAAATCACATCCTTCAAACACTAAACACCACTCGCGGAAATGGGCCTAAGAAGTAAGAATAACCCCTTCAACAATGGCTAGATTGAAGGTTTGCCGTATGAATCAACTTGCAGGTGCGAATATATGTCATCGTCTCGTCATTCAAAACATAGCTGGCAGATACATTATTATAATTATAAACACACGTACGAGATATTTTTCCTCCTTGTTAGACACGTGCCAAACACTTAACCACACCAAACAAAGACGAAATTGTTAAGCATCACATGACATGAAAAGAAATATGAAGTAAAATTTAAGAATAACAAATCACATTAAATTGTACAAAAATAATAACAAATTACATCAATTATACAAATAATTAAAAATCAAAATACAAATAAAAGTCCCTAAGCCCTTTTTACGAACCCAATCCAACTGGGCAACAAAGAAAGAGCCTAAGCAAAAGAACTCAGAATGTACCCATTCAATAACCCAAATCAAATTTTTTTCAAAATAAAAAATAAAAAAACTCCACCATTTTAAAATAGAAGCCCAAAAGCAAGAGCTACGAAAGAAGCAAAAATGGTGGGTACAAATATGGTGGCATCAGAGGCAGGGCTAGGAGCTGGTGCTTCTTGAGCTGCCACATTCTGTACGGCGGAGAAAGCCATGACAACAACCACCAAAGCCAAAAATACTCTCATCTTCAAAGCCTCCATTCTTGATTTTCCGGTGCGCGGTAAAACTGGCCCAAGAAAATTTGTGGCGGCAGAAGAAAGAGAAAGCGAATGGAACGGATACAAAAGAGTAGTGGGGTGGCACCAAGTTGGAGGATTAATTACTTTATATAGGAGAATAGGTAGGGGAGGGTGCCCCTGGAAGAGAGTTGATAAAGGGCTAATGCACTTGGGGTTTTTCGGGATTTTAAATTTTTAATGAAGTGTTGTCCTTTGGTTGGGACAGGGTGGCACTGGCTTTGGCCTTTGGCGTATTTGGTGCCTTACAGCTGTTGCCAACGGTTTCTTTGGCCTTTCTTTTTTATGGCCTCCGCTCTTTAACCACTATTTTTTTTTATTATTTTACTATTTTTGGAATAGAAAATTTTTGAGTGCCCCAATTAATGACCCCACATATAGGTCGCTGCATGTTCTGTGGTTTCTCATGCTCTGCTTGTATTATAATAATGGCAAACTTGAGATTTTAGAATCTTCATTTAGATATTTTACATGTGTGTGATTTTATTTATTATTTTTTGGTTCAATAAATAAAAAATTTTAGTTTTCAAGAAAATAGCTTTTATTTCTAAAATTTTAAAAATATAACATTTAATTTCGCTATTTGATGGAAATTGAAATTAGGAATAAGAGGCAGACGAGATATTAAAATGTAATGAATCTTAATAAGAAAAATTTCTTATTTTTCGTTTTGTTTGCTTGTTATTTTTTTTTTTTAGGGCCAAATAAAGAAGAAATATATTAATTATAGCATAATTTATAGTATTAAGGAAGCTCACTATAATTAATACAATCAAAGCTTATTATGGCATCTAAATAAATACATTAACAAATTTTCTCAAATTTTATGATTGCTTACCATAGAAACAAAATGTTGTTGACTTTAATTAATTAAGATTAGTGGTAATAGTGATTCTTGATTATTATTTAAGTAAGGAAATGATTTGTGCAGTTGACATTTTATTATTTATGTTAATAAAACAATTATATGATTAGTAGGTTTATTATTTGTAAAATCATTTACAGATTTTCTTTGCTGTATTTTCTTTTTAATTTTACAATTACTAAATTGCCACTAGAAATCAAACAAAAATTGGTGATTGCATTTTAACCTCTGATTGACAATGTGAGCATTAATTTCTTTCAATGAAACACTTTGGTTCACAAAATAATTTCATTCTCAAGACCATACGAGAATTTCATGGTGGAAAATTCTTTGAAAAGTTTGAAATAGGCTGTAACGTTTTATAACGGTCGAAAATAATGAAATTTGAATCCAAGTTCCAACAATGGTGATCTCAACTCAAGTGATAAAAAGTGATGGGCCCAATTATTCATTTGTTGTAGTTGGTATTTCAAATTCAATGGACCAAACCAACAACCGTTGAAAAAGTCACCTCTACCCTCTAACTTTGGATGCATTCCCTCCCAACTATGGAAATATAATATTAATTTTCTAAAATTTGGCTCCAATTTTTAACTACAAAACAGAGGTAACTTTCCCCTTCACTAACTAAATAGGTGAAAATAACCGTAGAATAGAGAATTTGAACTTAAGACCACTCACTCCTTATATAAATAAAAAGACTAAATTAGTAAATTTAAACTTATTCTCTAACGTTATTAATAAACGTTTTGGTATAATAAAGGAAAATAAAGTATGGTGGTGGAATGGATAATACGACATTAGATTAAACAAATATGCAAGCGTATAGCTAGTAAGAGGAATGATAAGGATATAGAGGAACTAGGGAATGACATAAGTAGATTCATTTTTGTTACCTATAATAGTAAGATATAAGAAATAAAGATTCACGAGTAATAGAATGTAACAATTCCCCAACCCAACAATGCAACAATGGCTAAAGTACTAATTCAGTCATGAAAAATGAGTGAATCATCATTGAATTGTTGAAACCTTTTCATGCAAACTACCATTAGATTTGGGGGTGTGACTAAACTTTAAATGCTTTGTTTGGAAAGGAGAAAAAATAAATATTGTATTAAAGGTGTTCTTATCTCGATACAAGCACTTTTAGTGGTAATTTTCTCTTTCTGTAAATATCAAACACTTGAGTTCTTACTTAAAATAACTAATTTTGTCCTGATTTTATTTTTTCAATTTTAGTTTTTTAATTCTGTTTTTTTTTTTTTATCAACTAAAAATTTAAATGAACAAAATTTTCTTAATCAATTTATTTAAAATGTTTTACTAGAAAATTAAAGTGGATTCTTTCATAAAGTTTCAATACTAGAAGAAGAAAGGATAAAGAGAGAGAAAAAAAAAAGTTTTAAGAAGTAATTAAAGAAATAAGCAGGATAAAATAATTCATTTTAATATTCTAGCGATAAATTTTATTCAACCGAGCTTGATAAATTTCATTTTACTTTTAACTCATTCAACACTAATGATTTGCAAATCCATTCTATTAGACGCTCCAATTTATAAAATAAAATTAAATAAAAATTCATTGTCAGTTGTAAAATATGAAAAATATTATTTCAAAAGCTATTCAATTACACATCAAAATAAATTTTGCATATAAAATTTAAAACCTTAAAAACTATTATTAATAGTGTGAAGAAGTGAGCAATGTTATTACAGTTCGTAACTTTAAGAACACAGTAGATCTTCACAAAATTTATAAGTACCACAAAATTTTCGCTAGAAGTATAGGGATGAATTTTTTATATTTTAGAATAAATGACGAATAAAAATGCACCTTTAACAAAAGTGATATGTGTATGTAGTTGAAGTACAAGTTATAACTAGACGTGGTTAATTCCTTCTCATTCGTTAGTTGTTCTTATTTTGGATATTCAGAATTTATTGGCTTGTGATCGAGAGTGTTCTTTTCATCTCGTGTTTCATGAAATTAATTTTACAGCTGATCATTTAGCTAAGTTGAGTCACTCTATCTCCTCCTCTCTGTTTATTTTGGATTCTTATCTTGCTTCTTTGTCTTTAATTCTATGGACTGATACTTGCGACATTAGCTTTCGGAGATAGGTTTTGTGTTGTTCTCCTTTTTTACTAAAAAAAAAAAAAAAACAAGTTATAACTAGATATACAAAAGTAGAAAGCAAACCAGCAAAAACTAGGAAGTCAAAAAATAGTTGGTGAGCCAATGCATAATATGGCCTAACTTTGTTTGAAATTCAGTGATCATTTAGCTAAGTTGAGTTCAACTCTATCTGCCCCTCTCTGTTTATTTTGGATTGCTTATCTTGCTTCTTTGTCTTTAATTCTATGGACTGATAGCTGTGCGACATTAGCTTCGGAGATATGGTTTTGTGTTGCTTTCTCCACTTTTTTACTAAATAAAAAAAAAAAAAAGGCAAAGTTATAACAAGTTATAACTAGATATACAAAAGTAGAAAGCAAACCAGCAAAAACTAGGAAGTCAAAAAATAGTTGGTGAGCCAATGCATAATATGGCCTAACTTTGTTTGAAATTCAGCCCTTGAAGGCAATGTTAAAGTCCTTAAAGGCAGCATTCCTTCATTAAGAAATTTCAAGCGCTTTCTTCAAATATTGGAAAGTAGCTTATTAATTAGAGATAGCCTAATTATTACATTTAATTTAATTATTATTCACATTATTATTATTTAATAATGTGATTGGACCTATTCTAATTTAGAATCTGTTTCAACTTTCAAATGAGCACTATTTTTATTTTGAAATTTTTACTAGTAATGATATAACATTAACAACTTAATTATTTACTTTAAAAGCACTAATTATTGAAATGGGTACAAACAATGAAATTACTGTCCATAATTGATATGAGTAGGATATAATATATATATATATATATATCTTTGAATACCTATTTGAATATGTTAGATCAAGAATACCTACAGTACGAGATATATTTCTAATAAGTTAGGTCATGAATCTTGGCGACTTATCAACAGAAGTTGAAGAGAGAGGAGGACAGTTGAGCTTAGAATCACTAAACTTACATTATTGCTACATATTTATTTCTTTTTTTTTTTTAGAGAGAAGAATTGGTACATATTTATTGGTAGAATTTGACCAATACTTTTAATTTTGTCTATCAATATTTATATTTATTTTTTATTGTCAATTCTGACATTCCTTCATTGTCTGATTGATTGTAGCCGATTAATACAGCTCCAGGAGCCAAGAAGACTCGAGCAAATATTTATATTTATATCTTTTATTTTAATTTTTCATAGACTATAGTAAGAACAACTTTTTATAATGAAAAAAACTCGAATAACCTCTCACTCTTTATATATTCTATAAGAAGTTCTCACTCTTTATATATTCTATAAGAAGTAAGGATCAACGGGACAACACAAACATCTTTTTTGTATTTAAAATTTAAAATTTTTGAATTTTACATTTTATATAAATTGTCTCTGTATTTTCCAAATACAAATATGTAGATGTTTAAAAATATTTTGTTCAAACACACATCACAAAAGCTATTCTTTTATAAGTTATATACTAAAATTTTCTTCATATTCATTGTCTGCATTTATAAATTTTCTTATTTATGTCTGTGTGATTAAAATATGCAATTATAATCTAAATACATTTATAATTAAAACTTATCATATTAAATTATATATAAGAAGAGACACTTTATGAATCATTGTAACCTTCAAAATCAGATAAATTTAAAAAAAAAAAAAATTGTTCGAATCTTCTCGATCACAAATGTTTTCACTAAATTGTTTTCGTCAATTTAGTGAGTTTAGGAAAGGACACCCCCTGTTGTGTAGCCTACAGTATTATCTCACCCATCGGACCTCTTAACGAATAAAAAAAAATATATATAAGTTATCAAATTTATGTGTGTGACAAATAATTTCAACTATACATTATTTTTATTGGTAAAAAATAAAAAAGGTTTTCTTTAACTAATAAAATTAAAATACGATGCCCGAGGTAGACTACTTAAATTATTTAAAAAATAAATAAAATTTATAAATAGTTTTTTGATTTGATTCCATCCACTTCCAATATGATGTTGGAACAATTTTTAGTAAAATAAAAATCAAAACCAAAACGAAAACTGCGCTCGGTTCGGTTCTCAAAAACAGGAGAGAGTTGAAAGTCGAGACTCGTATCCTATGCCTCTTAGACTGAGGCCCAAGAACAACTCAAATCCAAAGAAACGAAGCCCAACTAATCTCAATTTATCCTCAAAGCCCATATCCATAAGGCCCAACTCAAAAATAGTGGGTAGAAAGCCGGTTATCCACCACGCCCAAAACAAATGAAGAGCATGTGAAAAGGAAGCTGGGCTTTTGAGAAGGGTTACGATAAAACAACGCGCATCTGGCCGTCCATTGTCAATCCAACGGTTATAATATTCTGCAATTATTTTTATCACAGGGCATAGGCTATTGGAGGGGAAGATAAATACTCACAGACTACAGAGATGAAAGAAGAAGAGGAAGAAGAAGAAGAATCTCCACGAAGAAGCTGTGAGAAACAAACAGCAAAGGGGAGAGAGAGAGAGGGATAGGGTTTGCTAAAGACAAACAACAAGTTCTTTAAGCAGAGAAAAGTTTACAAAGAGCAATCCTAAAGAGAAAAAAAAAATATTGAGAGAGAAAAAGAGAGTTTTTGGGATAATCTGGGTTAAAACCGATCTGGATTTATTTTATTTCTAGAGATTTTTCTTATTTTAAGGCCTTCATCATCTTCTCCTTATGCAATTATCTTATGGTATATATGTTCTTCATTTCTCTTTCTGTCTCCCTTTGTTTCTTTAACAAGTCAATCTGTTTGAATTGCAGTCTGGGTGGTCTTTGAAGATTTCCTTTTGATTTCCCTTTTGTACTCATAGATCTTGAGGTTAACCTCGCAATCTTCTCCAACTTCAAAACTTTCTTTCTTCTCTTTTTTTCTCATTTCTACCAGTTTTTTACGTAATTGAGAAAAAGCAGATGCATCTCCTCAGGAGTCTGTTTTTCTTATCTTCTCATAAGACCGATTTTGATTTTTCACTTCTGGGTTCTTCTCTATAATCCATTTCTCAACTTTAAAACCCACAATTTCTTCTATTCCACTTCTGGGTGTTCTAAATGGAAGACATAAGACCCAATTTGATTTCCACATATTTTACGTTTCTCTTATTTTCTATGGAAAATTCTTTAGTTCTCTTTCACTTCTGCGTTTTCTTAATTCACCCCGAGTTTCTGCAAGTTGTGAGATTTTTTAGTTCTGGGTTGGTTCTAACTCTTGTTTTGGTTGCTGGTGTTGTTTTGATTACAGATATGGACAAAGACGAGAAAAACCAGAGAGCAAATAAAATATTAGAGCCAGAATTTTTCTTGCAGTGGGGAAATAAAAAGAGGCTTAGATGTGTTAGAGTAAGAGACCCTCAAATCATTTCACATAGATCCGATGGTGTCTTTCGCAGGAATATTACATCTCGGATTGATAGACGCGTAGTCTCTTCTGCCACAGAGAAAGAAACGTCTCATCCTCAATCCCATCGTCTTACCAGGTTAGATTGGTTTTTAGTTTCATTGCTTTTTGAGGAGGCAGTGGTTTTTGTTTTTCAATGTTTGATGACTAGATTTTATTTTTGGTTTCTCAGCAACCAAACAGAGGATTGGAAAACGAGGTTGGATTGGGATTTGGGTATTTTTCTGTTTGGTTGCCGAGAAAAACTAAGAAATTGGGAAAAGTAAATCTGTATGTTTGGATTTTGCAGTTTCTGTTACCTAATTTTGCTTTGTTTTCCTTTGCTCAGCAACCAAACAGACAGTTGAGAATTCCTCCGAATATAAAAAGAGAAAAAGGTCGGAACTTTCTTGCAATCTCCTGTTTGGTTGACGGGAAAATACAAGAAAACGAGAGAATTTGTGTTAAAAAACTTTAATTCGCATATGGTTTTTCTTTTAGATTCGAACTAATGAGAAATCTGACTTGAAAAAAATGAAAAAAAATGGCAAAGTTCTAATTTTTAAGGATCTGTTCGGTACAGGAATTCCGAGGCAGCAACACTTCGTTCAAGTCTGACAGAGAATCGGAAATCGGCGTCGCCGGAGAAAGAGGACAGGTACTACACGACAAGAGGGTCAGTGGGGTTGGATGAGAATGGAAAGATTTCAATGGATGGTCATGGTAACAATGGGGAAGATAAAGGCCATCATGTATGGCCAAAGCTATATATCACTTTATCAAGTAAAGAAAAAGAAGAGGATTTTATGGCTATGAAAGGGTGTAAGCTTCCTCAACGGCCCAAAAAGAGAGCCAAGATTATCCAAAGAAGCTTACTTGTAAGTCTCCTTCTGCTGTATTCTTCCTTCTCTCTCTCTCTCTCTCTCTCTCTCTCTCTCAGTTTTTTAATGGGTTGGGAAAGGTTGAAAAGAAAAAGAACTTATGGTTCATGTATTTTGGTATTGGTTTTATTTTATTTTTAGATTCTAAATTTTCTTTCTTTCTTTCTTTTATGTTTTTTTTTGCCTTTTTTGGGAATTTTGGTTGGGTGACAGTTGGTGAGCCCTGGAGCATGGTTGACTGATATGTGCCAAGAGAGGTATGAAGTGAGGGAGAAGAAGAGTTCTAAGAAGGTACTTGATTGTTTTTTCGCTTAGATCTGAACTTTCATGATAATGGGTTGTTTTTTCCCTTCTCTCAAATTTTTTATTCTGGTGGTTATGATACAGAGACCCAGAGGACTGAAGGCTATGGGAAGTATGGAAAGTGATTCAGAATGAAAGATGTGCCACATTTAAGCAGCGGAGACTTTTTTTTTTTTAATTTTTTTTAGAAAATTTTGGGACTTTGTTTGGAAATCATGATAATGTGATGAATAGGAGTTTGTTAGAATGGGAGAAAGGGTAGTGAAGGAAAGTTTCTGCTGGATTTTGTTCTTTTGTTGTTGTATAGATCTAAGCTTCATTTATATAATTGAGAAAATAAATTCTTTTTCTCATTTTATTTGCCATAATCAATTTTTATTTTTTTTTTATAGATCCCAGTATGTATTTGTTCTTGTACAAGTCATGTGATGTGATAAAGTAAAGAAACAAGTCTAAGACAACTAATATGGTCACTTTTTTTTTTTTTTTCTCCTTTTGTCAAATTAGATTGGCCTCATTGTGCAGCCTGCTCTGGCAGATGACTGTAATCATCAGTCTCTGCAGCATGAGACATGAGTAAGCGTGCAAAATCTAGAGGTCGAACCGTATGTTCAATTAAAATTACAATGACCTAATAGAGATTTATGATTTGCTTATCATGTGGTCTGGTCTGGACATCTGACTGGACAAATTTACTTACTGTTAATTGCACATTTGCTTAAAATAGAAATAAAATTCCCACATTTTAGGTTCACTCCTAAATTTTGCAGAAGAAAGAAGCAAGCAATTTGCATTCCGAGATTTTATAAATGTTAATACCAATTTTGGATCAAACATCATCTTTAGAATTCAAACATCCCATGCGATTATGTAATTCCACTCCGTGATTATTATGCCTGCCGACGGTATTTTAACATGTACATGGTATATGACTACGAGCCATTAGGAGCAAGCTGCCATTCGAGTCTAATTTCAGCAATTCAGAATTATATATCCTTTCCATATCAGTCTCTCAAGTGTGATGCGCTGCAGAATCCTACATAAGCAAGCAAGACAACTGAGTGAGAACATCTCATAAGAAAGGAATGATGAGTTCCCACTGTAAGTAAAAAATGTGGTAAGTAGCACATGGTAACTCGGGCAGATGTTTGCCAGAATGAACAAGACTCGATCAAGAAGATGCTAGAATATCACAAGGAAGCGAGCATAAAAACGCAAAATTAGAGGTCTTGAGAAGGAGATCATCATTTTGAAATTCTAGTAAAAACATGTAATACATGTGGTATTTTGGCCAGTGCAATACTTCATGCTATACTCTAATCTCTAAATATGAAATGGTTGCAAGTCTTCATAACATAGATATGAAAATTAGAAGGGGAAAATTTCTTATTCTTGAAAAATCATTATGTTCATGTTTAGAATGCCTATCTTGAGCACAAGGTTTGCTTATTATACAAGGTTTGCAACCCATGTTGGGACCAATACAAGTTCTTTATGCTTAAAAACAACAAGATAGCAAAATAGTTGAACAACATTTTATTGCAAGATTTTTATGGACAATCGTACACCTCCTTGTACCTTTCTTAGCATGATATCAATTAACTTGAGACTTGGCAGCTTGGAGCATTTCCACGATTAAAGTCTTTACATCCCTAAAAAATAAAAGAAAACAAACTCATCAGAAATGAAGAAACCGAAGTCAAATGGAAGCAGAAGACTTGACTGACTGGACCATGGAGTTACAATGTAAAGTCATGCAACATGACAAGAGTATTCAAAAGAAACCTGTGGGCACATGGCAGAAGGTCCTCAATAAGTTTATGGCCCAAGCATTAACAGGAGATTATGGTTGGGGATTGAGTATGCATATGTACGTGAGTGAAAAACATCAAATTAAAACCTGATATTAGATTCCATTAAAAAAAAATCCTCATTAACTTTGGAAGTGTCAGCAAAAAGAAAAACTTTTCAGATGTAGCACAAAATTAAGATGAGAATCTAGAAGCACATACTGTATGACAAAAGAATAGGAATAGTTGAAGCGTGCATATGAAGGACAAACAATCGATCATTTTCTCATGGAAAAGAATAATTTAACTTCAGTAAAAGACCAGAAAATCTATAATTAAGGACTCTCACTTTCTGTCTTCTGCACGTCTAGGAAAAGGAATCCGAAACTTATATGTATTCCCTTGATAAACAGCCTAGAAAAAAAAAATGAGGTCAAAATATGAATGCAGAGAGGAAGAGAAACAGTTTTGACTGCAGCAAATATCCAAATGGCAAGGCAGTAAAAAGAATCAATTCAAATTAACATTGCTAAAGGAGAAAATGGCTAAGATGGAAGTAAAAGATACTTTTAAGAAGCTAGTGGAGTAAAGCACACAAAGTAAGATTGTTATGGATTAATGATACCTTAACATTGAATCCAAGGCTATCAATGTCTAGCATGTAGGCTGATTCCACCTGAAGAAAAATATTAAGTCAGCCTTCACATACTAGTTGATTCAACTTTGATGACTAAAAAAGTAAGGGGAAATAGAGTAGGGAAACGGAGGAGAGGGGAGAACAGCAAATTTTTACTTAATTTCCTATAATGTGAAGAAAAGATTTTATAAAGGGAAAAATAAACAGATGTTCCTTAACAGGTTTTCCTCAGCACCTCAAAGTTATGCTAAACTAACTTTTAAAAAGTTCTCCCCGAGATCTTTTACTGCATTCAGTTCAGAGAAAATTTCTTTTGAACCAAAAAAGGGAAGTGTTTAAGAACCAAGAAGAAATTTGAGGAAATAAAAAATTTTCCATTCTCTTCCCTTCCTTTCCACTTTATCTTTTACATATTCACTTACAGAAATTATTAAACACCAGTCTCCCTATCAAACACATGTTCGTACATCTATCCTCCTCCCAGTTTCCCCACTAATTTTGAAGCAGCAAAGGATTCTGTTTACCACTCAATTTAATTGCAGTACATTGGTTTATAAAAAATGTACTGATCTGATCTCGGTTACTAAAAAATATAGAAATATACTGGAAAGTACACCAAAATTACCGCAATTGATGTTGAATGTTGCACAATGAGCCTTGTATCTTCAGCATGATCTCTATTCATATGAGACTGGTTAAAAATAAGATGCCAATTAGAATTTTTAATAGTTACAATCTGTAAACAACATAATAAAATGCATGAATATATTGCATAATCAAGATATACCGAAACAGGTTTAGAAAATTGAGTTATTGGATCCACTTTGGCAGCTTGGTACTCTTCTTTGCTAAACTCTGAAATAATAAAAATAACATAGATAAGAGATTAGAACAATTACAAAAGCAAAAAGGTAGAAACAATAAAAATAATATCTAGCAGTCCCTCAAAAAATAAAGTCACCATCTAAATACAAAAGCAAAAACATTGGTGCGTGTCTAAGGTGAAGTGACCTTGAGAGTACCAAGAGTCACTCTTGACCACATACTAGGAAACAATTTTTGTGCTGTTATTCTGTTCAAAAAGGGAAAAACAAGAAGATTTCAGAATGGCACACAGACCTCCAAATCCAAGTAAAGCAGTTGCAACTCCTGACACATATCGCACAACTTTTGGTTCAATACGTATGAATTGGAAGTCACCAAAGTCAACCTTCATATTGTACATATTGATTTAGTCCTCAACTAGATATGCAACAATGGCATTGGGTGAAGAAAGAATAAAGCATGCCAGAGAATAGGAGGAAATAATTTACCCAGAATGCACCTGGATGCTTCTCCAGATACATAGTTCGAATGGCACTTTGTTCTTTCTCAGGAACCTAAACAGTTGATAAGAACAGTAAATTTTATATCAACCTCCTCCCTCCAGCAAAAACGAAAAAGCAGAAGGTAATACACATTGCAAGTAATGAGTTTAAAATAAGATCTCTTAAGGAAACAAATATATGAATGACTTACAGAAAAAGCATCACCATGCAGAGTGATTACTAAATCGGTCCTATCCTCTGGATCTCTAGCAACAAGCAATGAGCATTTGGGATTAGCTAACAGGTCCTGCACAAAGCAAGTTTCATATAGTCAAAGTGCTGCAAGAGGTTCATAACTAAATCAAAGGCCACAAAAATAACAATGGAATATAAATAGGTTAAAAACAGAATTTGGCAAGGACAATCAGTTTAGACCAGCATCTCCATCTTGCATATATGCGCTTACCAGTGGATAATTCAACAAATATGATAAACTAAACATATCTAAGATAAGTGAATCTTACTTTTCAGATTTTTATTCTTTCAAGCATTCAATAAGTTTCAATTTTTATTACAGTGATCAGCTGGCTCCACTACGGCATAGCTAATCCACCGGAATATGAACAAAAATTACCAATTGAAGTTTACAATCCAAAAGAACCATAATTGTTATTTTGCATCAAGGCAGATCTTATGGTGAATAATCTTTATAGTTCATGAGTGATTTTCTAAGTTAAACGACAAATGAACAGATCTGCAGAATATAGAGCAAACCTTTGTATGAACTGCCAAGCTGCTCACTGCTAATATTGGAGATCCATTGACATCACATGCAAAATCAACCATTGAACCTGATGGATAACCCTCATGCTTCTGTTTATCAAAAGCAATTGTTACAAGTCAGTTAACAGATAAAAAAGTAGACCAAGCAATGAATGCCACAAACCAGTGTGCAAACCAAAATAACTATAGTCAATCCGCTAAAACAGCCAGAAAAGAAATTGATCTTCAACGGTCCAAATAATTTAGCTATCCGTAGCCCACATAAAAAATTAAAGGTCATTGTTCCACCGTTTTAACACTGAACCTTCACTAATTCCTTTCACAAACAAACTAATCTTGATCAGTATCCTTCAGCCATGCCAATTTCAAGTATCATGAAAACTTCGTTTCCACTATTCTTCTTCTGATCAATGAATTCAAAATCTTTAATAAGCATATGAACAACAAACCTGAGAAAATGTTGAAAGCACGCCACGCACACTGTGATAAAGCACAGTTTTAATTTCCTCAACTGGAGGAAGTCGAGCAGCCTTTTCCTATAATCACATAAAACCCAATAACAATCGATCAGTAGCATTGACAAACATATATTAATCATAAAATTGAAACTATCAATCAATATATTAGATATCTAATTTCTCAAACACTTACAAAATAAAAAAGAACCAACCTGGTGAGTTTGGATCAACTGCAACACATTGACATCACTGTTAACATCCCCAGGTGACACCGCCTGATAAAAAAAGAATCGCTATTATTATACGAGAAATCATTCAATTTCATGAATCAAAACCAATCGAATGATCAGAAATAGCTATCAGTTTCGCAATTATCAATAAAAAATGATTGATAAAATCGATTTGATTACCTGAGTGGATGGCTGAGTTGCAGACGCCATGGAAAGAGAGCGACGATGGCTCAGAGAGAAAGAGGAGTGGCAAATTGGTAATAAGAGAGAAGAATGGTGGTTTCTTTTGACATTTACGCGCGTAAATGTAGGGACCGAACACGACGCCATCACAGCCTTCATTGCTGCCCGCGACACAGGGAAGCAACCAACCGACGACTCCGCCACCTAACCGCTTTTCAATTGATATTTAAAATCCAATTCATTACTTGCAAGTTATTTTTGTTTATTCTTCTTTTTTTTTTTTTTTAAATCTATTTTTGAAAGTTTGAAAATGGTGGAAGAAATCAAGCAGAGCAGATGAGCTACGGACGGTTGGAGGAGTAGACGTGTAGTTTTATACTGTTGGGTCGGGTCATCGGGTTAAAATGAGTTTGTTATGTTCGTTTAATTTACAGCACGTGACGAATACTCAATTTTGACACTTTTATAATTTAGATTAAAGATTAATTCTACTAATTTTATTAATTGATTACTTTATTTTTGTTTTTAATAATTATAATTTTTATATGCTTATTATTCACAATGTTAATTGGTCTCCATAGTGCTATATCGAATTTTATTTTCAATAATTTGATTCATGTACGCAATATTATTAATAAATAGAATATAATAATAACATAAATACTAATGAAAGTTATAACCGTATCGAGACGTATGATAATACGACCCCAAAGACAAACAATATACTATTACAAGCTCCTGTTGAAGTTTCATTTCAACTGTACACAACAAACAAAAGAAAAAAAAAAGAAATATTTAACCAGATCTCAAAATTGACCAATCATAAAATCCAAATCCAATACAATCCAATTTCTATCTTCAATTAATCAGAATTTCTCTTTCTCATATTTACAAAATTAAAAAAAGAAAAAGAGAAAGAGAAGTGGAGCGAGAAATCAATCTGAGTGCAAATCGTCATCGTCGCCTTCGTCGTCATCGAAATCGAAATCGGTGAGATTGGCAGGATTGGGATTGTAGCAGAGATATGTCCATAGAGAGAGAGTAAGACGACCTAAGTGGTTGAGAGGTAAGCAGAAGAGCAGATTCAAGACTTGATCGCTGCTTAGCCGCTCTGGATTGCAAGCTATGTATTGGCATAGATTGGCTGATAAATTCGCTATCGTCATCACCAAATTGCTGTTCAAAACCATTTCTCTCTCTGTCTCCCTCTGCTTTTTTCGAGTTTTCTGTTAGCTGTTTTGTTGGTTTTTGGGTTACGAAATGAGAAAAGTGACGATTGACGAAGGTGGTTTCACCTTCGCAAACGACGCCGTATTTATGTCTGTTCGAAATTGGAAGTTTTAGTATGCCACACATGACCTTTGCGCGTTAATACATGTCTTTACCCAAAGCCTAGAAAACCTTATGCCTCGTTTGGATTAATTAATACTGAATATATAATCTATAAAATTTATAAAACCTAAAACTTTACTTTTGTGTCAATTATGCTTGCTAAATTTGATCTTCTCAGTTCTTAAAGAAGAATAGAGAGAGTTTAAATTCGACTTTCTTTATTATAAAAGTTATCACGACAGAAAAGTATTTAAGTTCAAATCTCTTTATTACAGAATTTATCACGACAGAAAAATTGTCCGTGTGTATATATATATATATATGTATATATATATATATATATTGTCTCTAAAGCTATAAATTATATTCATAAACAATGTGACGAGGATATTCTCCAACTTACATTTTAAATACCTATTTGGATGAGTAATTATCCCAAGTTGAAAAAAAAAAAAAAAAAGAAAAGAAAAAAAAAAAAAAAAAAAGAAAAGAAAAAAACATTGATAGAACAATGGTTATTGGGATTGCCAAATCTAGGGAAGAAGAAATCTCAAATCACTAACAATGACCTTTCAAAAAACACATTCCACATGATGACACCCCTTAGCTGAGTCTAAGGTAGCGTCATCACTATCTTGGCCAAGATATCCTTTGTCCTCGCAAGTATGATACTAGCTTGTCCCAGCCATGGCAGTTGGTGTGGTGACATACTCCCCATCTTCTCCTTGTATTTCTAATCTGCAATTGAAAAAGGAAAAGTCAAGTTCAAGATGTAGTAGAAGATCGTTGGGTAAAGTCCAAGAAGATATCACAGCAGTTTCCAGTAGAAATTAAATTATTAAAGAGCAAATGATTGTGTCCTACTTATGTAAATACCCTCAAAAAAAAAAAAAAAAGAAAAGAAAAAACATTGATAGAAACAATGGTTATTGGGATTCAATCTAGAGAAGAAATCTCAATCACTAAACAACTTCAAACACATTCCACATGATGACACCCTTAGCTGAGTCTAGTAGCGTCATCACTTATCTTGCAGATATCCTTTGTCCTCCAAGTATGATACTACTTGTCCAGCCATGGCAGTTGGTGTGGGACATACTCCATCTTTCTCTTGTATTTCTATCTGCATTGAAAGGAAAGTCAGTTCAAGATGTGTAGAGATGTTGGGTAAAGTCCAAGAAATATCACAGCAGTTCCAGTAGAAATTATTATTAAGAGCAATGATTGTGTCTACTTATGTATACCTCGCAATTCAAAGGTGGTTCATAAGGATCATCTATGCCAGTAAAACCTGCAATGTCATATGACCATGTTAGAGAAGACATCGGCAAATGATAATCTGAAACATCAAAATCTCTTTCATTCAAACCATCAAATAACCATGGGCAAAGAATAAGCAATTTCAATTCTTAGCTAATTTTGTTATCATCATCCTACAAATTTTGGGTTCCCAATGGTACTTTAGACCAATTAATATAGCATTTTTTCTTGAAACTAACTTTTCCAATTTGCACGGTATTAGAAAATCTTGTGGAAGCAATCTCAAGAAGCTTACTGAATATTTAGATGAGGATATTTAACACTCCAATTTCTATTCCTGCAGCAATTCACACTCCAGGTAAAGATGTTCTTAATAAGAAAGAATGCGTGGAAAATTCTAAAGGGGTGACGGGTTGTGTAGGGTTGGACAATTTAAATTATTATGACTGAAGATCGTGAATGAAAAGACATAATTTTTCATGCTTTTAGACAGCCAATCCTAATGCAAAGCTTTAAAAACTTAAAAAGGATAAAAAGTGTCATCGTTTGTTTTAGAAGAGAATGTGCCTCACCTCCTCGCAATTACTCTTTACCTGCTAATAAAATAAGTCTTCACTCTTCATTTCAACTTTTTTCTCTTTGGCTGAACCATTCAATAACGAATGCAGCCAATATTATACACCTTACTTGCTGGCCCTATGTTTTCTCATGTGGGTTACATTAAATACAGGAAGGGTAAAAATGCAGGAAACCTGTGATGTCAAAGCAGCACCAAAGTACATTTCAAGAGCAAACCTTTAATTTTTCCAGCACGTGCAAGCTTGTAGAGCCCTTTAGCATCTCTTGACTCACATAATGAAAGAGGCATGTTCATGAAAACCTATAAGCATACAAGTAAAGTGATAATCTTAAAGAAATTTTGCTTGGTCATAGTAAGAGCCATTATGGGGGAATCTTGCCTCGATGAAATTTGCATCTGACAACATTGCACGGCAAGCATCCCGGTCTTTTCTGTATGGTGATATCAGACTAGCAATGCATATCAAACCAGCATCCGCAAAGAGTTTTGCTACTTCCCCTATCAAACAAATATATAATTAATAATAAATGATATAAAAATGCATCAGAAAAACCTATAATAGGCCTACCACATGCTATACTAAAGTTAATCAAGTTTTTAGCCTTATAATCATAAAAGAACTTGGGTATAACTGATAACTGTTAGGCTCAAGTACATCTGGACGTCATCATCAGAATGGAACTTCATCATGACCTCATACTACTGGTTATAAATAAAATTCAGCTCAAGGATTTTGTTGACCAACAGTTTGCTCACTTCTGTAATATACCAGCAACTGGCAAACCAACAAATATTGGAAATTGAGAGTGTCAACATTTCCCCACTTTAATAAAAAATGACTATCATTTTTTCTTTCAATAGAATTTACAACTTTGATGTCTACTAGGACAATGTGATTTGATATTCTGGAACACAGAACTAAGACTAGAAGTCTAGAACATTGTGATCTGATAATTGGGAGCACATACCCAAGACTTGAGCACTCTAATTTAAATCTTGAAAACTAATTGGATGACCCAGCCATGTTTAGCTTCATGCAGTATGTAACAGCTAGTAAAAACTGCCCCTTAGAATCCCCACTACAGACAGAATGAATAGCTCTTATATCTGCCAGAAAAACCTCAAATAGCATACAAATCCAGCTGAATGATAAGTTTGAACTAATTTATTTGTTTATTTACGCAAACCTCCAAATTATGTAACTCATGAATTAGATCAATACTATCACCATGAGTTTTTCTGAATAATAAAAAATAAAGAAGTTTGTTATTATACAAAATCATACTTACCAACCCTGCGAATATTTTCAGTTCGATCTTCAGCACTGAAACCCAGATCTCTATTCAGTCCATGGCGAAGGTTATCTCCATCAAGAACATAAGACAGCTTCCCCTTAGAGTACAGCTCTCTGCTCAGTGAGCATGCCAGTGTGCTTTTCCCTAAAAAAAGTTGAAAAAAGGTCTGAAAACAAGCACAGAGTAAAAGGGGACTGATTCTTCTACCAAACAAGGAGATTTCTCAAAATATACATATCACAATAATCCAGCATCCACCTACTTATAGCACAATAAGCCAGCAACCTCTTGCTGCTTAAGTGGATGGCAAAATTTGATGACTCAAACAAGAGTTTATTTAATAAAATGCCACCAAACATGCCAGCATTTTCCAATTACATGAACATACATAATACATAGAAAGTGGGAGAGATATGATTAAAGCTGTGTTCGGCAACAGCTTTTTTAGATAGCTTGTCAAAATGCTAATCGCTATTTAAAAAGTTGTTCGGTAACATAGCTTTTGGACTAGCTTTTAGAGGTTATGATAGCGTTTTGTAAAAAGTTAACTCATGTAACGTTTAACTTTTAGTGTTTCATGAAAAGTTACTCAAACAGCTAACTACTAAACGATACTAAAACAGCTAATTTTGTCGAACGGACCCTAAGTGTAACCCCACCCTAACTGTAACCCCTCCAAACCTTCACCTCATTGTGGGTGCGAGAATGAATACAACATAATTATATCACATCTGGCCCCAAAAGGTTAAGCATTTCTTCTCATTCATTCAATTTGTTTCCCTTTTGGGATAGTTTTTGGCTAGTATGAGGTGCAAAGATATTTCTCTTCCAATGCCTGAAAGGTTTTCTAGGAAGCAAGAACAAGCACCTGTGGCATCCAACTTAATTCAAAAGGGTCATAATTTCTTTTATAGATTTAAAGCATTAAGAAATATGAGAAATCTACTTCGAGCGGTTGCGTCCCACAAGTATGACAAAATGAGCCTTTAGGATTATCTAGACCAGCATTTTTCATGAGATGATAGACATCGAGCCAGAAGCATGATTTCTGCACATTTGCCTCTGTAATTAGGACATCGCAACAATAAGCCTCTATGAATTTAATGAGTTATGATTAATCACATTAATCAACGTTTCCATATCTAGAGTTTATATTTACAAACTGAAAGAACTACATTAATGTACATAGCCTAGACATAAAGCCATAGAAAATAGTAAGCTTTCTGGTTGACCTAAAGATTTTAAAAATTAAGGACAAACGAAAAGTAGAAAGAACAAAAAAAGCAAAAAGAATTTTGAATTAACTGCATGATAAGTAAAATGTATAAGAATGAGTTTAACCTGATCCACTAAGTCCGGTTATCCATACAACACATCCCTTCTGGTTAAGTAGTCTCTGCCTATCGGACTTCCCTACTGGACATTCTTGCCAAAATATATTTGTAGAATTCGATAAAGTAGACATTGGAGATCCTTTTTCTTCACTTTGCTTTCTACAGTGGAACAATTTAATAAACAATCCCACAGTGAGAGCAGCACTAGTATAACTTTTATTCAAAAAAAGAAGGAAAATCACAAATACAACCACTTGCTAAATTATATAACACAACAAAAAAATAAATCACGAAATTTGATTCTGCAATTTTTGTACTGCTAATTGAATTACGAAATCTTGGTTGCCAACTTGCCATTAACAATTTCTCTTTTTGCAACTTGCATCATTGCTATAATTTATCCCATCTACATCTAATAAAGAGAGAAGAAAGAAAGTTTTCATATGGTTGAAAATGCATATTCCCCAATAACCCATTAACCACAACCATGATCTAAATGCCATTAGTTGAATAATAGATGAATACTAGAAATACTTTGAACGAGAATCGCTAAATGACCAGGATCGTCAAAAGTTACACATTCCTTATTCCTTGGAGTAAAACAGAACCCATAAAATAGCAATTAAAGGTGATGATATAACCAATAATTAGAAAACAGAAAATGTACATTATAACAGAGTTTCTTGCGAGAAGGTAATACTCATTAACACGGAGATAAAAAGAAAAAAACAGCAGTTCACGTCACAAGAAACCAAGCTCAAATCAGAAATAAAGTAAACTGAAGGAAAGGACTGAGGAGGAAGTCTTGAAATACCTTGAAAATTAGATTCAGAAAGAGAGTGAAAGCGATCGTCTTGTAATATTCTGGTCGAGGAAGAGAGAGGTTGAGAGCCAGGGGGAGGAACGAATGAATGAGGCGAGCGAGAAATAATAGGAGCTCTAACTAAGCAACGATTAAATGGGTATTATTTACGTGAATTTAACTGTCTGTATTATATCCTACGTATTAATCGCAAACGAAATTTTTTTTATTTTATTTTTTTATATCATCCCTTCGCTTTTAGAGACAAAAGGAACAACTCAGAAAATTTATATTATAGAAGATCGCCCATAACTTAAGTCATAGTGATCAATTCGAAAAGTACTCCTAGGCTAAACCCTTCGAGTTAATCGCAAAAGAAAAGTTATCACAAAATTTACTTATCAATAATATTGATAGAGGAATTTCAACTTCAATTTATTACTGTGTCAATCTTATATTATGTTATATTTATGTGTATATTTGTATGTTTTTTTTTACTTGAAATGTTATCGAAATTTTTGATTTTTTTTAAGAACAAAATTTTTGAGTAATTTATTTCATCTGTCCCAAAATATAAGTCATTTTTAATTTGTTATTTTATCACAAAATATAAATTTTTTTATGTATTTGAAGAAATAATAAATAATTTTTTTTCAATATTACTCTTATTTACACTAAATAGAATAAATATTTCATAAAAAATCTATTAATTTTGAGATAAAAGATAATTTGATCAAATTACTATTAAATTTATTATAATCAGAAGAATTAATTACTTTCTTGTACAAAAATCTTAAACGATTTATATTTAGTACAGATAGAGTATATTTATTAAAGTTAATTATTTATATGTTTGAGCTCTCCTAACTTAAAAATTATCCCAAAAAAAAAATAATTGATGCAATTTTCTAAAGGATAATAGCAATGTTACAATACAATTTTCTTAAAACTAAAATTCTGCATGCTCTCTAAAAAAGAAAAAAATTAAAATTCTACAATGCAATTAAATTATTAAACGGGTGAAAAAGAATAAATAGGGACGTTTATGATTTACCGATAAGGCAAGGAGTCCTTTAAATGAATCTGGACAGCCCTCCCTTCCACATTGCAGTTAAATAAATTAGAAATTAGGGTGAAAGTGGGTCCCTATGAACCTAGTGACGCTGACGTGTATTTGATTTAGTCCAAAATGAAGAACACGTGGCAAGGTACTCATTTCTTCCATTTGGGCGTCTATGATCACACTTCCGCTTGGTTAGAATATTCATTCCTTTTATCAAAAAAAAAAAAAAAGGAATATTCATTCATTTCCTACTTGGGAAAATTTACCATATTCCTTTTTTATTTTTTATAAAATTATATAAACCATGCAGGTTCTCATCTCAGTATCAAACTAAAAATTAAATTTATTTTAACTGTGTGATAAATATGTAAAACGGTGAAATTTGCAGGATCTAGTTAGAATTATTTCCTATTATTTCATAGCCAATGACGGTTCCTTAATTAATGTTAAAAACAATAAAGAAAAGAGGAATGAATTTCGATTTAGATTTGACATTTCTACTAGGAAATTTTGACAAAAGAGGAGAAGCAATTGGGCCAGCTTTGTATATTGGAGCCCAATACAGGCCCATGGTATCCATTAGCACAAATCTAAATCTCACCCCTCGAATCCTTCTCATAGCCTCACACCTCAGAAGACCACATAATCAATCTCAGTCACTTCATTTTGAGAGACTGACAGAATAGGAAAAGAGTCCAATGTTATGAACTATAATGCAGGCGAAACTTCTGGTGGGACCCATTCCCACCGCAATTGATGGCTCCGTTGCGTTATCCACCTTCTCTTCCTCCTCCTCCTCCTCCTTTATCGCCGGCGTCACTTCCCTAATTGGTCCTGCATGGAACTGGGCCCGCCATCATAATCGTTTATCTCGTCTCCATAAGTGGAGCTCCGTCGTGATTGCATCATCATCATCGTCATGGGCGGTTATCGACGGCGAGCAAGACCACTACGCAGTGCTCGGCCTCGCTCGAAACGCCACGCTACCTGATATAAAACGAGCTTACCGCCTTCTCGCTCGCAAGGTAATTTTGTAACTTTACTCCAATATTATCTTCTGGAATCTGTTTGATTGCTGAGAAAGTATGGGAAATTGAACTTAAATTGTGTCTTGATTCTGGCTAATCCAATGGTTTTATTTTGTTAATTAAAGTGACATGATGAGATGCTGTTTGTACATATCCCTTTGGTTCCGGATTTGTTTTAGTTTGAAAACTATGGAACTTTATTGGTTTAGTTAATCCGTCTTAAATAACAGGAGTAATGCTATTACTGTCAACTTGGCATGCACACCCTCACACATTTCTATATAGATTAGATTCTCTGAACTGCAAGAGTAAAGTGAGTGTTTGGGAGAACATGCCAAAGCTCGGGCATTAGAAAACTATCTTACAACTTGTCATTGCAAAATGAGGACACTAGAAAATCACGGAGCACTGCTGTTTAAATGAAAAACTGCACATCATCGTCTCTTGTCTGTGTTACCTGAGAGATTGTTTGGTTGATATCTGTTTCTTGTGAAGGAATTCTCTAGGGACAGCACTTTTATTATTTCCCATATTTAATGAGTTAACATCCTTGTAAATGAGTGCTTATTTGCTATGATATGAGGCTCCATTTGAATAAGTAGTTATTTGAAATTAAGGTGTATTTGGATTTGACATTGCTGGTGTTTATGATTTTCGACTTGAAATACAAATTCAAAACCTCCTTCACTGGAAATGTGCATGCCTAACAAGTGCTTTGTAAAATTTGTTACTCCCTCCGTCTATGTTTATCTCATTTGTCAAATCAGATTCAAAATTCTTATTTTTTAGAATTGAGAATTGAATTAAACCGTAACATACAATATAAATTTTCAAAATAATAAATAAACATCTATGGATATATTTGCCATTAATTTTATCAAAAGATACTAATAATTTAATTGTAAATGATATATTTATATAAATTTCAATTCTAAAACATGTACTAAACACAAAATGAAAGAGATCCTAATAGCTTATGTCATTGCTAAGTTCAGAACGTCAAACTGTTAAAATTTTGGAATAAAAACAAAGTCAAATGCTATCTAACCATTAAATTTCCTATCCAAATTCATATTCATTCATTATCATTTCCAAATTCAAGCCCTTTACCATCTTCATCTTCTAATATAACTAGATGCTCTTGCTCTTCTTTCTCTATATCGACTTTTCCACTTGTTTTGTTGGGTATGAGAATCGTTAGACATGAGAATCGACTTGAATCATAAGATTCATGCTCAATTTTAATTCACCCATCAAATTCGAATCATTCGGTATGAAAATTGAGTTTAATTGTATGATTCAAATTGCAAACCGTGAGATTCTGATAAATGGTTTTTGCTTAGTAACTAAGAAAGCAATTAATATGAGAACCATACTTAATGATGTTCTTGCGTCATGATTACAGTATCATCCTGATGTCAGCAAGCATTCGCAAGCTGGTGAACTGTTCAAGAGCATCCGTCATGCATATGAAGTGAGCAATTCCTCTGACCTTTTGGTGTGTATTTTGTTTATTAATGCTTTTATAGAATCATAAGTCAAAAGGTAAATAGGTCCAGTACTGGTGCTATTTATAATTTTTAAAAAAACAGAGGCGGGGGAGAATTATGAACCTTCTTGTATGGTGGAATTTCATTGTGTTGATCTAAATGTGGCTGGAGCCCGGAGGCTTTTGCAATATGTTTCTGATGCATGGGAAGATTAAAAGCCTATGCAAATTTTGAATATTAGATATCTGACTAGTAATTGATTTTGTTAGAACCATTGTTGGAAATAGTAGTATTTCAGAGACAAGATCGAAAACCTTGACCATGAGGAAAATGAAGTAATTTCTATTATGAATTCCTTTACCATCAATTCCACCATCAAGACATGATACTTACTGTACTAATCTTAATTATACATCCAGACAGTGTATTTTGGGCTTTTGGACATACTGCTATTTGATTAATTTTAACTGTATATCCAGACGGTATATTTGCCTCTGGCCTGCCCATAAACTCCTCTTTTTGGAACAGATACTGTCAAATGAAGTGTCAAGGACTCGATATGATCGAGTACTTAGATTTCAAGAGGATACAAGCAGGCCATATAGCCGGAAACAGTATTACAGTCCTCAATTTGAAGATGGGTTGAGGACCTATAAATGGGCTGAACTGAAGAGGAAAATGCAGCGTGAAAGATACTGGGAACGCCATAATGTAAGCAAGGAGAACTCTTCTGCTGACAGTGACACAGAAGAGTTGGCTGAAGAAGAAAACTTGGATCAAGAAAGAGGCCCCTTTAGTGAAGTGCTTAGATCTGTCTTCATATCTCTGTTTTTACTACGAATCTTTGGTTCCCGATTATCTCTTGCATTCAGCAGCCTGATGGCTTTGTTTGACACCAAATTGGATACTGGATATAAGATTGGTTATTTGATTGCATGGATTTTGGGTGGGAGAGGTGGGATTTTGCTTACTCTCTGTCTCCAGTTTACAAGCTGGGCCTGTGGGAAAACCAGTAGCAGCATGGTTGTTTTAATAGTTGTAGCCATGTGGGTTGGTTCCCATCTTGCGAGGTATGCTCCTCTCCCACAGGGTGCTCTTCTTACACTCTTGTATATGTCTATCAAGCTACAAGCTGACCTAAACTGAAGCTATTGTTGCTGCTTCTGTTGCTTGTTCATTAAATCATTTGTATTAAATTCATGTAAATATGGTTCTGTTTTGGCTCATCCTCACATGTGCAGAATTACATCCTTTGCATTGACTCGACACCGGTAATTCATTTGCTGATTATCTCGTGCACATGTGAGGAGATGCACATTGAAATTATCTGAAATATGTTGTAAATTATGTTGTTTTAGCCAATGTAATAAATACCATATATGCTGTCCTCAAAGGAAGGTTTTGCAGGTTAAGTGATCACAATTGATAGGATTTCACATTGTTATCGGATTCGCAATATGTTTATAATCTGTTCAAGGTTGGATTGAAATAAATATAAACAGCAAAAGTGATGGAGAAACAACAAGAAATTGGAGTTGAAGAGGCCAAAGTTCGTATTCATGTTCCTCTTAATAACAATTTATTTGAATCTCAACTTATAATTTTGTTTTCTTGCGATTTTTCCCATTTTTCCTCGTTAAAATGAAGACTACTACCCTTATTTTCAATTTTAACATGTACAAATATTTCCAAGTTCAATCTTTCATTAGCCTAAAAGGGATTATATGCTAAAACCAATTACATGTGTTATTGAAATTACAATTGCAGGCACCTGTCCCTCAAATTCTAAGTTCTACCTTCCCCAAATCAAGAACAAAAGAGAGAAAAATATCCCCAAGGTAAATTCCTAGCAGCTCTTCTGATCTTCTTTCCTCATCTCCTTGAAATTCCTCCACAGGTATTTTCCGCTAGCCATGTCGACAAATACCCAGAATCCATTTTGAATCACCTAGATCCATTGAACATTCGTAGAGTTAGAATAACCAAACAGAATCAAGAAAACCAAGAAACTCGGCAAAGGAATAAAGAAAGAGAAAAGAAATCTTGAATTTCAAGAAACAAAATACCCTCTTCGCATTGAATTCTTGTTTATCTTTCATTTCAAACGATGAGTCATCGGAAACTGCAGTTTCAATCTCCGGCGGCGACCGTACAGTCCTCCATGCAAAATATCCGGCCAAAACTGCTGAGAAAAACACCAATATGAATCTAAGAGGACACATATTAATTTTCTTGAGACGCCCAAAACCAAGAAAAACAAGAATTATTGGTGTCTCTCTTGCAGCAATCAAGAAAAGAAAAGGAGCAAGCTTTTTTGGTTCTTGACAATAAATTTTGTGCCTTGTTTCTGTTTTTTTAACGATTCTATAACATTTTGAGATGGCAAACAAAGAGAGCAAAAAGGACTGAGCGCCTTGGCTTATTTTGAGATGGTTTTTAAATTGTAATGAGAATGGTATGTAATAGAAAAAGTAAACGCGTTTTTTATAATAGAAGTTTCTAAAGAATTGGCTCAACCCACTTACAAAGTCAATGGAAGCAGCTATACCTACTCTTTGCATATAAGGATAGACACAGTCATGACTTGATTTTTTTTTTTTTTTTTTTTGGACTAAGTGGCTGTGGTTGGAATGGTGGTGGCCACCATTATTCCATTAAGGACAATTTTAAAACAGTTGGAGCTAATCATGAATTGTCTTTAATCTAAAGAAGCACAACTTGTTCCAACATCTAAGGTTGACATTTGTGGTCAACATTCAAAATTATCCAATTTTTGGGCCTTTTGAGTTGGATTAGAACTTTAAGGGTTTGATCCATAATTATATTTAGCCTTTATAGAATTTATAGTCCAATTCCAGTTATTCTGAAGGCTCAGTAAGACTGCCCAGGATTTTGGACCTATATAGTATTCTTGGTTCCTATTATTAAAGAACCTGGCCCATTTCTGTCCATTTCGAATTAACTTGGGTAGGATCTTATAAGTGGCAACAAAAATGCTGAATTCAATGTTTTCTTGTCCCTTTTCCAGATATATTATGATACAAAGTATATTCTTTTATAATATTGCATTTTTAAGTAGACTTACAGTTATAGATATAATTACAATTATAAATCCAATAAAAAATAATTCATAAAAAAAATAAAAAATAACCGTTAACCGATATGAAAATTAAATTTAATTAAATTTAAGATCTTCATCTCGTGTAATTAAATGATTAATGAATCATTTCAATTCGTCTAATCATTAAAAAGTGATTTCGAATAAAGTAATTTGAAATTAAGAAAAAAAATCAACTACCTTTTCCTTTTTCCAAAAGGAAAATTTGATAGTGCTCCTTTAATGAAATTGGAATCTTGTTAAGTGCTTCTCCAAATAAAAAGGGCTCTGTCATTACATGACTATACTAATAGATTCTGATATGGATTTACATCAAGAATCTCCCAAGCGGCACTTCTATGTTTTGTTTCTCATACACACAACATGTTGTATATTTGTTGTCCCTATCCTTCTTATTATTTGTAATAATAATTTTTTTAGTCACAATTTACAAATTAAGAAAACATAATATTTCACTTTATTCCATTCATCAACTTGGTTTATGTACAATAGGTTCTAAATGCCTTATCAAGAATAGGTCTAGGGAATAAATTTGACAAGTCTAAATCATTAAATCAAATTTATTTTTCTTTCATTGCAAAAATGACTTTTCTTTGTCCAATTTAATAAAAAAAAAAAAAAGTACAAAAATGGATCAAGAATAAAGTATGTTACTTATTACATAATTCAACAAAAAATTTGAGGTAATAATGTCCATCTAGAACAACTTTTTTTAAGTTTTGGATTGGAAAAGAAAAGCAAAAATATATAGTATGTCACAAAAAATGAGGTCATCATAGAAACATTGGCCCATTGGGTATCCATCCATAGGGAGAATCCCATTTGCAAGATTCACTTATTTCAAAATTTGAAACTCCTTTATAGTCCACTAATTGTAAGTGCTTTCTTATCTTTTTTGATACCTTTCTCTGTAAATCAATATTAAAATCCACAATTTGTAAGAATTTAATTTGAAAATGAGTTTCTTTTATCTTTTAATGCATCTTTTTTCCAAATAGATTTCCTTTAATTTTTTTTAATTAATTAGACTTTAACTGGAAATGATTTCCAATATTAATTATTTCATGATTAAAATCATGTTAAATCATAAGTTTCCTCTTTCCTTCTCTTTCCCTAATGTCTTTAGCTGACAATTGAAGAAAAAAGACAAGGTAAATTAACAATAATACTATCCTCTCCACTAGCATGTGAAATCATACTAAAAAAGCAATTTAGACCGAAACCCACAAGAGAGATTATAAAACTCTACTCGGGCATAGACAAAAATTTTCAAAATAATGATGGGTTTCGCGTAGGATTCACGATTACGCAGTAAAATTGGGCCAAAGTTGCGATCTTTGACATCCACGTATGATGATATTATTCTGTGTCTGTCTTTCCTTCTCTCTTTCTTTCTTTCTTAGGATAATAGTAAAGAACATTCTGTTATAGGGTGACAAAATTAATGGAGGGTGAGTTTGATGCTCCTTCTGATAGTTGAAGGAAGAGAAAGGGCATCAAAATGTTCTCTTTCTCTTCATCATGTTGGAGACACAAATTGGTCCAACACCTAACCCACTGTTGGCTTTTTATATATATGTTTCAGTGGAATTCATTTTTCCCAGGAATTTACAGGGGAATTTGATTCTCATTCCAGTTTTTCCTTTTTCCTTCTTTTAGGGTTGCCTTATTTATTTGAAGACTCTGTGCTTCAGTTGGCATAGTTGCTGAATTTGGAGTGGGATTGGAGTTCTTCAATACCTTTGGTAAGACTTTCATGTAAACCCTCTCTCTCAAATTATATATATTTGTAAATTTTTTGTTTTTAGTTAAGAAGTTTGTGCAATTGGTGTTTTTTTCCTCTTTGAACGGCGGGGAGTGCAGTGTGGCAGCCGGAGAGGTTTCCGGGCAAAGCTAGGGATTGTATTGGATCTTTTGTCTTCCTAGAACTTGGGATGGGACTAGATATTTTTGGCTCCTTTCACCTCGTTTTTCTTCCCTGTTTTTGTCCTTTTTCGTTGGCTTGATTATTGCAGTAAAATAGAGGGTCCTTCCATCAAGCATCGTGTTTTTTAGGGGTAACTTTGGAATTTTAATTATCACCTTAAATTTTATGGGTAGCCAAATTTTGATAATGTTGAGCATATATCCGCAACAATAAATTTTAGAGTTTTTTATTTTTATTTGTAAAATATTTATTTGATGTGCATTTAGTATAACTTTTTAAACAATAATTTTTATATTTTTAACTATTTAATTGATCTAATTTTATAAATTGAATTGTTTAATAGATATTAGCCTACTCCAAGCCCATTAGAACTTTACAATCCAGCTTAGGCTATTAGCCCGAGCGCAAAAGTGAATGGGGTCCAATTATTTTTGTTTCACTCGTTGGAGACCCAATCCAATGAACCGAAATAACACCGGGGATTACAAAATAGGATAGCTTTTCTCGGCTCAGATTGATGAAAACTTGAAACTTCACATTAGTGGAAAGATCAACCAAACTACACAGCCTTGATTATACTTATGCACATATTTTCTCTCTGCTGAATTACCGGTTTTTTCTTTAGTTGAACTGAATTGACACACATGTTTCGTACCTGCACTAGATGGGACTTTCCATTTGATGTTAGGAGCCATGTGGAATTATTCTTGTATCATTTTTTTAATTTGTGAAATCAGATTTTGATTAAATGCATTGTACAGTTGCATTATTTGAAAATGTAAAATGATGCCATACCTACCTGGAATCATTATCATCAAAAATTCAAACTTGACTGCTTGAGGCAAAAGAAGAAAGGTTGTTAGAATGAAAATATTAGGACCAAATGAACCTAAATAATTTGTATTTAAAATTTGAATCAACTTTCTTGTTTCAGATTATGAAGCTCTATCATGAATTTTAAATAATCAAATTCTGCTTATCTTGAGAAATAAAAATATTGAAGAAAATAATAAATTAATATTCAAATAAGGCAACTAGTTAATAGTGGTCCATGGTTTATCCATAATATTAGATATAATAGCCACGCCAGGCTGACTAATAAATGCCTTGTGATCTACATTATTAGGTTACATGTGATAGTTATCTTGGAAAAACTAATTTATTTTCCAAGTCTTTTTGTATTTTTCCTGCCCAAGTCTTTCTTGGATCCTCATGTATGCGGAAACATGTGAGGCTGCTGTTTGATAAACGTTTTCAGATGCATAATTTAATGGTAAATGATTCTTCAACGCCCATGTTGAAATGTGCTTGTGCTAAAATCTCTATTGAGGAAGCCACTAAATCCTTCTATTGGGAAGTGTGGTTTAAATTGCTATTTTTTCCATCCTTAGTTATCTAAACATAAGATTCCTTAATTCTGCTTAATTATAGTTCTTGATACAGCTTTAGAAGAAAGCATGAATGCATTAGCAGCAACCAACAGAAACTTTAAGCTAGCAGCTAGGCTGCTGGGATTAGACTCCAAGCTTGAGAAGAGTTTGCTTATTCCATTCAGAGAAATCAAGGTGACTTTTAATGAGTGAAGGGTATAATTTTGATTCGCTCTTATGCTCTAATTGATTTTTAACAAAAATTGCAGGTTGAATGTACCATACCAAAAGATGATGGCACTTTGGTTTCTTTTGTTGGTTTTAGGGTCCAACATGACAATGCTAGAGGCCCCATGAAAGGAGGCATAAGATATCACCCAGAGGTAGCTGGAATTAGAAACCCTTTTATGACTTAACTTGTTAGGTCAAGATTCTGCGGAAAATTGAGAGAACTTCTTGGTACTTGTAATGGTTGATTGTAGGTTGATCCAGATGAGGTGAATGCGTTAGCACAACTCATGACATGGAAGACAGCAGTAGCAAATATCCCATATGGTGGTGCTAAAGGTGGGATTGGATGTAGTCCGGGGGATTTGAGCATATCTGAGCTAGAGCGACTCACCCGAGTATTCACTCAGAAAATTCATGATCTGATAGGAACTCATACTGATGTTCCAGCTCCAGATATGGGAACTGGTCCTCAGGTACAGCATTGTAAACATTTCTTAATGCAGATGGTTTATTTTGCTTAATTACTAGCAACAAAGATATGAACTGAACATAACTTCTTCATTTCGCTTAAAAAAACTGTTGAATTATGCTTTATTTGTTGTTAAACAGACCATGGCATGGATATTAGACGAATATTCAAAATTCCACGGCTACTCACCGGCAGTTGTGACCGGCAAACCTACTGTAAGTTTTGTAGTTGACACTTACTTGCTACTATGTATTACTGAATTTATGCAGTTGTTTTTACCTTGAGATACAATGTTAAATAATGTGTGTTGCCAGTGTAGCTTGTTCCTTTCTATAATTTGACAGACTTTAGTCCATTTATTTGTTCATTAAATTAGGATCTTGGTGGATCTCTAGGCAGAGATGCCGCTACAGGAAGAGGAGTCCTCTTTGCCACTGAAGCATTGCTTAATGAGCATGGGAAGTCCGTAGCGGGACAACGATTTGTCATTCAGGTTTGCTTTCTGTACCATTATCAGTTCCCTCTGTAGAAAGATGCACGAAGATACATTTAGCTTTAAAGGCTAAAAAAACACTCTCTTGATGATATAATAGAAGTGTTTTTGACTTCAGGGTTTTGGCAATGTGGGTTCTTGGGCTGCCCAACTGATTAGTGAACAAGGTGGAAAGGTTGTTGCTGTAAGTGATGTGACTGGGGCTATAAAGAACAAAAATGGTATTGATATTCCAAGCTTACTAAAACATGCCAAGGAACACAGAGGTGTGAAAGGATTCCATGGTGCCGATCCCATCAATCCTAACTCAATATTAGTCGAGGACTGCGATATTCTCATTCCAGCTGCTCTTGGAGGAGTTATCAACAGGTGTATATCTAATACTAGAAGCTTTTTCTTATAATGAATTTGTTTGTTCCTACTGAAATTGAGTAAAGACTTTACATTTTTCCTTTTCTTTGGTCTGCTTGAAGAGAGAATGCAAATGATATAAAAGCCAAATTCATTATTGAAGCTGCTAACCATCCCACTGATCCGGAGGCAGATGAGGTTGGTGCTTGATGCTTTAGGTTTTGAATTGCAGTTGCATATTCTGAATCCTGCAATACCATAATCGGTAACCTCTGTATTTCAGATTTTGTCAAAAAAAGGAGTAGTTATTCTTCCAGATATATATGCAAACTCAGGAGGAGTTACTGTTAGTTACTTTGAGTGGGTGCAGGTATGAATTCTGCAAAAAAAGAGTCTGTTAGCCATGTCTATTGCCTTACTCGGGTAAATTGTACTTATAGTTTACTGCCTGTGAATTGCAGAACATTCAAGGATTCATGTGGGATGAGGAGAAAGTGAATAATGAGCTCAAGACTTACATGACTAGAGGTTTCAAAGATGTAAAGGAGATGTGCAAGACCCACAATTGCGATCTCCGAATGGGAGCCTTCACTCTTGGAGTTAATCGAGTTGCACGAGCTACTATTCTTAGAGGTTGGGAAGCCTAAGACAGCATCTACTTTGAATAAAGATGGAGGCTTGCTTCAGTTAGTTTGAAACGCAAGGTTTTGTTATATGTATTTCCTTCATTTCCACCGGAGCATTCGTTGGTGATTCCTATTATTTATGAATTATCGTTCAAAGAAAGTAAGGGAATGCCTCAAATTCTCTGTTTTAGATTGCTTCTCTATGTCTGTTGTGTAATTTCAGCCGAAAATTAATAACCTTACAATTTCAGATTACCAAGGCTTTTAAGTTTTCTTGGTGTTGATTATAACAGATGAGGAAAATTAAGTTTTACCTTTGCTATAATAATAAAAATCCTATGCATCAGCAGCACCTTATAAGATATACAAAAAAGTTAACTAGTGTGCTAATAATAAAATCTTCAATTCGATTAACGCTTTCAAACTTTCTTTTCTCATAGCATCTAAAATGATATTTTTCCATACTGATACATGTGCAACAAAAATTACTCCATTAACAACATAAGATGATATCCAAAATAGCATCAATATTGATCATTGTTTGTCCATTGCACCATAAAATGAAAACTCCGGAGGGAAAAACGCAAATGATATTACATAAAGTTGTTCTATGACCTTCCTCTACCCCTAAAGCCACCACCACGGCCACCTCTTGGAGGTCCACCTCTACCACCTCGTGGACCACCCCTTCCACGAAATCCACCACCTCCACGGCCACCGCCCCTACCGCCACCTCGGCCTCCACCACGACCACCTCTTCCAGCTTGTGCCTGTCCCCTGCAACGTAACCATAGACCATTACAATTATCAAAAAACAACAGAAGCAAGGTCCACAAGTGTCCAAACTCCAAACAATAATTCCAAACACCAGGACATTGATTTTTCTGACAGCGTCTGAAAAAAGTTCACAGAATTTTAAATTTTAAAAGGACGGATATGATCAACTGGTTGCTATGCTGGATCATAGGGTATGCACAAATTAAGACAGCACACAAAGTTGAAATTGAATGAATGTAGTAAATAGAAAAAGAGCTTCGAAGTCTGAACAATAGAACTCAATGATAATCCATTAGCAATCAATAGTAGAGTATTCAACTGCTGACAGTCAATTTCTTCAAGAGCTATAATACTTCGGTAATGAGACTAAAGACATAAAAGGAAATGAACACAGAAGCTCCAAAAGCAGTCATCCCAAAGAATGATACAATCACATTTAAAGTGTAGAATGAACAACATGATCTTGCAATGCCTCCTAGATCATGCATCTCTAATGAACCATATGAACCCATAATATAGGAAAATAAAATCATCTTCAAATACATAACAAAATTATAAATGGGTAGAAGCATGTCATCACTTTAAACAATCACAAAAATTGAGCATTAAAATCACACACGACCACACACATAATATCAATAAAAGGACATGTCAAATGTCTCTGCAGAAATATTCTGCTATTCTGTAGTCACTTTCTATTTCCTCAACTGCAGCAACCATTGATCTCCCGACCCAGACAAATAAATAAAACGTGCATAGTAGTTCTATACTCAGAACCATATTATGTAATAATGTAAACGAGCAGAAAAAACTTACTTTGGTTGAGGAAGAAATCTTGCAAGAGGTAAAAGCTTATTAGGATCAATGAAGAATTTGTCACCAGTCGCATAAGAAGTTGCCACAATGCCTTCCATCATTTTGATAGAAAAATACTGCAACCATAGATGACCTAAATTAGATAACCAAAAAAATATGCAAACAACATGAATATTGCAACACATTAGCAATACAGAGTAGAGACAAGTAAAATGCTCACAGATTCATTTATGGGACCAAATATTTCATCAACTTTCCCTATCTGAGTCTTGTTTTGCAGAAAGATTGGGGCATTAAAGTATGGAATTTTCTCATTCGTGAGCTTTGTCACTGCATCCCCTTCACAGGCGTGAAGAAATGTAGAAACCTCTACAAAAATTTACCAAAAAAATTAATAAAGAACATCAATGCATTAAAGAATAGATAAATTTCATTACAAAGCTTTATTTTTTCAGTTATTTCACTTAAAAAATCATTAACCAAAAGGGAAAAAGGATACAGAAGGGAACAAAGAAACGGACCTACTACTTCAGAAGGAGGTCCCTCGTCACGAAACCCGCCAGGGCCGCCACCACCAAAACGGCCGCCGCCGCCGCGACCACGGCCACCTCGGCCTCCACCAAAACCGCGGCCCCCATCTCTCCCGCCTCTAAAACCGCCACCTCTAGGTGGCCTCATAATACTCCGATTTGATGTGAGTTCAAAAGAAAAACGACAGGGAAGAGTTTGCAGCAGAGGAAGCAAGAAATAGGTTATATTTTATGGGAATTTAGGGGGGTTTTAGACTTCGTTGAGTTGCTAGGGTTTTGGATGCCCACTTCGGCTCTTGAGATGACCAAAATCTCCCTTCTGCTTTGCGAATTGGGTCGGGTCAATGGGCTTAAAAAAAAGGAAACCCATTATATCTGTAATGTTTTCCGGCCCACAAGGTTCTCTTTTATCATCACGTTCATGTTCATGTCCATGTCGTTTGATTTTTACGACTTGATCTTCAAGAAGAAACGACAGATTTGTTGGCATAAGATTTAGCATCATTGAGCCTGTCCATTAGAGGACCATTTGGAATCTGACATGCCAATTCGTTATTGCTCAAGTCTAGGTAAGTATGATCCAAAGCCTTTGCTAATGTTTCAGGCATTTCACCAGAAAGATTGTTGCGCGACAAATCCAAGCTCTCTATTTTTCGCATATCATCAAAACTGAAAGGTATCGTTCCAGAGAGTCTATTGTTAGATAAATTTAATGACTTCAAGTTTATCAAGGAACCTAAACTTTCAGGAATTACACCTGATAATTGATTGTTTGATAGATCTAGAAAAGTATAAAGCCAAAGATTTTTGTTAGGTAGACCTTGCTTCAAATTCTTCCAGAACACCTGCAAATCATTCCCTCTCTTCCAACGGTAAGGAAATTGGTATTGGAGACCAACACTTGATACCACATTATGGTCAGTGATCCAATAAGATTTCCTAAATTAGGAGGGATTTTCAGCTGAGGTTGTCGCCAGAGAGATCAAGTATTTGAAGAATAGGTAAATTTAACAGGATTATTTGCAATTGATCCTTCCGAAAAGTTACCTCTAAGATTCAAAATTTGGAGAAGAGTTGTGAAAGAGAGAAACGACGGGTGAAATTTGCAGGGTTTTGAGCTTGGAATTTAGACCCATTCAACTCTGTTATACAATTTGACAGTTACCAACTACACGTTTCTTTCTTTTTTTCAACTCCATTCATTATATTTTATGCATTTTCCATATCCGACTTTGAATTTTGCAACTCAATTATACTAATATAAAGGGCTTTGAAGTGCATGAAATGTCCCAGGGTGCGGCTGCACCTATTAGCTAATGCACATAAACTGGAGTTCATTCTCCCACAATTATCCAACAACAGCATTTTAAAGTACATAATAGGGAACTTGTCTAATATTGACCCTAAACCATACCCATTTTCTTCTCCTCTTTTTTCTTTTTTTTTCTGGTAAAACGATGTCAGAAAGTAATATAGTGAGAGCTGATAACAAATTCAAAGGAGCAAAACATAATGACAGAAAATGATCCACAACTGGGCTGCAATGGCCTGGTACTATTATATATAAATGTTTTAATAATAAAGCTATTTGCCCACCAGCTCATATTTTTGCTCAGGGGGGCATGCTCTCAGATTTTCTTTTTCTCTATTTGTCGTTTTTTCCCTTTCCCATGTACAATCAAATATAATGAGTTGATCCTATATCAGAAGCATGGGTTTGATCACCTTTTTTTTTTTTTTTAACTTGCAGGAGAAAAGCCAGCCCACCAATTCCAATCAAGGCCCAAAAATACCCTCTCACCTTTCAAAATTTTAAGCTATAGATTCCTTTTGGTGGATATTCTGCCCACATTTACACCAGATATTAGCAAACAGTTCGCCCGTAACAGATCGATGCAATGTAGAGATTTTTTGACCATTTTTCCTGCAATAATGAGTAACGATCAAAATATCAATTATGGATGGCAAAATAGAGAAGCCATCAAAATGTTTACACTATATTTTCCAAATCTAGCCTTATTAAAGTGAATTTAGATACAAATTGCATTAGAGACAGACATAGGGAGAGTTAACCAGCTAGGTTTTTTGCAGAAGAAAAGAATGCTATTTGCAAGCATGCACCAGAAGTACACTGATGAGCAAGCATGCTGCACTCAAGCATACACAAGAACCAAACCATATCAAATTTTTTCAGTAATTGCCAGAAACAACTTGATCGAAAGCAGATTTTATCGAGTAGGGAAACAAGGAGATAAGCATGGTAAATACCTTTACATGTGTGCTTGGGAAGGCAGAGGTACGCAGAGTTTCCTGAGTTTCATCCACCATTTTCCGTTTCGGTATGCTTAATATGAAGGCTGCCTGATCAGCAGTGGCAGCCATAGATGTGATCCTGTAACCACTTTCCCATCGTCGATGTATTCCTTCACTCGGGTACAAAAAATCAAGCTCCACAACCTTTTAGCAGTAAATCCAAAAAGAAAAGACACAACATCAGATGCCATCAAAAAAATTAACATTCATACTTCCAATAGGAGCTGAACTCGTACCTGATCTGAAAATCCAGCATTCCTGGACATCACCACACCCCAGCGACTGCCAGCAGTTGTCATGGATGTGACATGAAAGCCTTCTTTCCACTTCTTATTTATCCACTTGAAAGGAAAAGATTCACTCACTTTGTAAGACTGCTGGGTGAAAGGAGTTCCTACATGATAACAGAAACTTGAGAATCTTCTTTGGTGGTAGATAATTTTATTCAGTTTCTTAGAAAAAAAGGTACAATTCAATCACCCAGACATGCAAACAATATATGAAAGGACCAACATGAATGAGATTATGCACAAATGGAAAGTTTTACATCACACCATATAGTGATACCTCCAAGTTTCGGTACTTCTAATTCTGGAATGTATGTCAAATTTCAAGCAAATTGTACATAATTAACCACCTATCCATGTTGATGTTTAAAGTATATAGTTACCAACCTTTGGACATAACAACTAATGAACTTCCATTGCTTGCCCCAGCTATTGAACTGATATAGTAGTTCTTTTCCCACTGTTCCATAATCCAATCCTGAGAAACATTTATTGATAGAAAGAGTTAATAGTTGCATTCAAACATGATTCACTAGCAAAAGATCGACATTATGTTTCAAAGCATAACCTTGTGCAGGAAGACAGCTGACAGTTCATAAACCTGTGAAGTGAAACCAGTTCCAGCATCCATGATTAGGGCCCAGAGATTAGTTGCTGAGGCCACACAACTAATATATAACCCATCTTCATTACCCTTGTCCACATGCTGGCGTAGCCTTGCATCTGCTACATTATAGTGATATCTGCAACTCCAATAAAAATTCCATTTACTTCCGAGCAACAGAAACAGAGAATAGAATTGCTATTTTCACTTCCATGTGTCTGATTTGTTATAATAAAGCATTACAGGTTCTAAGTATTGAGAATAAATCATATTGAAGACATTCAAAATTACCAACATCCTCCAAAAAATTAATTAAAGTGATCAAGAATTCTTTGGATAGCAGAGATTCTTAAATCTCCTTCAATCCTCCAAATGCAAACATTGTCGCCATTATTTTCCTGAATTCTTAGACCCTTTAGCCTTTAATTATTTTCACAGGAAGTGTCTCAGACTTCATTGTATCTCCATACCTAACTATCACTAATATATAATTTTCCAGAATTGCATCGCTTTAACCTCAGCTCAGCCTCCTTACCACCCACCTCACCAGTTTTGCAGAGAACAACTCCTTCCCATTAATGAATCAGCCCTTGCAAATTACACAATGGTGTGCAGGCAAGGAATGGTGATAGAAGTTACTCGACATTGGATTTGCCAATGCTTCTGGGTAGTTCTGATCTCTCTTCTTTGCTTTACAGATCGAATTTAAATATAATTTTTTAACCCAGTAAGCACGGAGCCAATTATACCAAGATCCACTATGGTGCAGAATTCTAAGGAATGTTTATTTTGTCGACCAGTTTCAGCTAAAAAACATTCTGGTTTAGGATGGCTCCAGCAACTCCCAAGTGTTCACATTAATCATTAAATAAAACAGGAAACCAACTATATATTTCATTTACTTTATCAGTCATGACATTTTTCCTTTTTATCCGTCAGCAATATTTTCTTTCTCATTTCTTCTTTTTTTTTTTTTTTCCAATTCCATTCCACCAATAAATAGCATATTAATGTGAGAGATTTTGGATGCTGCACCATATTACACTCCAAATCTGTCATCTGAAACCCAATAACATAATCTAGCATCTAAGGAAATCATTAAAAACAAGTTCGTTTTTTGAGTTAGCATGTGTCATTGAGTGTTTGCTGTAAATCATTAATCAGAAAAAATGAATCATGTTGCAGCTGTTTAGAATCCCATGCATCAATAAAGAAACACCACCATCCATATCCACATTTACCGCATTAATACATTTTAGTCAACATAAGAATGATTAGAGGCAAAATTCTTTGAAATTTGTATTACTGAAATAGAAGGATCAAATAATAAAATAATTTCAAACCATTTTAGGCCAAAAAATAGTAAATAGATTTTAAAATTGAACCTATGCTATAGAAATAATTTGGAAGTAGCCTGATTCTAAGATTAACTGAAACCAAAAGATCCAATCACAAATCTAAGAAAGCCAAGTGGAATCTAAACAATGTTTCTCACTCACCTACAGAGCGAACAATAACATAGACCAAGTCGTCTGACAGACTTACAGTTCCCAGGGAGTACAATATGGAGTGATATGTCATAAGCAACAAAGAGTGCAAGCAAAAGAAGCAAATAGCAAACTAAATGAGAAATTAAATTTACCTCTGCTTCATTGGTCGCCGTGCATTGTAAACAGAGATCCACTGTGTAGCAGGACTGCCCAATCGTACTTTCTTCTTTGGTTGCTCATCCTCTTCCAAGTTTATGAGCAATCTTCCACGCTTTTGTCCAACCTGTTGATGTAGGAAAAAACAGAAAAAGGATCATGTCAAGAGTACCTTATCCAACTGGAAGAAAAGAGGAATGTGGGAAGGGAATTCACAGTCACCTTAAGAGCTCCATCAATTCTAATTGGCCTTAATGATGTGCAAGGTTCAATAAGGCTTTCAAAAAAAGAGATCAGTTTGGAATAATTGGGCTCCTCATCAAATTTCATATTCGTAATAGCTTCCAGGAATTGTTTGAATGGGGCAGGACAAAAACAACACATTAACTCTGGAGAAGTCCCCATCTTTTTCTTACAAACAAGAAAACTCTTGTTATCCCCCTGTGATTTTAATAAACAAATATGATAAGAACAAAAAGAAAGAATTACCAAATATTCATCTGAAATATGTATCCAACACATTAACTCTGGAGAAGTCCCCATCTTTTTCTTACAAACAAGAAAACTCTTGTTATCCCCCTGTGATTTTAATAAACAAATATGATAAGAACAAAAAGAAAGAATTACCAAATATTCATCTGAAATATGTATCCTTAATACAATACATAAAACAACAAATAAATTTACCTGGTACCCCTGCCAGGGTAACCTTCCTTTTATAAGAAATATCAATGTGTTTATCCTTAATCACAACACATAAAACACCAAATATAAATTTACCTGGTACCCCTGCCAGGGTAACCTTCCTTTTATAAGAAATATCAATGTGTATGCCAATGACTCAAGATCATCCCTCCGACTTCCAGTTCGGCCTAAATGGGCATGCACACTAGCATATCTTATTGTTCCCCTGTCAAAAGAGAAAAGCTTAATTGAAAAGTTGAGACACAAAATAGTAAAGACTTGTAAAGGGAAAAAATCCACACACCTGAACACATCAGGCCTCTGATCATAATCAACATGTTGACCAGATGATGCATCTTTCCATCTAGATGCTGAACCAAAAATATGTTAATCACCCAGACATATGTATGGAAAATAACATTTAACCCAATTTAAACTACGTAGCAAAAAAAACCATGTAGAAAGATATGCCAAGAGAAACCACTGGGGCTTGCATAATCTGTTCACAGTGGCAGTTTAAGAAGAACATAGGCAAACAAGGAAGGAAAGACAAACATACCCAAACCAAGATCAATAAGATATAGCTTCTTCTCATCAGCACTTCCAGGTTGACCAAGTAAAAAATTTTCTGGCTTTACATCTCCATGCCTCATCAGCACTTCCAGGTTGACCAAGTAAAAAATTTTCTGGCTTTACATCTCCATGCACAAACCTTGCTTGAGCAGAGGACAAGCAACTTAGAAATGGTAACTCATCCTGACTTAGATGAACAAGGACAAGCAAAGTGGAGCATAATAAAGGTAAAGTATGAAAACATAAAGTTACTCACCCTTTCATATGAAGCTTTTCAAGAATTGATATTGCCTCCACAGCAATGCAGGCCACCATATTTGGCGACATCCTGTTGCAGGCACAGCACATTAACCAGGCAAGACAAAGAAGAAGAAATGAAGAAATGAAGAAGAGGAAAAGCATGTGGATTCTAGGACACCACACACATAAAAATCCATTTTGTATACAAAGAGAAAGAGATTGTCTTTCTTACGATTGGCCTAGGGAATTCCAAACGTCCCAAAGACTAGGTCCAAGCATGTCCATTACCTGAAATATTTATTTAATTTCTTTTACAAACAGCAAGCAAAATCAGATACTTTGACCATAAGAGCTCACACTTGACACTCACCAGAATGTAGAAATCTCCTTGGCGACCCTTGTAATGTACCCAAGGAATTCCATAACATCCATTTAGAGTACTTCTCAATTCGAAAAGGACAAAAGAAGAGGTCAATAAGCAATGATGAATCGGGTAATAAGTTTCAAATTTATTAAGTAAAATAAAGGCATGTGCTTACTTATACACTTGCCACTCATAAGGAGGGCCGTAATTGCAACCTTTGCTATTTCGGTGCTCAAACTTCAATGCAACCTGTAAAGCAAGGAATTCGATGCAGTAAATTCAATGCGGTAATTTGCAGATATGAAAATGAATTCTCCGATCATACCTCAATCGCATCTGGTCCAGTTCTGTCAGTACCACCACTCACCCTTCTGCCAACATAAACTTGGCCAAATCCACCCTTACCCAACTTTCTTTCTATTTTATATACAGGAGAATTACCCACTTGAACCTACATGAAGCAATATAAATACCATCTTCACTAATAGATTGATATGCAAGGGATTAACAGCTAGCAAATCCAAAGAAAAGATTAATCAGCATTTATTAATACAAGACAAGATGACATGTAAGCTGACCAACTAAGCCAATGGCTGTTGACGATTGCACAAAAGGAGTTTTAATTTCACCTAAACTTACAAATTGACCATCATTATATACATATTTTCAAATAAACCATTCCGTATTAGTTGGAGCGAAAACGAATCTTTAATTACTATTATTAGCTAAAGAAGGTATAAAAGCAGTATAGTAGTTAAAGCGATTTTGTTAGTTAAAGAAAGCAAGTTCACATTAACCCATTAGCTAAATAATAAACTATTTAATCTACACAAACAAACCCAACAAGAAATAGTGAGCAGACGGGCAATACCCTCTCTGGAACTGGAGTAGTGTTTCCTTCTTCTTCAACTCCCACTACCTTGTCTGCACTACCACCATCCATTGCAATATCTTTGTCTGCCACTACTTCAACTCGATTATAACCTGGTTCAGCAGCTCCTAAAGCTGCAGGTTCCACCTCACAAGGTTCTGGATCTAAATCTATCAACCTAATACCCTGGCCTCTTCCAGCAGCAGTTGGCCTTGCAGGTATTGCTGGAGAAGCTCCTTTGGCTACACCTGTGGCATTGCCACCTCTTCCTCGACCACCAGCTCTTCTTCTAGTTTTGTTCTGAGTAGGTTGTATCCAATTCTCAGTTGGGTTGATCGGTTGTTGGAGAGCTTGAAGATCATCAAGACGCTTTGATCTCCGGGCTCCGCTTCTCAATTCTGGCATCCTCAACCCATGCAAATCACATTCCACTTAAATCTCCTGTAAAAAAAAAAAAAAAAAAAAAAAAATCTCCTGTAAAAAAAAAAAAAAAAAAAAAAAAAAAAGGAATGAAAACCATCAACTTTAGAAATGCAAAAAAAAAAAAAAAAAAAAAAAAAGGGAATGAAAACCATCAACTTTAGAAATGCAAACATGCAGATATACAAATTAAAATCATGCCATAAGTAGAAAGGCAGTTAAGCCACTAATTTGTATTTATTAATGAACTCTTACACAGGCATATCTATGACTCGAAAACTGAAACATGAACCATTCCCATGCAAGCTTAAACACGTGTTCGCATACGACACAGAATCAGTCGGACATCTCAATCGTGTAGAATGCAAAACCAAAACACAGTAACAACATACAGGGAAAGCCCCACAAGCAACTAAATTCGAACTGACTAGAATATTCATATCAAAATAAATAGGTTCCAACAAAGTTTTCAGTGGGAATCATTCAATTTCAAATTGCAGCAACTATGACATTATCCAAGACTAAAAACAGAAAAAAGAAAAAGAAATATCCCAGGAATATACAATTAAGTTAGTAACAGATATCAAATCAGAGATATAACAGAAGGAAAAGCAAAAAGCTGCGTACTTTAAAAGCGACATATGTAGATATTACTTTTAGACAAAAATAAAAGAATGTGGCTAAATATAAACATGAATATATGCAATTGTTCATTCTGTTTTTCAAAATGAAGCTCTATTCTTAGTTTCCCAATCACTCACTTACCAAACCAAATTTAACATATTAATCAATGGAACACATCAATAGTTGCATATATGTAAAATAATCAACTAAATCAATTCATGAAATTTTATCAAACTAGCAGCATCTCTAACCAACAGAGGATTAAAAAATTTTAAGAGAAAATAAAAATACAGACTTTTACAATTTCAGGAAAGACTCAATCTTTTGTAACAAAAAGAAAAAACAAACCGATCATCAAAATAATTTAAAAGGACAAATAAATAAGAATCCCTTATCTTCAAAAGAATAAAATCTGAACCGATCATCTAACAAGCGGAACAACGATGGCGATGAACACAGCTGACCAACACAAAACAAAAAACTGAAAAAAAAAAATTTACTCACAGATCGATCCTCGATATCGAAAAACTCAGAATGATAGCAGCTCTAAAAGGAGAAAAAAAGGCGATCGGTTATGTATGGATCGCCTCCTTGTTTTACAGTGAAACGACAAGTTTGTATTCAAAGAGGAGTTATTTTGGAGGCACAAAACGCTTCCGATGGATAGATAAGTGGATAGATTGTCTGATATGAGTTTGTGTTTGGTGTGGATTCTGTAATGTATGTGCGTGTGTGAAAATATAATAAGGAGGCGAAGGTGGAGGTGGTGGTTGGCGGAGGAGTTCTTTGGTGGTGGTGGTGGAAGCGTTTGTGGTGCGCGTCTGGATGTGTGTTTCTTTGGGTTTCTCACTCTAAAAAGTAATTTAAGAGAGTATAATGGTTTGGTTCTCTCTCTAAAAAGATTAATTATCATGGTAGCATTTTTAATGTGTGTGTATGCATATCATGGGGCATGCAAATGTGGCTTCGTTTTAACCAAACGTATTTATATATTTTCTTTCTGCGAAGGGAAGTATTTATATATTTTCTAATTATATATTAATATATGCATTACCCTACTTTTTTTTTTCTTTTTGTTTCCCTATTTATCACCACTTTATGTATTAAATATTTATGGACTTCTCATTTATACCTCTACTTTATCTACTAATTAAATTATTTTTATTGTTTCGTTTTGACTTTAATCAATTATAATATTTTAATTTTTCCTGCCAATTGCTAGTTGATTTAGATTTACATTATATTTTATATTAGCCTTGTAAAAATATTTGCTGTTGTTGTTTTTTTTTAAATAAAAAGTTGTTTGCGACCACTTTATTTATAATAAACACTTTATTTTATAATAATTTAATAAATATTTATTATAAACAATGTAATTAATATTTTTATTATATAAGATATTCATTTTAAAAATACAAATTATATGTATGCTTTGAAATATGAAAAAAGTAATTTATATCTATTTATATAAATATGTAATTTCTGATGTCTGAATGTTTATATGGCAACATAGTAGATATAAAATTGATGATGTGACGTTTTATTTTTATTTATTAATATTTTAAAATTTAATAAAAATTGAATTTTTTTATAAAATAATGGAGTTACAAATTAATAAATTTAATGCACGATTTCATTATAATTAATATTTTTTTTCTTTAATAAATATTAAGTTTTTTATTAAATATAATAAATATTAAGTTTTTTTAAATAGTTTTCTATAAAAAAAATATTAATGGAGTTACAAATTAATAAATTTAATGCACGATTTCATTATAATTAATATTTTTTTTCTTTAATAAATATTAAGTTTTTTATTAAATAGTTTTTTCTATAAAAAAATATGAGTTATAATAGAGTCATAGTTAAAAATTATTTAAATAATGTAGTTACATTAACAAATATAATTAAAATATTATTTTCAATTCACTAAAATTTATTTACTAAAATTAACTATTCGTATACCTTATCTAATTTTAATATATAAAAAATTTAAATAAAAAAATTAATTAACTATATCAGTTAAATTATAATAATTTATAATACTAATTAATATTTCAGTTCATTATTTGTGATTTCAATAAGTATTTTTTTTCATATTTATCATTTATATATGACAAATAATTATTAACTTAATTTAATGATTTTTTTCAAAAAATAATATTGAATTAAATGTAATATAGTTAATTTACTCGATAATTTATTGTAACTTAAACAAAGTTAATAATTTTCGATGTTCATCAAATGTGACAAATAATATGAAATAGATGTGATAAGAAAATTACTACTGATCTAGAACCATGTGGTGATATTCAACAATAATTATAGACATAACAGTTGGTATTAATAATTGATCATTTCATTTCGTTAAATTTCACTTTTCTATTTAATGAATTTTTTTTAAAATAAGATATTAGTAATTATTTTATTTCAATTACTTTTCTAAATATTTTTATTGAATTTTATCTCAATCAATTGAGCATTGATTAAAGAATAATTAAATTAATTGCCTTATTTTTTTAAAATTCCAGTCAAAAATGTCAAATTTAAAACGTGACAGCAAAAATAATGTAATTAACCAATTTAAAAAAAATCTATACAATACTCTCGTGCAAATTAATTACAGGCGTTTAAAATTATAAATCTATATTATCATAATTTTAATACTTCTAAATATAAAAATTACACGAAGAAAATAATTTTGTACAAAATCTTTACGTGCAAAAAAAAATATATATATATATAAATTTAGAATTGAGTTATTGGTTAAAAAAATGACTCTACTAATATTATGTGAAGTGTAAAAAAAAATTATGAGTTTTTAAAAATTTTGGTCCAAGTTTCTTCATAATGAACATATTCAAGATAGCTCATTTTCAGTTTAATATTATAATATTCAATTTAATTGCACTGGACTGGTAATTAAAATTAAAAAAATTGTCTTATAAATTAACTTCATAAAATTCTAGTGCTATTAATTATTTGTAAATAATAAAGAATGAAAATAAATAAAATAAGTTAAATATTAATTATTTAATATTTGAATTTGTTTGTTATAGATTTAAATGATACATTTTTTAAAGTGTGGAGTTGTTTGAAAATTTTGTTTTAAAGTAATTTTAAGATTTAGAAGTTCATTCAAATCCAAATCCAAATAATGAATTTTGATCAAATCCAAATCCATAAATGACAAATCCAAACACAGCTTTATTTTCAATTAAATTTAGATTTTGCGCATAAATCTTTTCAAACGGACCAATAATCACTAGGCAGTCTTCTGTATTTTCTTTCCAACCAAACAAATCCCCATTTGCAGTGTTCAAACACATGGCATCACCTCCAATTCCCACTCCAAGTCGGAGCCCCGAACTCAGGCATGATCCCGTCACGAACCGGTGGGTCATTTTCTCACCCGCCCGAGCCAAACGACCCACTGATTTCAAATCCAAAACCCCTCAAAACCCTAGTTCCAACAACAGCCCGTGTCCTTTCTGTATCGGACACGAGCATGAATGCGCCCCCGAAATCTTCCGGGTACCATCCGATCCGAATAACCCACATTGGAAGATCCGGGTCATCGAGAATCTCTATCCGGCGTTGAGCAGAAGCCTTGATAGCTCACCTGAGCAAAGCCTTCACTTAAATTGTCCGGGTAGGACATTGAGCGGGTTTGGATTCCACGATGTGGTGATAGAGGCCCCGGTTCACTCGGTGCTGTTGTGCAATATGGCACCGAGTGAGATTGGTGAGGTTTTGCTCGTGTATAAGAAGAGGATTGAGCAGATTATGAATTGTGAATCAATCAAATACGTGCAGGTTTGTTGTTTCAATGAATTTATGTTCTTAAATGGGAATCTGTCTGGGTTAATTTTTCTTTTAATTGCTCGTTGAAGTTTTGCTTTTAATAATTTACTAGATATGGAGATGCGGGCTCGTTCCTAGCTCTGTTAATTCGGCATTTTCAATTTGATTTTATTGCCAATTTGTTTTTTTCCCTGATTTTAATGCATTATTAATGGATGGAATTTGTGCATTTCTTTTATTTTTTTTTTTCCTTTTAAAATGAATTTGCTTTTTTTCTGCAATTTTAGCATTCATTATTATCTTGGCACCTCCGTAGAAGAAATTGTTATGTTTCTTATTTTAGCGGCTAAGTGACCTGAATTAGATCATTCAAATGTTTTTGGACTTCATATGGAAGTATGGAACCATGAAATATGTGTTGCAAGCTTTCACATATGTAAATGGCTTAGTGATTTCCTTTCATTTATATTTGCAAAACTTGTTTCTTTTGTGTATTAATGTACAATTCAAATTGACAAAGCACTGGGTTTTATGCTTTAAGGTGTTCAAGAATCATGGTGCTTCTGCAGGGGCATCAATGAGTCATTCCCACAGTCAGATAATTGCGCTCCCAGTCATACCTCCTTCTGTTTTTGCCCGACTTGATGGTACAAAGGAGTACTTTGATAAGACAGGGAAATGTAGCCTTTGCGTGGTTCACAAAGAAAGGCTTTTCATTGATGAATCAACCCATTTTATCTCAATTGTTCCATTTGCTGCGACATTTCCTTTTGAGATATGGATCATTCCCCGGGATCATTGTTCTCATTTCCATGAATTAGGTTCTGATAAGGTAATTATGATTGCTTGATTCTAGGCTTTGTAAATTGCATGTATGAGCTGATCTTGTTACTAAGTTATCAAATCTACCTAAATAGTTACTTTGCCTTTTCATTTGAACTTGGTTGGTGAACTGTGGTGTTGAAATTTAGAATGAGTTAAGTTTCATGATTAATGGTGAAGAAACAGTTTGATAACAGTCATCAATCAATCAATTATTTATCTTCAATGCCTCATTACGTGGGAAATATAATGTTTCTTGATTTGGTTGAAAATCTCTCTGATGCACATGCAAAATAGTTGATAATAGAATATCACATTCAGTATTAATTTACTGTTAATGGCTCCAATGAACAGACTGCAGTAGCGGATTAGAAGAATATAAGTAGGCTGTGATATTGGCATTATTCTCTATACTTGCTTTAGTGTGAATGGTGCTTTTTTAGATTGAATAAATGCATCTTAGAAACTTTGAATTATATATACAAAACATGTGGCACTCGATATGAGTTCTGGACATCATTGCATTTATTAGGTTTATGTTGATGGAACCGGTACTGATATATTGATAACTTTTGCCATTCTGCAGGCCATTGATCTTGGGGGATTGCTGAAGCTCATGCTTAGAAAAATGTCTGTGCAATTGAATAACCCACCATTCAATTTCATGATCCAGACAGCTCCACTTCAGGTTAAAGAATCACAATTACCTTATACTCATTGGTTTGTACAGATAGTGCCTCAATTAACTGGGGTGGGAGGGTTTGAAATTGGAACTGGTTGTTACATAAATCCTGTTTTCCCTGAGGATGCTGCAAAAGTTCTGAGAGAGGTCAATCTTCCAATGGTGGGTTGAATTAATCACTTATACCATAAATTTTACTTACATTTAAACAAGAGAGACAAATAAGGTGTCGGTTTGTGCTGTGATGCCTGTTTCAAATAAATTTGAAATCCTTTTCTGTCATGTTTGTGCATCAAAAAGTTAAACACATTCATTAAAAGGTTGCATCTTGCACGGGCCAAAGTTACCCACATGTCCCGCGTGGTTATTATACTTTGTTTCCGGCAAGTGCAACTGACTGTTTATAATGCAATAATGCAAGACATAAAGAAAGATAAGTGGACAATGCCTTTGAATGGCATTGAAATCTCGACTGTCATGGCACAGAAGGGAAGTGAAATCTGTAGAAGCAGTGTGGCTGCCATGATGGTATCTAGCACTCTTTTCAAATCCTTTTCTTTCTCAACTCTTGATAATTTATTAAAGCTCTATGATGGAACAATACTCCTTTTAAGTCTTGAAATAGGGTGTATCATGAATAAACAAAAATAAAGCTATTCACTGTTTTTCTCTTAGTAGAGCTTGTAGAGGAACTGTGATAGCTTATTAGTATCAGGTTTCCAGTTCAAGTTAGGGTTTTGATGTGAATGAACTCGGCAGTTTAAGCATGTAAGTAGGGTAAGCATAGCTGCCTTTTTGGACCACTCTGATTTTTAACTTTGAAAGCGAAATTGAATTATAACAAAGTATCATGTGGCTGCAAAACATTTGCATACTCCATGGGAATCAGCACGGAGGGTGGCTGCTATAATGGAGGTAGTGGACCAGGCTTGAGCCATCATCAATAATCTTTGGCTTAATGGTAATGTATTTTTATTTTATGTTTTAGGCTTGGGAATCAATAATCTTTATTTAAGTTTCAACTTCTGTATAAATATAATGGGTTGATCAATTGAGCTAACAGCTTTTGTGACCACCGACCGTATAGCATAGATTTCAATAAAATGATTTGGCAAAAGTTAGTTGCCCATTCAAAAGAATAGGGAAAAAAAATAGTAATATTGAGGCTTTATTTATTTTCAGAAAATAATTTACTTGAACTCCTTACAAAAATAACTTGAAAATTAACAGAATGATCTTGTAAAAGTACTAATTTGAAAAAATAATTAGTAGTCATTATTTTTATAAGGTTATTAGAGTCTAAATATGATATATAAATATGAATCATCTATTAACTAAGGGTGAGGAAACTTTCAAAAAATTCAAAAACTGAATCAAATCGAATTATTTTTGGTTTTTGATTTTTAATTTCAACTTCGGTTTTTAATTTTCTATAATTTTGATTTTCAGTCTTTTGTGTTGGTTATTGCAACAAAATAATTATTTTACTGAGTATATTGAACTGAACCAATTGATTTGGTCCGATTTCTGAACTTATTTCAGCATGGATCAATTTCAACACAAACTGAATTTTGATTTTTGGGGCTTGGTTTGATTTCAAATTGAACCGTCTGTTTGCATGACTCAATTATCAACTAATAAGAAAAAGTTTAAAAATTTTGCAGACGAATAATTGTTAGTTAAAATTCAGGTATTAGGTATTATCTATGCAAATTAGTTGAATTTTTGTAAAAATAAATTTGATTAAATTTCAGTCGATAATTATCAGCTGTCTGAATTACTTGAATTAAACACCTCGAGATTTGTTCTTCATCTCGATTTTCTTAGAATTTTTATAGAAAAAGAACATGTTTATCATTAATATGCCAATAGTCTCGGTTGAGGTAATAAGCCATTCAATTACTATAGGAGTGGAAATGTAAGTTTGAAATTTGTAATTACCAAGAGCGTTAGTTGAGGAGAGAAGCCATGACTTGTTAAATCAGTGTAGGAGTGAAAATGTAAGTTTGAAATTTGTAAGCGTACTTGTTAGGAAGACAAAAGCTCGAAAGAAAAAAAAAAAAAACGTGTCACATGTCAAAAAAAATAATATGAGGCCAAGGCCCAATGCCTCAAAATGAAGCCTGGTGTTACAGAAAACCCTAAAACATGGTGGTATGGAGGCATTAATTCGTTGGGTCAAGGTCTACGTCTACCGTTGGGCCCGAAGCAGAGAAAAGATAAAGAAAAGGACAAACACCACGTCCATATAACATTTATTTTAGATTTTTCAATAAAAGAAATTGCTGATTATAGAAGTGAATCGGTGGTGCAATTTAAAACGCTCTCTTTCCTTATAAGTAAAATATGTTTCATGTTTTTGTCTATAAAACCCCAACTCTTGGGTTTTGGCGGCTACCCCCTTCTTCAAGCCTCTCTCTCTTTCCTCTTTTTCTTGCCCGAAAATCCCCCCACCTCTTAAATACTCTTCCCTTTAAATCTTAGGGTTATTGTCTCTTTCTCTCTTCTTCCTAATCCGAATCGTTAATCCATCTCATCATTATCGTCATGGCAGCTGTTGCTTCTCCTTCTGATCGTATCCTTACTAACTCCTCTCATCTGGGTACTCTTTATTATTATTATTATTATTATTATTATTATTATTATTTTCAAATCTTGATCGTTGTTTCATGTTTAATTCATATATATGTGCTCGACTGACTATATGTCTATATGTCGGTGCTTGGCTTGTGGGTAGATCAGAGTTTTGATTCTCGAATTCTTTTTCTTTGTGTTCAGGAGCATGGGTTTTCTTAGAGTTTATCTATAGATATTGATTATTAGAGTTAATTTATATTCTTGAATTTGATCTGTTTTTTCAAATTTGAGAATTTTAATTTTTCGGTGTTAGATGCAAGAAACTTATTCTTATATATCTATTGGGTTTCCTATAATCTTCATGCTTATTGTGAGTATGTGTTGGTTGGTCAAGATTTTTTTTTTCCGGATTGGGGTGTGGGTTTCTTTAGGGTTTAAGCATGGATTTCGTGAGGAATAATCTTACGTTATACTTTTGACTTTCATAACTTTTTTTTTTTTGGTTCCTTTCTGCGAAAGTGCTCAACATTGCGTATTTAGTGGATTTGAATAGTTTGAGTTGAATTGATTATCTCATAGTTTGCTGTATCCTTTACTATTACTGTTATAGAGGTTTCAGGTATGCTGGAGAATTTGTCATTAGATTCTCAGACCAAAACTATTGAAATTCCTGAACCGGCAAAGAAGGTAATCAAGGTTCTTGTTTCATTCGCTAGTTTTTTTCCCCTTATGCAGTTTGTCTGATGATATGGTAAATTGATTGGTATAGCTCTCTACTAGTCAATATGGATCAAGTGACTTGGCTACTAATACAGCCAAGCCATTAAATCGGTCTACCACCCATCTTCATGTAGACCAAAACGCGTACTATTATCCTAGTGGGTACCCATCGCCTGCCTACTGTTATGGAGGTAAGCTGTGAATTTAGTTTTAAGGCTATTGCCCTACAAGGTGTCTTCATAATGGGTAAAAATTGAAATTTTAAGTTCATTAAACTTGTACTTTTTTGGGTCAGTAACACTCTGGTGCAAAATGTTCATCCTTCTTCAGGTTATGATGGGCATGATAATGGGTGGAACGACTACTCTAGATATGTTAATCATGATGAGGTTGAGAAGTCTCATATCAGTTCTACCTCTTACTCGTATATGCATCTATATTAATAATTAGATTGTCCATAAACGGTGATTTAAGGAAGAATTGATAATTATATTTTTCTGAAAAATTTCTATGAGTGGCTCTCATCCTTTTTTTTTTTTTTTGATGGGCTGTTGAGTTGCACATGATGAAGTAGATTTAATTGAATTGCATTCTTCAATTCTCAAGTACAGCTTCTTCCACAGCACTGATTCAGAAACATTTAAAATCTTATACTATGTAGCTTTCACTTTTTGGGCATATTTTTATCTTTCTTTGATGAAATTTTTGCTTAGATTTATGTAGAGTATTGTTGGCTTGTTTCAATCGGTAAAGTTTGCTTCATGTTTTACCTTCTCATTCTCATCATCTCCCGCATTTTCCATATGTCAGTCTTTATTTTTTTGGTTCATGTGTTGGCAAAGGTAAGTCAACAAACTGTAGGTGGGGAAGAAACTGTTGTTGACATTTTGTATGTCTGAATTTAAATTGACAGGTTCTTGTCTATTGGTAGGGCATTTATGGCAATAACGAGACCGCTATGTATCCTCAAGGCTATGGTTATACATCTTTTGGAACATACCCCTCAGTAGATTCAACTGTCCCTACCATGGGAAATGATGGCCAGCTATATGGAACAGAGCATTATCAGTACCCTAGTCCTTTTTACCAGGCTCCAATTGCAAATGGCACACTTTATACTCACAACAGAGGCAGTGTTTCCCAAACAGAGGCTCCCGCTTCAGCTGCAGTGGATAAAGGGGCTTTGTCTGTAGTGACAGCTGCAGGAAACCCAAATACTACATTAAACGGTGGGAGTTTAAACAGAAGTAATGGACCAAAGCCTTTCAGACCAACTAATCAAAAGTCTTCTTCAAATTTTAACAATTCCTACAAAAGGGGAGGCTTACCAGCTGGATTCACTCCAGCTTATCATGGATATGATCAATATCAGTCACCAATGCCTTGGTTGGATGCCTCTATGTTCTCAAATGGGCCAGCTGGACATGCAATCAACAATGGATTCTCTTCATCTTTGGTATGTATTAATAGGCAATCTATCTGTCATTCATTACGAAGCTTATAGATAATTTAGGTTGCTTCAAACAGGTGAAGTTCACATATTTTCTTTTTTTGGTTAGGATACTTATTTGAGATCTTTCATATAGTTATAATTCTCATGTGTTTTGTGTTTAACTCAAGCTTCCTAGGTAAATGACGAGGGGAAAAATTCTTCTGTGTTTTCTGATTTTATCAACTTTTGACATCTAATAGTTCTTGTAATTTTTTATTAGTATCTGCTAGGGCAGTTTCATTAAGATTGTTTATTGATCGAATCTCAGAATTTGCATCCTACAAGACCAATGCCTGTCTTTGGGCAAGCTCCAGGAGCTATGAACTTGATGTACCCTAACAACAGAATGTATGGCCAATATGGATACAGAGCCGGTGCAAGTTTTGGATCCATTGGTGGTAATTCATGGACAAATGGACGTGATTGGGTGGTTGTTGATAATAAATATAAACCTAAGAACCGTGGTTATGGCAATGAGAACATAGATGGTTTAAGTGAGTTGAATAGAGGACCTAGGGCCAAGGGCTTTAAGAACCAAACAGATTTTGGTTCTCAGGGGCAGAACCTTCCACTGGCCGAGAATAATAAAGAGGATAATTTGCTGCAAATGCCGGATAAGGAACAGTACAACAGGGAGGATTTTCCTGAGGATTACTCAAAAGCAAAATTCTTTGTTATTAAATCATACAGTGAGGATGATGTTCATAAAAGCATCAAATATGGTGTATGGGCAAGCACACCTAATGGGAATAAGAAGCTGGATGCAGCTTACAATGAAGCCAAGGAAAATCCTGGCACCTATCCTGTATTTCTACTATTCTCTGTAAGTACTAGCAGTTTAGTATCACCTACTAAGTATATTTTGTAGTTGTTCCAAGCATTTATTAATTTGTTCTTCTTCTTTTAGGTCAACACTAGTGGACAATTTGTTGGTTTGGCGGAGATGAAGGGGTCAGTTGATTTTAACAAAACTGTGGAGTATTGGCAACAGGAGAAGTGGATTGGTTGCTTCCCTGTGAAGTGGCATATAATTAAGGATGTACCAAATAGTTCTTTGAGGCACATAACGCTTGAAAACAATGAGAACAAGCCTGTCACTAATAGTAGGGATACACAAGAGGTAGATGAGTTCTCTCCTCCTCTTTCTCCATTCTATTTTTGGTTAACCTTTTCTAATTTTAATGGCTGTTTGATACTGTAGGTGATTCTCGAGAAAGGTATTCAGATTCTTAAAATTTTTAAGGGTCATAAAGGCAAGACATCCATCTTGGATGATTTTGGGTTTTATGCAGCTCGTGAAAGGATTATGCAGGAGAAAAGGGCTAAGCAAAAGATTCAAAAACAGGTAGGATGTGCTTACCATTCTTTACTTTATCTATTCTTTTTGTTGGTCTCTTTTACTTTTTTATTTGTTATAGGCGTGCAAGTTTAATATTCATATTGTCCTTTTTTATTTGATATATTCGTTAATTATTACCCTCGAAGTCCCTCTTGAAGCCTGACCAAGCTTGTTAATTTTTTCTTTTTGAAAAAAAAAAAAAAGGTTTCGGATGGGAAGCGTGAGGATGATTTGGCAAATAATAAAGAGAAATTTGCAAGTGTGGGAAAAGAGAATTCACAAAAATCAATGGATAGTGTATTGAGGGAATCAACAGGTGCAGCATCCGTTGAAGTGGGGAAGATGAACGGAGAGTTGAAGCTGCTAGAAGAGAATGGATCAAATTCAGCAGTTGATAACTCCCCCAAAATTGCCAAGCATGTTGCGTCATCTGAAAATAAAGCAGTTCCTTAGTGTGTCTGCAAGTGCCTGCTAATTTTTGGTGTTAAAAATTCCATTTTAGGGTAGAATTATAGGGTAGTTGTAATGAGTGGGTTTCATAATACTGATAGTGAATCTGCTAATTAACTATCAGCATTCACATAGGTTAGGTAATGGATTTGGTGGTTTGAAACCAAAAGAAAGACCTCTTTGTTCTTTTGTAGTATGGCCTGCTCAAAGACCTTCAAAGATCTTTCTCTTCTAATTGTTAGTTTTATGTCTCTTCTGTAGCCTTCTTTTGATGATTGGAAGTAATTTTCATATTTGAGTGCATGGTTTTTATCTTTAGAAAATTTGAAAGCTTCAAGTTTAATCCAAATTTCTAATATAAGACCATGCTTTATTTTTTTCTTAAAATGCATAGTAATATGTTGATCAAGAAAAACAAAAAAAAGTTAAATCAGTCAAGGAAAATATATGTTGTAAAACCTGTTTGATTAATCGATATATTTATATTAAAAATATATATATCATTTTTTTATATTATTATTTTCTTAACATATAATTGATGCTATAAAAATAAAAATGAAATATGTGAGGATGAAGGTATTTTTTATTGATATAATTTGAGATTAAATAAAAAAAAGAATTAAGAAATGAAAAAAGAATATATGATTTTAAAAGAAATGGGGCAGAATTTAGATCGATTTTTTTTAATGGAAGAACTAGTCCCAAATTGTTTTTTTATACGCAATTATTAAATTTTAAATTTATATTGAATATTCTTACATATTTTACTACAAAAAGGGCAAGGTAAATGACCTGTAAACCTTTGAATTTTATCTATAGATTTAGTTTAAAAAATAAAAAATAAAACGACGCCGTTCAATTTAAAGAGAGGGAGGGAGAGCCAAAAGTTCTAGGGCATTCTGGTGAAACATTTCCCTAGTTCCTCTACATAGAGCCACACTGATCACTGACCGAGAGAAACTCATTTCTAGGGTTTTTCTCTTTCACACTGCAACTTCGAAGAAGAACAAGAAGACAGAGAAGAAATCGGTGAGCCTACATATTTGTCAAAGATTTGTGAAAAATGGGGTTCTCAATGCAGCCATATGGAATACAAGCAATGCTAAAAGAGGGACACAAGCATCTCTCTGGTCTCGATGAAGCCGTTCTCAAAAATATCGATGCCTGCAAGCAACTATCCACTATTACTCGCACCTCTCTCGGCCCTAATGGTACACATTCTTCTCATTTCTCTAGAGATTTTGGATCTAGACTTTGTTTCCTTTAATTACATTTGCGCTTTGTTTTTGAGATAGTTTGTTAATGGTTTTTGTCATCAGGTATGAATAAGATGGTTATAAATCATTTGGACAAGCTCTTTGTAACAAATGATGCAGCAACTATTGTTAATGAACTCGAGGTTCAGCATCCAGCAGCAAAAATTTTGGTATTAGCTGGTAAGGCTCAACAAGAGGAAATTGGTGATGGGGCTAACTTGACAATTTCTTTCGCTGGTGAGCTTCTTCAAAATGCAGAGGAGCTTATTAGGATGGGACTACACCCAAGTGAGATCATTAGTGGATATAACAAAGCAATCACCAAGGTTTGCTAATTATTTGTGTAGTCTCAGTTCTATCTTTGGCTTGCCTTCTCTTTTTTTGTGCTTAATATAAATTAAAATCGCAGGCAATTGAAATCTTGGATGAACTGGTAGAGAAAGAGTCTGAAACGATGGATGTGAGAAATAAGGAACATGTCATTACTCGAATGAGGGCTGCTATTGCTAGTAAGCAATTTGGACAAGAAGAAGTTTTATGTAAACTTATTGCTGATGTATGTATATAGCACAGTTCCTTATTATATTCAACTGATTTTTCTATATAAGCTGTTTATCTGAATGTTCTGTCTCACTTGGGTTGTATTATAGGCATGCATACAAGTATGTCCCAAGAACCCGGCAAACTTCAACGTTGATAATGTCCGTGTTGCTAAGCTTGTTGGAGGTGGTTTACATGATTGTACAATAGTACGTGGAATGGTATTGAAAACTGACGCTGTGGGTACTATAAAGAGAGTGGAGAAGGCAAAGGTAAGCACTCATTTGTCTATTCTATGTTTTTGCTGTCAACATTAAACGAAACTTGTCAGGAATCTTTATCAGCGATGCCATATTAGGAACTTGTTGCCTTTTGTTGTTGTGTAGAAAAAGAAAAAGGAAATCTTGTTTGGTTTTTATATTAGATGACCATTGCTTGAATTAGGGTTTGAAGTTATATTTTTCCAATTTAAATTCAGATTTACAACTTTAAATGGAATAACTAGAAATGGTGTGTAATTCTCCAATGTTGTATCTATTTTTTCCAGTTTTACATTGCTTTGATTTGCCATATTGGTGGTCCATTCCTCGAGAATGATTAATGGCAAATACTTTGTTACACTGATGGAGCAATTCAATTTCCGTGGAAGGTTAAAATTATGCCACTGATTATTTTCTAGATATTTATATTACCACTAGAATGGATTTGTCATTTTAGCAAATGGGTGATGATGCTGAAATTTTCTTTATTCTTGTAGTCTCATGTTTCTGTGTAGGATTCCACTTTTAGCTAGGATTATTTTCCAATTTTGAGCTTTAGTTCTTAAGTAATCTAAGATGAAAGCTCAAGAATTAATCATACACTTGTCAACTAGTTATATTAAGAGTTTTTGATGAAACAAAAAGCTTCAGTTTCAAGTTCAGTTGATTGCTTATGTTTGCTGGTAAGTTTTGTCATTTGATTTATCTAGGCTTCTACTTTTAATTTTTGGAAGTGTGAATCATTTATCCAAACCTAAAGAAACATTTCTAAACATTTTGAACAACAAATCAGATCTCTAATTCTAAAGATTCTCTCCTCTAATTATATTCTTCAACTTGTCGACATTGGAGTTTGCTTTCAGACTTGACTTCAAGACATTGTGACAAAATTTTAGCATGAATTTATGAACTTTAAATTTTAATTTTTGTTGCTGTACTTGCTTAGGTTGCTGTTTTTGCTGGAGGTGTTGATACCTCAGCAACTGAAACCAAAGGAACTGTCCTAATTCACTCTGCTGACCAGGTAACCTTGAGGAAATTCACATTTGCTTGTTTTTCCTGCTTTTTCGTTTGCAACATTGCTTGCTTAGTATTCCCAGGAGGTTATACATTTTGCAGCATAACAAGCTCATGGATTGAGTGGTTGTTCTGCTATTTTTACAATTTCCTGCACCTACTTGGCCTTGCAGCTAGAAAATTATGCCAAAACTGAAGAAGCGAAGGTTGAGGAGCTCATTAAAGCTGTTGCAGATTCTGGTGCCAAAGTGATAGTTAGTGGAGCAGCTGTTGGAGAAATGGCTTTGCATTTTTGTGAACGCTACAAGTATAGTGAATTTCCACTCACCTCCTTTTCTACCAGACCCATCTGAATATGCAACTTCTTAACATGCCATTGGATAGTGTATTAGACAAATTATAGTCACATTAATATTAGTAATCAGTTGATTCAATTATTAAGGAGTAAAATATTGGTTGAGTGCAAATATTGGGATGTTGAGTATTGTCTTTGACTGCCTCAATAATCTAGTTTTATATAATTCTAATTTCCAGCGTTCATGCTTGCAGGCTCATGGTGTTGAAGATTAGCTCAAAGTTTGAATTGAGGCGTTTTTGTCGCACTACGGGTTCTGTTGCTATTGTAAGAGCTATTTCAGCTTATACTTTCTGAAAGTTCTTGTAGATCCTACCTTATCTGCCTTTTATTCTTGCAACAGTTGAAACTTAGTCAACCCAATCCAGATGACTTGGGTTATGCGGATTCCATTTCAGTTGAGGAAATTGGCGGTGTTAGGGTATGTTCAAATAGCTGGGCATAATATTTTGGTTTTTTTTGTGCTTCTTTTCCTTTTCTAGTTGTGCCATTTTGTCACTATTTTTCGTCTGTTATTCTTTTTCTCATCTTTAATATATTATATATTTATATTTATGTAGGTCACAGTTGTAAAAAATGAAGAAGGTGGAAACTCTGTATGCACTGTTGTTTTACGTGGAAGCACCGATAGTATATTAGAAGACCTTGAAAGAGCTGTAGACGATGGAGTGAACACTTATAAGGTGGTTGTTGCTAAATATTTTTTGCAATGGGTTTTTTTTCTCTCCAATGTTTATTGTTAATTGTTATAGATCCCGTGGACCTTGAAAATGATTCTCTTAAAGCAGTCAAAACCTAAGCTGTTGGCATTTTTATTGAAATTCTGTGAATTTAATTTGTTTCTATCTATTTAAACTTGAGGTAACAATACAGCCTTATTCCTACATCTTATTGTCAGGCAATGTGTAGGGACAGTCGTATAGTTCCTGGAGCTGCAGCTACTGAAATTGAGTTGGCTAGAAGACTGAAGGAATTCTCTTTTAAAGAAACAGGGTAATTTATTTCTTGAAATTCTTCATCTCTCCCCTTTTGTTGTAGTTACTTCATATGACTATGTGGCGCTTCCTCCAAGAGTTTTGGAGATTATTAACAAACTGGAGAGTACTTGATCTCCTTGTGATAAAATTATTCGGCCTTGCAGATTGGATCAATATGCTATTGCAAAATTTGCTGAGAGCTTTGAGATGGTACCTAAAACACTTTCTGAGAATGCTGGTCTTAATGCAATGGAGATCATATCATCTCTCTATGCTGAACATGCTTCTGGAAATAGCAAAGTGGGCATCGACTTGGAGGAAGGAATTTGTAAAGATGTGGCAACCATGAATATTTGGGACCTTTATGTCACGAAGTATGCTTCTTTATCCTCCATTTTGTGACTTTTCTATGCAATATTGGCATTATGAACAAATTGGCCTTGATGATGGATGATTAGTGTTAATCACCATTGTTCAGTGGTAACTCTGAATTGGAGGCAGGGGTGGAGCTACATGCAACTGAAGGAAGGGGTTCAATTGACCCCCCTTTGTCTTTGGAAAAAAAAAAATAAAAAATTTCCTTTGATTTCCATGGAACTTTAACCTTGGACAACTAAGAAATTTTATGTTATGTTAATCACTTTCCCCCCTTCAATTTTGCTCTTAGGACTTTGCCCTGCCTTCTATTTAAATCCTAACTCCGCCCCTGATTAGAGGTTTTTTAATATAGGGACCTGGATCTTTAGCAACCAGAATTTGTCCCCAACCCACCAACACTTCAAATATTTCCACTTTATCAACCTTTGTAAGGTCTTCAGAGTAACTAACTGTGTTGGGTTAGATTTTAGTGATAATCTGACCTGTCTAGAGTTGAAATTATATTGTGTGGAGCTAAAATATTATATTCTATTCACTGTACAAGTTTCATATTCTTTTTCTTTTTCTTTTTGTTTTTCCAGGTTTTTTGCTCTCAAATATGCTGCAGATGCTGCATGCACTGTATTGCGAGTAGACCAGGTATATTATTTGTGATTAGTGTTGCATTTTTGCTTTAATATTATTTTTATGTTCATTTCTGCTCAGATCATTGGACCTTGAGCATATTATTCTTCACTTGGTTTTATATTTTTATGTACTGATTATTTAGGTGCATGTTTATCTGATAATTTTGTTGGTTACTTTCTGCTGAGTTTTGATTGGTTAATTTTGTTACTTTTCCTTTGAATTCAAAATTTTTAGTTCAATTTTTCTTCCTTTATTCTGCAGATTATAATGGCAAAACCAGCCGGTGGTCCAAATCCAAAGCGAGACGCCCCTGCAGGAATGGATGATGACTAGTTTTGTGCGTGGCTGTTAGATGCGTCTTTCGGCAGAATCCTGTACTTGGTTTGGCACCGTTTTCTTTTCCTACAGATGCCGAAAGGTTCATGCCTAGACAATTTTGTTTACTGTTGAAGAAACTTTTGAGACCATTACTTTGTATATGCTACTCCTAATCCAAAACTAGTGTGGTGGGTGGTTGTGATGATGGTCTGGAAGTACTTGTATCAGTGCCCTAGCTTCAACTGAAAAATGTATTTGCACAGGTGCTTTGAGCCATTTTTGGTGGTGAATTCATATAATTTTTGTTAGTTGATGTATTTGTTGTCAACTAAGTGTCGTTGACTTAATTTGGTTATTGCCATAAGTAGAACTTGAGGGAGGGAAGTCTCGTTTACGATCAAGCGCTTCTTTGATTCTTGGCTTACAATTTGCTTAGGTTGTGTTTGATTGATGATATTATTATGCATGTAAAATAAGTGATTTTTAGTGTTTATATGTGTTAAACTATTTAATCATATGCTTATTTACACATCATCTAAAAGCCAAGCCTTGATGAAATTAAAATTCAAGATTTTTATTTAGAGTTTTTAAATATTATTGAAAAATTAATTTTTAAAACTTAACATATTTCATTTTGACGTGCTTGTTGCCATGTTTAAGGTTCACATTCTCAATTCCTTAGTTGGCTGAGGTATTTCTATTTTTTGGGGATATTAAGATACACAATTTTAAAGATTCACTTGGTATAGTATTACATACAGCAATAAAGTGTGTTTCCAAAAAATAAATTAAATTTTTCTTAGATATTTATGCAAGGGAAGTTTATAATATGCTACTGCCAATAATACCAAATTTAATCTTAAAGGGTGCAGAGATGGTAAAGTATGCTTGACCAATGTAGTACTAGTAATTGCAAATATAAAGCCAAAATAGTACAAATCCAAACAAAAACAGCTGTTTCAGTAAGGATGAGCCTGCTAAACTGAAGTTACTGGTTTGTGTTCCTTCTCTTCCATGGCTTCTCTTCTGTCCTTCTCTCTTCCCAAACCCACCATAGTAAAAGCTACTTCATCATCTTCCACAGCCACCTCTCCCCCAACTCCTGAAATTCTTGAAGAGAAGTTCGGTAGAAAAGGTATCAAATTCTTGGAGTCGAACAGTATCCCGTTTGTTGAACTAACAGTTAGAAATGGCAGTTCTTTAAGGCTTCAAATACCTAATGCTCATGTCACTTCCTACAAGCCTAAAGTTTATTGGAAAGATGATGGCTTTCATGAAATTCTTTATACAGTCCCAAGTATAGATTCTAGCGAAACTAGAGGTGGTATTGGTTTAATCATCAATGATGCTTCTGAATCTGGTTCTAAAGGGTCACTCATTTCTTCTTCTCAATGGACTGTCAAAGATGTTGATTCTGATGCCATTGATGCTCTCCAGGTACTTGCTTAATTACATTTTCAATTTCTGCTCAACCCATTTATTGTTCCTGAAATTAATTGTATTGCATGTTTAATACAATTAGTTCAGTAATGAAGAAAATGAGGAAGAAGAATTTTGGGAACAATTATAGCTTTTAAGCCAAGAATTTGAATGAAATTGGAGAAGAAACATGAGCCTGGATCAACTTAAAGAGAGAGACTTCCACTTCCTGATTAGTATTCCCCGTTCGACATTTTTATGTTCTTGAAAGAATTTCAAAGAAAGAAAAGTTCATTCTGAAGGAAAAAGAAACAAAAGAAGAAAAAAAAAAAGGGTTAAACAATGGATGAGCATTCACATTTACCCTTGTTTGGTACAAATGACATAATTCAATTTAGTTGTGTTGAAATCCACAAAATTAAATTCATGAAAGTGGAATGAACATTTTCTTTCATACCAAACAATAATCATGAAAATTTTACAACAATTTTCATTTATACAACACCTGCATTTTTTTTTCCAGTTGCAAAGTAACTAAAAGAATGAATATCCAATTTTGGTCAATGCTTGTTTTGATTGATTTCTTGCAGGTGGAACTGAGCTCTACTACTGGAACTCTTGATATAACATACATCGTTTCATTATATCCATTGAGCATAGCAACTGCAGTGATAGTAAAGAACAATGGCCGCAAGCCTGTGACTCTAACTAGTGCTATATTAAGTCATCTCAAATTCAAGAAAAGAGGAAAGGCTGCAATCCAAGGGTTCGAAGGTTGCTCTTACTGCCCATATCTTCCTCTATCTTCACCTTTCGAAATCTTATCCCCCGGTGAAGCAATGAAAAATGAGTCTGCTGGATTGTTTGATTTTAGTTCTGAGCCTGAAGATAAACCGGGCATATGGAGAGTTCAAGATGTGCCCTTCACTATTTTGAAGAATAAGTTTAGTAGAATTTATGCTGCTCCACCACAAGAGAGATTAAAACCAATTTATAACACTCCACCTTCAAAATATGAGACCCTTGATCAGGTAACAAGTTCTTTAATTCTTATTTCTTGTCCAAAGATCATACAGTTAGGCAATGTTCGGTATCCTGTAATAAAATGTAATATAGTGCGATAATATGCTTTTCTTTTCCAAGTCTTGACAAAATCAATGCAGTTTTAGTTTAATTTTTTGAACTAAAAATGTATTTCTGTTGCATTACATTCTATTAGGCATACTGAACATAGCAATACAGTAAACATGTGATTTCCTTATACTAAAGAGAAATGGTGCAAACCTAATTACCCTATTTCAGGGACTTGAGCTTTTCTTTAGGGTTATTCGGATGGGTTTCGAAGACACATATATAGGCAGCCCAGGTTCCTTGTCAGAGAAATATGGTAAGGATTATTTTATCTGCACTGGCCCTGCTGCAATGCTGGTGCCTGTTGTTGTCAAACCAGGTGAAAAGTGGAAAGGGGCACAGGTTATTGAACATGATAATTTGTAATTATATAAAACTATAGATTCATTTTCCTTTTCTTTTACAGTTTCTCTGGTTTGCTTTTCTTAGAATAAATATTGTAATCAGAAAGTTTTGTTACTCAAGAAATGTCATTATAGTCCATTGTTCCTTGAGGCTCTTCTTTTTATTTAAACCCACAAAAGTTATCCTGTTCTGTCGATGCAAAGTTATGAACCAATTCAGAAAACATAAATTTGGTACTGTAGACAGTATCAGAATCAGTTTGTGTATTTATAAAAGTGATAGCATTGAAATGTGCCGATCCGGAAAGAAGAATAATGAAAAAATAAGTTGGGTAATTTCTTTCTGTTACCTGAAAGGATAAGGTTGAATGCTTGGCCAACAACTTGGGAATTGAATAGCAGTAAAAGAAGTTAAACCTGTCAAAAACTAGAAAATACAGTGGAAATATATATTTCAAAAAATATCTTTCTAGTTTTCAATTAGAACCAACCAAAAGGGTTAGCTGAGTTATCCAACAGCAAGCAAGACATGGATAAGTGGGCCACCGACAACTTCCTTTTCCCTCTTCATTATGCACAGAAGATATATCAATGCACTTATATCTTGTGCTTAATGATTCCAAAACAAGAAAGGGTTTAACAAAACAGAATGACTTCCAGTTGTCTATTTTCATTGAACTTTTCTCCTATCTTCTGCGCAACTAAAAATTCTCCATTTTCTTTCCAATCTTACTTTCCCTCTGTTTCTCTTCAATACTATAATAAGAAGAGAGAACTCAAGCTTCCTTCAGTAGCCCAAATTCCATACCAACCGATAAACGTAGACTATTTAGAAGAAGAGTTCAGTGGTGATGGAGTCTCTTTTGAAGATATCGGTGCTAGCTGCTTAGCCAAAATAGGATTGGAGAATGGAAGCACAGCAACCTTAATGCTACCAAGTGGCTTGATCACATCATACAAGGCACATATGTGGCATGGCGGTACAGTTGAGCTGCTACAAACATCTGTATCAGAAGGAGAAGATGGTAGTCCTGTTATACAAGGAGGGGTATCATTAGCCTTCAATTTTGGTAGTGATAATGAAACTTCATGGTCTCCAAGTAGCTGGGCTCTTCATTCTGTCAGAGGAACTCCTCAAGACTCTTTTCAGGTCTTTCTATGTTACTGTCAATTCTTAAAAGATTTAATCTTTTAGTCCTAGCAATTAAAGAAATATGGACTTCACTTGCTGTTAAAAATCCGATACTTGTTGTAGTAATGATTGAATTGGAAGTTGTGAAATGCAGGTTGAACTGATAAACACGGATGCAGAGGACATGATTGATCTAAGATACATTATGAGCCTCACCGAAGACACCTTAAGCTCACAACTTGTAGTCTCAAACAGAAAATCTTCATCGATCCAATTTATGGGTTCGCTTATAAGTAATTTGACAGTAAGCACACCAGAAGCAACTTATGCATATGGGTTAGAGGCATCAAATTTCTTTAACCGACCTATATTATTATCAAATTTCAGCATAGTTCCTCCTGAACTTAGCAAAGAACGCCAGTATGGTTTTGGAAGACCAAGGGATAATGCGGGGCTCAAAGATTTTTTTTCTGGTTGGGGTACAAAAAATAAGAAATCCGGCGAGGGAAAAGACGGGCAAATAATAGAAAATGAAGAAGAAATGGAGGGTGAAGAGACTGACAACTATAAAAATTTAACTGAGAAAATGAGCAGGATTTACACCAGTGCACCACGGGATTTCACAATCATTGACAGGGTATTTTCTTTTTCCTATTTTTTCCCTTTTTTCACTTCTCCCATTGCTTCAATATTTTGACAGTTGCTTTTCATTTTGCCTCACAAAACAGGGTAGAAGAAACTCAGTTGTGATAGGAAGGAATGGGTTCGATGAACTGTACATGTTTAGTCCTGGCTCAAACAATGACAGCTATGGCATGTATTCTTATATATGTGTAGGATCATCAGCAATGCTTAAACCAATAATTTTGAGTCCAGGAGAAGTGTGGACAGGTGGACAGCATTTGCATAACCCTAATTTATGATTAATGATTGATGAATCTGCTTGTAATTTGTATATAGAAACTTGTGTTAAAAGAAACTTTGCTGCTCACAAGCTTGTGATGGAGATCCTAAAGGCAATACATGCATGTACAGTGTATAGATTTCTCCCATTTCCCTTAACAATAGTTTAAAACAATTGAACAAAACATATTAAAACACTAAATTGTTCTAAAGGAGCAATACTATGTTAAGCCAAAACAAGTAATTTATCTATTCAAGCATCCAACTAAGGGTTGGAACAACTTGTTTAATATTGAACGGAGACCATAGTATTCTCAGTTTCTCACAATGATTCACTGAAGTCTGCTAAACCATTTCAATACAACAACGACTTAACTAAGTTGGAACAAGATGTTGACCTTCCTGAGTATCAATCCACATTATTGAGGTAAAAATTGCAAGAAGAGCAAAAAACAGGCCTATAATCAACCTATAAGGCTTCTTCCGGTAGCCCTTCCCACTGTGAAACTTTGGAGTATCATCTTTATTTGCAGAAGATACTTGCACCTTAGTGTCAACTGGAACATCATCCGTTGATGACACTGACTCAGAAGTATCTTGGAATAGCTCAGTACCAGCATAAAAGTTTCTGTTCTCTTCAACCTCATAACCTACATTATGTTGAAAGCCATTTCTGCTGAACTTCATATTTGGACTATAATCAAATTTGTTTGGGCATGGACTCATAAACCTTCTGCTTTGTTTCTCAGAGAAGTCTGAATCCATATCATTAGGATCCTGAAGTGAGCGAATGAGCTTTCTTGGAGTCGTGAACATATTAATGTTGTCAACATTTATATGGGAGCGTGACCTCTGAAGCACAAACAAAGAAAAGCAACACAATTAATGTTAGCAATAATGAAGAGTTGAACATATAATTAAAAATGATTTATATTCATTCTTTAACTGGATTGCAAGGGAGCAAAAGCAAACTAACATGTATCGACAAAAAAGGAATCTGGGCTATATACTCTAATATCTGAACTGTATCAAAATTGGTAACCTTTTTCAAATAAAACCTATGCTACTGCAATGGAGATAATAGGCAAGAAATATGTCCATCTCGTACCAACCAGACCACAAATTTAAGTTAATGCCAGTTGATAAAAAGTTCAAAAACCCTTGAAAATATTTCAAAATACTTTTTTTTTTTTAAAACAATATTTAGAAAACTTTGGCAGAAGTTTAAACATACTACTTTTCCTTTATTTTCATTTTTCTTTCTTTTTTCCACTTTTCATCATTCCATTCACTTCTTAGCTGAATGTGATATATAAAACTGAAAGAAAGCGAAACAAGCAACTTGTTTTTAAATGTGTTAGCAAAATTACCTGAGGACTGGGAGTAGTACTCCTTAATCCATTTCTAGGAGTTCTTGGTATGAACCCTCCAAAATCTCCAGCATAGTCTCCTTCACTTTCAGCAAGCTCATTATGCTCAGAGTGATTGGAAAATGCATCATCAATGGGATTTCCACGAGCCAACTCTGAAAACAAACCATCACTGAGAGATACATCTACCCCTCCATTCTCATAGCTCCATAGTTTTCTGTTCACACTCCTTCGGTCATACTCCATATTAGTTGAAATAGGAGACTCAGCCAAAGAGTCATATTCAATAAAGGAATCAAGAGTCTGTGATTCAGGTGATATGGATACTGGAGAATGAGTTCCAGAAGGAGATTGATTCCTCCTCGATTTGTTGTCTCTCCTACCAAAGTTTGAACCAGTAACTGAGCCAGGACTCTTCTCAAATTTTGATTCTTTCTCTATAGATATCTTTTTCGCAGTCTGCAAAGCTTCAAAAGCAGCTCCACTAACATAAGCCATCTGATCAGATTGGCACTTTTCCATCTCCCCAATTATTAAATCAACCTCTGAATATATGCTTCTAGGATCTAAACACTTCATCAAGAAATTGACCATTTGAATAGCAGACAACCTTTTTTGAGAATTACTCTCTACAACACCAGCATTCAAAATACGCAAGCCAGACTGTATTGACAGTCTTGCATAGGCTTCAACTATTAAAGCATTATGCTTTGCCAAAGCCATAACCAAGCCCATATGCGAATTAGTCTGGGTAGACTTCTCCTCCAAAGCAACAGCTACATTTTGACAAACCTTATTCACCATCTCATCTGAAGCAAACCTCCAGTTATCTGATTCCACAAGAGCTCTTAAGCAAAGGGCAGCCCCAGAACTAAGGCTTTCCTGAGAACCTAATAGGGCTTCTGCGAGAGGCTTACAAAGAGAATGAATTATATGCCTCTTCTTTTCTTGGTCTGTGTTTGTTGGATCCATACCATATCTTGCAATTGCTGGTACCACTTTAGAGCACGCTTGTTGAAGTGGAAAAGACCCTGCACTTGAAGCCAAGGTCTTGATAATGGTAGTCATTATGCTATCAATTTGAGGAACAATGTTGACCCCATGGACACGGGCAAGAACTTCATAGAGTGAAATAGTGTACTCCCCAGACACTGAACCACTTTCTTTGGTTTCAGAAACTTGTGCAAGAAAAAGAGGAATTGCCTTAGAATCCAAGCCTTTCACATATGATTTCAATGCTCTCATTGCTGATCTACGACTATCAGCATCTTTGTCAAGATTTGCCAATTCTCGCCGTAGCACTGGACTGAGATTTCTACCCATTTTTTATCTGAAAACAAATGGGTTATTAAGATAATCAGCAAAAGTAGTTTCTACATTCCTAAGGAAAATATGGATGTTCAATTATAAGCCTAAAAAGCAAATCTTTAACAGTTAATTCATTAAGGACTGAAATTCATTAACTAAAAATCCAAGAACAAAATTTATTTTTTCTCATTTTCTCTGAAACCAGAAGGATGAAAAATAAAAAATACATCTTTCATGGGTAGAACAAACAAAAGAAAGCAACTTTAACCGACACAAAATCATTGGATGAACAGATATACGGAAAATTCCAAATGAAACTACATAAATTGAAGCTAAAAGAATCTTGCTTTCTTAAAGTAAAGCTACCAATTAAATGCTCAAATTAGCAAATGGGTTTAAAAACAATGGGTTTATTTAAGATAATCAGCATAAAGTAGTTTTCTACTAAGCATTCCTAAGGAAAATATGGATGTTTCAATTAATAGAAAGACCAAAAAGCAAATCTTTTAACAGTTAATTCATTAAGGACCTGAAAAAATTCCATTAAACATAAAATCCAAGAACAAAAATTTTATTTTTCGTCAATTTTCTCTGAACCGAAAAGAAGCGATGAAAATAAAAATACATCTTTCATGGTAGAACACAACCAAAAAGAAGCAACTTTAAACCCTGACACAAAATCAATTAGAATAAACAGAATATACGGAATATTCCAAATGAAAACTACATCAATTGAACTAAAAAAGAAATTCCTTGCTTTCTGCTTAAAGTAAAGGGGAATCTACCAATTAAATGGCTCAAATTAAGCAAAATGGGTTTATTGAAATTCTCCTATAAGCCAAAATCTCAGAATGAAAAAAGCTATCCAAAATGAAAACTGAAACCATATAACAAGCATTAATAACCTACAATCAAGTAACTTGAAAGGTAGTTTCTTTTCTTTTCGTTTTCAAAAAATAATAAAAAGATAAATCGAAAATCAAATAAAAAATTAATAGACCAACTCTTTACAAATGGATCTTTAAATGCTTCTTCTTTCCAGTATGACCTCCTCTCAAAGCTTTGCTACTGTAACAAGAAAAAGAAACTCCTCAATTTCAGGACAATTGGAAACAAAAAAAGAATAGGAATTTGGGACCAACTCTTTGTCAAATATTTGTTTCTTAAGAGGGTTTTTTTTTCTGTTCTGGGTGGTGTAAAACAGTCCACAGAGTATCTATTGAAAAGTATAATGCCCTAATATTTGTTTTAGGGTTTTTATTTAATATTCGATAATATTAAATGCCGGTCTAATTAAGAGCCCTGAGGCTGAGGGCTGTCCTAAGTTTTCCTTTTCCTGGCTTTTGTTTTTATGGAGTGGAATACGTCTGAAATTTCAATCTTTCTCTGAAATTTCCGCCCGCTATCTCTGCCTTCTCTATCGCGCTCGTCCTGCCAGCCTGTATTCTACACTTTGAACCATTTCTACCTTCTCTAAATTCGCTTGAAGATATTAGACTATTAAAAGAAGAGTCCTTCGAATTCCTTTTTTTTGCCTTTGCAAATTAAGATGCCATCCCGAAATTCTAGAATATATAAAGTTATAAAGAAAAAGAAAAAAAATAGTAAAAAATATATATTTTTTTTCTTTGTTTGGAAATTCGGTAGAAAATATTTTTTTTCACACTTTCTCTTCTAAATTTTTAAAGGAAATCAATATTTTTATCCTTGTGAAAAACAATATTATGGGATATAATTGCATAGCTAAAAATAACATTAATTGCATAGCTAAAACCATCAATGTGTATTTTTATTGTAAATATAAACATGAATAAAGTAATAATAACAATACCATGAAGAGTGATAAAAGATCAAAGCTCTATAAAAATAAATTTATTCAACTCTAAAACCTAAATTTATCACATTCATTAACTTAAAATTTTAATATTACTTCTTCTTTCATTCGGCTTGAGATAGATAGCGAAAACTCTAAACATTTGGAAACAGGGGACAAACGTCTAAACTTTTGTTGAAATTAAATTAATTCTAACCTAATTTAAAAACTTAGATATGAATGGTTAAAATTAAAAAAAAAAAAAACCTAATTTTAATAAATGCCGATGGTTAAAATTAAAAAAAAAAAAAAAAACCTATATTTTAATAAATGCAGTTATTGTTAATATATTTAATTATTTTATTATAATTTTAATATATAATAATTAAATTAACTCGAGTTTACAGTAAAATCGTTATATACTAGAGTATTAATAATAATAATAATACATAAATTCTTCAGTTGCCAACAAGCGGTCATCGGATCGCGCGCCTTTACTCGATCTGTCAGCTGTTTAGTAGGTGGTTGAGGTTAGTTTCGTCATTTAAAATAAAAAACTTTGTCTTGACAGTTTTCGCTCGAAAACGAAAAGTTTGCAATTTTCCTTTCCCGCTCTCTTATCCTTTTCGTTCCTGTGATTTCAAACAGTCCAAAGCTCAGAACACCAAATGACCGTTATGCCCTTTCTATCACGACAAAAAGGAAAATGTTTATTGAAGGTTGTGCCATCAAGAAGATGAACGATGATTGAATTCAGTTTATTGGATGAAATATATAAATTCACCTTCTAATTTTAATTCAGACACCTTAAATTTTATAGATATTGTGCATTTTAAAATAACAAAATTTGATATTATAGTATACCTTTTCACATTATTAATAATAATAATTTTTACAATTTTTTAACTTTGTATCCAAAATATTGATTTCATATATTATTATTAAAACTTTTAGAATAATAATTTTTACATTTTTCAATAGATGTTTAATTAATCTAAATTAAAGTATTTAATTGATATTATTTTATAAATTTAAATATTTGATATATAAAAAAAATTAAATGTATCATAGAATCAAAGTAATAAAATTTATCAACGAATTTAAGTATTAGAATTTAAGTATTTAGCCAATAGAAAATCAAGTCGATATCTTCTCTTTCTTTTTTCCTTCCCCATAGCATACAAAATAATTAAATCTGGAATATTTGACCTGGCTAATATGTTAACAATATATTTTTAAACAAGAAATTATAAATAAAATAACGTTTAATTTGATTTATAAATTAGAAAAACTACAACAATAAAAGAGAATTCATAAATAAAGGACCTTTAAGATATGTTTAAAATATTGAATAAAAGAAAATAATTGTAAAAAATAAAGAGTAAGAAAAGGAAATAAAATGATTGAGGATAAAATGAAGAGATATGTTTAAAACATTGAAGGAAATAAAATGATTGAGGATAATAGAAAAGGAAAGTTGTTTATCTTTGTTTGGAAATTATGAGGATAAGTAAGAAAATAAAATAGCATAGGAATAGTTTAACGATAAATGTATACACGATATAATAATAAATCTAAATTCAAATCTCCTATGAAGAGGGGGGTAAATATCGGTTAATTTTGAATTACTTTTATCAAAAATAATTGAATACATATACAGGCTCTTCATATTTATCTTGTTTAATTGAATGCCAAGTTTGGATTTATAAATTAAATTAATCATACAAAACTTGGCTCTATTTGATCAAATTAGCCATTTTTTTTTGTTTTCGACCAACAACGAATACTTCAAAAAAGCAGTAGATACCATACAAGCATATATCATAATTGACAATGGGGTAGCTGTCTGCAGGTTGGACAATACCACTTTCCCCTGAACCTCGTCTCTGGCGTTAGACCAACACATGCATAATGGAACCATTCACCTCCTTCGCACTGTAAATTTCGTAGGTTGAAACAAATGCATTCACTCATAAGTACGACTATAAGTTATTTTGATAATCATATGATCAAAGTACAAAAAGGGAAAGGAACAACAAGTACAGCACTAAAATGCTTATGTAAAAAGTTCTACAAACTTAACTAGACTCTGGCATTTCCTGGTTTTCAAATATCTCTATCTCTATCCTTCTCTCTCTCTCTCCCTGGATCCTAAACAACACCAGTATGCTGGTAAAAATTTAAGCCGCATGCACATTTAATTACCCACACCAGAAAGACTAAGAGTAGGGCCATTCTGCCAACCTATTCTAAGTGCTTTGGTAAGTCTGCCTGACAATGTTATAATATTTAACCTTAAATATATCCACAGAATTTCAAGGACCTATCCCAACTCTCATCACAAAGTTTACTTCACTTCATAAACGAGGAAAAGTAAGTTGTATCGAACTCATAAAATTTCTTCAGTTTACCTATGGTGGTGCATCTAGTTATGCACACAAATTGAGATGTTTACTTCCATCCTATCAATTTTTCATGTGAAACTCATAAGTACCATCTACCAATTTTCTAAAATATTCTAATAACAAATACAGACACAGACCAGAACAGGGATCCAAGTAAAAAACTTAAAATGACTAATTATTGCCAAAAAGAAGAAACAAAAAGAGACAAGATAAGGTGCTTACATTTTCATTATCACAGGCAATCATATCTCCAAAGGACACCTGAAATTATCATACAATAAGTTTAGCAGATGTACACGAGCATTACTCATAACTAAAGTTATACTTGCAAAGCAACTCTGAAGAAGAGATGGCAATGAAGTTCAAATGATAGTAAACAAGGAGTCAGAACCTGATGGCAGACACAGTAAGTAGGTTCATTTGGATCAATGGGTTGATCAACATCAACAGAGACATTAAAATCCTTCTTAATTCCTGGAGGCGGCATGAGCTCAAAATCCCTTTCACGTTCTCGATCCCACTCCCTGTCCCTAAACTCATTCCTTTTTGATTGAGGTGTCCCATAAAAGGACTTGCGTTTTTCAAGTTTAGGGACTAATATAGGTTGTGGAGGAAGAACTGCTGGTTCATCTGCTGGTATTTTTCCCTCTGATATTATTATGAAAGAAAAACATAAAGACCATGAATAAAAGATTATAAGAAATTCAATAAGCTACCTGAAGCACTGAATTCTAAGAAAAGCAATCATTGTACCTAGTTTTGAATAGCTAAAGGAAATTGAGATTTCAAAATAGATTTCTTCATATTATGGTTCATGATGAGAAGATGTTTATACTCACTATATTAGAATTGTGATTTTTTTTTTTTGTGATCCAATTTTAATAGGGCAGGATGTATTTTGAGGTGAAAGCCTGGGCCTTACTAGATAGGGCCTGTTCCAGGATTTGTGTTTGGGTGACATGACAGTAGATTTGAATATCTGTAATTCTGTATCAATTTATGTACCATGCTTCAAATCTTCTGCAAAGTTATTTAGATCCTCATCCAATCGTTTTATATGGCTGTCTATCTGCATGAAGTGAAAAAGATACGAATTATAATCAGAAGCAGTAGATTTATTTAAGCCCGCAGCTAGTTAAGCTTTAAAATGAAGTAATCTGTATAACTGGCTCCTTCACTTACACACAAGCACACAAAGAAAAAAGGAAAAAAGTTACTAAGAGAAATGATGAAAATAAAATAGTGTAGTCAGCAATCTAAAATAACTCTGAGAAGTACTCATACTAGCTCTGTAAGTTCAGTAGCCAAATGAATGTGTGTAAAGTTTATGGCGTGACATTTTACCTCCATATAGTTTCTTTAATTGCATTTTGATTGCACTATGTCACCCAGACAATTGAAAACTATAACGATACACATCCACCACTGGTAGCAAAATGAGCAGATTCTTCATATAATACTAGGACTGTAATTTTTAGTAAGTTACAACATCATGCTGTATCATCCACTTGAAGATACTATTCAGTATGAATAATTTACCTCCCGAACCTAAACTCCACATCTGAAAGCAATTTCTAGTGTCAATAAAAAAATAGTCCATTACCAGGGATTAAAACATGTCCTCTAATTATACAAAAATGAGCAAAATCCCATTTTTCTTTGCACCAACTACCACGTATCACAAGAAATTCCAAAATATCAAAGCAATATATATAAAATATCTAGAAGATATAAAAATAGCAACTGATTAAAGGCCTTAATTTAGAAGAAACTTACGAGGTCATAAGCTTGCCGTGCTAACAAAACCTTCTCAGTACACAAACTTAATGCATTATCCTGATTTGCCTCGATATCCTTTCTCATTCTCTCAACAGCATCATCATCTTCATTGTTAATGTTATTAAAAGTACTGCCATTTCCTCTCTTTGAACTTTGTGATGCCAATCCCAGACAGTATTTCGTTTGCTGTCTGGTTTGATTTATCATTGCTTCAACACATACAATGCAATGCATATGTAGATTAAGCATATGTACACTTAATAAGAGAGAAAATGGTAAGAATAAACAAACATTTATTCATGTCAAATTGCAGATGTTGAAGTAGATAACTAGGTGTTAACTTGTATCTATCTACATATAAATTCTTAAAATGCACGGCCAACAAATCAACAACAGAATCACACATGCATCACATGTTGCTGCGCATAAGTATGCTGATACATTCATTATAAAATACAGAAACATTATAATGAAACTAGAAAAATGAAAATTCTAGCTCTACAACTTGTATACATGTATTCATGTAATGCATATGAATAAATTGATATAAATGTACCATAATTTATGAATAAATCTAAAAAGAGAAAACTCAAAATTGTATTACTGCATATTCATATACTATATGCTACATATGTATCATAAAGATCACTAATGACACCTAAAGTAAACAATTCACAAACTTTCAAAGACCAGAAAAAGTAATTAAAAAAATAGAGATGAATTTCTATGAATATGAGCTTACAATGAGATCGTTCATCGAGCTCTCTGATAGTATTGAGAAGTCTTTGAAGCTCGGCAGGTAATGTGCTTGCATCTATTCAAATTCAAACTCAAATCAGATATAAAAAATTACAATAAATTTATGCCAAAAAAGCCGAAACGAAAAGAGGCTTTGTAATCTAGACACAGAATTTATGAACTTACACTCCAGGTAATCGTCGACGTAGACTCCAGTTCTAGCGATTGCCATTTTTTTTTTTCCCCTTCTTTTCTTTGAGTTCTAGGGTTTTGCTGTGATTTCTTTTGTTTGTGTTTAGCGGGTAGAGGACAAGAACTGAAACGATGTCGCTTGGAATTATTATGAGACAGTGGAAATGTTAAGCCGTTAAGGAGGTTTTGACCGTTGGGGAAGTGGGGAATTCGGGTGGGACCTTCGTCCTCACAACTAAATTTTCAATTATGACCATTTACAGCCTACAATTAAGGAATTCAACAATTTTGCACCTCCAAAAGTTCATAAAGCTACAGAGACCAAAACACAAACCCAAAAAGGCTCATAAAATTGTCTAGCAATCAAAAAAAAAAAAAAAAAAAAAAAGAAGGCTCATAAAATTGTCTAGCCATCAAAAAAAAAAAAAACATTATATTGATAATTAAAAAAAAAAAAAAAAAAAAAACAATATATATTAGAATATAAATGGACACAACTATTTCTATTTAAGTACAGTCGTTTGGAGGAAAATTTTCCTCCATTCAGAATTTATTAGAGTTGTAAGTAAATTTCACTATACGTGCACACTTAAATGTTAAACATAGTTTTTTTGGTGAACTTTAATCTATATACATAATGTGCTTGAATATCACATTTTCTTAATGTACGCTTTAATTAATTTTTGACATTAAATAATAATCAAAATAATGTCGGTCACTTCTTTGAAATCTCTAAAATTCAATATTTAATTTATAAACCAAAGCAAGGGCATATTAAATATTTTACTTTGATATTAATCCTAAAGTTACCGCATTAGAAAAATTTCTCTATATAAATACAGCGCTCAAAAAGAAAATTTTCTCCGTGTAAATAGAAGGAGTATTTATTTGCGTAGGCATTGACGTAATTCATCCAATAAGAGTTCGGTCTAGCATGGCTGCTGACTGGCATTAACTTATTTTGGCGCATTGACCAAGTTGCCCCTCCTTGTCTGTGTACTATAGTAGGCATTGAAAAGGATAGTATTGACATTCTTGACACTCCAGTTGTGGAATGACCTTCCTACGAGAAGACTTTTTTCTTGAAGTTTTTTATTTCCCCAAACCCCATACTCCAATTATAAAGGTTCTCTTGGCAGTCTTCAGCAATAAATAGTTGAGACGCGGTTGCTTCTCTAAGACAAAATCTTTCTCCCTTTTCTTCAGTCTTTATCATGTCTGGCGAAATTACCAAGGAGGCAGCAGCAGTAGCATCATCTTCTTCCTCACCGCTTGATGGTCGGGTGGCCATAGTAACTGGGGCTTCACGTGGCATTGGCCGTGCGATTTCCAACCACCTTCACTCCCTTGGTGCAAGAGTTGTGCTCAATTATGCCTCAAGCTCCAACCAAGCCGATCTCCTTGCATCTGAGCTCAATGCCTCTGCTCCATCTTCTCATCCCCAAGCAATTGCTATCAGAGCTGATGTTTCCAACCCAGATCAAGTCAAACAACTGTTTGACACCGCTGAGAAAGAATTCAACTCAAAAGTCCATATCCTTGTCAACTGTGCAGGGGTTATGGATCCAAAGTATCCTACTTTGGCCAATACAACAGTGGAGGACTGGGATATGACTTTCAATGTCAACACCAGAGGGGCATTTCTGTGCTGTCGCGAAGCAGCTAATAGGCTGGCTCATGGAGGAGGTGGAAGAATCATCACAATATCAACATCCATCGTCGGGGCAAATTTGCCAGGATATGCAGCTTATGCTGCTTCCAAGGCAGCAGTGGAGACGATGACGAAAATACTGGCCAAGGAGCTAAAGGGTACAGGAATAACTGCTAATTCTGTAGCTCCAGGACCTGTAGCTACAGAGCTGTTTTTTGCAGGTAAAACTGAGGAAACTGTCAAGAGAATAGCTGATGCTTCCCCTTTAGGCCGACTTGGTGAGCCTAAGGATATAAGTCAAGTTGTTGGATTCTTGGCTACTGATGCGGGGGAGTGGATCAATGGTCAAGTCATTAGGGTTAATGGTGGATTTATTATCTAAAATTATAATTGATTTAAGAGCTGGTACTTTCTTTTGTGCTCTTGACACGAGCCATTGTTTGAAACTTATTATTATCAGGGAAAATAATTATTTCGTCCCTGAGATTTGTCATAATTATTTAAATAGTCCCCGATATTTATATAAATATTTATAACATCCATGAGGTTTACTTCCGTCTTGTTAATTGGTCCTTCTGTCATAAAAACACATTTTTTCCGCTAATTTTGAGAGGAAAAGATAAAATTATCCTTCATAAGCTTTCATTATTTCGTCCCTAAGGTTTACCATAATTATTTAAGTAGTCCCTGACATTTATATAAATATTTATAATATCCCTAAAGTTTACTCCCGTCATATTATTTGATCATTCCTTCCAAAACACATACATTTTTCTGTTAATTTTTAATAGAATGATCAAACTATCCTAAATCCTCTAATTAACATATCCTCATTTTCAACTCATTTGCTTTCCTTCTCACTCGCTCACAAAAATGGTATAAACAAATTTCATAGAGCTCAAAGCAGAATGAACAACATCTACTTGAGCATCAAACCATCCAATGCATTACTTTGCTCAATAACCTCAGCAATTAATCCCAGAAATAGCAACCATATGCAAAATCTGCTAAAAAGAAGACCAATACAGCAAAGCAAAAATTTACACAGCACATTTAACTTACTCTTATTCACTTGAAACTCGACATTACCATTAACAAATGCCCATGTAAATTTTAAATCATAAATTATAAAATAAATTTAATGTAATCAGCTAGTTTGATTTAAACCCAAAATTGAACAAGCAGATTAAAAATTTAAAAATTTACCCAAATTTTAGATTAAAATTTTTAAATTTTGGGTAAATTTAGAGAATTTAAGATAGTTGAAAGGGAGGATATGTTAATTAGAGGATTTAGGGTAGTTTGGTCATTTTATTAAAAATTAACAGAAAAATATTTGTTTGTTGGATGGAACGATCAAATAATACGGTGGAAGTGAATCTCATGAATGTTATAAATATCTATATAAATATCAAGAACTACTTAAATAATTATGGCAAACCTCAGAGACAAAATAATGAAAACTTATAAAGGATAATTTCATCTTTTCCTCTTAAAAATTAACGGAAAAGTGTGTTTTTTGGACGGAAGGACCAATTAATAAGACGGAATTAAATCTCAAGGATGTTCTAAATATTTATATAAATATTAGGGACTACTTAAATAATTATGGCAAACCTCAAGGATAAAATAATTATTTTCCCTTATTATTATTATTATTATTATTATATGTAAAATCTTTTTGGAGCTTTAAAGCTGATGAGTAATGACGCCATGGATGATGCCATCAAGATATTTTTTTCTACTTTTTTTTCACACTAAATTGACTGAATTGCAACCAACCAAATTAATTCTTTCTTACTGGAAGCAAATGGCCACCGCCAACACCAGCGCTGCCACTACTACTCCGCCACTGCAAGACCGAATAGCCATCGTCACTGGCTCATCCCGCGGCATCGGCAAGGCCATAGCCATTCACTTGGCTTCGCTGGGTGCCAAAATCGTCGTCAATTACACTTCCAACAAAGATCAAGCTGATCTCGTCGCTAATGAAATCAATTCTTCTATTAACGACGACAACCGCAGCACACGAGCTATTGTTGTCCAAGCTGATATATCGGAGCCTGACCAGTTCAAGTTGTTGTTTGATGAAGCCGAGAGAGTTTTTGGATCAGAGGTTCATGTCTTGGTTAATTCAGCTGCCATTAGTGATTCCAAGTATCCTACCATTGCCGACACTTCTGTCGAGGATTTTGATCGCATTTTCAGGTACTTACGCCGTCTTCCCAGCCTGAACGACGTGTCGTTTTTTTCTTTTTCTAGTCAGCAGTTTATTTTCACGGCCATTCATTGATGAACGTAACAATTTACACATATTATCTTTAATAAATTTTTTTTAATAAAAAAAATTATCTTTGCTAATTTTTGGTGGCCAATTTCTTGATTGTACTTTAGTGTATCTATTGACTGCAATATAAATGAGAGTAAATGAACAACCATCTAATGATCATTTTGGGACATTCCAGTGTAAATTGTAGAGGCACATTCTTATGCTGCAAAGAGGCAGCAAATAGGATAAAACGGGGCGGAGGAGGAAGAATCATATTGATATCATCTTCATTAGTGGGTGCATTGAAACCAAAAATTGCAACATACACAGCTTCAAAGGCAGCAGTGGAGACCATGACTAGAATACTGGCAAAAGAGCTGAAAGGAACTGGCATCACTGCGAATTGTGTAGCACCTGGACCTATTGCTACTGAAATGTTCTTTGAGGGAAGAAGTGAGGAGTATGTGAAAAGTGCTATTGAGGTTTGCCCACATGGTAGGCTTGGTGAACCCATGGATGTGGCTCTTGTTGTTGGGTTCTTGGCTACCGATGCTAGTGAATGGGTCAATGGACAAGTCATTCGTGCTAATGGTGGCTATATTTAGGATTTGGTATGTGGTCTATGTCCTCCTTCAAATGGTTGTTCCTTGTTTTTTTTAGATGTTTCTATAACGAGTTAATGAAAATTGGTGCTGATGTTGTCACAGTGAAATGTGATGGTATCAGTAACATGTATCTATACCAACAAGAGCACAAATTTTTCTTTTTGGTGTAGAAAACATAACGCTGTATACGGTGAATTATATTTCGATTCAACTCAAATTATCATTAAATTTGACAGGTTGAAAAATACGATGAATAATAATATTGTCCATATAGAAAAAGATTTTTTATCTTATGAGATTGATTATCAAATTGAATCGAATTATTATTTAATTTTCAGTTAAACCAATCAGACCGATCGCTATGATTCAATTTTGAGGACACGTTGTAAACAGAAACTAAATTAAAAAACAAAAAATTAGTAAATGAAAAGAATAATATCGACAAAATGAGTCAAGAGTGTTTCATGCTAGTTTAAGGAAGAAAATATCAACGTTTTCCTTTGCATTTTTGCAGTTTTTAATTGGTAGATTGGATGCTTCTAGATATTGTCATACACTGACGTCATGTGTAGGACCCACGCCGTCCACCTCGCATTTAAATGACACAACCCACGTGTCCAAAATTAAGAACAAATAAAGGACATGATCGTCAATTTTCAGGAATCCGGAAGCAGGACAAAACAGTAAATTCCATGAAACATTCTGAACTTCCAACTTTACCCTTATAACCTACAACAACCGGTACCCTTCTACTCACAACCGGCTCCAGAGCCCGTTACCCAGTTGCCTCTATAAGTATTGATTGGTAGGGTACAAAAAGGCCATCACGTTTCCCCAACCGTGTCTCTCTTTATCTCTCTGTCTCTCTCTCATAATCAGAGACCAAAGGAACCAAACCCATAAGCGCAAGACCTTCAAATCTCTCCTCTTCTCTCTTATACCATTTATCTCTTAAATCAAAACCTATAAAAGAAACTTGGTTTCGAAATCTTCCCTCTCTCTGCCTCTAATTTTCCCTCTAATATCTCCCCTGCTTATAAATTTTTGCAAAATTTTTTTTAATTTGATCCTGAAACTAACAACCCTAGATTGTAATAGATCAAAAACTGGAATTTTTTTGAGCATAGATCTAAAATTTTATAGATCGGATTAGTTTAGGGAGAACCCAAATCGTTGAAATCTTTAAAGCTTAATCCATTCGAGTTAGGGTTGCGATCGAGCTTAGCTGTGAGAATTTATAAAAAAAAAAAGGGATTTTTTGTGGGAGGAATATTGGGGTGGTGAGGAACATAAAAGGACATGGCAGAACAAGGAGGCTTGGAAGGCAGCCAGCCTGTGGATCTTTCCAAGCACCCTTCTGGCATTGTTCCCACGCTTCAGTAAGTCTATCTTCATCTCTTTCATCGTTTGATCCTCACAATCCACCTTTGTATTTGTTTTTATGCGTGTTCGTGTCCCTGTGTGAGTTGACCTCGGGGATCTAGATTAGGATTTTGTGGGTGCATAGAGGGGTTACTGCTCGATTTGTGAAGGTGTTCGATTATTGGAGCTGGGCGTCTTTAATTTTATGGAAAAGGGTTCTGGTTTGTGGTTTTGAGGTTTCATTGAAGATTGTACTGGGAAATTAAGGAATTAGGTTTATGCCTTTGATTCATGTTTCTCCCAAAAACTTTTCCTCCACAGTGTTGTGTTTTTTTTTTTCTTGTTGGATAATTGCTTCATGGTTAAATTATACGCAGTATTGATCGGTTTGTTGATTCGTTGAACCCATGAGTTTAAGGGAATGCTGGTGATGTCGTGAGAAGGAAAAACTTATGGCGTTTATTTTCTCATGTTTTGTAAATGTATCCATTTATTTATGTAAAGCATCAGGTTTTTATTATCTATGTATAGAGCGCTGACATATTCATGAGTTATATAATTTTGTTCATGTATGCTGAAGACAAGTCATTGTATAACTTCTAGGAGGGTGGAGTTCCGAGTATATAACAAATTAAACAGGTTTCAATTGGCCCAATGTCTTGTGCTATCCACTTGAGTGAGAGTAATTCTTCTTTATTAAAATCTTTCTTATAAAACGAAGCTTCATGAATTTTGTGGTTGCGTGCAATTTTCAGAATTTTCACGGACAAGTTTGAAGTAAATGTTTATTTTTCAGTGTCAAGGTTTGAAAATAGTTATCTTACCAACTTACTTAAAAATCAAGGCAATATAACTTAGTTATGCTTGAAACAATTGAAGACATAGTCCTGGCACTTCGCCTGAGAAGAACTTCAATACCGATTTGTATTTGTAAATTTCTGATGTTGGGTTTTTATGGTCTGCTGAGAAGATCGCTTTATGTTATAATTTTCATTTGATGGCCGACTGAAATGCTTTGTGGCCTTTAAACCCTATAGGACCTTTATTTTGACCGTGTGCTTTTATCATCAAAGTCAGCGTTATTGTTATCATAATTATTTCTTCCTTCTAATTTTTGGTTATCATCACAGTCAATGTTATCATAATTGTAAGTAACTTGTTACATTTCCTAAGTATCTTGTACTAAATTGTGAAATCTCACTGTTTTCTAATTGTTTTTTAGGAACATAGTTTCAACAGTGAACTTAGATTGTAAGCTGGATCTCAAGCAAATTGCACTGCAAGCACGTAATGCAGAATACAACCCAAAGGTATGTAATGGTCTGATTATAATTGGTGATGAAGTTGGTTATTTTTAAGTGGCTGTGGAAGTTTATTATTGACCTTTAGTATTTTGTCCGTATAGCGTTTTGCTGCTGTCATCATGAGAATAAGGGAACCAAAGACAACTGCATTGATTTTTGCATCTGGGAAGATGGTAAGTTCTTCCATACTCATCAAGGATTATTTTTCTGATAGTTATAGTTGAGTTGTTTCTTTCAAGGCTTTTTGCATGTGAAGTGATTGGGTTTTTTTTTTCTTCATAATTTTCTGGTTTGTGTTTGGACTGATATCTTTATCATTAATCATATACAAGTATGCTGTATATTGTTTCCTGACTTATTAAAACATCAGAAAATTTTCTACCTTTACTTTATCACTTTGATTTTGGTATATCCAAGTTACAAGAGTGGAGAAAAAAACGGGTTTGTACGCTTTACCATGAATGCAGTCTTTTAACCAACTAGATTGGGATAAAGTTCTGGTTGAGTAAAGTTGAGTTGATTTATTTGATGGATTCTGCTGTGGGAGTTGGAAAACAAAATATATTATGGTTAGCTTTATAATTAAAGATTGCATGTTGATCCAAGTGTATTGTATGCATAATATATGCATGGGTTACATTACCATGATCCTATATTCGTCTAAAGATTTGTCCTTGTTGATTCAGGTGTGCACTGGTGCTAAAAGTGAAAGTCAGTCAAAATTGGCAGCAAGGAAGGTATATTAATATTTTGTTCCTTGAATGCTTTTACTCAGACGAGCTTTTCTTGCTGTTCGATCTGACATCATATTTTGTCTTTTAGTATGCTCGAATTATCCAAAAGCTTGGGTTTCCTGCCAAGTTTAAGGTATTAGGTTCTCTCTTTCCCTCATAACGCCTCCCTTCTTCCACTCTCTCTCAAACAGACACATGCTTTTCTTTGCTGATCAGTCTTTGACCTATTATCCTCTTTTTAAATTTCTTTTTGTTAAAATTTTCATGACAGGACTTTAAGATTCAGAATATTGTTGGTTCCTGTGATGTAAAGTTTCCCATCAGACTTGAAGGTCTAGCATACTCTCATGGTGCTTTCTCAAGCGTAAGTAACCATTTTCTGCTGAGCTTAACATACTAGTTAGTATGGTGAGATTCTCTGATGCAGGTCTTCCATTACTCACCACCAGTATTAATACTGTTTGTGCAGTATGAACCTGAGCTCTTTCCAGGCCTAATTTATCGCATGAAACAACCAAAGATTGTGCTCCTTATTTTTGTCTCAGGAAAAATTGTTATCACGGGAGCCAAGGTGAATTCAGCAGCTCTTGTCCACCTATGATAGGCATGCAAGCTAGGCATGCTGCTTGCTGTTCCAATTTGGTAATTGACATATTTGTTCTTGTTTGAGAATATTTAGGTAAGGGATGAAACTTACACAGCCTTTGAGAATATATACCCTGTCCTTACTGAGTTCAGGAAGGTCCAGCAATGATGGTATGTGCTTTTGTCTCCAATTCTTTATATTATTTTTTTCCTTGGTAGACTTAATATTCTCAAATCTCTCGCTTATTTCCCCTCTGATCATATTGCAGATACATATTTGAGATGGGGCAATGAGAGCCATTGCGGATGGACCAAGGATGGGGGTGGTTTCAAGTGTGTGCATAAGTGGAATGGATTCAGAAGTTATGGCTTTTAAGCCTGTGCATCTGTTCCTGTGATCTTTTTACCTGTGGATAAGTTTGGCTTTGGGTCTCTTTCCCTCCCCAGGTGGATAACATGACAGCTGAACATGCCGCTGTGTAATTTGTAATTAGTGATTCGCAAGGATTGTTTGGGGAGGAGAAGATGTTAAAGAACATTATACTTTTTCTTTAAATTTGATATGGATTATTCTTGGACGTTTTTAATGTCGAAGATGTAGTTTCAATTTTGCTGGAAATGACCCTATTTTGTACTTTATTTATGACTTTTCTTTTCCATTTAAGCTGGGTGCATTCTTGGTACCACAAAAAAAAAAATAATAATAATAAAATGCTATAAGTATAATGTACAAGTAAAACTGTCGGGCAGCTAAAAATAAATGAGTTTAAATATATGTGTCAATATGAAGATTAATTAACGTTGATGACAAATTATTAAATTATAAAAATAGCGCTTTTTCCCTTATTTATAGTTTAATTAGAAATAAAAGAAAATGACGGCATGGAGCGAAATTACATTAGCTTGATCCATATATTAATTAAACCCAAATTGAATAAAGTCGAGAGGGATGGCAAATTTGTCATTTGCCCACAACCCAAGATATTCGAAATTCAACGAAAATTATTTTAGGACAATATGTGGCAACGGTTTTTTCCGTGTGCGTTTTTTCTCTGATTTTTCTACTTTTGCTTTCACTTCTACGAAACAATCCATTATGTTTCTCTTCAAAATGCGCCAACACTTGTAGCCAACTGAAACTCACGTATACCCAAATCAATCTACAAATCTTTTTCCAAATAAAGAAAAGCTTTTATCTTTCTGTGCCAAGTTGTGTTACTTGCAATAGTGGATGGCTCAATTCACTGCCCAAGGGCGCTTGAAATTGCTATTTAATAGTGATGGGGTTCACTTTAAGCTTCTTGGCAATGGTTTTGTTGGTGGGTTAAGATCATTTCAGCTCCAGAAGGGAAAACTCAGGTATATTGGTTCATGTACAAGGCAATATGCTTCTTCTTTGAGCAAGAAATCCAGGCACTTCAAAGTCGAGGCAAGCCTCTATGGAAGTGATAGTGATGAGAGTGAAGATTATGACAGTGAATTTGAGACAGATGATTTGGCTTGCTTTAGAGGCCTGGTCTTGGATATCTCTTACAGGTCATTTCTCTCTCTGAACCCGTCATTTTATTCTTTTTCCTTATCTATATACGCATGCGTCTGTTTTTTTTCTTTAAGCATTTAAGTTCTCTCAACATTTTTGTATGCTGTGGAGTTTAATTAATCATGTGGTCTACGCAGGCCGCTTTTTTTTTTTTTTTTCGGCTAATTTGGTTCCGATTGAGTATGAAACTCGCAACCTCACGACCCTAAAGACGGTTTCAGTACCACTAAGCCAAAGCTCATTGGTGACATAGTCCTTTTTAATATGTATGATTTGAACCCGTCTTTAATGATTGAGAAGTAAGCAGTTAGTACTAGTCTGTATAGCTATTGTCACACATCAGATGGGCTTGCCATTTCAAGTCTCTTCTCTGTAGAACTACCATTACCTGAAATTTCTGTGGATGCTGATAGTCGATTATTTTCCTATTTACATGATTTCGCTTTGTCAGTTATGAGCTTAACCTTTTGCATTCCACGTAGTTTTTTTATAGGAATCAATAGCACTTTCTGGAAATTTTGTGTTCTTGATATTGTGACAATCCACAAGCACTTTTCCTTTAGTGCTATAGTGCTTGATTTTCAAATCTTGTTTTCGTTTAGAAAGACTCGTTTAGATTTTTTTCAAATCTTGTTTTCATTTTCCCTTTTTACCGATTTAGAAAGACTCGTTTAGATGTTTGTAATGGATCTGATTGTTCTTGTCCTGCACCAGGCCAGTCAATGTTGTCTGCTGGAAGCGTGCTATATGTTTGGAATTCATGGAGAAGGTTGGACTGATGTGACTCACCAATCTATTTTAGACGTTTGATGTATAGCTTCTAGGTTTATATTTCAGCTTACGCAGTATTCACTTTCAGCTTACTGCAGAAACAACACTCTATGACATTATAGCTTTCCTGGTCGCTAATTTTTTTGGTACACTGCCCCCTTTTTTCCTTATAGACCCGTTTCTCCACAAATACAGGCATTTTCTGTTCTCTTTGTTTTGTTAAATTCAAATATCAACAACCACCAGTGTACACTGCAAAAAAGGCATGCATATAACAATTGATCCCTTTTTTTTCTGTCTCTCTTTGTGTTATTTTTTTTGAATTCTTGTCGTTCTCTATATCCAGGCTGATGTGCTTGAATATTATGATCAGACTGTAAATTCCCCAAGCGGATCCTTCTATATACCTGCTGTATTAAGGGTATGCAGTTGAGGAGTATCTATGATCAATTTTTTCTTTTTTCTGGCAATCATAGCTGTTTTCATCTTATCTTCTATTTATTCAAAGCTTAAACTAGAGGCTGGGGAATAAGTCCATTCCCTATATATCTGACTGAAGTTTCTAGTCTTTACTCACACCTCATTCCATTTTATTGTACCCTTTTCTGCTTGCAGATTCCACACCTGCTGCAGGTTGTTAAGAGAAGAAGAATCAGACAAAATCTTAGTCGTAAGAATATATTATTTCGGGACAACTACACATGTCAGTAAGTAGTATGCTAAGTTTCAATTCAAATTTGTTTTGTTGATTTGAAAAGTGAAGACATCTGTACCATGACAGATAACATTTACATTTTTATCTGTGCTGTTTGGATGTTGATTTGAACTTAAGTTACATTGATCTGCATTTGCATTTTATAGGGTAGAGCCATTTTCAGTTATCTGTAGTTGACAGTTCTGTTTTGTGAGACTCCCATATTTTTTTTGAATCCTGAAATTCAATTCTATATGGAAATTCTGAGGAAATGGTAGCTTCTTGTCCTCTCGAGCTTGTTAATGGACTATTCATGGTTCAAGACATGTCCTAATCTGAATTTTAGTCAACATCTGTTCTAGCCATATAATTGAAGATGAACTTCTGTCTAAAGATTAAAATCTCGTGGGTAGTGATAGACCAAAACAACTCACTTCCTTGGACAGAAAAGCTGCCAACTTGCTCAGCTCAGCTATCTTTATCTCTTTAGCAACTTCTCTTCTGCTTTCTGTCATTCATACCAATATATGTGGCATAAATGCATTTTCCAGGCGCATATTATGCATTGTCATGTACCCTAGTAGTTTATACTAACAGAGGTTCCAATCCATGTGAAACCTTCTTGTGGTCCATCTTGCCTGGACTAGAATAAATGGGGACAGGAACAAATAGAAGCTGGTCTTTGTCAAGCCTATAGCTGTCTCCCCCTCCTACCTTCAAGATATCTGTATCTTGGAGAATGGATTAGCATGAAATTTTCTGTTGTTTACCTCTCTGGAATATTGGTTGCACCCTGCTCAATGCTGCTGGGAATTAATGCAGCTCCATGGTTAAATGGGCTTTTAATTTGGAAAAGGACTGACCTCCTTTGACCCTCCCAAGGAATTCCGAAGTTCTTCGCTTAGAGAAGAAAGCATGATCTAGCTAATGTTGGAATTCTTAGCTCGAGTCCTAAATTCTGAAGTTGAAGCTTCTTTTTAATGGAGTGGGAGCGGAAATAACAGTTTTATCATCCATTCTACATTTCAGATTTTCATTTGTTTTCCAACATTTGTTATTGCCACTTCCCCCTATTCTATAGAAAGCTTTATTTGCCAACTAGATGGGCATTTATGATCATAATTTAATTATTTTGTGTGGTATATTATGTTTCTTTGTCAATAGGTATTGCTCTTCACGTGAGAACTTGACTATAGACCATGTTCTACCGATTGCACGAGGAGGAGAATGGACATGGGAAAATCTGGTAATACATTTACTTTTTAATTATGATTTTGGTGGGATACTCTTTGGGTTTTTGGATGACAACAAAAGGTATTTGAAAGAAGAAACAAGGTCAAAGAAATGGGGAAAAGATTTTCCATTGAAAACCATTAAATTTTAGGAATCATCTTCCTGTAAGCTTGAGATAGGAAATGGGACGCTTTGTTACTTAAAGGAAGAAGAGTTTCTGATATCCTGATCCCATATACATTTATTTTCTAAAGCTTTACGTTTCCTTTAATTGGTGCTTCTCATAACAGGTTGCCGCTTGTGCCAAATGCAACTCAAAGAAAGGTCAAAAAACAATTGAAGAAGCAAATATGAAACTTATTAAGGTCCCCAAGGTATTATTTAGTTCTCAGCTTGCTCTTGCGAAAGAAGCAATAGCTGAAATGCAAAAATCATTTCATTAGGAATGGAGGTAATGCTTGTTCAGTAAATAACAGCAAGCAGTGCTATTATCTATGAATGGAACAGATGACTTATTGAAATGATTATTATTGTTAAAAGTAGCCAATGCATGAAGTTTCAAAACTGAAACATGGCGAAATGAGAACTTTTTCCTGTACTCACAGGTCCCAAAAGACTTTGATATACTTGCCATACCACTGACAAGTGCAGCAATAAGGATGCTGAGGATGAGAAAGGGGACACCTGAAGAGTGGCGTCAATATTTGGCAAGGCCGTCCTCTGAGCCATGACATCCGTCCCTCGTGGAAGTTGTACATTGCTGTGCTTTATGCATGTGATTTCTCACTCCTGATGCCCACTTCTCCTAAGAGCACATTGAAAATGTATGTATTGAGAACGTGACTGTTGTATATTTTCTTTCTTTTTTCTTATAAAGTAGATTAACTCATGTATTCAGAACTTGTATCTAATTGCTTTATTTACAATCATTTTTGTAAATTGTACTGTGTTAGGACTGTAGTGTTTCAACGTCAAATATAAGTGCTTAATTTACAATCATTTTTGTCACTGATAATACGCTTATCGAAAATAACAAGTATGATATGATTACTTCATGTCTTCCATGCATGTTCTGTGTTATTTTTTCCTTTGCATGTGTGTGTGTATACATATATATTCTTTTCAAAGAGCTAGAATTTAAGGCTTCAACGAAGCTCAAAGCGATCGCATTTGCTTGTTCTATCAAACCTATCACTTATTTGCCCTGAAAGGAGAACTTCACTTGCATACTTCCATTATATAAATGTTTTAGTCTCTGAATAGTTTGATGCTGCAATTTGACAATTTTGAAGTACCAATCTAATGGATACAGAATCGACACTATACAGTCAATTTTTCGCAATTGCAATGACTTTGCTGGATGGCTGAACTGAAAATTTTGATTGATCATGTATTTATTTCCTTAATTCTGTTTTTGATATTCATAACATTCATCTTTACTATCAGAGTCTCCCCTTTTTCTATATTCTGGTTCCTCCTCCATCTGTTGTTTCTAATTGCTTCTTCAGTCCCCAAAACTTATCAAGTTAGGCATATGAAAATGGAATCTTTTCTCTGAGAAGTACATATTCTGCTCTTTTTCTGTTCATGTACTGTCATGCTTGTGGACTTTCAAAGCATATATGACTGGACAGAATCATATCCTGGGCTGAGCACATTTTTTATTTTTCTATATTTCATTATGGTTAGTATTATTCATATTCTTATCACTCCTCATCTTTTGTAATAATTGCTTGCCGTGTCCTACCAGTGCCATAATTCTTACAAGAATGCAGGAAAGGGTACTCAAGACTAGTACTTGTTTTGTTTCTTCTTAGAGCCTGAGATTTATACTTGTATTTAGGCCCTTCATTTGGAAGGCCTATGTCTCGAAAAAACAGGTTGAGCAAAAAGTTCAGAGCTTCCATGGGTAAATGTCGATACCCCATTTTTGAAATGCTGCAAAAATTACAAAGATTCACCTCTTCTACTATTTTGCTTGTTTTGAGCATTATCTTGTACAAGTTGGTCTGTTTCAAAATTGAACAGAACCAAAATTTCTACATGCGAAAGCAAAGTCTTTTAGTATAAATAAATTTTTAAGGGAATTTACTCCCCATAACTTGATGAAACTCATAAATTATAATTTTTATTTTCAGAAATTAATTATGTTACTTTTTAACTAAAAACTAAATAGCACTTCTGCTAACTTTTCTCTTAAATTATAATTAAAAAATAGCAATTTTGTTTTCGTTAATTATTATTATTAATATGATCATTTCTCTAAAAAAATATTATTATCATTTTTTTTTTTTTTTGCATATCACATTGTACTTTTTCTTTTATTCTAAATAATTCAGAAATAAAAACATATTAAAATTAACAAGTTATTTATATGTTTAGATTAAATTATTAGATAAAAAGTTGACAACAATTTTTTTTTGTCTTTTAGGAGGACAGGATCGAAAAGAGAAGTATTCCGTTTGATTTTTTTTAGTTGAATGATTAATAAAAAATTAATAAAATCTTAAATGCATCATCATTCTTCTAAAAACAATATTATTCATCATTTTTTTTTTTTTTTTGCATATCACATTGTACTTTTTCTTTATTCTAAATTAATTCAGAAATAAACAACCCAAATATTAAAATTAAACAAGTTATTTATATGTTTTAGATTAAATTATTGAGCACTAAACAAGCTCTGACAACACATTTTTTTTTGTCTCTTTTAGGAGGCACAGGATCGAACAGAGAAGTATCTTCCGTTTGACTCTTTTTTCTTAGTTGCAATGATTAATAAAAAACAACTTTCAATAAAATCTTAAAGAAAAGATCTTCTTCAGTTCGACATGATAACACCATAACGAAAAAAATTATATGTTTAGATTAAATTATTAGATAAAAAGTTGACAACAATTTTTTTTTGTCTTTTAGGAGGACAGGATCGAAAAGAGAAGTATTCCGTTTGATTTTTTTTAGTTGAATGATTAATAAAAAATTAATAAAATCTTAAAGAAAAGATTATTTAGTTGAATGATAAAAAAGAAAAAAGAAATTGATGGTTGCCATATGAACTAAAGTAGTGATTTAGCCATAATGGTTGCCATAAAAGAAGGGTAAGAAGTCTGATGATGGCTCCATAGCCATAAAGTTGGGTCGCTGTTCGTTGAACTTAATTACACTTCTAAGTAATTGATGGGGACAAGTTCCTAGCCATTGAAAAACTCGACCGATGTGGGTTCCATTTAATATACGGTCATGATTGATGCTCTCCCTCTCTATGTATCCGTACTTGCTTCTGCTTTCTGGTGTTATACGTCATTGCCAGTTTCATAAGCGGTCTAATGGTCAAATGGGCGGGGGATAAGCATTCAATTTGGTGAATAAATATTTATTAAAAATTCGATTAAAGAAAATTAAATTTTTAATTATTAATTAAATATTCGATTAAAATTTAATTTAATCAATTTAATCAAATTAACTAATTCTCAAAATCACGTCGTTTTGATTAAGTAGATAATAAAATTAAAAATATTAATTTTTATTTTGATTTAGTAGTGATTAATAAGTTCGGTTATTTTTTATTTCGGTTAAAGTCGGTGAATCATAAATTTCGGTTAAATTCGATCGGTTAATTAAGTTTTCACCTTGTTTTAACTTCAGTTCAATTAATGATCAAAATTAATTCAGGTAAAATGGTTCGATTAAAAAATTAGTTCGGTTAAGTCAAAAAATTTTTATTTAATTTATTTCAATTAAAAGTGTTACACAAATTGACTGAATGCTCAACCTTAGTCTTGGTTTTTTTTTTTTCTTTTTTTAATTATATTATATATAGATGATTGATATTTAATTTTAAAATCTAGTATCATCAATTTATCAACAGGTGATTGCATTTGGCTAATACATAAATTTGGTTTTGAATTTTAGTTTTTTTTTTTATTAGTTTCTGAACTTTGCAGATATCAATCATAACTTTACATTTCTACATTTTATTTTGATGATAGACATAGTTATTATTGAAATCACATTTTATTTTAGCACTGAAATGTGAAATTAAAGTGTCACGGTAGGTGCACAAAATTTCAAAAGCTCTAAACACTCTTCGAAATTATAATCAAATTTATGCACCAAAAAGATTGATTTTCGCTTCAAACTCTGCTTGTAATATGAAGATTCAAAATTTAAGATGCAAAAGAATTTAATTTACTCCAATCAAAAATTTAAAAACTAAATTAATAAATTAATATAATAGATTAATTTGTCTTCTAATTAATAAGAAAACCATATTACTTATTTTTGTTTTTTAAGAAGTAGTATTTCGTTTGAATTGGAAATAAATGCTCATCTAACAGATGTCCCACTGAGTATTTATATTCCATATCTGATGTTGGTATGTTTTTTATGGCTATTGCTTAACAGGATTAGTTAAGAAAATTAAAACATACATAAAAGAAGGAAAAATTATTATTTTATTGCCAGATTCAATAATTAATTCAACAATAATAATAATAATAATAATAATAAAGAAAGAAAATTTTTGTCTACATCCCCCGACATATAGATGGTCCCATACATCAAATTAATTAAAAAATTTTTTAAAAAAAATATTATTTTTTTATTTTATTTATATAATTAGAAATATTTCGCTTTAATGAAATTTTTTTTTATGATTAATTCAGTCTATATGTTAATAGGTCAGTTTTATACACTGAATATGGATAAATTTTTTTAAAAAAATTTACAGTCTGTGTCCCCACTCTATACTTAACATCATCACAGCGGCTGCACTAAAAAAACAAAAAAAACCTACGGCTTGGACATCTTCAATTTACATCTTTTGTTTTTCATATATTTATATTTTAAATAAATTTTAAATTGTGTTTGTAATTATTTCTTTTGTTTTTATATGCCAAACAAACAAATAATAATTAAGTCTCGGATTTAAAATAATTAAAGTTAGTTATATGAATCTTTTGCCTTTAATATTTTAATAGAAAATTTTATATAATTAATCAAATTAATTAGTACAGATTGTATTTAGCAGAAAAATTAATTATATTTTTAATCTCAAAACTAATCTATATTATCACAATTAAATTAAAATTTATTTTAACAGCAAACACTTAATTATATTTTTTTAATCTCCAAAAACTCTAATCCTATATTATCACAATTCAACATTACAAATTTACTTCCTTTCAAAAAACATTAATTTATATATACTATTACTTATACTATATATAAAATTCCCTATCCGGTAGTCTTTTCTTTTTCTTAATGGACTAGTTCTATTTTTTGGATATATATATATAAAATTCCTATGGTAGTCTTCTTTTTTAATGGATAGTTTATTTGGAAATAATAAATCATAATTTCATTGAGCAAAACAAGAAGTAAATTAAAGAAATATATAAAAGTAAGGGTACGGTAAACAGAGAGGGCAATATAAGAAAGAAGGAAATAGAGAGAAATGTAAGATAGGGATGCGAGCTTTTCGTTTTGGTGATTAACTTTGATTGTTTCTTTAGCTTTATCTGCCGACACAAAACCCGGCCATAAGGCTTCACTCAGACAGCTTAGTATCCCTCCACATTTTCTTTTGGTTTCTTTCCCTTTCCTTCTTTTCTTTTATTTTTCTCTCATAATTTCCTTTACTGGCTCGTGGGTTTTCTTCTGTTTCCATAAAAGTCATGGATTTTTACCGGAATGTGATGTTTTCCGGTGACTATCACCAACCGGAGCAAGTCCTTCCAACCCCTTCTTCTAGTTCTAAGCTCGGCTGTTCTATAACACCCATTAGCCCTCTTGATGACCTTTTCTCTGCTCAAAATACTGTATGTGCTAATTTCTCTTCTTCTCAATTTTTTTCTTTGTACTTGTTATTCTTTACAGAAGAATTGCTGTTTTGGATGCAAGAAATTTCCTTTTCTTTTGTTTCTAGTCATATTATGCATAACAAGTTAAAGAAGAGGACTTCAGCCTTGACTATTTATTTTAGTTATTTTTCTTGCTTGTTTATGCTTTCTCTCCTTTCCCTTTTTTTTTTTTTTTTTTTTTTTTTTTTTTTTTTTTCCCTTTTCTTTTTTTTTTTTTTTTTTATTTTTTTTTTTGTGCTAGATTTTTTCCACACAGCATCTTTTTTACTACTTCCTGCGTACCTCAAAATTTTTTTTTTTTTTTTTTTTTTTTTTTTTTTTTGTGCTAGATTTTTTCCACAAGCATCTTTACTACTTCTGGTACCCAAAAAAATTAAAAAGATGCAACCTTTGCTCTTTTTTTGACATGTTATTTAGTTTAAAATTATTTTCATATCAGTTTCTTTCATGGTTTTTGCTAATTTTTCTTCCTTTTTTTCCCTATTTGATGGATTATTGTTTGCAGGAAGTGGATGTTAGCTTAGAATGGCTATCAGTATTTGTAGAAGACTGCTTATCCAGCAAAGGAAATTGCCTTCCACCACCAACAAATACAACACCACCAGCAGAGGTCTCAGTAAAGAAACAAGAAAAGCCTCAACATAATCCACAATCTAATAACAATTCTTTGGAGAAATTTGTAATCCCAGGGAAGGCAAGAAGCAAAAGAAAAAGAGTAACTGGTGTCAAAACTAGAAACCCATTATCTAGTTGGTCTTATTGTAACCAATTAACTTTAAATTTTCCAAGCTCAGACCCTCCTCTACTCCAACAAGCCTATTGGTTAGCTGATAGTGAACTCATTATGCCTAAAAAGGACACCACCACCACCACTACAACCACCACCAAAGCAAGAGATAGTGAACTGGATGAGAACCTGGAACAAGAAAAGGTTGTTGCTAAGGAGAGTTTGAGGATTTTGGAAAATAGCAATGGGCAGCAGCAGCAGCCAAGAAGGTGCTCCCATTGCCTAGCTCAGAGGACCCCACAATGGAGGGCTGGACCATTGGGTCCAAAAACACTGTGCAATGCATGTGGAGTCAGGTACAAATCAGGCAGGTTATTGCCAGAGTATAGACCAGCCAAGAGTCCTACTTTTGTGAGCTATCTGCACTCCAATTCTCACAAGAAAGTTATGGAAATGAGAATGGCTACTAGTTCTACTACTACTGTCTTCAATTCTTAGTGATCAGTGCTGAAATTAATTTTCCTACAATCTCCATTAATGTATATTGTTTTAAAAAAAAGGAACAGAGTTTTTAGTTTAGTTTAGTTTCTACTCTTCCGATAGAAATTCTAGTCTTCCTTATTTATTTGTTGAGGGCTTAAGCTTAATTAATTTAGCTTTATATAATGTTATTGGATTTTCCTGCATTTTTTCACATGAAATTTCCTTTTTTTTCCTTTTATCTTATGGATGATTAAAAGGTCCATTTCTTGATATCGACCCTGCAGAAGAGTATTTTCTTGCGTGAAACTAAAATCCAGGTAAAGAAAGCAAATATGGAGAAAATTATTTATTTCCCTGTCATACAGAATTAAATTATTTTAACCTTTGGCTAAAACCAACATTTAATTCTGGTTGGTACAACCATTATGTCTCTCTCTTAGAAACTTCTTGTTGATGAATTTCCAAGAACAAGAAAACTTTTTCCTGGCAGTTTATGAATCTAATAAAAACTATATCTCTTCATGTGGATATTCTTATGATTTATACTTTTATAGTATTTGGATAGTAGAAAAAAATTGATTTTATAAATTTACAGCATGGATTATGCCATTATGGAGGACAGCAAATCTCAACAAACAAAAAGAAAATGTTCCACTGAGTAATCCATGCAGAATAGAACATTTCTTTTGACTAAATTCAATTTATAGGTAAAATAAAATTATAAAGAAATATTATTTTTTTTCTTTATTCTTGAATTTTTTTTATATTTTGAATAAAAAAATTTTGGCACTTGCTCATAGGAGATAAGATGGATGGACTTTACTTGAGCATTCACGTGACTTTTTCAATGTTACTTTTAAAATTAAAAAAAAAAAAAAAAAAAAAAAAATTTTTCAATGTTACTTTTAAAATTTAAAAAAAAAAAAAAAAAAAAAAAAAAGTTGATTCTCAAGAAAATAAGCAAAACAGTTAGAAGCAGATTCTTGTCGTTCAACTTGTTCTTTTCAAAGACTCTTTTACCCTTTCTGTTTCATGAAAAAAAAAAAAAAAAAAAAAAAAAGTTGATTCTCAAGAAAATAAGAAACAGTTTAGAAGAGATTCTTGTCCTTCACTTGTTCTTTCAAGACTCTTTTACCTCTGTTCATGCACAGCTCCCTTCAAATTTTCCCTCCATTTTTAGTCAAATGAACCCTAGCTGCCTAAGTTTTTAATAATTTTATTTTATTTTTATCATTTTGCCTTTGTAATTGTAAATAGTGTGGCTGTAAGTAAATATTTAAAAATTTTTATTTTCATTAATTTAATTTATAGATAAGCCCATAAATATATAAATAAGTTTAATTTGCGTTCTCATTTCGCTATCTCTTTCTTACCTTTCTTTCTGTTTCTCTTTGTCCAAATACTATTTTCTTCAAATGAGATTAGAAACATAAATTTTAAAATCATCAATAATTCAACCATTTATAGAATAATAATATAAGAAATTAAAGGTCGAACTTAGATTATTATTTGAAAAAAAAAAAGAGATTAAATTAAATCTTTTGAAAACTTATAATACACCTTAAATTATACTTTCAAACCTACATTTCCTGCTAGGAAACGCCTTTGAGTAGGTGCTTAAATCTTATAATGACAATTAATTAGTGGCATTAAATTAAACTTCCTATATCTAGAATTCGGACAGCTCGTGTACATTTTGTACTACTAGTTGTTGGCGACCTTTTCCCATGTTGACTCTTCTTTATAGTTGGTCCTTCCCTTCTTGCTTGCATGTGTTCATTTTCCAAAAATAAAAAAAAAATAAAAAAAAGGTAATTTTGCTTATCTTATGATTTTATTGGATTTGCTTGTTCTACATTTCATCTATAAACGGGGTAATAGATGAACGTTTCTCATTCGAACATTGCACTTCTTTATCCATTAGTTTTGCACTTGTTATTTCTTATAAATATCAATAAAGTATTATATGTTACGTGAAAAATGAAAAGTCTCGAGTTCTAATTATTTCAATTCGAAATTTGCCAAGTCAAAGGAAGACTATCCTCATATGTACTTATTATATTATTTCGGCCGGTCTCTCAATATATATATATATATATATATAGGGAGAGGTTGGGGAATAAAACATAATATGGTATTGTTTATCAAAATATAGACTTCCAAGACACTTGGGATAAAGATACAGGCAATTCCTTTCTTCTATATGCTCATTTTCCCAAATCTTTATTTCAAGAAAAGGGAAAGAAAAGTAAACATTTCGTCTAAATTTTGGGTTGGTAGTTGTTTGTTGTTACATGTTATCCCACACACTTACTTACAGTCCTCAGTTTGAAGATAATTTAAAAAAAAAAAAAAAATTCATGCTTAAAGTCAAGAATTCTTTGTTAAGCTAAGTTCTCCAATCTAATGATTGTTTTATAATACAGTAAATCAAAGTTAATCAATGTATTATTCTTACCATTTCATAGTAATAAAAACATTTAATTTATTAATCATGTTAATTAATGCTAGCTAAAATATTGAAAACATAATACTCCCTCTATTTCATTTTGTTTGCTAATTATTATTTTTTTTAGATGTTCCAAAATATTTGCAAGGTTTCGAAATTTAGATATGTGAGCAATTATCTTTCCATAATAACATTTATGATTCTTTATTTAATTGAATGAATTTTATTAATATCTTAATAAGTTAAAGGTAAAAAATGACAAAATAACTTTTGTTAATTAATTCTTAATATACCTATTTTATCAAACTATGAAAACAAAATAGGCTATAACTGGTTACTAATTACAATTTTTTGCAAAAATGGGATAATTTACAAGTTCTGCCATTAAAAATAAAAGATTATATTTGTTAAGTACAATCTTTTGCATGCATGCAAAAATCAGTTAATTTACAAGTTTTGAAATTAAAAATAAAAGAGTATATTTGTTTAGATCGACTATATTTGTTGACCTAATTATGCGATCTTGGATATCTAAAGCTTTTACTCATCGCACACTAAAACATAATTTAATAGTAAATACATATATAACATGACGATAAAGATTGAAATAGTATATTCTAAATCATTGTGGATTATGATGTCATTCAACATTGTTTAGTGCTCACTAATTGAAATTTGAATTTGAACTAAAGTGTGTATTTTAGTCAAAGATAGTTTCTATCATTACAAAAGTTGTTAATTTAAAAGGTGACTTGTTGATGGTAAACATCAAATTATTAAATAAAAGAGAGTTATTAAATAAGTAATTTAATCATTAGATTTTTTTTCATAAGATATTATATATAAAAAATATTATAAAATCTGCATTGTGAGCATTCGTTACAACAATATTTAAATTTTATAACTTATTTTCATTGGTGTACCTCTTAGTTTTTCTTTTCTCTTCCTATGTATCAAAAAGAATATTCAAATTCAGTTACAAACCCATTAAGCGAATCCAATTGAAAAAGGGATAGAAATATATATATTAAAATTAATTGGTTAGAAATATAGGAACCAAATTTAAAATATAAATTGCAATTAAATGTTTATTTGAAATATAGAAAATTAAAAATTAAAAATAGGCTAAAATTTAAAATTCTTTATGTACTAAAAAAATTAAAAAGATTAAATTAAATAAGATGTAGGTTATTAGTATGGGATATATCACATCTACAAGGGAAAGGCACAAGTGGGTTTGTAGTGTTGGTAGGTGTTAGATGGTGCATAAATTGATAAGGGGAAGAGGGTCTATCAAATAATTTTGAACATTAGGAAATGGGCTACTCCTAATGTTTTTTCATTTTTTGTCTGCCTATTGAATTAGGGTCCCAGAAAGAAAAGTCTCCATTAAAACATCACATGGTTTGCCATCAATCTAGTGGCCTGATCAATGATCATGCAGTGAATCTCATGATCATGTACTTTCTTTCAGCCACTCTAACTCTTAATTTATTAACATAACATATTTATTTTTTCAGTAAAATTAAGATGTGTAATTTTTTATCCACCGCCGTGAAGCGTAAAGATTTATAATTTTATTTACTTTTTAAAAATTAAATTTATATTCTCATTTTTATTAAAATTGAAACGACTTGCCTCCTAATTTATTAACATATTCATGTATATCCTTGGAAAAAGAAAGTAAGAAATCAAATGATTTGCTATTGGGGCAATTGGCATGAGTCCTCGTATCCTTGGTTGGTGGGGGGTCATGGGTGGTTGGACATCATCCTAGTTAGCACCCATTAATTAACTCCTTTCAAATGTTTTTTAATCCTAGATTCTTGAAATCTGTTTTGGTTCTTTACACATAAGCTAAAAAGGTCACCTTGTCATTTAAAAAAAAAAAAAATATATTATAATTACGCATCCTTTTTCAATTTTAATTTGTGAAAACATAATTAATAAAAATAGTTATTATACTTTAGTATAGAAACTAAGCCAAATTATGTTAAAGATAAAAATTATGTAAATTTTCAAATTCACTGTTTTTAAAATAATGAAAAGTAATACCTAAAATTTTGCCAATTACTTTTATTTTACCAATTTGTTCAATTGGGTACTCTTAGGCTGGATCGAATATTGGAACCATCACTCAATTATATATTTAATGGGCTTAAGTCTGAACTTTTGAAATGGCCCATTTTTGTACACAAAATAATAATAATAATAATAATAACAATCTACCTATACTATATATAAGTGTGTATTTATATTTCACACAAATATCTTACACAAATATCTTCAAGAGAAGATTAAAAGAAATATTAAATTTCACATAAACTATTCGATCAATTAAATATTTATTATTCTTATTATTGTATTTTTTTTTTTTTGCCTTTATTTCCATAGGCAATTATTTCTAAGAGTATTATAAAAGAAAATATCTAAAGGAAATAATTAAATTTCACATTAAAACTATTCGATCAATAAAATAATTTATTTATTCTTTATTATTTTAAATATTTATTATTCTTATTATTGTATTTTTTTTTTTTTGCCTTTATTTCCATAGGCAATTATTTCTAAGAGTATTATAAAAGAAAATATCACATATTCTTTTCTATGATAAGAAAAGAAAAATATTAGGTAACTATTTTTTATCTTAGATAATCGTCTATAATAAAAAGAAAATAAAAGAAAAAATTAATTAAATATTCTCATATACACCACTTTATCATTTTTTTTCCATGGAAAGAACTCCAAAAACTTAAATTATGTAATATAATTTCAAAAATTTATATTTAAAAATTTATTCTATTTAAAAAAAATATATCCAATCAAATCATACAAATATAAAAAAGAATATTAATAAAAAAACTTTTTTTTCTATTTTTATCTACCTCCTAAATAAATTACTTTAAATTATAATCAAAATAAAATTAAATAAATAATAACTTTTAAAAATAAAATATAAAATTTTCAAATATATAATTATCACATATATTTATTAAAAGTAAATTTTAAAAAAGATAAAGCTTAAAATTTTGAATACTTAATTATTTATATGTATTTATTTAAGAGGTAATTTTTATAAATTATATCCAATACTATATATACATAAATTTCACATAAATTCAAGAGGAAATTAAAAAAATATCAAATTTTAGAGAAACTATTATATTAATTAAATATTTATTAATCTTATTATTGTATAACATTTTTTCACCTTTGTTGCCATAATCTAATTATTATTATTAATTATTATTATTATTTTTATTTAATATTATTGTAATTTATCTTCAACATTATTATTTTAAATGAATATGTGTAAGTATGAGACGTTTGAAAATTTTTATTTTTTGAATTTTTTTTAAATAAATATATCTAAATAATTAAAAATTTTTATTTTGAATTTTTTTAATAAAATATATCTAAAATAAATTATATTTTATTTAAAATGGATTATGGTTAAATTTCTTTAATTACAATTTGCACTTCTAATTTTGATTTGGCCAAAAATTAAGATAAAAAAATTATTATTTTTAACATCTCAAATTGGATTTAATTATATGGTAATATTATTTAATCAAATCCTTATTTTCTTCTATTAAGGGAATATAATTTTATTATTAATTTTGAAATGATTTTCATGATTATTTGATTGGGATAAAAAATAAAAAATAAAAAATAATATTATTTATAAATATTTAATTTTTGATTTTATTATATTATTTCTCCATTCTATTTGTAAAAAATATTTTTTAATTTACTAAAACAGGTTTATACGAAAATTTATTACAGAACATGTTAAGTTAATTATTAAGACGTAAAATTATTTAATTTGATTTATTATATTAGTTTCTCATTCTATTGTTAAAATATTTTTATTTACTAAAACAGATTATAGCGAAAATTATTAACAGAACATGTAAGTTAATTATAAGACGTAAAATAAAATTATATGATGATTTTTATAAATCAATTTGGTAGTTTAATAAAAAAAATAAAAGAAACTAGTATATAATAAAAAATTATATGAATCAATATATTGAAGAGAATATAAATGACATATTTCTTATTTAAATTGCTATTTTAAAGTGAGAAACAAATATATCAATTTTTTTAATGAGATATTACAATTCAAGACATATAATAAAAAAAATTACTATATAAATAAAAATCACTCTATTTATTGTAATCTAAATAAGAATTTATATTTTAATTATATAAATAGAAAAACTAAACAAGTATAAAAAATCAGCATATAATTATGCATATAGTCAACATGCATCATACGTCATAAAATAATTATCTTTCTGTATTATGTGTATTATCTTTCACAATTTTATTTTTATATCAATAATTAACAATATTTTTAGTTTTTTTTTTTTTTTTGGAATGCAACAATATTTTTAGTTGAAATTTTAGTTTTAATAGAACAAAAGTATTTGAACAATGAAGCATTTTTTTTTTCAATTTATTAGTTAAATAGAAATAATTGCTTCACACATATGGATTGGGCACAAATTGATCACAAATCTTAAAATTTGTAATCGGTCACTAAAAACATTTTGAAACTTAAATAATTAGCAACTAAAAAATATAATTGATCATACCAAAGAGGGCCTTAATCGTAGTTAGCAATTGATTCTAGAAAGATAATTTGATAACATAAAAATAAAATCTGAAATAAATTTTTGACAACAAAGCTAGGAAATAAATAAAATTCTCCGAAATTTTATTCAAAGAATCAATTAAGAGTAACCCAAATTCACAGAGCAAGAAAGTAATAAAAACAAATACAATGTATTTAAATAGTACATCCAAAGTATCTACAAAAAATTAAACCTATAGCAACAAAAATGTTAATACTGTTACAAATGCAAAACCCACCAGTGAGGGGTGAACAGGAGAGGAGGAAGAAGCAATCTGAATGATAAAATTACACTTCCCTTGTGAAATATTCACGTTAGTAACCGTGGCCAAACCTTGAAAATCGCAGGCCATTGGATCCTGGTTCTGTACCTGGAAATACATATTGAATGCATAGGAAGCATTTCCATTAGCATCCAAACCATTACAAGAAGAGCCATATCCCAGCGCTGTGCAATCTGAAAATGTGCAAGCATAATCTATATTATCTGCAAGTTTGCTAAGGTCTTGAGCATTTGGATTGAACGTACACCATTTCGATGGTAGGTATTGAACGTTTTGCGCTCCGATGAGTAACTTGTTTTGACCCTGACCGGAAAGGTCTAATGCAAATTTAGGCTGGCCATCATACTTGAAGATTCCCCAATGGCGCTCAAAGTTTCCTGGAGCTATGCTCTTGGCATCCTCATCAAGAAGACCGAACAAGTAAACTTCTATGAATCCAGGGCGAAGTGGGGTGCCTCTGTTGCTCGCAAGTCGCGGCAACAGACCATTATAAAATCTGTATGCATAATCCACTGTAGCACTCTTGTCTCCATCTGTTGGCCAGCCTACCTCACCTACTATAACGGTCATATCTCCAAACCCCACTGCTTTGAGAGCTGAGACTAACGTGTCGAAGTTGGCATCAAAAACATTGGTGTACTGAATACCAGAACCAACATCAACAACTGTCTGAGATACTCCATCAAAGAAAGCATAGTCAATAGGGAAGTTATCATTTCCATATAGACTCAGAAAAGGATAGATGTTAACTGTGAAAGGTGCATTGTTCTTATTCAGAAACTGAACAATTTGGGTCATCAGGTCATTGATATCACTACGGAATCTTCCTGCAGAGGGATAACTCTGGCCAGTGGGCGAGTTGTAGACATCAGCATTCAATGGCACAGTAGCCTTAATGGAGTCTCCAACCCCAGCTTCATTGAGAGCATTTTGAATGTTCTGAAGTGCTGGGAAGGTGGTGTTTATGAATGAACCATTGTAGGATGTGAGGAAAGGCTCATTGCCAACTGCAACATACCTGCGCAGACAAAGTAAGTGTATAATAGAATCGTGGAGTTTTAATTGTGAGGTTTTATTCTCTACAATGCCAAAGTTGGAAATAAATGACAATCACTTAAACATAATTTACAAACATTCAATGTTTTTTTCTTTAAAAAAAAAAAAAAAAGAAAAGAAAAGAAAGAGATTCCTTCCATCAACTTGCTTAAACATGAAACAACTGATTGCAAATTTAAGAATCTTAGCATATCCATTACTTAGCCGATATAATCAGTATATATTCATTACTTACTTCCAAACTCTACTAAATTTTTTTTTTTTAAAATGAACAGCTTTAATTGTAAAAGATGAACATTGTTCATCATAGACAGATTTAAAGGAAAATGTATTTGATTTCAGGGTTGTGATGATAGATTTCATAATAGAAGTCGGACAAGATTGTATCAAAAAACTCCACTCTACTACTTTTCCAATCCTCAATAAGACTGCAAAAAAACCTTTTGAATATGCTTAAAAAAGTTGTATAACAATATTAGAAAGATCGAAATGAAAGAATAAAAAGCAAAGTTAGGAAACTCAAGCACTCATTCTTAATTGATTCCACAGGACATCAATTACAGATCTAAATGTCAAACAGCTGAAACCATGCAACAAAGTAAAAAAAGAATAGGTAATTCTCTTTCTCAAAATTTAGAACAGAAATTCACCATTGACATCATGTTATACTTATATCTTAATTTCCTGTTCTTGCCTATTCTTGTCTACTTTGTAATATTAAGTTGCCTCAGATAAAAAAATATACCAAGGAAAAGAATCTATTACTGTGACTGATAGCTGACTCTCTACGAAAAGGGACATAAAAATTCTACAAAAGTAAAGTTAACGTCCTTTGTAAGATTCTATAGCCCCTTTTCTCTTTTCCGAGGACGTTACATCATGTGCTATGAGAATATAGTACAGATACAAAATCAAGGTATAGATTAGAGAAAGATTAACATTAAATGAACTGAAGGTTGGATAATAAAGCTCACATGCATTGCATTAATACAGATCAAGTTGCAAGAATCAAATATCTTTCCATTTAACAAATCCCAATTGTCATCTTATAACAGATTCAGCAAGAAATGAAATAAAGAACTGACATGATACAATAAAGTTTTTCAGCAAATGAAATAAAGAAAAGACAATAAGTGGATAACTTATAAAATAAACAGAATTTATTTGATTTCCAAACTAAATATAATCCATTTCCAGTATTATCAATCAAAAACTAGATGAACCCATCATTTTAAATTTATGGAAACCACGTAGTTGGGGAAAATATAGAATTAAGTTTCTAATCAAACCCCTCCAGAACATCAATTTCTCAACAACTTTCGCAATACATCGAACAGGTTAGGAAACTTCAGGTACAGAAAGAAAAAGACACTCAAGGTTTAGCAAAACCACCCAAACGTAATCATAATTCAGCTCCTCCATCATAACAAATTGGAAAATTCACTAAAAACTTACTAAATTTTCAAATGTTTAGAACTATCGGTCTACCACATGATGACAGCATCTTAGGCAATTTTGTTACAATTTACAACAAACAAAAGGCCTAGATAGCATATAATAAACCAACAAGAATTGATAAAAAAAATAAATTAATTTGATCGGTGTCAGTTTAACCCAAACAGACAATTCAATATAAAAAAACACAATAATTTACACACAAAAAAAAAAAAAAAAAAAAAAAGCCAAATTTTGTTTACAATTTACAAAACAAAACAAAAGCCTAGATAGCATTAATAAACCAACAAGGAATTGATAAAAAAATAAATTAATTGATTCGGTGTTCAGTTACCCAAACAGACAATTCAATTATAAAAAAACACAATAATTTACACCACAAAAAAAAAAAAAAAAAAAAAAAAGAATTGATTGCTTTAATCTTACTTGATGTTTAAACTCCTCCATTGAAGTTGTAAATAGAATGATATTGCTCTTGACAAATCCTATAGCACGTTTTATAAATCATTTCATGGCAAGTAACTGATCATTGGTATAAGCCCACCAATGACTTCCAATGGGCCAGTCCAAAAAAAAAAAAAAAAAAAAAAAAGAATGATGCTTTAATCTTACTTGATGTTAACTCCTCCATTGAAGTTGTAAATAGAGATATTGCTCTTGACAAAATCCTTAGCACGTTTATAATCATTCATGGCAAGTAACTGATCATTGGGTATAGCCACCATGACTTCAATGCCAGTCCCAGCAAGAGCGCGCATTGTGCTTGCTTCTGTATCAAAAAGCTTCACTTTTTTTATCCCATTGTCCTTCAACATCTGTACTACAGTCTTTGGTGGTAATTTGTGGGTAGCCTGTGTCCCCCAATTAACTCCTAAACCATAAACACAAGTATCCAAAAGGCCTAAAAGCAAAAGCCATCTTAGAAACCAAGAACTAACCATTTTAGTGGAGGCGAAATATAATAAATTTTGACGGAAAAGTGAATGTAAAAGTAGTGAAATTGGTTTATCTATGGTTCATCTATTGCCGAAAATATCACCGACGGGTTTTTATGAGATGAAGAGGGAAAGCAACGGCCTTTGTTAGCTGGGTACGCGAAAAATTAGCGATTTAATGCCGCAGAATCTAAAGTATTGAGATCGTGATGTGTATGTGTGCGTGTGAGAGAGATAAAGCAAAAGAATTTTAATACCGAAAAGGGAAAATTATATATAAAACAGAGGAGAGAGAAATTTGAGACAAATATGAATCAAAACACTAAAATGAAGAAATAGCCGATCCAATTCAATCAATCGATGTTAGAAAATGGGTTTTGAATTAAATTTGAAAAATCGATTAGCACTATGACTTTGAAAAAATAGCAGATGCAGATTTATGTACAGACTTTGAAGTAAAAAACAGAGAAATACAGAATGGAAGCCCACAAAAGAAGACTGAAACCATATATTATTTGTGGTTTTTTATTGAAAGAGATTCAAATAGGCTCTTATTGAAAACAAATACAAAAAACAGAGACAAGTAAAGAAAGAAGGAAATTTGTTATTTTGAGTTTTCTGTTTTAAAAGGACGAAAAAGGTAAAAACAGCAGCAGGGAAAGAGAGAGGGAAAGCCAAATGAGAAAGGACAAACACACTACGGAGATTAGTGGAAAATGAGAAAAGCAACCGATTTTCAGTGATGGGTTTTTGTCTCGATCAGATATTTCAGAGAACTCTTAACGGCTAGAATTTGAGAAATACCTCAAATGGGTCTAGATTTAAAATGGTTTTGAATATTTGATAAATGATACCATCAAAGGAGAGGTATGAGTAAATACCAAGGCTTTGAAAAATGTTCCTTTCTTTGATTTGGAAAGTAACGCTATATACAGAAACATGGAGACTCTGTTTTCTTTTTCTATTTAGTAAAAGAATTATTAGAGTTCTAAGAGATATATATATATATATATAGCTTTTTTTTTTTTTTCTGCGTATATTTAAAAAGTGTAATCCTTTTTGAACTACGGATACATCTATAATCTCTTTCAAAAATTGAATTGATATTCTCATCCTACAAAAAAGGATTGAATTTACTTATCATTTTAATCATTTGCAAAAATAGATGCACAAGCGATATCCCAAGTGTTTAAAGGAATCCAGGGCTCAAATTTAAAATTTCTTATTAAAGAATAATAGACCTGTCATTCCATTTGACATACCTCTCGAGGATTGTATATATATATATTTTTATAAATAGAAAAGATACTAATGTTATTCTTTATGCCTCTTTCATCCCCTCTTTTGTTAATTCTCAACTCTTTCAATACTTTACTTTAATTGGATAATGAATAATGAATCAAGTATCTTTCTATTCTCATTTAATTTTTTTAATATTAGTAAATATAAATAATAGGGTAATGTGCTATATTTTTATTTGTTTATTTTTTGAAAAAAGAATGCGTAAAAAAAGTTTTAAATTAATAAATAAGAGAGATTGCTAGACCAGAAAAAAACCAATATTCACGTGAAAGTCACGAGGGAAAATATAAAAAGGGATGCACGTGAGACACGATAAATAACATTTTCTTAAACCTGATGATTCCAATAGTTAAATTAACGAGGATAATCACTGTTTAAGCTTTAATAAATTCGATTTTCTCAAATAAAAAAAAAAAAGAGTCAAATAATGCTTAAGTGGTAATGACGTGGTTCCCACTTTTACCCATGACAGAGTGACAGCCCACATCCACGTTGGTCGCTTTAAGCAATAATAATAAGCAAATCGGCCACGTTCAAAAACTAAGGGTATTATAGTCATTTAAACATTTATTTCTGAATATTATTATTATTATTTTATTTATGGGGTAATTGTCTGTGAGGTTGAGGTGGTCGGTCACCGACATCAACTAATATCCATTGGATTAGACGACATGTGGTGCTTTTTGGGATTGGAAAAGTCACTATTTTAGCTTTCCGTTCTTTTGCTAAAACGCACATATAATAATATATTCACTACAAAAGACTCTATGAATATTAAGAAATAAAGAAGCTTGTGTTTTTCGCTTCTTATCTCGAGAAGCGTCTCTTTATATGAATTTTTTTTTTTTATCGAAATTTTTCACTTAATATTTTCGATCTAGATTAAGTGTATTGACGAGACTTTGATCTGAGTTTAGATGTTTGATTATGTTAAATTTTTTTTGAATTTCAATAGTAAAAGAAAGATTTCACGGATAAAAAAAATAAAAATATATGATATCAATACTAAAATTTAATTTTGTTATAAGTAAGTTGATAAAAAAATATTTCAAACTCTAAATATCAGGAGCGAGCGGGTATTATTACATATATTGCTAGACGGCTCTAAAACTTAAAAAAAAAAAATCTTAATATTAGAAAATTAAAGTGAAACTTTATGTTTCTTCTTTAAATTCTAATTACTGGTTCTGCTTTATAATAATAATAATAATAATAATGGATTTTTTTGGTCAATTATGTAGTGATAAGGTAATAAAAATAGAAAGAAAATAGAAGTAGAAAGAAATGTATTAGAAGTGAAGGATATGGACAATGGAGAAGTCTCTTTCGAGGAAGACGGCATAACTCTTCAAAACGCGTAGCTAAATAGAGGTTAATTTGCCTTCTCTTTCACATTTTTCACACTCATTCATAAAGAGAAGTGTTTCTAATGAAAATTTTCTCCATATATAAGAATTCAACACTTAATTTTTTATTTAGGCTTTAATAAATATTCTACTTTTTATTTCCCAATATGAAGTAAAAATTTCATTAATTTCAAAAACAATTGTCGTTTGTATCCTTTAAGCCTCTTTTAAGACTATGCAATTGCAAGAAAGAAGAACTCCAGGGTTAAGCGTGCTCGCCTAACGGAAATCCTAGGATGGGTGACCTCCTGGGAAGTTTTCCATTTCACCTGCGGGACAAAACCGTGAGGGCGAGTGTATGTGTTGGCCGGATTAGGCCGGGGCATAACCCCATGACCAAAGCAGACAATTCCTCTGGTGATTAGAGTCGGGCGTGACAATTTTTTAAAAAGTATATCCAATCAAATCATACAAAAGAAAAAAAAGTCTATAACTATATCTATATATATATAAAAAGCAAGGTAGTTTGCGATATATGGAAGCTAAGTGTAAATAGTACAATTTGCCACTTGACATTATTTTTTATTATAAAATGACGATGTTAGAATTCTAACATAATTTATCACAATTGTAAGAAGATCAATTATTTTATATTTTCAAATAATTCATTTATCAAGATAATATCTGTAAAAAAAGATAATCTCTAGCATTTAATATATTAATATAAATTTATTTCTTCTTAAAAAATAATTAATAAATAATCCACACGCTTAAAAAATGTGAATAAATAATATATTACAATTAAATAAATAATATATAAACAATTTAAAAAATATAAATTGGAACTTCGGGATACGACAATTTTAAAAAAAGTATGACATCCACACTTAGGACACACTACACTAAATAAGTAATACATTAATATTTCAAATAAATAAATAATCATTTGTTATAAATCATACACATAAAATAAAAAAAAACATTAAGTGTCACGACCCGTTTCCGTGGGTCGGACCGGCACTAAGGCCCAGGTAAGCTTAAGGCCCCCAAGGCCCGTAGTAAGCCTGAAATGCTAGAATCTATTATCTCGGTATAAAATTTCAACATTCAGCCCATATGATTATGAAAGATAAACCTCAATATTTTTTTAAATCTCGGCCCAAATTTATCGACTACAACATTCCACAGTTTGGGCCCAATTAACAATGCATCACATTTATAATATGGATTCACATAATTATCTCATCTATAATAATAAAAAATAAACGCTTAAAAGGGATTACAAAAATTCCTACAAACTGCGGAGTCACTAATGTTAGATAATTAACATAAGCTTATTTACACATAATTACCAATAGCCAAAAAATAATTATGGGGAACTTAGGGAAAAAATTCTTATTGGGCCCTGCGCCCGAAGAAACATAAAGCCTAAAAATCGGAATTTAAGGAAAAACCTACTTCCTTGGAAAAAATCAAAACAAGACATTTGTGAGTTTTTCTAAGGGAGTAATAAATTCTTTGCACCACAACACGCAGTTCACACAAATTTGTGAAAACATATTAATCTTAGTCGTCCGACTAGTTATATCTCACGCAAGCCAGTCCACAACAAATGGCAAATCCACCAGAACTCACAATCATTAACATCTTCATATAATCACATCACGTGGAAAAATTTACGTTCTCAAAAAAAAAAAACTGGAGTCACCGAAACCCCCGCAGTGCAGCCGTTCCTCCCCACATAGGCTCCATACCTCTCACATGTTGCACCAGGGAGCCGATCCCCATACTGGGCCGGACCGGTCTAATCCTTCAAACTTTGACAGCCCTCTCATTATTTTTCCATTCCTCTCTCTCTTTTTTCTTTTTATACCCAACAGGGAGGCAAAACCCGGTGTCTCCATCAAAATCTAGTATTCATCAGGCCGCTCACAAACAGGAGGCCACCCTGCGGGCTTGCTATCCAAATCTAGCATTATCCGGTGCGGCCAATAAAAAGAAGCCAACCTGTGGTTAACAGGTTCACCGTAACGGGTAGCTGTGCACACTGGGCGGCGCCGATCTCCCATTTACCCGGCTAACAGTAAATCAGAATTCAGGAATTCCATATACGGTACGGTCTCACAAAACCCCATGGTGACCCCACTTTCATCCCAATTCCACACCACACAAAGCATAGCATTATCACAACACAATTAATTCCAAAACATTGCAATTAAATGCAAGTGTATTAATCAATTAAACATCTCCCGTTAAAGCAAATGCAACAATTAGCATCCAAAATCAAATGCAAATAAATAAGTAAATAGTGTTAACAATTAAAAACAACAACAATAAAATAAATTAATAATAATAATAAACAATAATACATGAAAATAAATAAATAAAATAATGGAATACTTAAATGGAATTAATAATGATAATAAATAAATTTAATTAAGAGGACTTATTTATTAGGATCAAATCTATAGAATTTATCTAAATAAACTTATTTTTAATTATTCATTGTTAAATTAAAACTAGTCTTAAGTTCTATCGAATTTCGGCACAGCCATCCCCCCTAAAAAATTGGATATCTATACCTGGTTTAAAATATTCACAATATTATATTATATATTTACCAATTCAAATACCACCACAGCCCAATCCTTAAATATCACAATATTATTATATATTTATCAATCAATACACACAGCCCATCCGTCGGGCAATCAACAATTTAAGTCCCATCCTCCTTTGTCAAAGTTCACCAAATAACAACTAATACATATTCACTAACCATATAAGATTATTTATTAAATCATAAGCTTATTAGAATTACGCACCTAACCACCCTTAACCGACTAAGCACTCATTTTACTTTTCTTATGCATAACCAACTAGTTTTAGGCTAATGGTTATCTAATTATCTATTTAACTGTTTCCAATTTATGTTTCACTTTTCGATTACCAACGATTATTCTAAAGGACTTAAATTCTAAAGTTTCAAAATTAATTGTATTTAATTAAGGCAAATAGTGATTTTAACTACATACTCATAATCTAGTATAATCACAACTTCTAATAATTGTATCCTAGGTTCACATTCTCCTAAAAATTCTTCAATTAATTCACAACTTCAACCTAATATTTCGCAGCCCTTCAATTAGCTATTTATCCGA